AAAAAAAAAAAAGGGACGCGAAGCGATGACATGATATGATAATGTGAACTTTAAAAAGAAACTTAAACTCACATGATTCGTGCCCCTCTGGACACACACATCCCCCTGCCTCAAGACGGTCCGGGACCCATCATCCAACACCAAGGCAATCTCCCCGCTCAGGACGACGCCGAAATCGACGCTCTGCGTGCGGTGCATGATGTTCACCTCGTCGACGGTCTCGGGCGTCGGCACAGCCGGGAAATCCACGACGCGGCAGCACACGCCGCCGCTCGGGTCGACCAGGCCGATCTTGCGGCCGTGCACGTCCTCCCAGGGGCCCTGCGCGTTGGTCGCGGGATTGCCCCGGGTGCGGAACACGTTGGTGAAGCCCGGGATGATGCTGTCCACGGGTGGCGGGGTGCCGGTCGGGTCCAAGGGGTTGGCGGGCACGAGGGGGGCGTCGGATTCGATTATGGACCTGCCTGTACGGGGGTCGTGGCCTTTTTTTTTTGTGTTAGTAATTGTAATATCCATGCAGATTTATATGTGTGTGGTATGGATGTATAGGTTTTTTGTTCGGGGAGTATGGGCAATAGCAGGGCGTGGGAAATGGGGGACGTGGAGGGGCTACCGGTTACAATTCGACGGACGGGAGGGAAGGACATGGTTTGATTGATTTGATTAACTGGTCTTTAACTTTTTGAAGACAAGTTTGGGCGCACTGAGTCTAGGCAGAGAACCTCGAGGGCTTGCTTCGATCACAAAGGGACACAATCCTACTCGTTTGTTGATCCGGGAAGTGGTTTATATAATTACAAAAGTGTAAAAGGTCCGGGATTATCTCGAGTGGCCGCCTCGCTGGTGGACGGTCCCAAAGTGGAATGCTAAGGATCACCACGTCGATGTCACCACGACCCACGACGGTTCGCGGACTTCTTAGATCAGACAGACGGAGGATTCTTACTAACTAGGCAGGGCACTTATGCAAGTTCATTGCGAAGAGGTTGGGGGTGCATGTATGCCGAGTACCTGGCTAGGTGTGTACCTGCTGTCGGATCTGCGCAATGAGAATTACGCACTCAAGAAACGACGTCTCTATCCTTTTGTGGGAGAGCTTCGATCCAATGCAGTGGACCTCTATACCACTCTCATTGAACAATCGCTACTCTGGGAAAAATTGTCTTCATCAGGGTTTACATTACGTTGTCTTTCGTATCGCTGGTTGAAAGGAACTTTTGAGAGATACGGAGAATGAAGTACTTCAGTTAAACGCTTCTCTTGTCCATCATCGCGACCCGCGTCATAACAAATCCTCAACATCCACAGAAAGGAAAGGCAAAGGCGTGATTAGGCCGCCCGGTCGCCCTATCCCGGCCCTACAACCGACACTCAGGCACCAACCTCAGCAACGACTTTACCGCCACTCTCGACACTCGCGCCCCTGATACCCTCCCGCTCCACCAGCTTTCTGGCCTCCTCCATCTCCTTCTCCAGCTTTTCCTTTTCGAGTCTCTTCTTCTCCAGCGCCTCGAAATTTCTCCGCATTGCGTTGCGTGTGAATTCCTCTCCCGTCACCATGGGGTATTTCTTGAGCGGACCCTGGATTTTGGCATCTCTACACGGTTGATTGAAAAAGGCGATGCTGTATCGTTCGCCGTAGAAGTCATCGGGTTCACTGGGGGCCTTGACGCGGTGGAAAGTCGATTTGAACCGGTCGTCGGACCAGGACATCAGAAGATCGCCAATATTGCAGATGATGGCATCTTGACACGGTGCCACTTTTGTCCAAGTGTCTCCGTGGGCGAAGTTTGTGGATGCTTCTCGGCCAGGACAGATCTGCAAAATAGAGGGTTAGACAAGAAATTCCAGTCCACTGACAGGAAAAGACATTATATAAACGCACCTCGAGACCACTCTGCCCCTCCTTCTGGAACAAGAGTGTCACCAGATCCCAGTCGGTATGTGCCCCCGCACGATGAAAGATCTCCCCGTTTGCATTTTCCCTAGGGGTTTCAAAGTAATGCAACAGTCTCGCCACTGTCTGACTCTCAGGTCTCTTCACGTCATGAGCCTTGATAAAGTAATCATCCTCGAACCCCAATCCTCGGGCGAAACAAGTCATCAATTTCTCCGAAACCCCTTGGGCCTTCCACATAAATTTCAGGGCGGACTCTTTGAAGCCCGGCAAAGCGGAGTCATCGAGCCACTTGCCCTCCATATTTCTGCCAAATTGCATCTGGTAAGACTCCTTTCTATCTGCAGCGCCGGTGGAAGGCCGGACTTGCGCATTCTTCTCCCACCCGGCATTGTTTGCAGAGGAGAAGGGGACTTTCGCTTTGGTGTCGTCTGGGAGAGAAAAGAAACGAGCTGACTGAGCGAATATCTCGTCAATCTCCTCGGGAGTGATGCCGTGGTCGATGACAGAGAAGAATCCGACGTTCTCGGCGGCGGAAACTAGTTCGGAGGTGATTTCATCAATGCGTGATTCAAAGTTGGCGAGTGATATGGTGGGAATGGTACGGTCCAAGTATTTTGTTTTTTCGGCGCCCATCTCGATATGATGTCAAAAACTATTTGTCCGGGGAGACTGTGTTGATTTGGCAGAAGGAAATCGAAATGAGAACAGAATTGATCAAAGTGCTTCGCTTTGGTGCTGTTGCTGGGCGGTTTCTTGGTCGATGGAGGGATTGAGAAGAGAGATTCGCCCAACGAAGTTCGCCTGATCTTTATATAGACTCCAAACCATGTACCTGGTAGAATCTTGTTGCTCGTCACTCGCAGCGTTGATGTCCATCGAGTTCGGGCATGTACAATTGATAAGGCTGTCGGACCTCCCCCGCCTTTTATCGTCCAATCACGGCGCTTCGATAATCGTACGTTGCTGATAGGCCGGTCGACCCTTCGCACAGCCTTACGAGCGCCGAACCACTCGCCATTCAGATATCGAAGTTTAGGAGATCCTCAAAGAGAAAATTGTTACTGATCCCGGTGTGAGGGGGAAAGAGCTGCTCAAACGTCTCGTACCCTAAGTCGGACGTGATGACGGGCTCCTGCGACCCGGGCGTTTTCAATTCCGTCGGTTCATACAGATCCATCGAGGGTTCGGTACCTCGATTTGCGGACCTCAGCGAATGTGTAAACGAGTCGTTTCCGACAAACGATTCCACAAACTTTGGCACGTTGAACTTCTGTCGCTTGGGTTGATTGCGATCTCCGCCCATACTGTCATGGGCGCGCTTTCGATAATTTTCCAGGGTTTGGTCGGCCGTCAACCGAGCCTGCTCAGCAAGCAAGGACGACAGCAACCGAATGCCGCGCATCGCAATCATGCTGTGTTCGAATTTGCCCAGCATTGTGATAGTATTCTCTACCAATTTCCGGTGTTCCTCGTACTCTGGATCGTTGGTTCTCCGGTGAAAAATGTCCAGAGCCAGTGTGATTCCTGCGGCGACCATGAAAGCTTGGTCAATCCAGAGCATGGGCCCTTCCTCATCATACGCTTGTCTCGCCTCTTTCAATATTGTCTTCGCAGCTGCCATGCATGTTCGACGTGTGAAGTCGAAAGCTTGCTCCGTGAAGCTGCGTCCCAGAAACGCGCGGTGAATCATGATGATCTTGTGAGCAAAACAAATTGTCAAGCTTCGTCGCGCCCAGGGGATAAAGGCCGGCCATTCCGGTTGGATTGGCTCTCTCATGGAGAAGAACCGAGGGAGTCCATCGGTCGCCATGGCTCGCATTTGTGCGTCGTACTCCAGAACCTGCTCGTATTTGGTGTACAAGGTGTTGGAAGAGATGATTGCGTCATGTATCTGCGGCATCAAGCTTGCGATCTCCCCAAGGAAATTGGGGAAACTTGTCATACTTGGGACATCATCGGGTAGCGGTAGCATTGTAGTGTCATCGCAGTTCATGGGTTTTAGCGACGTGAAATGCATCCTTTGGATAGAGTACATTTCCGAGAAAGGGATTGAAAACCAATCCTGGATACACAACTGTTGCCAGAGCCTCCTTCCCGTTTCACGTTTGATGATCTTTTCTCGTAAGGCAAGGTTCGATAAAGTGGAAGGCCCAGCACCATTGTTCCCATCATCTTCTGGCCCTAGTCGTTGCAAACCAAGACCCTGGGCGATCTTGACGGCAGCTCCCAGCAAGGTGCTCTGGGTGTTACTGAACCCTAGAATATGGGCAGACATAGTAAGTGTGGTGATGGCTTCGACTGAGTAGACGTGATGTCGCCACATGTAGTCCGCAAGATTGAGGCACGTTACCGTAGCCTTGTACCACTGCCTTGTCAGCTTCGCTCTTTCGTTCTTCTTGAACCCCCAGCTCAAGGCCAGCTGCTCATTGGCACAAGTCATACTTGCTGCCATAACAGCAAAGAGTAAGGCCGTCCATCTGAGATCCATGTTTCTGACTTGCAGTCCACTGGGGCCTTTGTAGACCTCTTTGAGCTCTTCATAAAATGTTGGACCGTGGAAGCACCCATGATACCATAAGATCGAGCTGACATGGTACTCTACCAACTGGAATACCTGCTTACGACTGGGTAGGAGCAGTTGTAGAAACGACACTTGGGCGGCACCAGTCCCGCCGAGACCATTTGAAACATCCCAGTCTGGCCCCGTATCCTTGGGAAGTGCGGCTGTGCCAGATTGGTGAGGTTCCTTGAGGAGATCCAACGCTTTCATATCATAATCCGATAGCTTGCTTCGGCCCCAGGTCAGGAACTCCAGCACGGAGGCGGCATTGTCAACGTCAGTAACTGGGCCATTGGTTGGCGCAGCTCCAAGGTTGCTTGGATAGACCGAGGGGTGTTCGCGCGGACTAGGCCCGGAAGTCACAGATTGGGGAGTTCGGAGAGAAGGGTGAACGACAGCCTCTGGCGGGTTGCTGTGGTTGGTATTGATGGCCTGGGGAGACGTATCGGTAGCTGTGGGACTGCCATCTGCTCCTGTGGATGATCGAGGATAGATCCGGTGGATTTTTGGATCGTAGCCGCCTTCGGGCCATTCACGCGTGCATTTTGCAGCATCGCCTCTCTTGACGCAGCGACCACAGGGAAGATTGCGGTCACATTTTTGCCGGCGCATAGAGCACTCGGTGCATGTCTGGCGTTCTTTGGGCATGATTGCGGTTCCAGATGTCCCTTCACATGGCTTTCGTACTACTGTTGCGGCCCCCGATCGACCGAAGAATGTTTGTACGGGATCGTTGAAGGATGTCCACAGGTCGTACGTGAAGTACGAAGGTGGAGGCGGCGAGGCGGGAAAAGTGAGGATGAGGTCGAAAGAAAATTGCAAGCCCGGAAACTCGGCTTTTGAATTGCTTGGCAGGCCGGCCACTGGATGTTCCGACCTCTCGCTCTCCATCCAGAATCCAGACACACAGCAAGATATATCATACCCAGGTATGTACCTATGTACCTAGGTAGGTAGGCTCCATGCCACGATCCCTTCAGGGATTGCTGCTATCCAGCTTGTCTGAACACTGAACACCACGGCACAAGAGATAAGCCATCCATTTGATGGCATCCCACCCAACAGTCCCATAAGTTCAGGCGACTCATGTCCTGCGACCTGTCATGACCGGCCTTACCTCAATGCAGGACCATTCCCAAGCAGCTTCCCCATTCCCCAGCAACGATAGAGACCGGCTCACCCCATCGACATTTCCCTTGCTGGGGAAGCCATACAGTTAAAAATTCATGCCCTCGATAGAATCGCCAGTTAACTATACAGAAACAAGGCGAGGACGGTGCCCAGTTTTCATCCCTCGGAGCTTCGGACGAAATCAAGGGATCTGGTCCAACCCGTCGTACACAGAGATTACCCGGCCTCAGGCTACCTCAGGCTAACCCCCCTTCGTATTTTGATCCTGTCACGCCCAGTACAGATGCCCGCAAGTTGCTGCGAACCATGGGTACATGTGTTGTACGCGTCGCGATCTGTTAGGTGCCGCCCGTACTTTGCTGAGTCGTGCTGGGACTAACCATCCTGAGAAGGACCTCGTACAATTGTCGAGATCGATTCAGTTCGCTCAATAAGTAATTAGCAATGGACAGTGGCCGGCGGGGATCTTTCATACGGCCAGCCGCACGACCAACAGAAGTCACCTCAACCTTCAACACCTGTCTTCTTGCTAAAAGCGTCCCTTGCCATCATCGTGTTCAAGACCGCACAGTTGAACGCAGCCTCTCCTGGAGGAATGACAACGAAGATGTACGTGTTCTCCGTAAATCTGGCCAGGAAGCAGTTGAAACGAGGCGTCTGGACTTTAAACAGCAAGAACCCTGCGCTCGCCGCCGTAGTTCTGGTGTTTCGTGCCGCTGTGTGCTTGTAGCTCTTCATGATGTTCGATATCCGCTCGTGTCGGTCAACGTTGGGGTTATCCTCGCCATTTTGTGTAACAACGTTCGTCACAGTCAGAAATGTAGACCTCTCGAAGAGGACTATCTCTTCGGCCTTGAGTTGTTTCGCAAACGCTGTCAGGAACCGTTCTATCACCACCAGGTTCGGAATCATCTTGTGGACGATGCCCGCCCAAGCCTTGTAGAGTGTCTGATCCCAGATACTGCTCGCGAAAGTCTCCAAGCTGAGACCCTCAGACCGGGCGATGATCAACCGACATCTCTCTTCATATATTTTCTCGCGATGTTCGCTCTGGACGAGGTCCATCTTGTGAATCAAGCAGAAGACGTGGGCATTGGGACTGTATTCTTTCAACGCCTTGATCACCTGGCTATATGTCTCGAGGTCTTGATCTACCGCTCGGGACTCGATGTCGAAGACGTAGATGAGAACTTCGGCATCGGAGAAGACGTTTTCGCGCTGGGCGTTCAGGTAGGAGTCCATGAATGCGTCTTGTCTAGGTACACAGGCGCGTTAGCCACATTTGAACAAGGCGCCTGAGATGCAAGCATGTTCTATGCCATACCCTCCACAGTCCCACAGATTGAGCGTCAGATTGCCCATGAACTTCGCATGACTGTGTTCCACGTCAATGGTTGCGCCGAGTCGGCGGACGTCCTTTGCGACATAGTTGCTGAAAATGATGGAGCGCATCGACGATTTGCCCGAGCCACTCTTGCCCATCAAGAGGACCTTCTTCTTCCTCTTGCGCGTATCCATGTCGCTACTAAGTCTTTGAGAGAAATCACATAGGCCTTTGATATCCGTGCTAAAAGAAAACAGGTACCTCGTAGGTGGGGGGATATTTAGCTGGGGATTTAGCTCGACGGTCGGAGGCTGCGGGTGCGGAGACAGCTACGAAGCCCCAGTGCGGCTCACCTGCCACGCCTACCACCCCGGTACCTAGGTAGGTAGGTACCTAGGGTATGCAAGGCTGCGAACGTGCCAACAGAGAACATGTAGGGTCACACGCTCACACGTTATTCCACAAGGACATTTCTAACGCACAGAACACTCTGGTTGTCACACTCTTCATAACCGCACAGGCGAGGGCGGGGAACAGTTGAATGCGATCACTGCTCTTAAAATCGCCATCTCCGCCGGTCGACAATAGGTTACCCGCTTGAAAGAAACTGCGCCCCGTCTTCCATCCAGTCCTCAGCAAACCCAGCCTTGCGCAAAAGCTGCCTAGCAACTCTCATTGACAGGTGAAGCGACCCTCGAACATTGAACTCAAAATGTTTTAGGGCCATGGAAAGTCGCTAAGGGTCTTAGAGCATCCTCTTCAATTAGAGGAAGTGCATACAGGCCGGATAGCTTCTAGTCAACGCACCCACAATCATAATTTGAATGTAACGCTCCAAGTCGGGCGCGCTTTCTGCCCTGCTGCACCTCATGAAAATAGGGGAGGTCATCAAACCAGCTTTGCAAAGCTCAAGAGCGCCGACGTCAGATCGGCATTGAATTAGAGTGTAAACTCGCCACAACGAAGAAAGCAATACCACAGTATGATCAAGCGCACATGTCGTCTCGTAATCTCTGTTCTCAGTCTTGACCCACTCCTTTCGTGACTTCCGAAATTCGCATAACCCATAACCACATAAGCATAGAAGAAGACGTCATTCAGAAGACGGTGCCGTCTGAAATGATGCCAATGGGAGGCCCTCCAGTGATGGGTCGGGACACCTGTGCGACTTCACGTCCACCCTATCAAGCCTTGTCAGCGCAAACTGTCAATCGTCTTTTGAATCGTCTCACCTTCCAAGTTCCTGCCTCAAGCATTTGGGCCAAAGTCAATTGTTCCATGCCCTGCAGGCCAAGACCTGCATTGACTGCGACAAGGAGTTCGTCCAAAAAGCCAACAGTGACGGCGCGCCACTCCACGATCACGTCGTCGCTGGGTGGGAAAGTTGGAACCACTTCGATTGCATTGCCATCTCCGACCATTTCATGGTAGTTCTTCAACCCACGCTGCTGGTCCTCCGGTTTGAGCGTAAGCAGGCCTGTGTCGACCAACAAGCCACCGTTTCGGTATTCAGGGAGGCCAGTCATCAATTCAGCCCCGGCGAAATGAACGTTAAGTAGCTTGGTCATTGGAACCATCAAGGAATAGCACAGCCACTGTGTGAGCTTGTGGAAGGGAACAATGGTCTCCCAAAGTTGTGCAGGGGGAGACCTGGGCATGGCCCGGCAGGGCCAGGCGTCACCGAGGGAGACTCCTTGAATGGTGGTCCGAGTTGCCGGCCAAATATCTGACAGGCCGTCCATGAGAACGCTCCATAGAGTGGGTAGAGGAATGACGGGAACTGAGGCGGCTTGAGTGGTGGGATGTGATAAAAGATAGTCTGGGTACGGTCAGCAGAGATTCGAAATAGATATAAATACTTGGATTCACCGATCATGTTCCCAGGTCGGCCTTCAACGCCAAAAATCTCGACGTTCTGCAGAGCAGAGGCGAGTCGAATGAGTAGACCAGTCCGACCCTCGAGCCCCGACATAGGGTTGGAGTCCGAGACTTGCATCCCTTTCGCCAGACTCTCCACATTCATTTTATTCAGGCCAGCGGCGTCAACTTGATGAGGTTGAGTGGGGTCGCTGCTGAAAGTTCCAGCTTTGAACATTTCCAGGCTAGCCACGGCCAGACCTTCACTCCTGGAGTAGACCTTGCCGGACTCTTTGGACTTGTACGACCACTTGGTGCCAGCGCCAGCATCGAGGAGTACAGATACCAGGAACAGATCAATCAGCCGACGTGCTCTCTCCTGGTTGTCAATTGAGGTTGGCCACGATTGTAACAACTGAGTTACCCGGGGTCTGCCACCGACTTCAAAATGTTGCCAGCGACCATGAGGTGGAATGGAGGCGTAGTCTCCCTGAAAATCACGCTGCGCCCAATTAGATACCTTCTTGATTCAACATTTTTTCCCAATCGTACCTTGATAATGGCAACCACGTAATCTGCGGTGTCCTTGAACTTGGACAAATCTACATCAAAGTGGTTGAGAGCATTGACTTTGGCCTCCTCGAGAACCAGCCTTGTCCTTTCTCGAACAGCATGGATACTTCGCAGGTAGGCTGCCGGTTTCGATCTTGGATCCGGGGCCTCAGGAATAGGGATTTCTGGCATGGTACCTCCTAGTGACGGTGAGGATGAGTTCGAACTGACCAGCTTTGGCGACTTGTGTGAATAATTGGAGAGGCGTTCAACCGTCACAGCAGGGCGCAAAAGGGCTTTGTCCAGTGTAGATGCATCGGGTGGTAATTTTGAATCTTTCCTCTTGAAAATTCCCTTCATGGCGGAGAAAGGCCTATCGACGTTACACGTAGCGACGGGCCTATCGCGGCAGGCGGGGAGATGCAGGAGAGCCTAGTGACCGATAGCCGGATACCCTGCTAATCAGCTGCAAGGGACAATCGTGACTTTGGCCATGCAATGAAACGGGCTGAGTGAGGAGTCACTTCGCACGTTGGTCTCCGTCCGATTTTCTGCCTTTTGTTTCCCTCACTGAAAACCTTTGATGGAATGAACGAGGTTGTAATTGATTGCAGGAAGGAGCGTGACAAGCCTTTGTCGCCAGCAAGCGACCGGAGATTCGAGATCAGGGCTGAAGCGAGGACTCTGATGCGAATGAACACGAAGCGCAACGGCCAAGTGGGACACGAATGAAATTGGCGTCAGAGAATACTGAAGGCAAGAGAGGAGTGAGAAAGACTGATGGAAGATGGCGGCAGAATAGAAATGGAAAGGGTTTCCCTCACTTTCTGTTCTTGAAGTCTGAAGGAGAGAAAGAAAAAATTGGTAGAGTGGGAAAAGCACAGAGCATGTCTGTCGCATGCGTTCGCTCCATATTATCTACCAAACCCAAAGCCACTCCTTCTCCGTCGAGTTTCCTGAGATATCAACTCACGTTAGATTGAGGTCTCAAGACGGATATGCAGCATTCAGGAGAACAAGAGGGGGATTGTTGACGGCGATCGAATTGCTGCGGCCACGCGGGAGCAATGGCGCAACACCACCGACGGCGAGAGAGTCTGGCGGGCAGCAGGCGGGGTGAAAGGTGTCCAGGGGTGCCCGGTGAGGTTGAGTGAAGCCTAATGTGGCCTAGCTGTAGCCTGGGTGGGTGTCTGGCGGTGGCCTTTAGCCTCGCTAAGGAGCCAGGGTGCCTGCGCCGTTTGCTTCATCACTGGCCAGGTTCCGTGATCCAAGTTCAGGCACCTGGTGGACAGTGGACACCCGCACCCGTGGCACCATGGGAACTTCCCAGACCCCGCGTTGGTCGCTGTGCTGTGTCTCGGGCACCCGTTGGGGGATGGTCGCGCTTATTTCGCCCTCTAGGTAGTGGCCCCCCATGCGGCCGTGCCCAAACAAACTCATTTTCCTGCGAATCCTTTGTTCGCGTGGCCGCCACTGTAGCAGGTAAACCTCGAGGTGGGACCTCGAAAGTTACGGCGGGCGTGGCAGGGTGATCCTCTCGTCCCCGTCCCTCCGACAAGGCAGCAGTGTTTCAGGATAAGCATGATGACAGGGACAAAAAGCTGCAAGTTCAAGGCTGACAGTGTCTATGTAAGGTACCTTCGTATATAATGTCTTCATCTGACTGAGAACTGGCACTCATCTTCCCATTCCTATGGCGTGACTGTCTGCGATCGGCCCTCACCCGAATCCATACCTACCTAGTAGGTAGTCAACCCTTCGCCGAAGCTAAAAAGTAGCTCTGATCGATACTACCTAGGTGCGCAGCGTATCTCGCTGATTCCTTGCTTCCTGCTCCCCATCGCACCGTCTCGATCTGAAACAAACCAGTCCTGGTTCGCACTGAAGGTTGAAATCTCGGCTCTGATTCCGAGAGTTCGCTGCGTCCATGGTGCATGAAGATGGATGCTGTACCTCGTACGAGGTGCATCTCCACTGATGACTCGATGGAGGGCGCCACGGAGAATGACCAGAGAGGCAGTCGCTTGTTCACCCTCCCTGCAGAGATCAGAGCCTCCATCTTCGAACTTGCGTTGACTTCTTACGATGATCCTGCCAAACCGTACCGAGCCGACAGGAAATACTACAGACCAGGCTATCACCATCATCAGAAGATCGATTGCTCCCTGCTACTAACCTGCAGAAGGACCTATCGCGAAGCCAGACTTTTGCCCATCTCGGTCAACGAGCATGTATTCTGGCTGTTCAATGGTCCTTGGAAATTCATTCCCGGCAATAACCGAAACACGGCTCGATGGACTTACTGGTATGTCAACCTGACAGAGGACCAGAAAAGTGCAGTGCAAACAGTCCACATCTTCACCCAACAGTGTTATTTGGAGGACTTGTTGGTAACCGACGCCTGGCGGTTCTCTTTCAGAACATCCTGCCTTCATCTAACGCTTCGCCACGCTGACTGGTGGTCGTGGGAGTCTCCCGTTGGATCCAGTGACTGTCTGGGCATCTGCCCATGGCGTCCTCATCGAACGTCATATCAAGAGATGCTCTTTGAGCCACTTGAGCCAAGCCTAGCTTACATCCGTGATCGCATGGGTGAACGGACCTGGGGAGGCGCCGTGTGCAAAATTCGGGGGCTAAGAAAACTGGTCATGGAGTTTGAGATTGATGAGAAGAAAAAGTCGCAATTGCAGGTTGTTGCTGAAAGAGCTAAGCATTGGATATTTCCGTTGGCGGGAGAGGAATTCGTGCTCGAGTGGACGGGCCAGCTGGAGGAATCGTCCTGGGAAGGTGTGCGAGACCTCAGAGATGATTACCATTTCATGAGAGAGCAACCCCTGCAAGCAAATCTCCCAAGACGCAAGTATTATGTTGTGAAGATGACTTGGAGAGCGAAAACTGCAGCACGAGGAGGGCTCTTCAGGACTACAGCTATGTCAGGGGCTTAGCTGATGTGCTTGGACATGCCCTGCCCATCTACACTATCGTCTAGTTTCGTACTTGATCACGAATGTTGAGACCTGAGGAAGTGGGGGAATTTGAAGCCTCCAAAGATATTCTGCGTATCCCCATAAAAGGAGCTGTGGCTGCAACTTTTAGAACATTATAATAATGTGGCGCTGCCCGCTGCCCCATTGGGACAATGCGTCGACATCTGGTTGTTGGTACAACATCGACTTCCTTTCCTTCCTCCTCACTCATTCGACGCCATCACACAGTGACGCTGCCGGGTCTGCGATGGCCATCCTAGAGCCCGCCAACGCGTATTCATGAACAGTCAGTCTTCGCGACAATGGACGACATAGCGGGGTTGAACTGGAGTTCGACCCCGACCAGTGGACAGAACTCGAAACCAGCATCATCGACGTCAAACTACTCTGCCTTCACCGCATTAAAACCTACTCCCCCGGGTTCAGGAAGGGTCTCCCCATTTAACCCAACTTCGATTCAGCCTCCCTCCAAGCCGTCTACCCCCGCGAACGACAGCTTCGCGAGTCTCGTGTCCTTCGGGCCTGTGTCGCAAAAGAATCTCTCATTGTCGGAACAACAGAGGATACAGGTGGAGGCCAAGCTACAGCAGCAGAAAACCCAGCCCCAGAGACTGGACGATCAGTATGCTGGTGGAGATGATCAATTTTGGAACAACCTGGGTAGTGGGAGGGGGACGCCCGCGATTGACGCCGCAAAGAGTCAGAACACAAACAAGAAGAAAAACGAGTTAGACGATACCGATGACGATCTATTTGCTGCTTTCAATAAACCAACTGCTGCTAAGAATGATATTATTACTGCATCTGTACAGAAAAAGCCCGCGAGTGTTGATGACAATGACGACCCTTTTGGACTATCAGGACTTCCTCCTAGGCGGGCAGATACCGCTGCAACCGCGAGCACCGCTGCCGAAGATGACGACGACGTGCTTGGACTCCTAGGAAAGCCTGCATCTGCCGCGAGGCCAGAATCTCCCCCTCTCGCATCGCAAAAGTCGACTGCGGCCCGTCATCCGCAAGATAAAGCTGTGGCCGAACTGGTCGATATGGGATTCCCAGCCGACAAGGCAAGAGTCGCCCTAGAGGCTACCGAGTCAGGACTTGATGTCCAAGCCGCCGTAGGCTATCTATTGAATCAAGCACACGCCGAAGCGCGCCAAAAGGCTCAGTCAAGAACAGCGTCTGGACAAAGAGGTGATCAGGACAACGCCAGGATGAGCTCCCGAGATGAAACACACACGTCAAGGACGAGATCGCCGTGGGAAGACGGGGAAGGCTCTCGGAATCGTGGCAAAGGCTCCACTCACAACGGAGAGAAAGATTTCGAACAGATGGCAGCAGAATTCGGCAGTAACTTCTTAAAGACCGCAAACTCTTTGTGGAAGCAAGGGACGAAACGAGTTCAGCAAGCTGTTCAGGAATTCAACTCCGATAGTGAGGCAGGCGGCCAGCCTCGGTGGATGCGGGAGGTGGCAGAGCGACCGACCAGAAAGGAACAACCACAACCGCAGCCTGAAGTCGCGTCGAGCCGTGGTAGAAGGAAACCGAGTCCAGAAGCTCGCCGTCAAGCAAGCATGACAGATGAGGCAATGATGTTGGAATCCAACAGACCGACGCCTGCACCACGGCCTTCCTCTTCGTCCAGACCGATTCGACATTTTGACCCTAGTACCGACAATTCTCGCGATCGCTCACCAATTATACCCTCACGACTGCGGGAATCACTTCCTCAGACACAGCCAGCGTTTCTACGGCAGCAAAATCAGTCTCCTGCCACAAGTTCGAGAACCAGTCTGAACCGCGCCGCTGCCGAGGAGCAGGCTGCTCAAGCGTATGTCAGTTCGGCTCGACGGCGAAAACAACAACCTCATGCTGTTCAGGAAGCGCCGGCAGCACCTGTTCCAGAATCGAATCTTCTTGAAGGAGGTTTCAAAGACACTTCTCCCGCCCTTCCACGTGCAGCGGCAACCAATGCTGGAATGAGCAAACCTCCCCCTCGTCCTCAATCCCAACCAGTCAAGAAGCGGGTCGAATCAATCCCAGTCCAAGTCCGACCCCCGCCTCCCACCCGTACCATTCCTTCTATATCAGCTATCGCGCTCCAAGCCAGTCATTCCCACCGCGAGAAAGGCAACGAACATTTCAAGCGAGGAGACTATGCTTCGGCGCACCAGTCTTACGCTACTTCCCTGTCGCATTTACCCGACGCTCATCCGCTGACGATAGTGCTTTTGACAAACCGTGCTCTTACGGCGCTAAAGACAGGCGAGCCGAAACAAGCCATTATCGATGCCGATAAGGCGATAATGATCATAGGTCCATCGAAGGGCGAAAATGAGATCATAGAGATCACCAGCTCGGGCGACACGGGAAACAAGCCAATGCGCGAGTACTACGGGAAAGCGCTCATGCGCAAAGCCGAAGCGCTGGAACAGATGGAGAAATGGTCCGAGGCCGCTGTCGTCTGGAGAGAAGCTGTGGAAGGAGGTCACGGTGGCTCGACGAGCATCCAGGGTCGAATGAGGGCGGAGAAGGCGGCAAACCCCCAGAAACCACAGAGTGCTTCTGCCTCGACGCCTGCAGCCGCCGCAGCAGCAGCGAGGAAGTCAGGCACCGCTTCGGCTCCACCCTCATCGACCCTCCGCCGAGCAGCGCCGCCCGCCCCAGCAGCGTCTACTACCAGCGTCAAGCCAGCGGAGGCCGTTTCTCGTCTCCGTGCAGCTAACCTGGCCGCGGACAAGCTCGACGACGAAAAATTCCGTCTCTCTGAGTCTGTCGATGCGCGCATCAACGCGTGGAAATCCGGCAAGCAGGACAATCTCCGTGCCCTGTTGGGGTCACTGGACAGTGTCCTCTGGGAAGGCAGTGGGTGGAAGAAGATCAGCATGGCCGACTTGGTCCTCCCTGGCAAAGTCAAGGTGCAGTATATGAAGGGGATTGGCAAGGTGCATCCTGACAAGGTACGTATATGCTGTTATATGTGTTGTTTATATCCAACACTGAAGCGCCATCTGTGGTGTCACACAAGCACCCTCTCGACCATCGTGACCAACCACTATCACCAGAACCAGTCAGCGCTTGGGTCTCTTATGATTTGGAGAGAGATTGATGCTGACTTCATGGTCTTGAAAACTTATAGATCCCCACCGATGCCACCACCGAGCAGAGAATGATTGCTGGGGCCGTCTTCAGCGCCTTAAATGACGCCTGGGACAAATTCAAGGCTGAGAATGGTTTATAATACAATGTTTCGAAGAACGAAACCGTGAGGCCAGCTTTGTGCCCCAGAGGTAGTGTTTGCCGCTCTGCCATCGTTGTGGATGTTTCACCGCAGGACTACTAAGGAGGAAAATTGTAGATGCTTAGCCAGTATTCGGTATAGATGAAAGAGAATCTTGGCTGTCACAATCACCCAAATAGAACAGTCCCTCTGGTATTGTGAGCCAGGAATATGCTCATCAACGTGGTCAATCGGTCGATGGATGATGCTGCTCATATGTTTTGTACAATTGCCTCAAGACTTCCATACACACTCTCCTCATCACTTTTTCTTCTGGGCAGTCTTCTGCCCTTTGTTGGATTTCTTGCCCTTGGTCTTTCTCGACGCTCGGGCTGCTTTGGCCTCCATCCCTCTCTTCACTCTGAGCGCCCGTTTCCTCCATGCCAGCCAGCGGTCGTTGCGATCGTACTCTCGCACCTTGACTCCTTTTCTCTCCGCTGCCAAGCCGATCGACGCGTTGGCCTCACGATATGTTCCTTGTCGGTTGAAAGTCGGAGGTGGCGGTGCTGGTGTGGGCGTAACGGCTCCTCCAGAGGCCTTGAATGCCACGTGCGCGTGACCCTTGCTGCGCTGGCTCAAATGAGCCTCGAGAAAGGAGTCGTCCACTGACTTTTGAGACTCTGGTGGTGGCTTCATGGGTGCGGCGTACATCCCTAGACGTCTGCGAGTGGGCGCATTGCGCGGCGTGGGAAGTTGAGATCTTGGTCCTTCTTTTTCCAGTGCCACCCCGATGTATCGTCTCTTGGGATGCTTCAGGGGATCTCGATAGTAGCGCACGTAGCCGTATTCAAGAGCGTAGAGGGTGTGATCTTTGCCGATGCCGACGTTCTCGCCGGGGAACCATTTCGTCCCTATTGCAGAAGAAGAGTGAGTTAAATTTTGCCCGGCGACTGCGCATTCCCCGCAAGGATCCAGTCCAGCTTACCTCTTTGCTTGAATATTATGTTTCCCGGGTGCACCCACTCGGAAGACCCCTTTTTGGCTCCCAGACGTCTTCCTGCAGAATCGGAGGGACCGTTTGCCCGGCCTTGCTGGGCGTGGGAAGCATGTCGAACGAAGATGGTCGACGTCCGCGGGTTCAGGTGCGCATGTTTTGAGCAGAGGCTCAAAGCACTCAGAGACGAAGCTAGCGCCGCTAGAGACGCCTCTGAAGACACCACAGGTCTGTATATTCGAGGTTGGAGCATGGTGCCAGCGGTGGTCAACTGTAAAGACGATTACCTTTGAACATGTCTGCGAGCAGATCAAGCACGCATTGAGACGGAGCAAGTAACCAAACAAGCACACTAGCCGTATTGGGCTTAGGGGACTGTCACGTGAAAAAAGGACCGCCAAGCTGAATGAAAGCTTCTGTGGCCCCGTACAGCTCGTAAGTTAGCGTCTAACACGTCGATGCAGACCCCATCATATCATAAGCCTGCGTCTCATGAAGGGGGGCGAGGACAGGGGCTTCTGACATGTAACTAGGTAGGTACATGACCAGACACTTGACAGCCGATAACCCGACTCGTGGTCGAAATCGCTGCCCTGAACAATTCCCTTCAGCTAGGACGACATGAACGACGGAGGGCGTGTTTGGCTGAGCGCTTTTGGCCCCGATGTTTCCAGAAGCGCTTGCGGCGTCCATACACAGTGTGACCTATCTGAGACAAAGGGACCCTATCACTATGGATGGTGCTACAGGCAAGACCTTATCATTTACCAGCCCCCTTGTCGGGCTGGAACAACAGCAGACTGAGATGGCTGAGCCTCATGATCTTCTGCTGCGGCGATTGTGTACGAGGTAGATAAGTATCTCCTTTTGTGAACCTTCTCCTTTTCGACGCACTGTCCTTCATACGGGTCTACCCCCTTGCCGCAATCATGCGTCTTCCTGTTATCCGCTACGGACTTTCAAAGCCTTATCCCCAAGAATGGCTGACCCCAGTTGTCGTGGCGGGCGCGATCATCGTCACAATCATCTCCTCTTTGATCAGTTTCGCGTCGAGCGGCTACAATCTGGAGGTAGTCTACTCTAGCGACCCCAATGCCACTGCTAGGGAGGTCTGGATGAAGAACATACCTTGGCTCTTGACAAACAAAAGGACTCCTACATGCCAGTCCACAACAATTCCCATCAATGAAAAGCTCACCACCAACAACACTGCCCTAACCTACACCTTAACTGGAGTGTCACAGGAGGGCGCCGAGAAGCACGCATCTGTTCTGATCTACCACAACAACCTACTCCACAACTGTTCGGTTGATGCAATAGAGTTTCGCCTGGAATCACTCGAGAGGACCACAGCCCAAATTGCCATATCGCCCTGGGGTGTAGACCTACTTGGATACGTTGGCTGCATTGTTGCCACGCCAGATGGACCGACCTTTGTCAATCTAACTGCTGAGTACAACTATGTCCCTGACACTGTCTCTGTGCTGGGAGGACAGAATGCGGTCTTTGTTGGGAGGAACCAAACCACAAAAGCAAGCCTGTTCTGGGGTGAATCTTTGCTCGCCATGTATTGGACACAAGCGATGGTGTATCTGAATGTGGAGTGGGGAGCAGAGAGAGCTGGTCAGAATGACGATCTTGGCTCTACCTGGGTCAAAGGAGTCATGGCGATGACACCAAATCCGTCGACCGCGGACTTAACCGACCTCACCTACTACAATTCCAGCGTTTTCTGGATCACCAACATCACCGGGCTCACGGGAGAATACTGGGTCGATCCATTGATGAATCCGAACGATCCCGCGTCCTTTTCTTTTGCTACCTTATGGGGAAGGCAAGCTGCCCCTGCGGGCCTTTGGATCGCTGCAGACAGTCTCGCAAAGTCGTTCCAGTCTACAATACTCACAGACCTTGGTCAAAACTCTGCTCATGATAATATTCTGAACGAGCCCACTTTACTTCAGCACTTTACCGCCAATTTCTCAAGCATCATATCCCAAAACAACAACTCCCCGGGAGCATTAAATGTTGGCCCAACACCTGGACCTGCACAAACCGATTATGAATCATTCAAAGCAAGCACTGGACCCATCGGGGTCGCCCCTTCTGTCCTAGCCACGACATATCTTTGCTCAGTGCCTCACCAGAAGTCGTTCGCAGAATTAGTCACTTCTATTCTTGTGGCAGATCTTGTCTTCTTGCAGGCGGCGTGGTGGTTATTCAGAACAGGCATGGATAAGCTTATGGAAAGACGAGATTCACAGACCCATTATTGTGCGGGATGCTCATCAAGGCCTCGAGGCAGTCCCGCGTTTGAGTCAGAGTCGAGCATATCTTTGTTGAAGCTAAATCAGCCTGGTATATGGGAAAGACCGGAGCATGCGTAACCAAAATCACGGGCTGCAACCACGTCCTTGATACTTTCATCAACCACGCATGAATCTGTGCAGGTGCGTCCCTGACTCTTCGGGGCGCCTCTTTCAACAACTAGGCTTCTCGTCATGTTGTCCTCGGTCCAATGAGGATATGCCTATCAGGCAGAAATTTCCAAACAGCCATTTCGACTCACGTTAATGAATGCCCCGGAAGCCCTTCTGTAATCTTGCCCGAAGAGCCTCTGTCAATGGGAACATTGCCCGAGTTCACTCTGATGTCCAGCAGCTCCTGCTCCAACTTTTCGATCAGCGTTATCAGCATCCACTCTGTCAGGTACTCTGTGACATTCATGGGATTGTTCGGATGCAGCCAGTCGACGAATCCATCCCCGTCACGAAAATCTTCAGTCGTCCTGTCTTTGGTTCGGGTTGGAGAAGTCAAATCACCAGTGCGCTGATCTGCAGCTTCCAAAGGCTCAAGAGGACCCATCAAATCAATGATGTACTCCCAGTCTTCGAAAGTGTATTCCGGCTTCTGTCCATCGTGCTGGTGTCTCAAATGATCGATGATAATGTCTTTCAGCACCTTGGCCAGCAGATGGTTCCTATCATGAGCGTTTGGGGGAAAGTCTCGGGGCAACTTGCCTGGCGTGACGGTTTATTAGCCGCACAAGATTGGCGAAGGAAGAGACTTGGACACCTACCGAAGTGATCATCCCTCTCCCCATTTTTGGGTTGTTCCCCGCTTGCAAAAAGTTTTCGTCTCAGCCAGGACTTCTGAGCTACGAAGTACGGATTGCCGACCGCCTTAGCGATGCTGGAAACCAGCATTGTCCATGTCGGGATGGCAATCAGCGACCACAGGACGAAGAATGCCTTTGCAGAGTCGCTTTTCAGAGTCAAATCACCGTAACCAATGACCAGCAAAGAGTTGAAGGCAAAATAGATGGCCTCAAAGTACGACCAGTGCTGTCGGCGCTCCGAGACCCAAAAAATGACAGCGCCGATGAGCCATAAGGTAAACCAGACCGTGGTCCACAGACCGACAGTGTATCCCAAGCGCTTCTTGGCCGACCGAAGTAGTACCCCTTTCATCAGCTCGAATTCTTGACGCTCTTTGGCTTTTCTGTCATTCTCTGGCGCGCCCTCTATAGGCTCGATAGGTACCAAGCCACCATCACCCGGGGAGTGGCTGATGTATTTGGCGTCAGCATTGGGGTTGCCGGCCCGAGCATCTCGTGCTTGGACTTCCTTGATTCGTTCTCGGTCTCGAAGGTGTATCGCCCAGATCTCTTTGCTGCGATTCAGGACCACCGCGGGAATGCAAAAGACGATGAAAAACACAAAAGCGATGCCAAACGCAGCGTACGGAAATAATAACGAGCGCCCAAGGTGCGTCTGAAGAGAGAGGTCGCCGAAACCTATTGTCAGAAGGGTCACGTCTGCCCAATAGACTGCATCGAGATAGCCCCAGCCTTCAACGTGGGAAAATATGATGGCGCCAATCAGAATATACGACATGAAAGCAGTCGTCAGAAACATCAGTTGGTGGTGGCCTTTTGCAAGCTCGACCCGGGAGTCGCGACGAGAAGTCCGAACACGTAGGATTGTCAAGGCGGTGTATATCGTCACCGTTGATGTGATGAAGTACAATATCGCGGCGAAGATGGCGTAGTAAAAAGCTTCATTATAACCATACTGTGGCGTGGACGAGTTTTTGAGCGTGGCACATGCGGCTACCACGAGGCCAACAAGTATGAATGAAGCCATGTCGCCGGCGATGGTGTTGCCAACGATCAATTGGACATTATGTCGCCTCAGAGCAGGGTCTTCGCTTTCCACGAGGAGGAAGACGGAAAGGTTGGCCACGACGCCGAAGGCCAGGGAAATTGCATTGAGAACAATCAACCACGCCGGGTCGGGGACGTTGCCGCTTCCATTGATCTCATGTCTCCAGGGCCTCACCAAGGCGCAGATATTGAGTGCGCTGGCAATAGGGCCAAAGGTCCCTGCGATGAGCGGAAACACGGTGATGGCGAACCACTCTCGTCTATCATGGAGTCAGTCGATTTGACCTGGAGAAAGCTTTATACGTAGTCGTGGTTTCTGCAGACCTCAATACCTCTTCCTTCCTGTCAGGGTCTTCTTTAGCTGAGATCTTGCCCTGCACCCATGCATGGCCTTTGAGATAGCTGAAACTCCGCTGTCTGGTCGGCATGGTCCACCAGGAAGAAAGAAAAAAGTTGCGTTCAAGGTGAGGAATTGCGCACTGCCGGACGAGTCAAGCCTGATCTGGAGTCGAAGGTTCCCTTCGCCATCTAGCTTCTATATTGCTAGACACTCCCAGATCAAGGCGAAACTCTGGTGAAGCACACTGTTTGATTCGATGGGAGCTGTTCGGCGGCTGGCTTAGGGATATTTGTGCGGGAAAGCGATCAAGTTATGGTAATATTGTACCATTGGAATGAGAGTCTGCGGGACACCAAGGCAGCCCGTGGATTGCTGTGCAGTTTGAGGTAAGGACTGGTGCGTACCGAGTCATTTGAGGGCTCTGGAACCCAGAGGAGGACATTGAATATCATGCTGCGATGGATATGTTGCAATTCCCCCGTGTGATGTCTCTGCTGAGGTGGAGTGATGCGTGTTGACTTGTAACACAAAAAGGCGCATATATCCATAAGTCCCAATGCTAGGTCCTCGTACTCGAATCGTTCAGCTACCCTTACACCCCTCCTTCAGACAATCATCAGCGAAAGAGAGCTGCTTACGATAGAGAACTTGGGGAAGTCTTCATTTGGCGGCATTTTTCCATCCAGTCCTTTGACATCCTGACCTTTGCCCATAAAGGGTGAGCACGCCGTAGGTACCTAGGTGAGTACCTTAGGGTGCCTTAAGTACGAGGTACTACTAGGCAGTAGGTATGTTAATGGGGCTTGACATGTTGGCTTGGCATGTTGGCTTGGCATATCGCGTTCTGGTGTCGACACCTGGCATATCCAACTCGTACTCCCTTCTGTCATCTTCAACCCAAACCTTACTGGCCATTCAAAACCGCGTCATGAAGGCCCTCGTAACCATTGTACTCTTTCTGGCCGGTCTGGCCTCTGCTCAATTTCAGTTCTTCGAGCAGTTCTTCCATGGAGGCCAGCAGAACCAAGCGACTCAGGAGAAACAAAATGTCCCAAGTGATTCCAATTGGTATCGCCAGAACTGGGACGGAGGTATGTCTTCTTCCGACTCTATCATGAAACTGAACTGTGCATTACGTTTAATCCTCTCTCCCACCTCACCTAATCACGGTACTGGCTTGATGCATAATATATAAACTCCAAAGGGGTGTGCCGACAGGGTATGGCTGACTGCCCAACCATCTAGCAACCTGCAACAACTATTTGTGTCCGGATACCCTCGCTTGTGTCCATTTCCCGCACCACTGCCCCTGTCCGCATCCCGACGTGGAAGATAAAGTCGAACTGGGGAATGGCATAGCTATCTGCGCCAGCAAAGGAGGTTTCAAGGTCGGCGAGACTGTGCGCAAAATCGAGTTGGCAAGGAAGGGTCTGCTGTGAGGCAGTCGGTAAACCCAGAAGCAGCTGGTTATGCGCCGGAAATTATTCTATAAACGTGCTTCTAGAGCCTTTTCTAGGTGGGTTGCTCTGTCCTGAGCTGTTTGTGGAAACTAATTCTCTGCTTAGACCCTTTGCCCCGAACAGAGTGGAGCTTTTTCAATAGATGACACGATTGTGATGAATGAATCCATGCGCCGAGAAATTCCTCAGGATTTTGCAAGACAAGGACTCATCGAGTACGCAGACTCGTTTGGAAACCCATCGGCATCTTCTAGCATGGCAATCGACAAGCTCCTTTTGCCTCAGCTCCTCGAATTTTCGACTTATCTCTTTCTGGACCAAGATAACAGACGGATTTCCAGGATCTAGGTGGTGCTGCAGAAATGGCGAGCGAGCCGGTTGTGAAATCTATGGCACCGTCTGATACAGGAAATATGTTGTATCTACCATCTTGTGTGGCCGAAGATTGCTCAACACTGACGACATGGCTGCTAGATGTGATATGGGTAGCCATATAAATTACTGTCCTTTGTACGAGTAGATGAGAAATAGGACACCACCGAGTGCGAGGCGGGACTAGCACAGGCTAGCTTGGACTAATCAACAGCTAGTTCCAGCTAGTGAACTGGTCGTGTAAATGATGTTGTCCTTCTCGCCTTCTCCAAACTCACTCCGCTCGGTGACTTGGACTCAGCTTTTCGGCATACACGCAATACATGCCGCCGCCCAGAAACTTTATCTGATAACCGATGCCAACTTCTCTTGAATATTCTGGTGGCCACAGTTCGATCCTCTCTACACAGGCAGGTGCTATGCAAAGCCTCTAAGTCATTAAACCTACCCACCACCGTGCAGTGAGCACAGACCACACCAGTACTTTCTCGTTTCGACCTCGGGTGTTGCAGCTGGTGTGCATGGGGCTCAAAAGCTAGCTTCTGGGTTTTGTGGGCGCATCTAGATTTCCTAGATTGCCAGTGGTTGGAGGTGATGGGCTGAAGGCTCATGGCCCTGACATTTTCTTTCTCCGGGGCGCCTCTCTGATCACACCTATCAAGAGATCCAATTCGGCTTGAGCAAGGCCCTAGGCTGGTCCCCGTCTGGATCGCCTTACAAAATGCAGGAAGAACTTGAGAGTCCGATGGGATCTCCTGGTCCTTCGAATTCCAAAAAGCGAAGATATGCTCGTGTGAGTAGAGCCTGCAATGAGTGTCGCGTACGCAAAATCCGATGCAACGGCCGACAACCCTGTGAGCCATGTCAAGACTTTGAACGTCGTCAGTATCATCCCTAGAAATCCGCTGCTCCTGCTTCAGGCCGCTCACTGCCCATAGATTGTACATTTACATCTACACGAGGGCAACGTATGTCCGGCGCCCCCCGAACGAAAATTCTCGAGGATCGGCTGCGCCGAGCAAGAACCTTGATAACCAGACTCCAGTCCCAGTATCCGTCAACCCAACTCGATGTTGAGGTCAACGGTATCTTTGATTCCCCGCCCGGCTCGCCCACCCCTACCAACGCAGACGCTCTGGGCTCGGTGGATTCGGGCTCTGAAGACCACCTGGAGAACATGTTGGATGGTAAAGGCCGACTTACTTCTACCAAAAACTCCATGGAGTACTACGGAGGCGGTTCAGGATTTGCGTTCCTTCAACAGACGCAGCTGTTGTTCAATCAAGACTCTCCTACGACAGAACTCCGAAACAGCAGCCATCTGTCTCTCGACGCCATGTCCAGGCTCTTCGATTCGCCCCTACCAGACAAACAGGCACTAGCAACCGATATTCCCATCTCAAAGCTGTTACCATCTCGGCAATCAGCCACAGAGCTATTGCATGCCGTGTTTGGACAGACCTATCAATTGCTGCAGTTTCTCCATGAGCCTACTTTTCAGAAACAGACGGACCGAATCTACGATCTTGATCCAATGGACTTTGAAGATTCTGACCATGATTTTCTGCCACTCTTTTACTCAGTAACTGCTCTTGGGTATCTCTTTCATCAGAAGGTGCACTATAAATATGGCTGCAAAGGCGCCGTCAACCAAGCGTGAGTAGAGAAGGAAACCGTTGATTTCCACGATGATGCTGACAACATGCAGGATGCGCCACTTCATTGCGGCTCGCCGAATGGTCGATCTCGATCGTTGCCGTGATATTCCAACTCTCCAGACCTTACTCTGCTTTATTCTTTTCCTGATTTCAACAGCCCGTCTCGCTACAGCACACACCTTCATCGGATTGGCTGTCGCAGCTGCCATGAGGATGGGACTGCACTCTCAGGCCTCCTGCGAAGGGCTTTGTGAATTAGAAAAGGACGTCCGACGCAGAACATTCTGGACGATCGTCAAGCTGGACATCTACAGTGGTACAGTCCTTGGACTTCCAGGGATGATCAAACTTGATTATGTGGACCAGCCCAAGCCAAGTGGCCACATTCACGACTATGCGAATGAGGACGGAGGTGGTTTTGCCTCTCTGAGCACCAGGCGGATGTTTGCAGCTTCGGCGCAATATCTAGAGATCCTTATGATTATGAGCAAAGTGGTGCAGAAGTTATATCCCAAGACTGACTCAGAGGCTCACCGAGTGGGAGAATCAAAGAAGATCTATGTCAGCAACGCCACTATACTCGAGATTGAGAACGAATTCAAAGCTTGGAGAGACGGGTTGTCTGACTCCCTTGGTTTGGCCGAAGACAACAGCAACGCCAGCAGGTAAAGAATACTCGATAATCGTTTTTTGTTCCGCACGTGGCGCTGACTACTGAAAGCATCGTTTACGAGTTGGAGATGGTCCACAATTTCGGTTACATCCTGCTTTATCGGCCTTTTCTGCATTATTTAGCAAGGGCAAAAAGTGAGAATCCTCCCGACCTACGACTTTTGCGATGTGCTGCGTGCTGCGTCAAGATATCTAGGCTCACCATTTCCCGTTCCAACGAGATGCTACAAAAGGGGTTCCTTGCTCCAGCTGCATGGCAGTCGGTGTACACGGTGTTTTTGTCGCTAGTCACATTGATCTTCTTTCTTGCTACACAGCACGGCAACAAGGACTATGCCGTCATCCAGCAGGAGACTGAAACAGGGGTCCGAATCCTTGCCAGGACTTCTTGCCAAGATATTGGTTCGAGAAGATGTCTGGACGTTTTGAGAGTAGGTTTATTGGCTGTGACTGAGGTTTTGGCATGCTAACATCATGTCCCAGGTGCTTACCAAGAGGCTCTCGCACATGATCGATCTAGAAATCGACGAGATCACAGCAGGAGTTCAGATATACTGCCAAGCTAGCAACGAGGACACGGCTGTTCCGAAGTCAGAAGTGTATTCCACTGACACCAATCTTGCTCTGCTGGACCGTTTCGGAGGAAGGAGCATGAACGAGACGCCGACCATTCCAAACAACCAACAGTTTGTGTTCCAGCCTTCATCCGGAACCCTGCAAGCTACTCCGTCGCGCAGTCTGCTCAGTACTGCACCAATTTATTCTTCCGAATCAATGGCCTATCCAGCTCAAACGTCGACATGGGAACAAGTAGCAGGATGGCCCAACGCGGTAACCAGTCCCTATCTCCCAAGGCCATCCTTGAGTCAGGCTTCCCCTCCAGCGCCCATGGACGTCGCTGAATCCCTTACACATTCCGACATGGAAGTGCCGTACACTGAAGGGTTCGCATGGCCGTTCCAAGTGACAGCACACCTGGGGGATGGACGTCATAACAGTGCTGATCCATCGCAACCGCAACCGGAAACTCATGGACTTACACCTCAAGATATTGCTGCCTTTATGCGAATTAATCCTGGAGACGAACCATTCCTCTAGATCTGGGAAGTTATGGGCGTCGGTCAGGTCCATGAAAGGAGACTTCGTAAGGAGATCAGCTGGTAGTACCGAGTATTCGTCGAGCAACCAATGTTCCGAACAAATTCTAGATCAAAAGCCTGGAAAGCAAGCATCTGGAAATTATGACGTTCGTTTTTGTTTCTGGCATGCGGTTTTGGTCCCATGATCGATGAGCATTGCCAATGAAGGACATGTTTGCCGCCCTTCTACCGTGCGGAGGGTCATGGCGGTCATGAGGCATGAGGTTGTTCCATCTTGGTTACATAGGCCCTCTGCGATCTGCAGCCCTATGGAATATTCGATGAAGCTTCTATGAAGAAGCGGAAAGCCTCGGCTCACAACACCCAGAGCATTCGCACAAAGTAGCTGGACATCCCGTCTTTACTGCTGGGGTTGCTTTTGTCGACAAGGCAAACCGGGCGCCGGTTCGATTGTTCCTGTGACCATTATTGAACCAGGTTTAATACGAACACGATGCAGGGATTCGCGCCGACTAAAGACCCTGCTCAACCATCGGAATCAAGGTGCCGAGTCGTGTAACAGGACGGTGGATCTCAAGTTCTCGACCAAGCCAAATAGACCCCTGTGCCTTGTGCCGCAGTTCCTGTCTCTCCCGATGCTGTTGGCTGGACTCAAGGCGGGCTGGGCCCCCTTCTTCGAGCACTGCCACCCGCCAAAAGTGAGGCTACAGGGACGCGGGGAGGCGGAGATGCTCCAAACCCCAGGCCTCGCACTCCTTGTGATACCTTGAAGCACCAATATGCCCTTCGAAGTCAGGTTTCTGCCTATCCATCCTCTCTGGCATCATATGGACGACAGTAAGATTGTTGAAAATAGCCACATAGTTCGCTATTCTATGTCTATCGACGCTATATCAACATTTTGGTGGTTACCAAATCAATGACCGTCATGGATCCGTTTTCTCTCGCCCTGGGTGCTCTTCAGGTAGCTGCTGCCTGTGTTTCATGCACCAGTACTGTGATCAAGATCTACGGGGATATCAACTCCATCGACGCTCGAATCCGGTCTTTCTGCGATGAAGTGGCGGCTCTGCGAGCAACTTACGAGGGACTTGAGAAGAGCCTGTCTTCTCCTCCGCTGGCAGAGGCTGTGCGCGTGGCTAATAAGACCGACGACGGCGCTCATTTGTGGAAACAAATCAAAGATGCACTTGAAGATTCCAAGAACACCATGAAGCGAGTAAATGAGATCCTTAACCAGATCCTTAAGCAGACAGGCAAAATATCTGGATTTGTACGTAAGGTGAAGGCTCATTTACAAGAGAATCTCCACAATGGCGAGCTGTCTCGGCTTCGCCAGCGCATCCAATTCTTCAATTCGGCCTTGTCGCTGCCCATTCAGATGGTCTGCGTCATGCTCCAGCTTGAACAAAGAGGAATAACAATCGAGCATCAGACCTCACTGGATGCGAAACTTATCGCGCTCGAACGGACCATGAAGGCGCTCATCCAAAGTCTCAACTCCCCGTCCCGTCTGCAAACGCTGGGTGGTTCCACAATTGCTGCTACGGAGACAATGCAATCGGGCCAAGATGATGGAATGAAAACTTATCTTGCCTTTGCCAAACAATTCTTGAGCACCGCTTCCGCTGCTGCCAGCACGAGATCTTCGTTGAGTACAATCTCCCCAGCGATCGAGCCTGAAGCCCTTTGTGAGGTATCTAAGAGCCCTTTCAACGAGACGTCACTTCCAACAGATCGCAGAGATCGCGTTGAGGGCTGGATACAACCCCCTTCCCCTTCGACTCTACAGTCAGGCGGTTTCGCTCGACAGGCTTCTAGGTCTGGCAGACGAGATACAGAAGCTGCCTCCGAGGTTGAGTTCCTGCGAGCCCAAAACCACTTGAAATTGGGTCAGGAGACTTTTGAAGAATGCGAATATACAAAGGCAGAGCGGCATTTCCGCAAGGCTCTGGCTTTAATGGAGCGGCACGATTTTGAGGGCAGGATATCTTTCCAACCTGCAGAGGTTGTTCTTATGCTAGCTGACTGCTGTCGGCAGCAAGAGAAGCTGGATCAAGCGATCGAGTTGCTGGAGCCGGTTGCAGCCTTGCGCAGTGATATCTTCCCAGGCGAATCGAAGCATCAGACCTGCTCAAGCGAAGCGCAGGCGTTGCCCCATCCGATTCCTGACAAACTGCAATCATTGGCGGCGAGTCACATGCTGGGACGTGTGTTTATCTTAAAGAGCGATTTCGATGCCGCGGAGGAACATGGGCTACGAGCTTTCATGGAGCGCAGAAAAGAACTCGGGCCGCAGGACGAGAAGACACTAGAGTCTGTGCAGTTGATTATCGATATCTACCGAGCGCGAGGTGAAGACGGTGACGAAGAGGAAGCCGAAGGTTACGAGGTGTTCCTGTCGCCGCCCGAGAAGGTGACACCCACGCCTTCCACCGAGAAGCTCTTGAGCAAGGTTGAAGTCCTTCAACTCAGTCCAGCGCTAGTATCACCGGAGCCAACTCCGGCTCCAGAAGTGCAGAACAACCATCGACCTAACCTCATGAACCGACTACTGCATCGCGGTCGTCTTTCTCAGTCAGATTCAGCTTACTATCTGCCGTCGGCAGAATTTCCCAAGCTATCCATTTCCAAATCCACACCATTGACCAGTCCACAGGATACTGACTCGGCTAATCCATCTGCGTTTCGAGGGTTGAACTCGCCCTCGGAAACGTCCACGTACGATCGGTCTGGATCTTTCAATGACGATAGCTCAATAACAAGCCCGGGAAGTGCGAAGCTCGAACGATCTTCTTCCAGCAAAACTCTTGAGCCAACTTATCAAGCTATAGCAGATCTGTGCAGTGAGAAAAGACTCGATAAAGCGGCAAAGGTTGCCATCCAGTATCTGAATACCTACCAGTCCAACTATATGGTCATCCGAAAGCCGGAACTCAAGGACAATATCCGCAACGGGACTGGGTATGGACTCGCCAGGACAGGGCGAGGATACGCACCTCTACATTTCTTCTGCGAGCTGAAAGAAGAATATGCTGAGGAGGTCAATCTATTAATCAAACATGGTGTGGACGTCAACGCCATTGCTTTTCAAGCCGGCTATACCCAGTCAAATCCTAAAGATCCTTTCACCGCCCTACAGCACGCCACTGAGAGGGGCTTCTCCACCATCACATGTCTGCTCCTGGCAACAAATGGCATTAAGACTGACGTGCGCGACCCGGATGGGTACACACCGCTGATGGTGGCTTGCAGAAAGGGCCATCATAACATCGTCAAGCAGCTGCTGGAATTTCCACTGCCAACAGAATTCCCAGCAACCTGGCATGGAAAAACACTTCTTCACGACGCTGCGAGACGGTGCGACCCGGTCCTAGTCGAGATACTGTTGGAACATACCACTTTCATCGACGAACGAGATCGGTTCAGCAAGACGGCGTTGATGCACGCAGTGGTCAAAGCAGACATCGCCGATCGCTCGGAGAAAAGACGTCGGGTTAAGGGCAGGTGTCAGACGGTGCGAATCTTGCTGGAAGCCGGAGCTGACCCTACACTTCGGGACCACAGCACAAATAAGACGGTACGAGACTATGCCGTGGAAGAAGACGACGCCGAGTTGTTGATGCTGCTGGGCCAGATACCCAGAGCCGGTATCAGTGAGCTGGTGGCATGAATTTCTGCTTGTTTCAGCCCATTTTCACGTACTTTGGATCCATGGTTTGATCTTGGAGAAAGAGCGTTGCAGCTATATTGCATCCATGTAGTAAACAGAACTTCTTGAATACCAGCAGCGTCGGATGGAAAGTCTATGGAAGACATGCACCGCCACAACCCGCGCCACAATTAAATGACATCATCTTGTCTTCAAGGGTGGCGTGTGGCACAGTGACGTCCAGCATGTGGCAGCTGCATGGAAATGTGGGAAGTTGCGCGGGTCAAAAGCTGAGCCTCAGTTTCATCCTGTTTCTTTGCCTGCAGCCTTGATAAGAAGTGAAACAGCACGCGCGCACCTTTTCTTCTCAACACTTCTTCAACCTTGCATTACGAACTCAACTACTTAGGTACCTAGTCACTTATACCTCAGAGACTCAGCTACAATGTCGGACGCGATCCCAGCCCTTCTCGTCATCCTTATCACAATCCTTTGTAAGTCCGGCCTACAATCTCGCATAGTGCTGGCGCGTCATGCTGGGCCACTGTTTCCGGTTGTATCAGCTCTCAGTCGTGTCCTCGTGCTAACTTTGAGTACATAGTGCCTCCCGTGGGCGTATACATGGTCGCAGGCTGCGGCGCCGACCTCTTTGTCAACATTTGCCTGACGCTCCTTGGTTACATCCCTGGCCACATCCACGCATTCTACGTCGAATATGTATACTTCGATCGGAGGGACAGGGCGAGACACGGACAGCTGACAGGTCGTCACGCACCGGGAGTGTATAGCGAGAGAGTGCAGTCAGGCGGGAATATGGGGTACGGGACGATTTAGGAATCCGGTCATCGACCCAGGCCGGCTGAATGAGGCGGGGAGAGGCAGGTTGCTGGGAGAAGAGACTTTGGAAGGACGCTGGTCCGGAGAGGTGCCGTACGACGATTGTCCTAACAAAGGGGGTCAGTGACCTTCCTTGAGAGGAATGACTGAAGCAATGACAAGCAAAGCGGAACCCGGGGACGCTGTGGCATGTAGGAATATGAGCACTCGATTCCAGAACACCGCGCTAAGATTGAATTGTATCTGTACAATACGTTGAACGACTTTGTTTCCATTGGCCGCGGGTGGAGGCCGACTCAAGATCGTCTCTCTTGCATGCGATGGATGCAATGCCACAGCTGAACGGACAATTCAGGAAGTTAGCAACCTGCCCTTTCTAGATATTTATTACTTGAAAATCCTAAGATTCAGGCGGCCGAGGTGCGACTAAGTCGGCAAGGAGCTGGCAGAAGTGACGGCCTAGTAAGCTTGCTTTGGCGGCCCTGAAGAGCGGTATTCCATCGCTCCTCCATCTCGCCGTTCTTGTAGCGTGATAGGCAAGCAGCAGGGGCCATCAGGGCTAGTGAGGCTCAATCAACCGCCGCCCCGACTCCCACTGGGACCCAAAAATACTGGCATGTCCAGGCCATTGTGGGTGATTGTGGCCCCTATGCTAAGTATAAGCCTCTGAGGCTGACACGACTGGCTTGGAATTGGCTTATGATCCCTGCACGACACGCTACACAACATGTCCTGTTTCACCTTGCACACTTTCACAGATGTGCGATCCTACGAGCACCATGACTTCCAGCATTTATACATCGAATCCAAGCCTTGACACTTTGTGTTGGACAGAACCACAAGACACCAGCTGTCTCGGATTCAGCTGGTCGAAGGATGACCGACTTCATTGAGCTGTCCAGTCCCTATGGCTCCAGTCCCTACGGATCAGGGAACAAATCTCATGGTCGAACTTCAATTCGGACACTCGGTTCACTTCATCGCAAGTCGGGCTCCGGCCAGTACAATCCGATTTTGACTCCACAGGAAGAGCAGAGCAGCGATGTCTTCACAAGGCGTGTGGATAAATTGCCATCGACGACGACCCTTCCTCCAAGCAGAATAGGGAAATTTGGGACGGACCTGCTCGTCGAAATAATTGTCTGTACCTTCGCTGTTCTGGTCTCAGTGCCTTTCATGTGGCTGGCCATCACTATGGCACACTTTGATGGACAAAGAGTGACAGAGGCAAAGACAAATTACATCAAGCAAGCAACAAGCACGGTTCGCATGGCACCAAAGCGGTCAGCCGGGAATAGTCATTGACCGACACAGGCTTCCACCCTCTTCACTATTCTTTTCGCAGCCGTCTTGGGCACGGCGCTCAAGCGGTTCGCAACATGGCGACTTGAGAAAGGCATCAAACTCGGTCTGCTCGAACAGATCATGCAGAGCCGGACCTTCTTCGCAGCTGTCACGACCCAAGTGGCCTTCCCGGCCATCAACTTCACTGCCTTGATCTTACTAGCAAGCTGGGTTTTTTTCACCGCTAGGATCACAAGCAGCCCTACGTCTGGTCAGTACCGGTCGGGATTACACAACAAATTCCGGTATAGTCAGCTATGTCGACACGATCACCAATCAGGTCTTCAGCTCGGTTTCAGGAGTCGACTCATTACTGACTTCACTTAAACCAAGTTACATCAGCTCGATCCTTGGTCCGACCACTACGAAGAATGGCACAATGGACCTCTTTGGTGGTGTGAAGATACCATGGCTGCAAAACAATCTTGACAAGGACGCCGATGGTTGGACGACACTATCCCGGGCGGATATGACAGAAGGCTCATTCTCAGCCCTTGTCGGTGTGCCGATTGCATCTCTGGCAAATCAGAACTCGAGCTTCGTCATCGAAACGACGTACATGAATCTCGATTGCGACAAGCCTCAAGATCAGAAGGAGATCAATATCAACTTCAACGTGACATCTGGGAATGGCACATTCCTGGGGCCCAACACGACGGTCAGCTCGGTGGATGGCGTTGGTGGCATATACCCAGTTTGGCAGGTGGCCATGAACCAATTTGTGTCTGATGATTATTACTTCTATGGATATCCGGAGCAGCTGGTCAATGTCACTGATGCCAACCTACCACAGGCTACTTTCCTCTTCCAAACTCGTGGACCATGGGTGGCAAAGTGCCAAATCAACCAAGTCTACCTTGAATCGAACATTTCATGTCAGTCGGTGCCTGATTCAGAACTTCCTGTCTGCGCCGTCGCGGCCCAGCGGAATTCACCAAACAAGCATGCGCCGTCAACGGTAACGACACTCAGCTTCCCCAGCACTTTCTCGTACCTTGCGCAGACTTGGATTCTTGCGACCGACCCTCTGCTCAGTTCAGGCTACTCCTCTCTGGCCGAGTACTACCTACAAAACACATCCGCTGCTTTCATTCTAAGCGGCAATGAACGCGAGTATGCCGATTATTCGGATGTCACCGCCCTCCAATTTTCCCAACGACTCGGCCAACTCCTTAACACTTGGGTACTTTCGAGCCAAGTCTCCGCCGACACCATGCAGTATGGCTTGAATCACAAGAACACCACCGCTTTCTACAAGGAAGGATTCGATATTTACGTTGTGTCGTGGGCATGGTTGGGCGTCTATTGCGCATCGATTGGGGTGATGCAGATTGCAGCGTTCTGCACCATTTGGTGTGCATACCACACGACTATTCCCGACGTGCTTTCATTCTGCTCGTCTCTGACCAGAGATTCGACTTACTTTGATTTCGCAAAAGGTGGCAGTGCACTGGATGGGATAGTCAGGGCGAGGATGCTGCGGGATGTCGAAGTCAAACTCGGTGAGGTAGTCGGTCAGCAAACCAATGATGGATTCCGCAATGACTTTGTCAACGACATCGGCAACCGGCCTGGCGAGCGGATGGCGGCTTTGGCTGTAGCACCGCCAGAGTATTTGCGTAATCCGAGACGCGGAATGTTGTATGCCTGAGGTCGGGTCTAATTTCTACGGTTGTATACCTAGGTAATATAGATAATGAGATAAACGAGGAATGTAGCAACGGATCCATGACCAGGTCACCGGCTGGAACAGATCTAAAATGCGCTGCTCTCCGTAACAGATGCTGGCTCGCTAGATGGTCGACCGTACAGCCTTGTCACGTGACTACCTTGGCAAACGCGAACAACCGCGTCACGCGTTTCTTCCCCATCGTGCCCTGAAAGCCGTCTCCAGTGATCCAATTCACTCACGGTTCGAAACGCCAACTGCACTGCCCTTTTGACAACAAACTAGCAGCGATTCTCAAGCCGGGGAACTGAAAACGTGCAAACTATCTGTTACTGTTTTATTTGTTGATGCATCATTCTGTACATCATCATGGACGTGGACGTCGCTGCTGCCCCGCCACCTGCTCCTTCCTTCCCAGCTGCCCAGCTCACTCCCTCCAAGAAACGCAATCATGAAGGAGAGATCGTCAACCACCCCGTTTTCCTCACTTCTCCAGCTGGTCTGCAGAGCAGTCCCCTGACTGCCGACGACTCCCGCTGTGGAACACCGAACTTTAGTGCACGCAGTACTCCATTGACGGAACTCGGTGCTACTCCTGTCCTTAGCCCAGCACAGCCGTCCACCATGGCCCCGGCCAACGGCAAGAAGCGGAAGGCGACGTTTGCCGAAAAGGAGGCCGACAAAGCAATCAAGCTGGCCGAAAAGGAAGAGAAGGAGAGACTGAAGGCGGAAGCCAAAGCCAAAAAGGACGAAGAGAAGAAACGTAAGGAGGACGAGAAAGATGCTGCTCGTAAAGTGAGAGAAGAGAAGAAACAGGAAAAGGAGGCCGAAAAGCAACGTAAGGAAGCTGAAGCGCTGAAGAAAGAGAGAGTAGGTTTCAGGTCTCACTACAATATGGCTTCAGATGCTAACCTCCTGCCTAGTCACAAATGAGACTCGGTGCATTCTTTGCTCCCCCGCCCGTTGCCTCAACACCTCCGGCTAGTGACTTGAGGGATGCCTCTCGTGGCACGACGCCTTCCAGAAGAGGATCGATCACGTCTGTTGACTTGGAACCACCTTTGGACGAGATCAAGGCATCGCCATCAAAACGGACGAATTCCGGCTACAACGAATGGATTCTACCTTTCTTTGTCAAGGAGTATATGGAAGTCGCACCATTCAACCGATTCCTCTCGAACAGAACTGTATTCGACAAGGATGTCCTGGCCTTCAACCAAGGCGTCACTTCGGAGAAATTGAGAAATCGATTCCGCAGACGCCCTCGCGTCCGACCTGTGAAACCTGTCAAAGAAATCTTGGACGAGATGAGTGGCCCCGAAACTGCTCCGATCGACCTTGCGAACCCTGCAAACATTTTGGCCGACCTTCCTTACAAGTATTTGTTTTTCCACGAAGATGTTCGACCTCCCTATCACGGGACATACACGAGAGTTGTCTCACCACGAAGTACCAGAAAGCTTGCTATCAATTCTGCCCATCGCGGGCTGCCGGACACGAACTATGACTATGACAGTGAAGCAGAATGGCAGGAACCTGAGGAAGGAGATGAGGAGGTGCTCGAAGACGACGAGAAATCCGAAGATGAGGACGGTGACGAAGAAATGGGAGACTTTCTCGATGACGAAGGAGAGGTTGCCAAACGTCAGTTGATTGTCGGTAATATGGAACCCAAGTGCAGTGGGCTATGCTGGGAAGGTGGAGACAGTCAACCTCAAGATGGCTTCGATTTGTCCTCATTTCGTATGGACGTTTTGCACGACTCGACAGTCTTTCCGATCGATCCATACTCGACGATGCACTGGGCAGATATGGGGAAGAAGAGCCCGGTCAAGCGGGAGGAAAAGCTGCAGACTCTATCAATGCAACCCCCACGTTTACCGCTGGTGGCAGTCGACCCGAACACTTCGGTTTCTCAGTCTGGGCTTCTGAAGTTCGCACCAAGCGACCGACAATTGGAGAACCAGGGTCAAACGTCCAAGTTGAAGGCGACTACTGCTTCTGGTAAGCCAGTCAAGACTATTTCGCCAGATTTGATGCCAGCGTTCAGGGAAGCAGTGTCCGGCACTACGTTGACAAAAACTGGGTTAATTGAGGTGCTGAAGAATCAGTTTCCAAAATGTGCGAAGGATGCTATCAAAAATACTCTGGAAGCAATTGCAGAGAGAAGAGAGAAGAAATGGGTATTGATTGGTTGAGAAAGCAGGAAACTGGTTGCAGGTGGGCAAGATGGCTTTAAAGAAGGAATGAACGAGATGAGGTGACCGATGCTGTGACGAGAAGCGAATGGGCTGAGCATCTTGAACCCTGCATCCGACAAAATGGCCTGTATGAGGCTTACAGTCGCCGGATGTTGCATTCAATACAACCTGGAGAGTATGGGAGGGCTAGAGGACCAGGAGCCACAGATAGCTCCAGCTGGGTGCCAGCCACAATATAATAGTATCGAAGACCTAGCGCCGGTCGACCCAGCTTCTACTTGATCGAAATATTTATTGCTATTAGTTGGCAGCCTCCCCTTCAAGCACCTCTTGAGTCTTGTTGAAGTTGTAGCTCAACAAGGAGACGAATACGCTTTCCGCTTATCAGCGCTGATGGCGTGTGGCTTGTCAAATTGTGGACCTCTCCTCTTTCCTTGTACCGGCATTTCTACATCCAACATTTGATATCTGAAGCGGCTTACGCGAGTACCACCCTGTGGAAGAGATGCCGGAAAGAAGAAGAAAAAACCAAAGGAGTTAACACGAACGATAGGAAGGGCTCTCGAGTGGGCCAGGCAGCTACTTAAGTAAGAAGAGACAAGACGAGGACATATCGACATACGTACTCGACATTCCCTATTCGACGGTTGAGTCACTCTCGTCTATAATCTCTACACTCTCCATATGTAACTCGGCACTGAGTTGTGTTCCTAAAACTGCCTATCTATCAGATTCGTGTTACCGCGAGAACATGGGCGACGCCGGGTCTCCTCCCCCGTCCTCACCCTCACGCTCGGCTTCGCACCAACCCCTCCGCGCCGGCCTCCCCAGCACCAACCCAACCAAGTCGTTCTGGCAGACCTCCTTCCCCAACACTCTGGCCCATCATCGCTCGACGCCGGAGCTCCCCACCCACGCGGACGTGGTCGTCGTGGGGACGGGGATCAGCGGCACTTTTGCAGTGGATGAGTTGGTGAAGAACGACGGCCTCACCGTCCTGGCTCTCGAAGCCCGCACGCTCTGCTCTGCCGCCACGGGCAGGAACGGCGGGCATTTGCAGCCCCTGATCCACAGTGCGCCGGCACACATTATTGATTTTGAACTAAGAAATTTTCATCACGTCGAGGCTTTGGCGTTGAACGGGCTTCCAGAGGGTGATGATGACAGTGACGAGGACGATGAGGGTCACGGCAAAGGCGATGGTAATGAGTCTCAGGAAAAGACAGCTTCCTCGCCATCATCATTATCACCCTCTTGGTGTGATTTTCGCAGACTCGAAGGGTGTCTAGGGTTCTGGAACGAGGAGTATTTCAACGACGCGAAGCGAGATCTCGCCGCTACTGCTGCCTCCCATGTAGCGAGGGACGCGGGCAATTACAAGAGCAAGAATATGCCCGGCGAGGACCACACCTACGCCGGCTTAGCTAGAGTTGTCGACGACCCCAAAGAGCTGGAGGCGCTGGGATTGAGGACGCAGAGCGGCGCGGTCGGCGCCATCGTCCAGAGCGTGGCCGCCAGTTTGAGTCCGTACAAGCTGTGCGTGGGCCTGTGGAGGAGTCTCCTCGGCAGATTCGAGCAAGAGGATCAAGCAGCCGGCATGGAAAGAACAAGGAATATTCAAGAACCCTTGAAGGCACGGGCGTCGAGACAGAGACACAGGCTGAATTTGCAGACAGATACACCTGTCACAAGGCTGGAGAGAGGAGATGGTGGATGGATAGTCCACAGCCCCCGCGGCAGCGTGCACACTCACACGGTCGTCCTCGCCACAAACGCATACACGTCCCACTTGGTCCCGGAGTTCGCGCCCTTGATCCGTCCCGTGCAGGCGCAGATGTCTGCTCTCGTCCCTCCTCCATCGTCTTCGGGACATTGCAACACCAGCAGCAGCAGCAGCGGGAGTGAGGTAGGGAATCCGCACAAGGAAACCCACCGTGAAGGAGGGACACGGAAGCTGATCCCCATGAGTTACGGCTTCATGGGCGTCGGAAGCATGGATCGCGTCATGAGCGATTACCTCGTTCAGAATCCGTATATTACCACCAGTACCAGTACCAGTACCAGTACTAGTCCCAATGCTGGGGGAGGCCATCTCATGTTCGGCGGCGGCCGACACCTCTCCCTCCACCACGGCGAGGGCGTGTGGGACGACGACTTTGTGGACAAACCCGTCGAGCGGTACCTGCGCAGCCTGCCCGAGCGACTTGACCTGAATCTGGACCTCGACACACGCGATAGTGGGGCTATGTATGGCCAGAACCACAACCACCTGCAGAACGAGGCCGGATCACCTTCTTCACCGTCATTACGGCCACCACCATCATCATCATCACAGCTGCTAGACATCGCAGCCTCCTGGACCGGCATAATAGGCCACTCGGCCGACGGGCACCCGTGGGTCGGCGCCGCGCCACAGCCAGAGCACGCCGGCATATTCGTCTGCGCGGGCTACACGGGCCACGGGATGACGAATGCGCCGCTGTGCGGAAGGGCCGTGGCGAGGAGGGCGGTGAGGGCGCTGCGGGACATGAGAGCCGGTCGCGTCGACGCGATGGAGCAGGATGAGACTACAGAAGAGGATGTAGATTTGGATGTACCGCCAGAATACCTGATAACCCGCGAGCGGATCGAACGAATCGAGCGTGTCGTGCAAGCTTATTCTGCATAAGAAAAGAAAAAAAGGGGGGGGGATGAAAGATACGAGGGAACGAGGGAATTGTGATGAGAAATGAATGATTGATGTATTCGAACGCGCCGAAGAGGAAGAACGATCATTGCAAGGTCGAACAAACATTTTTGCTACAATCAGCCAACGAAACGACGCAAAGATTCAACCCTGCGCTCTTCGAGAACACCCCGTCGCCCATCTCCTCGTCGCCATCGCCATCGCCGTCGCCATCGCCATCGCCATCGCCATCGCCTTGTCTTACGGAAAACTCTCATCTGCGTCTGCCCAAAACTCCAGCCATGCCTACACGTGCGTCTGGGTCGGATTCCTTTTAATTTGGAAATAAAGTGGTGACTTGTCTCGTCTCGTCGAACCCTCATGTCGCCCTCCATAACCCTTCCTCTTCGGTGCCATTGCTTGCTCCACCCCTCATGACCTTTTCACAAGACGTGTCTCGGACTGCGCAAGACGGTCAGCCGTAACACCTCCATGCCCTTGCTTCTCGCTATGACCGGTGCTCGATATCCCTTCTCATACTGTGACCCTACCCCAGAAAACTCCCCATCCCACTATCCCCCCAAAGCGGCGCCTGCACATACTCCGCTGCCCTCTCGTGCATATTACCAAAATTCCAATCTCCCGAACTCCCCGTGCTGTCAGGCGTGATGGGTCCCAGCGACGACCCCATGTTTGCGAGGGTGGTACCACCGCCGAGCCCCAGGATTGTATTGCTGGTATTGAGTGACGGTGAGTATGTCTCCTCCTGGGCACCTGAGAGCGGCGGGTACTGAGACGACCGTGATTGTATTGTCGGTGATGATGAACTGGTTGCCAAGCCAGATGAAGTCCCAATAAAATGATTCGACCCTGGTTGCCCATATGTGATACCTGGGAATTTGTTCGTGTTTGATGATCTCGGTCCCGCCAATGCAGCGTTCAATTTGCCCAACGCGTTGAGTGATTTGGCCATGCTGCGCGCCCAATGTGGAGACTCTGCAAGTGGTGGTGGATCTTCCTGAGAGAAGCGGCGATTAGCCTCGGGACTCGCATCCTGAGGGAGATCGAATGTCGGATCTTCCTGCGTACGTTGCGAGACGACGGCCTCCAACTCTCGCAGGAGAGACAATCGTCGCGTGTCACGACTTGTCTCGGGAAGGGTCCCTAGCAGGAAAGCGGCGGAGATGGAGCGTTGGATTCCGATCCAGGATCGGGCTGCGAACTTGCTCAAGCCATGCAATTCCACGTAAGCCTCGACTGTACCCTCCAAGCTCTGCACACACAGAGTCCGAAACTGAGCAACGGCCGCTGCATCGAAAGAATTCGACCTTGGAGACTGAGCAGTTGTGCCCGAAGTCCTCCGCCGACTGCCAGGGGGCGACTGGACAGGTGTCAAGTTATCACCTGGAGGTGGAGGTGGAGCTTTCAGCGCAGGCCGGCACAGCTCACTCGTGATATAGCAGCTGTGGAGTTTCAACGCGAGACGTTCAAGGTGTTGTGTCATTCTATAGCAAAGGTCACGATTCCGGAGGTGGGCGGCACCTTGTGACACGATGCTATTGATCTCTTCGGTGTACTTCTGTATTCTATCCCAGGTCATGTAAGATCGAGGATGTAGCAGACGCTCACGGATGATTTCCTGCGTCAGTCGGATAATGGCGAACATGCTTTCCGCGTAGCTCCGATCACCCGGAGAACTAAACTTGCCGTAAGGGATATCTGGAATACACAGGACGCTCGAGGTAGGCCGATCGTAGCTGACCGCGAAATGGGAATCTTGCCAAGCAAGGGCCCACCAGATTCGTCGACGAGTCCATTTCTCGGCATCTGTGAATTGTTGCGAATTGATCTGCAATCCAATCGAGAAAGCCATGCGTAGCGTCATGCCCAGGAAGATATACGCCACCCCGGGATTCATGTTGTAGGACAGAACGTTTCCAATAATCAAAGAGGCTTCAATAGTCTCCAGGCAAGGATGTGTCAGAAAGTTAGACATGCGAAGCGCCTGATAGGAACAGCAGACTGTGATCTAGGGTTAGCCAGAAGCCTTGTTTCGTCGTGTTTGTCGCGACCCTTACTGTAGACTTGAGATGTGAGTTCTCTCTCTTTTGCAGGCCGGTCCGATGACTGGGACCCGGACGCAAAGACAGCAAACACCAGTGACAGCCAGGGCAAGGTTACCCCATACGGCTTGTTGGGATCCAGTTCGAGGTTGTCGCGCAAAGCACGAGCGCGGTTAGAAAGCATATAGTGCAATGTGTCCTCGAAGCTGGAGGTATCCGGAACGACGGGGTATATGGTGCAGGCGATATCGCGGTAAGCGACGAAGAATCTAGAGCAAATTAGTGATCAGTCGATTGGATAGCAGGAAGCAACTCACTCATTGCACAGCTCGTCATCTGGAATGGCCTTGCACAGACCATTCACATCTTGTATGCTTGAATCAGTACTCCACAAGTCGACAAATGGATAGGTAGCGCTCTCGTTATCCAGTCCAAGCTTTGGGAGAATGTTTTCTTCCAGCAAGGATTTCGCAGTGTCTTGAGCCGACCTGCTCCGGCCAAGTCCCATCATGTAGGCTAGAACGGACCTCGAACCCAGATGCATTGTGCCCATCTGATTACTGGGAGCATGAATTCCTTCTCTCTCAGTCTCGTCCCCACGGCTATGTGTCCCAGTAGGGTTTGGGTCGTCCAATTCTGCCTGCACCAAGGCCGGAGACAATTCTTCAGTTTTGACTACCACACCACGCAGTTGCTGCAGTTCTCTGTTCAGTCGCTCCCATTGTTCCCGCGGCACCGTAATGTTGGGACCAGTCTGTTGCTGGATTGGGCTTTCGGACCCAACGCCGTCGTGTTGGGCCAAGGCACCACTCAGGGCAATACGCCGCTTCTTGGTTGGTCGCTCATAGGAACACAGCTCAGGGTGATCTCTCTTGACACAGGAGTCGCAGGGCAGGTTCCTATCACACTTGACCTTCCGGCGATGGCATGCATAGCACGCCTTAGGGTCCCGCACCTTTCTCTTGTTGCGGATGATCGCGTCTATCTCTTCCTGAGCCATTTCAATCCTCCCGTCTGGTCCAGGTTCCAGGATGGGGTCGTCGATATAGTCTCCGCCGGCAGAATCTGCCGTGGAGGCGCGTTGGTTGGGGTCCATGCTAGGTTGGTGGAGGGCGAGACACGGGAGAATGTGAGGATGCGGGAGCTGAGCTTAGGAGACGTGTGGCTGGGTTTTCCACCTCTACAGGAGCATGGCCATCCGCGGGAGATCGAGCTGGAGAACCTCCTCAGGCGCCGGAGAGGAGCAGTTGAGAGGGACAGCGAGAACAACAGGTTGTGCGGGATTGAAAAGAAGGAACGGGCGAGCAAGTGACCCTGTAAGTAGTACTAGTCGTGGTGGGAGGGTCTCTTGGATTTCCTCCTCCCCCCGCCTCCGAGTCAGTTCGGCCTCCAGAGCCAGTTCCCCGAGAGAAATCTTCAACGGTGACTATTTGGGACTAGCCTCATCCCGTGCTTTCTTGGCCACAGCCTTGTTGCTGACATTATCAGGTGGTCCAGCCTTGCCACCATTGCCACTCAGATATGGATTTTTCAGTGGGGGAATCCGTCTTTGTTAGTTGCTCAAAGCCCAGCTCGCGACATAAGAAGTCCTTGACAGTCGTCCCTAAATAGAAAGACTTCTAGTTTTGCATCCTACGACCCATCCGGATCATCATGCACCTTGCCGTTTGGAGTCAAGCCGTGGTTACACAAGATCCAGGATCCGCATGACTACTAACTGGCCCCGTTGCTGACACACAAGAGATGAATCAATTGGATCTTGGTTTTACAAAAGGGTTGTTCCTAAATGTTTCTTTTTGCCCATTCATGACGCCGCATCCACATAACCACACGTTCCATCTGTCCTGGTACACCATCGCATGTATCGTCTCAACAGGAACATTAAGTGTTGGGAGTAGCTTTCAAGAGAGTGTGTGAGGGGGTTTCCCGATCCACATTAGAGAATCAAGCATCATCCCACATTTTTGCATCCGAGATCCTCCACCGGTCAAACCATCTGAGATAGGCATATTGTCGATTGCTTCCCTGCATACCGAACACAACCGGGCTGAAGAGAACGAACAATCCAATGACCGCGGCGTACAAGATGAAGTAGATACCCCATCGCACCTTAGTGTTGAGACTTCGCGTGGTCCAATCCAGGGAGAATCCAGCGGCCAGGATCGCGAAATAAAGAGCTGGGTAGTAGTGATGGACGTATGTGACCCGTCCCATAATTAAGAAGGGGAAATAGTGGAAGAACCATCCAATCACGGGGTAGATGCCTGAGTAGTGGAGTTGGTCAATGTCGGCTTGGCTTAGTTCGTCGTAGCCACGCTGCCAACGAATCAAGTACCATGCAATGATCAGGCCAACCACACCCAATGAAGCCGTCGAGCCCCAGTACACGATAGGATTGCCGAGCAAGAAGTATTTGGTGATATGATCCTCCCATGAGCACATGCGCAGTCCCACGTGCAGGATGGGCCACTGCCAGAACTTGGAGGCAAGATCATCTTGCTTGTCGGGATCAGGAACAAGGGCGTTATTCGATGTCATCATGGCGACGTTAAGATGAATGAAATCCTTGAAGAATGGTGATCGGTAATTTGCGGCGTTTCCGGGAGGGACTATACCATGTTAGCACAGAGAGACACCGACACAACGAGCGGCGACTTACGTCTGTCGTTGACGTGGGATTCGACATTCCAGTGAGTATAGACATCCCGAATGCTTGGCTTCTTCACACAAGTTGTTTCAATCTGCTTGAAACCCCACTGAGGCAGATTGACAGTTCCAGCCCGAAGGTAGCATCCGAGTTCGGTATGCCTCAACCTGAACGCCGTGGTCAAAGTTCGGATGCGCGACCGATCGGAGGAGGCGGCGTCGCTAACAACCTCAATTTGCCAATGGTCTTTTTCGTCGCCGACAGTAACGTTGCCATAACAGGACACCTCCCAGTCGGCCTTGGTGATAGGGGCTGCAACAGCATGCGAATGGAGATTTCGGCCAGTCTGAGCATGGATAAGACGGACAACCTGTTTGTCGGCGATGAAGCTCAAAGGTCCTTCCGGATCATAGTCAGGCTGGCTTCGGTTGGGGTAGAAGAACCAGTCATTGTTGGCGTCCTTGTGATGGTAGCAGGTGACTTGCTGCTGGCCACTCCCTTCGGGATATGTCTGAACATGGGAATGCAGGAGACCACCGCCGTAGCCCATGTTCTTGAGAGTGACTTTGGAGCCCAAAGCAATTTCAAGCGGTGAATCTCTCCCAACCTCAGTGCCGCGTAGGTTGGCTTGGAAGAGGGAAGACATCTGCGCATCGCCCGGTCCCGAGTTCTCCAGAATCAAGAAGTGGACCCAGAACGAGAACATATAGACTATGACGGGAATGACGATCAAACCCACAACGCGAGCGCCCAGATGTGTTGCAAGCTCCACCTTGGGCATCTTCAGATCACCAAACTTGTTCCACAGATCTTCCGCAGTGTACAGACCAACAAGCGCCGTGGCGAAAAGTCCCACCCATTTGACGCTGCAGACACACCCGATGCTCAAACCGGTCAAGAAAAGCCAGATGAACCATTCGATAGAGAAACTCTTGTGTTGAAGTCGATGGAATCTTGCCCAGCACAAGACCGTGGTAAAGGTGAAGCAAAGCAACATCGAGTCGAGTAGGATGAACCGAGATATGGTAGCGTACGAATTTTCGCACAGGACCATGAGAGTGACGAGCCACACTGCCGTTCGTTTGAAGTTCAGTTCGCGTGCAGTGTAGTATGCGAGCGGGACGGTCACGACGCCGAACATGGCATTGAAAATGCGCATGAAAGTGTAGTTCACTTCTTCGGGGTATGTCTCGCCGGACTTGAACTCAAACGACCCATTGTATCCGGCCAAGTATCCAGACAAGCCCACCAACATCTTTCCCAAGGGAGGGTGGACATCGAAGTAGAATTCCCGCTTGAGGTAGTGTGAACCGAATTTGCCAAAGCTGACAGTCGTTAGCAAGAGCGCAGGGACGAAATCGGTGTAACTTACTGAGCCTCGTCCCAGGTGACAATGGGAGAAAGGCCTATTCGCCAGAGCCTTGTGAACAAAGCTAACGCCGTAAAAATGATGGGGGCAATCAAAAACTCCCACTCATCGAGAATCTGCAGAACGCTCTTCTGCGGCTGAGGAGGTCGTCAGAGTCGGGTTCTGTATACACCATATTCAGGATAGGAGCCCAACCTTCTGCAATTTCTTTGTATCTTCCGCCTCGAGCTTGTAAACATGTTGTCCATTGGCCTTTTCATAGCTGGCAACATTTCTGCGACGAAGTTCAGCCTCGTCTTTTCCTGCGCTCGTCGAGTGACCACTATTCGTTGTGGCCATGGTTGCAGGATGGCTTTGGATGGGAAAGAAAGATGAGCTCGAATTGTAACGGGAAGAAGAAGAAGAAGAGGAAGTGTCTCAAGTTCTCAGAAGTAGTGTAACCGGGAATCTAGAGAAAACTAGGTGGTCGGTTGGGCAGGTTGAAAAGTGGCCCTCGAAACGCGTGTCAAGGAAGAAGCGGAAATGATTAGTAGGAAGAGAACGAAAGAATGCCCATCCAAAGGCAAGAAGGATGAAAGTGTGAAAGAAGGAGAAACGGTAGGCCTTGGACCAGATGGTCTTAAGGAGAAAATCAATTCAGCTTCAGGAGGGTTGGAGCCTCGAGTCTGCAAGATGGCAGATGCGCAAGCCCTAGGTGATTTCAGCCAACTGCCAACGTGTCGAAGAGCCACCTTGGCACATTTTGAGAAATAAAGGGGGGAAGTCGGGCACTCCACCTGAACAGTAACCAGAGCCATTGACACGTGAAAAGGAGCTCCAAAGTTCCTGCTACTCATAGTATCACTGGTTTTTGTCTATTCGCTCTCTGCATTCAGTCATGCCAATATTCAATGGCATTCAATACCCACCTGCACTCTCAAGCCAGATTGATGCGGCCGCCATTAATGTCCACATCGTCGCGGAACAGATTGCCCGCCTCCCGACAATACCGCACCTCTCCAGTGCCAGTGCTGCCGACTTCGCTGCCCCAGCATACCACCACTGCGTCAACAATGCATGCTAGGACTCCTTCCATGGCACCTAGAATACCCCAACCTATGGCCCCAGCAACAAGCCCGACTATGTAAGCGTAGAGGCTGCCGCGAACCCCCGCCCCGTCCAGCTTGAGTGTCCGTGCTGTAGTGACCCACCCACCGAAGCCCAGCGCTAAACACATGATAAATCTCGTCGCATGAAGAAGGAGCTTGGCCAGTCGATACGGAAGAAGAGGTGTGGAATCACTCGACCATCCGTCATTCCTCCGGCGACGACTGAACGTACCTGGGTACAAGGCTGTCGTGGCGTCGTTTGGGGCTAAGAAATGCATCTGCGAGAGGCCTCGGGCGCTCACAGCCAGAGGCTGCGAATGGATCGCAGCGTAGGTAAGGGTGAGTGGATTTATCAAAACCGCAATCGGACTAGGGATGAATGAGTACATCGCCACTCCAAGGAGCATCGTCAACCGCCGAGGCAGAAGGATCAGAGGTAGTCGGACCAAAAGACTCAAGCCAGTGAAGAGTGCTATGGTGCCAAAGAGTGTCGTTGCCGAGTGTTGAAATGCAGCTTTCACGATGGCTTGAGGTGTTGGAGCCGGTACTGCCAATCGATGGAAATACCACTGCGATACCGTGGCCGATGTAATGGTACGCTGCATGCCAAACGCGATGGTGATTGTCCAGAGGTACACAAGAATAAAGTATACTCCGAGCCACCATGTTGACGTGTCAATCACAAACTTGCTGATCGTTGACCGAGTCGACGGGTGGCCCCCAAGAAACACCCTGGCGAACATCGACAACCAGATCCATGTGAAGCTGACGATAAAACCCAGGACGGCAAATCCGACCAGTACTAACGTCGGATTTGCGGCCAGGATTCGAGTCGAGAACTCTAGAATCGAAATTGCCTTTTGCATGACCAATCGTCCTCGCAAGACCGCCAGAACCCACAGAGTGGCCATGATTGCAGGGACCAGCGAGCTCCATCTCATGACGGTATCCTGGATGCTTGACCCATGCCATGACCCTTGGAAGCTGGAAATCAGCGGGTAGAGAGAGAAAGAGTAAAGGATAACTGGGACCGCCACCAAGATGCTGTACACCAGATATCGAACGTATGATCGGAGGGCCGCAAGCCAAAACAATGAAACGAAGGTCGCTACAAGGGTATATGTCGCCAACAGATAAAAGGATCCATGCAAGGTCGTGTAAACGGTATCACCAAGCGGTCGGTTGGTGCTCGGTGATTGTGTGTGGAGCAAGACGAGGAACCAGGTTGCACACATGGCAGCAACCGAAAGCAGATAAAGCTGACCCCAGAAAGCGTCATGTCTCGGTTGTTGAACTTGCGGTGTCTGGATGCCATCCGGTACAGATTCAGTTCCGCCAGAGTGATTCCGCGAATGTCCCAGCAGTCGTCTCTGCGTGTTTCCCTGCTCTGATTCCTCTGAGTCGTACTCGTCTTCTGCTTTAGGCGTTTGTTTGCGCAGTTGTTGGACCGAAGGGGGGTTCTCTATCAAGTCTTCGGGCGGATCATCGTCATATTCGCTCCTCAAAGTGTCCTCTAATCCCACATCGACCATCGGGTTCCTCTCCGATACTGGGCTGGAACTCTCGGGCTGCGACTCTGCTGATTCTGCAAGATCCGCTAGGTCTGTCCCTTTCCGTCGCGGGTTCGGCGCGCCGCCATGCCATGAGCTCCTGATACCTCCGGGTCGCCCCAGACCTCGATCACGAGAATCTTCCCCATGACTACTGGCGCCATTGAGACTGGAGCCACTCCCAGCATCGACATCGGAAGCATGCAGATCGCTGGCGCCTAATTGCCGTCTCGATCTCTGGAGGGCATAGTAATCGGCTATCTCCCGTTCGTGCTCCTCCTCGTCATTTTCTTCTCGGAATTCGTCTGTAGCGCTGTAGAATAAAGGCGCTTGTTGTGGGTTGAGGCGAGAAGCGAAGGGAAATGCCGAGAGTTGGGAGGAGGTCGGCTGGTAAGGATTTGGGACGCGTGGCTTCAGCGTCCTGGAAGTTGTTGTTGATCTCCAAGTCTGGTTTGGTCTTCTTGTTGCTCGACCTTCGCCAGACCGACGGTCGTCTGCCGGTGTCGGCGCAAAACTAAGACGGGATTGAGACTGAGCGAGAAACCTGGATGCGTCTTCAAACATATCAGTACTGGCAGTGAAGATAGGATCAGTGAGATTATAGCTCACACTCGGAGAACATGCTGCCCGCAGGCAGTCACCACGCGGTGTATCAGTCGGTGAGTTTGCGAAGTTGATAAGCACGAATAATTGATGGTACAAAAGCAGATCCTTTCAGTCGACAGATCTGGGCTAGGTGAGTAGAATGGGAAGCTAGAATATGTCGTAGATAACTGTTTGACGTGCGGTAGCACAAGCAGACGTGGTGCTGAGTTGGTGATATGGACGTGATGAGTCCAACCTTCAAGTCGGTCGGAAACGGGGAACAAAGACGAGGCAAGCTGGGAACTCGATGGAGGGCATGACCGCCGCGGCAGGCCTAGCCAAGCTTGGCCTGGGTTCGGTGGCACCCAGGTCGGTGGCCCGGGCAAGTTCCAGGCTGCGGAGTTACCAAAGTGCCCAGCCTTCCAGGCAACTGGTTACCCGGAAATTCAGGTACACGTTGCAAATGGGCACGCGCTCTCCTCACAAGCTGCTGCAAGCGTGTTCATCGTCATCGGGCCAAAGTCGTTCGTGTTCATCATCCATCTTTTTGTCACCAGACTCTGTCTGTTCCACTACCAACGTGATTGCTTCCGAGTTTTATCGTTTCACTCAGGCTTACTTGTACACTTGACCAAATTTACTGTCAGCTCACAGACATAGTGAGGATCACCGTCTATTAAGCTGCCAGACCGACACCTGCCATTTCCATGCCCACTCCAACACCGGTCCCTGCGCTTCCGTGGAATTACATAGCAAAGTTGGTCTGTATAGGAGATTCCGGTGAGCAGCTTTTGATCCGTCGCGGCAAATACCTCTAACAGTCCACAAGGAACTGGCAAGTCCAGCTTGACCATCCGGTTATGCGAAGGGAGATTCTCCGCCTCGCATGATGTCACTATCGGCGTCGAGTTTGGGAGCCGAATAGTCCCTGTTGGTCCTCCTGCGAATACGTCTTTAGACATCGGCGCGCCCAATGGAGCAGCCGGTCATGCCAATCCACAACAACAGAAGAAGATGAAGCTTTCGCTCTGGGACACTGCTGGTCAGGAGACATACAAAAGCATCACAAGAAGTTATTTCCGAGGCGCATCCGGGGCATTGTTAGTGTTCGACATCACGCGAAGAAGCAGCTTCGAGTCGGTTACCCAGTGGCTCAACGATCTTCGCCAGATTGCCGAGGAGGGCATCGTCGTCATTCTGGTGGGCAACAAGCTAGACCTCGCTGAGCAGAGCACCGACGCGCAAGGCGGCACCAAGCGAGCCGTGAGCCGAGAAGAGGCAGAGGACTGGTGTCGGCGAGAAAACGTGGTCAAGTATGTCGAGACAAGCGCTAAGAGCGGGGAGGGAGTCGAAAAGGCGTTCCTAGAGGTGGCTGAAAGAATATATCAAAATATTGAAGCCGGCAAATATGATCTCAACGACAGAAGAAGTGGAGTCAAAGGATATGGGACCGGGACCGGTCGAGACGAAGGCAAGGCTCCCAAGACAGTGAACCTGACCATGAACGACGCCGTCAAGAGTGGTCAAGGTAGAGGTTGCTGCTGAGGAGATCTATACCCACAGATTTCGTGGGAGAATGGTTCTCTTCTCATTCGCCGGAGCTGCGCCGTGTCCATCACATAGAAGGTCCGACACCACGACCCCAGAAAGGACAATGCTGGGCCGAGTGGAATTGCCAGAGATGGCAGTTGTGCAACTCAAGTGGTGCTCAGCGTCGGACAGAGCCCCGTTGCATTCGGCGCCCCGATGGTGTTGGTTCTGCACCGCATTTGGCTGGTTGGAATTGAAGCTTCGTAATGTTTGGTAAGTTATAAACGGCCTATTCGACTGGGAGTTGCAATGCTCGTTGTTATTCAGTCCTTCCTGGCGGCTCTGGCTGATATGCTGACCGGATACGAAGCATCTGGCAATTGCGTCTTAGCGAGTTGGGCACGTCATTGACACGGTCAGCCGTACCATTCGACGGTTGAATGACAGTTCATTTGGAGGTGCAAGCTTCGGCCGGCTTCTACCCCGCCGGCCGCAATCGGTAAATGTTCACGAACTACTCGGACTTGGGCCGGTGGCACGCATCGAAGTCGTCACTCGCTCTCTTCGTACCTAGAGGGGATTCTTTTATCAGAGCGTACTTCGACGTTCAATCTTTTCCCTCGTATATATGATCCGCTTCTCATCACCTGCGGCTGCCATATCTCGCTTTCATCGGCTGGGCGTGCATCAGACCACAAGTTTTCTATTTCCACGAGTGAATCACAGAACATTAAGATCCTTTTCTCCTGCCATGGCTAAGTTAGACATCAAAATCCCTGACATGAAGCTGCCAGATGGCAATAAGATACCATTCGTAAGTTGGGGACATCTCTCATCGCCTAGAACAGTGTCGCTGACAGCAGGATGTTGTCCAGATCGGATACGGTTTGGGCACGGCATGGTGAGTCTGTCGCGGCTGTGGTTCGCCTGGGGTGTGGAATTCGTTCCATTTTGACCCCGGGTTGATAGACCCGAGTCTATATCACTGCAATTAGCTATGACCTCTGGCGAAACCCAAGGAATTGCTCATAACAGACCAAGTCTCGCACCGATCGCTGACCGGAACTCGACTCTATAGGTACAAGTCCAAAGCGGATGCTCCCAAGGATCAAGCAACAATCGATGCCACGGAAACCGCCATCAAGGTCGGCTATAGACATATCGATGGAGCCGAAGTCTATAACACGGAAGTGGAACTGGGCGAAGCAGTCAAAAAGAGCAAAATCCCCCGCGATCAGCTCTTCATCACCACCAAAGTCATCACCCATATCGACGATATTCCTGGTGCCATTGACCGGAGCTTGAAGAAGATGGGTCTTGATTACGTTGACCTGTACCTCATCCATGCGCCCTTCTTCGCCAAAGGGGATGACAAGGTGCTGCAGCAAAAGTGGGCGCAAATGGAAGAGGTTGCAGCTTCGGGCAAGGCCAAAAGTATTGGGGTCAGCAACTTCCTCAAGCCTCACCTGGATGCTATTCTTCAGACATGCAAAGTTCGACCGGCTATGAACCAGATTGAATTCCACCCGTACCTACAGCACGGAGACCTGCTCGCTTATCACAAGAATAAAGATATTCGCGTTGCAGCCTATGGCCCTCTTACGCCGATCACCAAGGCACAGGGAGGCCCGATCGATGGCTTGTTGGAATCATTGGCCAAGAAATATGCCGTTAACCCTGGTGAAATATTGTTGAGATGGTGTATTGACCAGAATGTTCTGCCCATCACCACTAGCTCCAAGGAACAACGGATGAGCGACATGCTGCGAGTCTTTACCTTTGAGTTGACCCCAAAGGAAGTCGAGGAGATTTCAGTGGAGGGGAACAAGAAGCATTTTAGAGCATTCTGGGGCCACGAGTTTGACGCGAATGACCGGTCATGAAGGAGTCGGCAGATGAGCCCACTATCCCTTGATCGTCATGGGGGATGTGGAGGTGTTCCGAGCAGAAGCATGTCGATCATGATGTAGCTTGGCTATGGGGCTTCCGTGCTCTCGCCTGAGACAGCGATGGGCAACCAGCAGTCGTTGTATACGGCCTTTTCCGAGTCAGCGATGGATGAGTGACAAGTGACAATCACATGTAGAACAATACGAGGTAGCCTGCAGCTAAGCAGCAACAGCGGTTAAGCATGTCTTAAGTAGCAGAATCCGACTCGTCAGGCAGCCGACAACCGATCGATGCGGGTGAGCGAGAAACGAGAGGCAAATCCACATTTTCTGGCCTGGTTGGTGGCTGTGTTCCCATCTTGCATGCATCTTCTCCAGATTAATGCAGCGAATGCACGCCATCGACACGGCAAGAGGCACAAGACGGAGACTTTTGCTCGCCTCGTCCTCCCGTCGCCCTCGTTAACATGCTTGACATCCCATCATCAGCATCATCGCCATTGCCACCACCCCTCAGCTGGCTATCCACATTCCAACGCTGTCCTATTGTGTGGCCGTCACTTCCGCTTCAGAAATGCCGCGGTGAGAGCCTTCCCCATGATCGACTGACCCAAGCTTCTCCAGCTACGAGTACTACCTCGCAGCTACCTAGTTCGGGTACCATTGAGTTCAAAGAGGTAGGAGCCTCCCATCGAAATCCTCAACTTTAAATTCCTCGCTCGCCCTCCTCTGCGGCGATTATTTCTCTTCATACTCTTCAGCTCACCCATTCGCTTTGCATCACATCACTTACCAGCAGTGCATTCATCTCTTGCGTACCAACGTATCGTGTTGCTCCACCACCCCATCCACTCCAAACTCCAGCAGCTCCGTCACATCCAACACCATGCTGTTCTCCACTCTTCTCACCGTCACCCTCCTGTCCATCTTCAACCTGACTTCAGCATCACCTCTCCAGACGAGAAACACCATCGATCCACCTGCTCTCTACCTCCTTCAAACCAAAGTGGTCAAGAGTACTCACAAAGACTACGGAACCAACAAGACCGACTTGTGGCTCTACTCCTACCACACCGGTGCAGGGCTTGGTGATGCGGCACTCTCGTCCAACAAGTCATGGGCATGGCAAGGCTACCTGAACGGTTCCCAGCAACTCATGACCTACTCTGGCAACCTAGGTGGTCCGTGGCCCCTGGCCATCGGCTACGGCCCGTATCAAGGTATGTGCACCTTTCTCACTGGACATGTTCCAATGCTAACGGCCTTTTCTCAGAATGGAACGAGGTGACTATCAGTATCGCCGGCATAACTAGCCTTTATTCCGGCTTCTTCTTCAACTCGTCTGGGCTCCAATTCAATGCCAGTGTCGGTGGCTGGTTGGGTGAGTCCTCCTTCTGCATTGATCCCTTCAAAACATTTGCATGTAAACCGACCGGCTAACTGTTCTTCAGCTTGCGATTGGTGGCACGGTGTTCCCCAGCTCTTCCAAGCCAATGGGTACCCCTACGGACCCCTTCCAAACTCCTGCTCCAGAGTTGAACTTCAGCCAGTAGCAGTCTGATTGTTGGTAGACGCCTCCTCCCCATGGCTTAGGCAAGGCAAAAGGCTAGGGTGGGCTGCACGTTGTTGGCGTTGTTTGGTGTCGTTCAAGCATTGCATTGCATTGCGTTGCGTTGGGAAATATTCTTACGGGGCTTGCATAGGGCAAGCGAGGATCATCTGTATCACCAGCCAATCATAATATCTTGAAACCTCAAGCTTCTATTCATTGCTCTCTTGTGCTACCCATGCTTACCATGCTTTATCTTCAGACTGACCATCTGTGCAGATGCCCACTCTGCGTCCGAGTACCCGAGCACCTCCTCACGTGAAGCATCCATCGCTCCACGCACCTGACTAAGTCATAGATCAAGATGGAACATCATACTGGGCAAGTTCCCTTTGCGGGAAATGCTCGCTTGGGAACATGGCGGTCGATGAACTTGGTCTCCCCACTCTTGCCTGTATAATTTCATCATGGCACTACAAACACCAAGTCAATTGGTGGGTACTCGACCTCCAGGTCGACTGGAGTGTCTTCCTTCGTCTGCTTACATGATGGGTTTGACCCTCTCGCTCTAACTACCAATGTCAACCGCTATTTCCAGATAAGGTCAGAAGCGCCTTGGTAGGAAATGGGCGTTGCAGTCGGAGGCATTAGCACCAAGGCCGGTGATAATGTATGCACTGGTGGTTTGTTGATGATGGCAATACCTGTTGCAGCAAGGAGAACGGACGACCACTCAATGACGCGAAAAGTCTCGCTTCTGCTGGGCTTGTCATCCGGCTCTATCCCGTGGGAAGAGTTTGTTCCGGTGATTGTTCTGCTCCCATCGAAAGCAAGGAGACTTAATAGGTACGTGCTGGGAGCCTCTCAACTGTCCTGCTCATCTTCCACCTCCCTTCTGCCACTGCGAAGAATCTAACATGGTTGCGAATCTCTCTCAGGCACAACAACCGCCCACCTATACAGGTGATTTCTTGTGGGTTAATCACGACCAGAAGAACAGGAAGGCTTTGCCACATAGGGGAAGGGTGTTTGGTCACGTCCAGCGGAGCTACCGCAAATGGAAGAGGAAACATGATAACCAACAGTTGCAGGCGTCCATTCAGTTGCCCAGTACAATGTGAGTCGGCCCTCGGTTAATGCATTCGGCTCTCTTTGCAAGGATGCTTACCACGAACCATTGTAGCTCTCTTGCCCGAAAGCCTGATGGCGCCGCTGGGGATCAAGCACAAGTTGAATCGGGCACAAGTGGTCCCATTGACCGCGTTGATGCACCTCCCCCGTCAGACCTTCCTAGCCCCCTTACACTTATCCGTCACGACAACTCTGACCCTTTCTCTTGTTTCTCCTTCTCCATCACTCCGCGTGTGAACGAGGTTATATCTTTCATCCGAGACATTCAGCTGCCGACGCTCTACTACTCCCCCTACTTCCGCGAGGCAGCCCGCTTTCCTTCGACACGCTCGGATGTCACCAAATCACCCATGGGATGGATATCCACCCCGGCGGCCGTCCAGTCCTGGACGCATATTGTCCAGGGACTGCACGACCAATGCACTGCGCTCGCTTGTTTAAGCACCTACCTGGCCATGATGGTTGCTTGTGGTATCAAAGAGAGTAGCTACATGAAATACAGCCTGGAACTGAGAACCACCAGCTCTAAAATGCTTAGACAGAGTATACTTCGGAGTGGCCCCAGTCGCAGGAACCGAGTCGCCCAGATCACACTTCTTCAACAAGTCTTCTGGCACTTCTACGCTGAGGCTTCGGCAGGCAATCTTGAAGCTGCACTTATACATGGACGGATGCTGAAGAAATTGATGGACGACAACGCGGAGGCTGTGACCCCGCACTTCTTCATGCTCGCAATGTTTGTCGACATCCATTTAAGCTCGGCGCATCGCAGGAAACCGATCTTTGAGTATGGGACGTTTGGCCCAAACGTATATCAGGGGATGTGGAGTGGAGTCGATCCGTATGTCCACCTGCTCGTGGGAAAAGAGACCATCCCAGACGCCACAGATGACGCAGCTGCAAGCACGCATTTGGACATGTCGGTGTCGATGGAGCCCCTTCAAAGCCTCCTCATCCGCCGACGACAGGCCATCGCGTTGGAGAAGTTGATTGCTCAAGCCGAGGGTCCCGACATCAACACCACGGCCATCTTCTTCTGGGTTGCATCGCACGCGTATATCGACGAGGGATTCTTCACGAATTACTATTTTGACAAGGTCAAGGAGGCTTCGATCACCATGAGCGGCACCCTCTCCGAGTCCAACACCGCATGTGTTGGGAACATCTTAGGTTCCGTGTCAGAGTCTGGCTGCGGCCGGCTCACAGAGGCTGCAGTAGCAATGGCGGCACTCTACCTCATGCGAGTGCTTGGTCTGTTTGACATGTGGATCAATGGAAAGAATTTTTACGACCCTACTGCATCGCGCGAGACGCTTCTTTTCGAGGCCATTGCCGCCGCGCTTCGAGTGGGCAGCCCTCAGGAGCTCCTAATTTACGCCAACGCCCATTTATGGTGTCTATTTGTCGGCGCGATATCGGAGTGGCAGAGCGTTTTCACAGGCAATGTTGGCAGGAGAAGAGGAAGTCAAAACTCAAGGGCGCCGCCTTCAGAGGAGGTAGGGTTGACCTTGCAAAGAATTGATAGCGGTTTCGCCGACAGCCAGCCTCACAAAGTCAGAAGTGGATCTTCCATCGAAGCGGGAGACGAGGATGCGTCCCGCATGTTGTTCAACAGCCTTTTCGCGAGACAGGCGAGGATGATGGGCCTGCTAAGTTGGGAACAGGTGGTTCCCATCCATTCTGAAGATGTTCGCATATGGGGACACATTACAACCACATGGCAGTCGGTGGTTCTGGAGAAGTATGGGGGCACATTTGGACGATTTGAAAGCATAGAGGACGGCCATGAAGCCCATATTCATAGCCGAGCCCGAAGAATGGGGCGACTTTGATATTCAGCCTCGTGAGGGGCAGCGGACATGATTACTATGTACCAAGGTACAAGGTACCAGTATTGGAGAGATTCCTATAATCCCCGCAATGTCCGAGCATTGATGACGATAAATTCGGCATTTGTACGGAGAATGCTGACAATTACGATATGAAGTAGATCGGAAGAAGGCCCTGAAGGCTTGACAATAGACAAAGATTCCATAATCGGTAACTACATTGTTGATTCCATTCCTCTTCTATTCCTCTGCTGTTCAAAAGTCAAACTTGGGCCCTTCTGATGCTCCGCGCCCTACAGACCAAAGCTCACATCTCCCCTGCCCGCGTGCCCAGTCTGAACAGTCACACCGCGACACGCAGCATTAAAATGGACTCGTCCCTCCATCCCCTTCAAGGCCTGTACCAGCCACACAACCTCAAGGGACTCTACTATGGCCCGGATGTGGTCAAGAACCACATCTTGTCGGTTCTGCCCTCGGAGACATCCAAGGCCTTCATCATCACGGGCAGTTCCCTCGCCAACAAAACCCCGCTCATCAAGTCGCTCGAAGAGCTTCTGACCACGAAACACCACGCGGGCACGTTCAGCAACATCCGACAGCACGCCCCCGTCGCCCAGCTCGACGAAGCGACCGAGATTGTCAAGAAAGACAGCACCATCGACACCATCATCTCCGTGGGCGGCGGCTCGCCCATCGACAGCGCCAAAGCCATCTCTTACCGCCTGCATGAAACATCCAAGAAATGGCTGTTGCACATTACCATCCCGACCACGTTGTCTGCGGCAGAGTGCACCGCGATCGCCGGATACACGCAAGCAAACGGCACAAAGACCGGCATCTCCCACCCAAACACTTTCGCCGCGTACATCTTTTACGATCCCAAGTTCGCCATTTATACACCCCCGGAACTGTTCCTGTCCACGGGCCTGCGAGCTATGGATCACGCCGTCGAGAGCCAGTATCATCCCATGACGACGTGGGTCCCCTGCCGGATAGTCGCGTTGAATGCCATCACCGAGCTATTCCGCCTGCTGCCCAAGTACAAGGAGAACCCTAAGGACGAGGACGTGATTACGGGGTTGCTGCTCGCCGCCTACGCCAGCTTGGGATTTACAGGCCAGAACCTAAAGGGCGGCTTGGGCCTTTCTCACACCATGGGGTATGCATTGGGCTCGCCGTACGGCATCCCGCACGGCATCACCTCGTGCTTGACGTTGGGCCATGTCGTGAAACTCAAGGCGCGACAAAACCCGGAGAATGCAGCCAACATCGCCGCCATCTTGCCGTACATCGGCACCGGAGAGAAGCGGTCCGGCGACGACGTCAAGGACAGTGATCTCGTCGGCGACCGCATCTTGGGCCTGGTGCAGGACCTCGGCTTGAAGACGAACCTGACCGAGAAGGGCGTGGGCAAGGATCAATTGGATACCATCTGCGCGAGGGCCACGGGCGGGCTGGTGCCCGAGAAGGAAAAGGCTCCACAGGACGAAAAGCTCCTGGCGGCGGTGAGGGGGCTGGTTGAGAAGTTGTGGTAGAGCAAGGGGAGAAAAAGGACTACGTTTTTTGGAGTCGTTGTATATGTGTCCCGAGAAGTTTAAAGTACATACCTACCTATGTTTCGTGTAGCCGCCCGGGCAATACGATGGTGCTGTCTGGCTCGGGTCGGGTCAGGAGGACCGGAGGAACCCATCAAAATGCGGTTGGGTATCATTATGTGCCATTCAAGGATGAAGGCACCCATCAGAAGAGAGATTATGGACACACACAGTTTGTGTTCGGCCTGCTTTGCTAACCCCATCTAAGCTCTGCCTTCTCCTTTCTTGACCTTTTCGTTCTCAATTCCAAGTCGGCGGCGGCGGCGGTCATGGGAGCAAAGGTCAAGACAGTCCTCCAGGCAACACCGTGAGCCGTGCGAAGACGAAGATGAAGACGAAGAAGCAGAATAGGCGCCCGACAACTTGAACTGCTCGGACCGGTGACCGCGAGCCGAACTGTGTAGATTATCGAACCTCTTCAGGTTGCATTTTGAGAGTACGTTTTAAATGACATGAATCCATTTTCCGCTCGCCCATCCGCCCCACGCTATATACACTGATTCACAGAGACGCTCGAAGCTGGTCATTGCCGACAGGCTTGACCTCGACCAACAGCTTGCCTGCAGATGGATCCAATCTCATTAGCCAAAAAAAGGACAGTCGCCAACAGTATACCTGCCTAGGTAGGTACTAGGTAGGGGGTAACTGTTGTGGGAAAAGAGAGGGGGTGCAGAGTGCTCACTCACCTGTATTCACGCCATTGTACAGATCCCTCAGCGCGTTCTCGGCCTGATCCAGCCCGCCGCGGACGATGGTTTCTTTGCGCTTGATCTTGCCCTCGGAGAGCCACTGGGCGAGGTCTTTGAGGGCGCGGGGATATTCCTTGGCGTAGTCGAAGACGATGAATCCTTCCATGCTGTAATAGCATACATTTGGGTTTTAGTCTGGTAAAAGCCAAAAAAAGACTAGGTAATGAATGGGGGTTCCATCATGGAGGGGGCTTACCGGATTCGCATTGAGACGATCATGAGATAGTTCTGGAAACAAAATTCATTTTATTAGTCGGGGGATGATTGGGGGTTTTTGGAAAAGGAACTGGAGCTGGTGACGGACCTTTGGACCCTGGGGTTTAGAGGAGTTGTACTGGCTGATACCTTTTTCAACAGTCAGTAGAGTCATCTTGTAGAGATCCTGGCGACCACGTACCTCCGCACATGACGAATCGAGCGTGTGGCTTTGCTCTTGAGAGGGCCATGTCGAGGATCTCCCCGCCCACTGAGAAACGCGGCGTGAGCATGTACTAATTCCTTGTGATAACATCACTCACCGTTGTCAAAGTAGACATCAATCAAGTTCTGTTCTAGGTCAGAGTTGCTCTGTCCCATCACGCCTCGAGAGGAGGAATATACCTTTGTGGCAGCGCGGAACTTCTTGCCGAATTCCCTGTCTTTGTAGTTCAAAGCAGCATCGAACCCCAACTCCTCTTTTAGCCAGCGGCACTTGTCCTCGCTGCCAGCGATCCCCAAAACAGTAGCGCCCTTGAGCTTGGCGATTTGGCCGACAACACTTCCCGTTGCACCTGCAGCGCCAGAGACGACAACGAAGTCTCCTGCCTTGACCTTGCCGACGTCGATGATGCCAAAGTATGCTGTTAGCCCGGTCATGCCTGGAAGTCGAAGTCACCGACGTTAGCGCAAGTTTGTGCATGTCAAATACTCAAAGAGATCTCATACCCAGGACACTCAATCCATCGGTCAGTCTCCCGCCCTTTGGGACAACCACCCTCTGCAACTCGTTCCCCTTGCAAATCTTGTACTCGGTCCATCCCGCCGTCGCCGTGGCGAAACTCCCCACGGGGAACTGAGAGTTCTTGCTGGCCTTGACCGTCCCGATGCAGCCGCCTCGCATGACCTCCCCGATCTTCACGGGGGGAATGTATGATCTGGTATCATTCAGCCAGCCACGCATGGCGGGATCGATACTGAGATAGTTGGTCTCGAAGAGAACCTCTCCATCCTTGAGATCTTCGGCGGAAAGAGGCGGGTTGTCGCTGACGAGTCTGAACGTCTCCCCTGGGACGATGTTGTCTTTAGGTCTTTTGGCGAGGACCACCGTCTTGTACGTGGGAGCCATTCTTCAATTGGCTGATTACAAGCTTCCCCCGATCTTGTACAGGTCTTTCTGTAGGAATCGGCTTTTTTGATATTGGTAGGCTGGGTTTTGAAGGTTCAGAGAAGAAAGGCGAGCGAGACTGAATGTGGCCCTCACTGATAACTTAATTTCCTGACAATGGTAAGCCCGGTTAAACGACACCAACGACAGATCGTGAATGCTGTTTACTCATTCCTCCGTCTTGTGGGTGGATGCTGGACCAGATGTCAAGGAGAAAAATACCTCGGTTCAGCCACGGCGAATCATGCAAAATAGAGTCGCAGTTTAATACGGAGGAGCGCATTGACCCATTCAACGATATTGAGGATTTCAAAGTCAGTTCCTGGAGAATCTGTGCTTCTGACAGTCAATCGAGAGAACGACCGTTTTAGTTGTGGAAGTCCAGCTCTCACACGAATCTGATTCACCGGGTAATAAACCTATGATGGTAGATAAGTTCACGCTTGTTCATTGCTTTGCCCAGAACATCAACCTCGTCCGCAAATTTAGTCGGACACCGAAAGCCATAGGGAGATTCGCTCTCCTGGTTTGCTCGGGTCAGGGAAGAAAAGAGTCCTCCAGTGGAATGATGACATCCATTGCCGAATTACATTCCTGCAGCCTTGTTCGTCTGGAAGGTATACATATCCGACCATTTCTGGTCCGCTCACAAGGACTGAGAAAGACGAGGTCGACTCCTGTCATTATATGTGCTTGTCTGGCTCAACAAACAATCGACTGCTTCAGGTCTGCAAATGCCCATAATGTGTTAAGCTGTGTTCTCCGGATATTGGATGAATTGCGAAAAACTGCACTCTCAACCAGAAAGCAGAGACGGAAAGGAAACATGTACCCAGTGGGTTTCTTGATGGATACGGCTATTGTCCGGTATCTGACTCCCATTTACCGGCCTCTTGCCCGTTCAAACTTCTCCATATTATCGTTCCCCTCACAGACGTCCAACACTCGAATATATTCAAATATTCTATTTTCCCCCAGATACGTGCTCCTGTTAGCTCGAGGCAGGACTTTGTTCCGTATACTGGTAGGTTCCTCTTCACACCCTTTCAGGAACAGCACGTAAAAGAGCGATGGCGGGGGATCCCTCCTACCTAAACGGCACAGCCAACCTCTCACAACAAGTACCAATTCAGACAACCGAGGCCGAGGTCCCTACCTATACAATCATCCAAGCAGACGGCATCTACCCTGTACGTCCACCACCCTTCCAAGGAGCCAGCTCTGTTCTGTGACCCTCCACGTCAATATTCTTCAAACTGATACTCTTCACGTAGGACGACGCGGTAGAACAGGCAATCTTCACCGCCAACCCACCGCACCCTTATAAATTGAACTATGTCTCCACAGGGCTGTTCCCGACCGGCGCACCGCTGCCGAAACCGTGGTCCGCCATCCCCAAGGACCTGAGGGACCGGGTGGACGGGATCATGGTGTTGAAGATGGGATTCACGGCCCAGGACGTGGAGCTGTTTCCGAGGCTGAAAGTGTGAGTTTTCTCTCCGCCCCTCAGGTTTGTCCGAACTTTTGCTCAGAGAGGATTTTTTTTTTCGGGATGGTTTGAATGCTTACACGGATGGGGGTTTGATTGCTGGTAGTATAGTCCGAATGGGCGTTGGATATGATCGACTCGACCGGGTCGCGCTGGCGAAAAAGGGCGTCACGGTCTGCAACGTGCCAGGTTCGTTCAGGCCTCTCTGTTTCCTCTTATCCTCCCATTCCATCTCCCCCAATCTAATCCCTGCCGCTCACCTCTCGATTGTGACGAATTCTAGACTACGGCACCGCCGAAATCGCAGACCACGCCTTAGCGCTAGCACTCAGCCTGCGTCGCGGCGTGCTCTTACACCACGACCGCCAGCGCCAGCCCTACGTCTATCCCTGGATGTACATCGACAGTCCACTCGTATCACGCATCCAACAGGGCGCGATATTCGGCATCCTCGGTTTGGGCAGGATCGGCACCGCCGCATGTCTCCGCGCAAAGGCCTTCGGGTGGAACGTGCTCTTCTACGACCCGTACCTGCCCAACGGGGTCGACAAATCCCTGGGCATCGAGCGCACCAAGGACATTCGCGAGTTGTTTTCCCGAAGCACCAACCTGAGTATCCACTGCGCCTGCACGCGCGAAACCCGCGGCATGATCGGTTGGGATCTGTTGAAACTGATGCCCCAGGGAGCCGTGCTGGTTAATACCGCGAGAGGCGAGGTTTTGCAGCTCGACGCCGTCGAACGCGCCCTCAGAGAGGGCATTCTGGCTGGCGCAGGGCTCGATGTGCTTCCCGAAGAACCCATCCCCGAACACAACGTCCATCCTCTCATCAAAGCCTACCGTGAAAAGGAAGAGTGGTTGCTCGGCAGGATGGTTCTGACCTGCCACACGGCCTTCTACAGTCCCCAGAGCTTTGTGGATATCAGAGTCAAGAGCGCCCAGACCATGCGTGAGGTTCTGATCGACGGGTTGCAAAGTAATGTCATTACCCCGGATATGCTGTAGCAATATAGAGCTTGAACATCTGCTGCCCCCACTGACGACATTGACAATCTTTTTATCGTCTTCATTATCCACGTCTTTGGATTATGTATACTATGGGTGCGTATGTACATTTGCCTCTCTCCCTCCAACTACTCCCACCATCGTCGAAACATCGCTGCCAAGTCCTAGCCTTTGCGATAGCGTGTCCACGATCACCACTTCCTGACCACTCCACGTTTCTGCTGGCGTTTCTGCTTGGCGGTCCCGCTGAACAGAGTCCCGTCGTAATCGGTTCCGTTGTTGGGGAAGCTGATGCTGTAGTTCCCGAAGCAGGCGTAGTCGTAATTGCTCTCAGCGTAGGCGCTGGCCTGGCTCGCTATGAACGAGCTCAGCGGACACATACCGTCGCTGCGGCTGCCGCAGTAACCGCCGCGAATCGTCGACAGGGGCAGAACGCCGTTGTTCAGCCGCATGCGGAGGAACTTGTGCGTCGCATTGCTGGGATTGTATCCGTATTGTGTTGGGGAGTACTGCGTCTGCGATACATTCTTGGGCGTGGGGCTACCGGATCCGCACCCTATCACCTCTGTCACTAGTCGCGCCGAGAAGGGCGTCAGGTGCGACAAAATGAAGTGTCGGTTGGGGTCTGGCGGGTATTCCGTCAGGGATGGCGGGTCGTAGAGGTAGTCGAGCGAGGCCGCCGTGAGAACTGAGATGATGATGTCGTCGTGCGAGAAGTCGGCATAGAATTTCTGGCCTAGCGGGAATGTGTGCGAGTTGTTGGTCAGGCTGCTGTTCACGCTCGAATTGGATACCGTGATGTACTGGTTCTGCAACCGGGCCAGCAGCTCTTGCAGATACCCGATACCCTGTGCCCTTCCTGTCGGGTTGCCGTACGAGTAGTCATAGTAGTACTCGATGTCCAGCGTGCTCTCGAACCCGGACCACTCGTCTTCCGTGAAGAGAGTACAGAAGTCAGATCTGCCCAGATAGTTGGTCTCGTACGCGCAGATGCTCCTGTTTGGGGTCAGCACAAACGGGTTTCAACACCAAAGTGATGCTTGACTTACTGCATGGCGTATGTATCGTTTAATGTAAGATTAAACCCACTTGGAACGTATTGAGATAGCCGGCTTTGAGCGCCCGTCAGGTAGAGTGGCAGGTAGCTTAACAAATCTAGATCTCCTATATATCCAGTGATTGGATTGTTATCATTGAAGCAGGAATCGTACGAAGCCAGGGTATTGTTCTCGGTTCCACCCTCTGGGATGATGACGACGTTGAATGGGCTGGTGAAATTGGCCACGGTCGGATCTGGAGTGAACTGGTAACTGGGGCCGAAGAACCCCAGTGCCCAACTGATCTGAGTATTCTCAATCCGGGACTGGCTCGTCGTTCTCAACGTCAGCTTCGGCTTGCTGGTACCATTGGCGTTGGTTGCGTTGTACGCAACTTGGCCCTGGGTAGCATTATATAGCGTGCGGCCGTAACGGTTCCAGAAGGTGACACCCGCCATGAAGGACTGAGAAGCACCAATACCGGTAAGATAGTCTCGTGCCAGGACATAGTGGTACGAATTCAAGAAGCCCAGCGGGCCGCTAAATTTGGACGAGGGATTGGCTCGAGTCCAGTTCATGACCTTGGCGCCGAAGTTGTCATTGTTGGGCCCGTCGTCAAATGTCCCGCCGGGGAAGCGAGCTCCATGTCGTTGCAGTAGATGAGCCTGCTCGACCTGACATCCATCTGGCAGGCCAACATCGCTCACTCCAAAATAGTCCTCGGCATTGTCAGCATACGGCGTGATCTGCCCCCAGTACTGCTGGATGATGGTGATGTCAGTAAGGAGGTCCGCAGACGAGTTTGAGCTGGTCTGACGTCTCTGGCGTCGTTGCCGAGTGCTCGACGAGGCTGCTAGAGACGGGAGCAAGGCCAGGAGAGCCAAACGGAAATGCATTTTGCTTCCTCTATCAAGGTTAGTCCTGCAGGGAGAGGATCAAATGGTAGAGGAGGAAACATTGTAGCACGTTGGAGGAGAGCCTTCGAGCTCTTGTAGCACTGCGCTGATGACGCCAACAGAGCCAAGCACATCCAGGCCATGTGTGCTAGGATAAGCTTGCAGAAGCTTGTCGTACGTCGCCAGAATCGAAGGGCATGTCTGTGACCAGGGAAACCTGGAGGAGAGAAGAGAAGCTCAAGGCGGCGCCTTCCATTGGTTGCGAGAGGGCACGGGAGACAGTAGGATCTGCCAACGACAGGACGTGTTGCATTGACAGGTCGAGATAGGTACCAATAAGGCGTCTTGGGAGAATGCTTGTCCTCCTCTTCGGCTCAGGCCGGTCTCCAGGTGCTGCGATCGATCTACACGTGGTTCATCATTTCCGACCGATTTGACCAGCTTGTTAGGGAGTGGAAAGTCTCCTGATGCATTGGTGCTTATCAGATAATCATGGTGTAAGTGGCGCTATGTGGGGGAATCGCTCAGCATTGATCGATTGGATCAAATTCCTTAGGTCGACGCAGTAAGAACTCTTCGAGATGCCATTCACCCACCATTCTTACCTGAATATAACATTCATCCATGTCTGCTTCCTCTTTCCGCAGTCGGATGCCTTCAGGCCTGGCAAAGAAATTCCTTCTTGGTGGGTGACAGTGTCATCAGTGCCGCATCGTTGTTTCTTCTGCCTCGGCCTGCTCCATCTCGCTGTTCTTGCGGGGGTTTTTAGAACGCTCGATGTTCGAGTCAACTGCACGTATCGTCTGACGGCTATGCCATAGTCAATTCGCCTCATGAAGGTGTCAAAGATGTCTGTCGTGGGAGATTCCCTGTAGTATGAATCTCAATTGACAGTTGCGAGAGTCCGTACAAGGATTCGTTCAGTGGCTGACTCTGGTGGGGACATGGGGTTCTCGTCCTCATCGCCAACACCCTCAGACACATCGTGTCCAGGGGAATATGGGACATTCGGATACTGAAACGAAACGGGGATGCAACAAGTAATAGACACATCACCATACGAAATGAGTGCCTCGTAGAAGACAGCAGAGTGCTAAGGGGAGGATTTGCTGGTAGTTTGGTTGATGCCATTTTGGCGGAAACTGAATTCCTTGGCCCAGCAAATGACACGCAGCCACGGCACATCCGCCTTCGCTGCTCCTTCACCATCCCGACCATCTCCTGTTCTGCACTTGTCGACCATGCACGCAGTTGGGCTGCCCGAGTCCATATCCTGCATGCCACGATCCCTTGCTCTTGGGTTGCAAAGCTCAATGCTAAACCCTGCCAACACGCATCCTCCTCGTTGCTGAACTCGATGCCCTCGCAGCGTATCTGAAGGTTGGTTTTGTCTCATACGACCATGACTACGATGATGCGTTGTTTGTCGTGAGATATCCGGAATTATGGATTCTCGACTAGACACGTCGTCGGGCCGCTTTGGAGGGCAATGGGCTTTTCTTTCCACTCCTTCACATCATGGATCAAGGTCTCTCCCGCCCTCTTCGAGCTACCTACGAAGTGACCGAAGCAATGTCTCTCCTCTCCCGACCGCCCTGCATTTCCACCAGCTCAATGCATCTCGCTCAAGCCTAACCAGGCACGTCCAGACCCCTTCCATCGGCGGCCGCAGCTCGACTACAACTATTCCCTCCCAACCCGTCGTCGTCCGTGTCCATTCCGACGATGCCTCTCTCCAGATCCGCCCACCAAGGCCCAGATCCAAACCAGGCCCCATGAATAACGAGCTGCCCCCTGCCCATGAATTCAGTTTTCGAGGAATTTTGGCGGCGGTAGAGGAGGACATCGAAGAAGACGTCAATGCAATAGCCGAAATATTTGGGAGGAGCCGGCTGGTGCGGGCAGACCAGCATGAGAGCCACTTGCCTCCCCAGGGAGAGATCAGGGCCATCAGCAGTCCTTTACAGGCAGTGGCCGAGGCGAGCGCAAGCAATGAGCGTCTTGCCGCTGCCGCAGACGATGTTGTTATCCTCCGAGAAGATGCAAGTCTCGTCGACGGAAGTCACGCTGGCTCTGCCGCATATGGCTTGCTTGAGAGGCTACAAGCTGTCCCACGCACCAGGCGCATGCGCAGTGAGACCTTGGGGGCCGGTCCCTCAAGGCCGGGCACTGGCTCAATACGCCACGCTTCAGCGCCTGTGATTCTATCGGATGTGCCGCCAGTTGTCGAAGATCATGAACGATTAGCGCTATCTGGACAGTCACGCTCGTCTCGCAGGTTGCTTCAGAGCTCTGTGGCGGAGCATGAAGTCGAAGAACCGCCTTCCAGAGCAACCAATGCTGTCGTATCGGAAACATATCTCTCTGCCGGGGCAAATGCCGTTACGATTTCTGACCCTCCTGTTGTTTCAGAAGGAGGTCGTCACTATCCACTGTACAGTTTTGACGACAGCGGGCTTTTCGAGGGGCCTGCGGCTCCTTGCCCCCCTCCACCTACGACCTTCCGGGAAAGATTACAGTCGCTGATTCCTAGAATGGAGTTACACAGTTTCGTGCCCTGGGTCCACGGTCAACGCAGCCAGGCCGTAAGCGCAGAGTCCCAACTTCGGGACATACTCGACAGGCATCAACGCGCGCGGGACTCGCGAAGAAACTTGGTGGCAGCGACAGAGAGCCCGGAATTGTACGAATAGTATTCAGAACTTTCCAGTGGATCATGTACGGATGGGGGAGAAGTTCCTCATCGACCGCTTGTCGCCGGACAACTTCGCACAGCGATCATGTCGAACTGAGAGCCGCGTAAAAACTGAAACATGGACATTGTTCGCGCAAGAGCGCCAAGATACCAGCAATAAGAGCATCATATCCCGCTTCCTTGGTTCCTGTGAAACTGTCCCTCCTCGTTTCCGAGTCTCGGTCTTTCTCTCCTTATCATCCTCACCGTGAAGGCGCTGCGGAGGGCCGCAAGACAGCAAGAGGCAGCCAATGATCAGACATATGAGGGCAGCCGATTGGAAGGAGTTCATCCCCGTCAGATGTTTCCTACACTCCTATGCCTCCAAAGCCCTTCGGATGACTTGTATGTGATCTGTCGTCGGCGCTTGTCAGCCAATTCTCTCCGGACGCGATTCGCTTGTTACACAAGGATCTGTGTTGCTCGCAAACCTATGCAGATCCTGAGGGTCATAATTCTTCGCCCCTGGAACAACGTCATCCGGATCGACTGTGCAAGGCTGGCTGCAACGTTGTCGGCGACAAATGAACGATCTGGGATTGTGATATCAGACGAGAACACCAAAACTGTCCAGCCTCATCGCGCCCAGCTGGATACTTCAGACTCATTAGGCATTGAATGGTCCTACAACAAGTTCTAGATCTATCTCTGGCCGTCCTAGACCCAGCTTTGTGCCACGCAAAATGTCTATGTCTAGCTAACAAGCAGCGGGAGGAAGGAAACCAGGCTCGTGGTTCGGCATCACTTGACCTTGATCAACACAGTTTTGGTCTCGAGGAAATTGTTCAGACTGTGTCCGAAGCCTTCCCGACCTGAGCCACTGCTCTTGTAGCCGCCGAATGGCATGTCTCTTGCCGTCGTTGGACTGGTGCAGTTGACAGCCACTGTGCCTGCCTCTAATGCCTTTGCAAATCTCATGGCCCGGTTGATGTCCTTGGTGTACACCGCCGCGTACAGACCGAACTCGCTGTCATTGGCTTTGGCAATAACCTCCTCCTCAGTCTTGAAGGTATTGATGTTCACAACAGGTCCGAAGATCTCCTCTTTCATCACTGCAGCCTCTTCCGGCGTGTGCAGGAAGATGGTCGGTGGCACAAAATAACCTTGCTGGGCGGACTCTGAGAGACCAGGCACATCCGCTGTACCACCCAGGGCCAGCGTCCCAGTCGATTTTCCAGCTGCAATATATTTGTGTACAGTGTCGAACTGCGCGGAATCAGCCTGTGGACCATGGTTGGTGTTGGGGTCCAGCGGATCTCCTGCAGAGACTTTGGCAAACTGCTCCTTGAACGCCTCAATGAATTTATCAGCAAGGGTATCTTGGACATAGATTCTGCTGTTGGCCATGCAAACCTGGCCACTGTTGTACTGAATGCTGAACTTCGTTTCCTTGACGGCATCTTCGAGGTCGCAATCGTCAAATATAATGGCAGGTGACTTTCCCCCCAATTCAAGGACAACATGCTTAAGATTGGATTTTGCTGCAGCAGCCTGGATGAGACGGCCAGTTCGACACGATCCGGTAAAACTGAGGGCTCGGACGTCCATGTGTGACGATAATATGGCCCCTGATGTCTGCCCGTGTCCGGATATAACATTGATGACTCCGGGAGGAAAACCTGCTTTCTCGATCAGAGTCGCAGCTTTGGCAGACTGACGAAGGCGATTGTCAGCAAGGTGTTTCATGGAAGTGGTTAAATTCTTCTGACTGCCTGGCGAAGGTCGGGCATCGGATGGAGGATTTACATACCGTCAACGGCGCTTTCTCGCTGCTCTTCAAAACAACAGTGTTTCCCGCCGCAAGCGCAGGCGCCACCTTGTTTGCGAAAAACACCAGCGGAACGTTCCAGGGAATAATTGCGGCGACAACCCCGTACGGCTGTTTGAATGTCATGTTAACGAAACCTGGAGTGTTCAAGCTGCTAACACCTTGAACTTCATATCCGGCCTCGGCATAATGCTCAAAGGTGCTGGCTGCGGCTCGATGGTCGAAATACAACGACACCGGCCGACCCATCGAAAGAGCCTCCAATCGAGACAACTCCTCGCCACTTTCGACCAACAGCGCTGCCAGTTTTTTCAAGTACGCACCTCTCTCGGCAGGAGAGAGAGCAGACCATGCCGGAAAGGCTGCTTTGGCGGCAGCTACAGCGGCATCGGTGTCCTTTTCGCTGGCTTCGTACACTAGGTGGCAGACTTAGCATTGCATTCACGTTGGATCGAGGCCGGCGATGTACCTTCGGCGACAACTTCCCTGGTCGCTGGTGATTTGATGGGAAAAGTCTTCCCGTCTGAAGACTCAACAAACTATGCCAACGTTAATACGGAGGTTTGCATGATCAGGAATGTCTTGGAGCACATACCTTGCCATTTATGAACAGCCTTGTCTCTATCTTGCCAATGGAACCCATTTTGACCTGTTTACGACCTGCGTGTAGGTTTGTTAACTCGCTTCGCACGGCTCGCACGGCAAAGTTAATGTCTCTCAATTCACGGTTCTAAGGCTGCACAGGTCGATTTCTAAGCGTCCGGTACATAGAACCAAGTTGTTATTGCCGATATGGACGGAGATACGCCTGGTTCTACTCTCTCGGAAGAGGCACCCGAAGTATACGCGGCACCAACGGGGGAGATCCGGCACAATTATATAGGATCGAGAACCGTGTATTGCTTGGTGGGGCATGGGGCTGGCCACGGACATGAATGGGGCTCCCATCGCTCACAGCCTTGCCTTCGACGGAGGTGATAGTCTGACTTCCTACAAGCAGCATTTCGAACCGACTACGAACCTCAACCCCATGGAGAACCTAGGCTGGGACACCTAGGGCTTACAAAAGCCTTCAGAACACGGGGACCGAACTCGGCCATCTTCAACCATAAGAGCATCTCTTCCTCATTCGGCCGCAAGAATACGGACGACGGATGAATTGTCATGCCGCTGGCTCGCAGTAGAAGCAAGCCAAGAGGGTAAAGCCGCTCTCCATAGCACATTTAGCAAAGTTGGCTGGCCTGCAGTAGAGAGGGAGAAATGGGCATCTGTCACCTTCCCACGGAGGACAGTCCAGCCGACGGATACCAGTCAAGCACCTATGTCCGATTAATTCGACCTTTCTAGTCAATGACTACCGTCCACGCCATTGGATCCAGCACCGTTGACTCCATTATGTCCATTCCGATGCAGCTCCCTCTGGCGGATCTGCCAGGGTAGAGGCTCTGTCGCTGGTTGGGCCGGTCCAAGATCGCCCGACTCGGACCTTCTCCTCTGCCACTCATCAATGTCTCTGTGGTCGACAAAGTTGCCGTGCAAGCCCAATTTCAGTTTGAAAGGTAGGTGTATCACTGCCAGCGGTCCCTTGGCCACGTCGAGAGCATCCATAATAACTATATCATTTCGGAGGACATCGAGTTGGTTGAGCAACGCAATGAGATAGCCCTCTCCCTCAGCGCCCCCGTCCTTGGGGATGAACGTTGGCTCTTGGAAGGTCGCTGTCGGTCCGGCGAAGAACACATCCTCCGTTCTGTCGTCCCAGCTGTAGTGGCCTAAGCAATTGAACAAGCCGCCTGCCGGTGGACCGCATTTTGCAAAGTCATAAGGCTTCGTCGGGTCGACTTTTGCTTGCCAAAAGTGATTGTATTTCTTGGTCACGAATCGGTCGTCAATGCGAGAAAATTCGCCATTCGTCATCCAGGTTTCAGCTGGGGTGACTCTTGCTCCCGACTTGGCTTTAGGATCAAAGATCCATCGAGTGGTCGGACTTCGCAGTTGGTTGCGCTTGGAGAGCGGTCCTTCCTTCTCATCGACAGGTGGGAAGAAGAAAAAGACATTGCCGTCTGCGACAGTGAGATCGAAAACGACATGGCCGTCTTCGTTCTCATAGCATCCTGCGATATGCCCGTGGAAGGCTGTGAATGACACTCTTTAGCATGACGGGCGCACAAGCTTTGGGGACCTGAACTTACCATTGTCAGCCCTGAACCAGACAATATCCTCCGACTTCCCTCCTCGTCTGGGAACAAGACCGTACCACTGATCTTCGTTTGGATCCCATGCCCAATGATTCCCTCCGCTCTTCAGCCTGTCCATGCCCGTCCACTTGATCGGCGTCAACGGCAACACCATGTAATTCTTACTGACTCCACAGTCATGGATCATTCCACAAAACGGAGCCTTATACCAGCATTCCTCGGTCTTCTTCCCGTCCTTGTCCATCGTCCACACTACAATGTCATTTGAGCCGTCATGGCCGTCCCCGCCAGCTTCGTATGCAAAGCACAGCATTTCCCCGGTGTCCGGGTCGAACTTGGGGTGCGCTGTGAACGTGGGTGTGAGGATCTGACCCTCGAAGTCGTACCGGCCGATTGTTTCGAGAGTGACGGGGTCCATGATATACGGCGGGCCGTCTTCCTTGCTTGCCAACAGGACGCCTCGCCAGAAGGTGATATTGGTGTTGGCAGCCGTCCGCACCACGCCCTTCACCGTCTCGTTATCCGTAAAGGGATTTCGATACCTTCCAAACAGCGCCCTCCTGGCGCTCGTCTCGGCCTTGTACCGATCTGTCTGGACATAGCGCTGCTTGAAGTCGGCGTGCCCGTTCTGGATCCTGATCGCCGTGACGCTCCCGTCGCCGTTGAAGTGGATGTCGTCCTCGAAGATGGGCGGGAAGCGGTGGTCGGGCTGGATGCGGTAGAATGTCCCGTTGATCTCGGGCGGGATGGTCCCCGTGAATTCCAAGTCGTACACGTCCCCTTCCAAGCGCGAGGGTTTGTTGAAGCCCTGAAATACAGACGTGTCCGGGTACTTGACCTGGTCTGTGGCTTTGACTCCGTCCTTGTAGGGACCCGAGACGAGCTGAGGGGCGAGATCGAAGATGTGTGCCATTATTGCAATTCGCCTTGCGGCAAAGGTAAAGAGTGGGAGGATGAATCTGTGTTGTCGGTTTTCTCTCCCTCCCTTTTGCTCTTTCTCTTCGTCGCCTGTATTCTCTCGCGTCTCCGCCACCAGTACTATATCAAATACCAACCATTCCCCTACGATCCTAGTGTGTATATATGCCTGTTATATTATACGTATCTATACAAAATGTTCTCAAAATGACCATCTCGGCCACGGGTTCTTTTGTATCCGACTCTTTCCAACGCACTGAAGCCGGGAGTCCAGGTCTTCGTGGCCGTTGGTCACTCAGTCTCTGGTGTTCTGTCCTAATTCGGCATGTGGGCTCCCCAGGAAATGCAACTGCCGACAGCTGCCTCCAAACCAACCTTGGCAGCAAGACACTTTCCGTTCCCAAACCCCATCTGGATCTGTTCCCTCCCGTTCCATCTCAGTAACGGGGAGAAGGAGAGAGGGGTAAACGGGAAAAGGGAGGGAAGAAAAGTCCATTATCAGATTCGGGAAAGTCTGGAGTTAATAAATACTCTCCACACCATACCTAGGTATTTTTTCCAGAAGACCAGATCCCCAGGTCACCTACTATAGGCTAGTAGACAGGCTTGACATTCCTTGTAGGAGGAGACCATCGGTGGGCTTGTTTTGTATGGGGATGGGGGCTATATTGGCCTAAGTATGGAGGAATTATGATTGCACGACCAGATCCATACGATTGTCCGGGAGGCTGGTGGCATCTGCACCGTCATTGAATACCGCTGTTCACAGAAAATCTCCCCCTGAAGTTCCATTGAAAGATTAGACACTCAGTACCTTGGTCCTTCCTCCAAACTAGGTCTGCATCAAGCGGGCGTGCTATCTGCAATCTCGCCGTTCTCGACCACGGCCTCCTTCACACCCTCGCCCCCGGTCTCTTTCTCCAACTGATCCTTAGGCAAAGCGATGCTCAAGGGCGGCAAGCTCTCGCCCACGTCCTGTCCGTACTTGGGCGCGCGCAGATCATCCTCCTTGACCATCTCCCCCGTCACCGGATGTGGATAGTGGAACGGCACGACGCGAGTATCCGGCCACAACATCTTCTGCTCCAGCAACTCGTCCGGCCCCAAGGGATCCTCCGGATACGTCTTGGTCGGCCAGGGAATGTAATTTTTCTTCGTGTGGCTCCAGCCGCGCTCGAAATCCGCGTGCCAGAATGGGAAATACCTGTAGCGGAACGGCTTCCACACCCCGTCCTCCTTGATGTACTCGTTCTCGTACAGCCCGCCTTCCCACCACTGCGCGTGACCGCGCGGGTGTTCTTCTTGGATCGACTGGTGCGTGCCCGCCGACATGAGGGCGCGGATGCGCGCCCACGCCCGTGTTCCCGAGGGGTCCACGTCCACTATGTCCTGCATCATCGGGTGGTCGAGCAGGAAGCCGTACACGGGCCCGTTGCGGCCTTTGACAAAGTGTGTCTGGAATCGTCCGATGTAGAGCCGGCGGATGCCCTCCTTGCGTCGGTAGCGGGAGCCGAGGAACTCGACGTATGCGTCAGGGTGGTTGGAGAACATGTCGACTACCTATACAGACCAGACAATATTCTCGCGCGTTAGTGTATCTGGTACCGTTGTTGTGTTGTTGTCTTTCCACAACCTCTTTCGCCGCTTGGGAGAGGGGTCCTTTCGGAAAAGCTCACCTCGTTGTACAGACACTTGTCAATGTAATAGCCGTATTTGAAATGAACCTTTCGGATCTCCGCCTCATCTAGAGATACCACATACATGTATTGCGTAAGTCGTCACTTGTCTTTTTTTGTAGCCTCTTGCAACCAGAGCGATGTGCCATGTTATGCTTACCCTCGACTTTCTGCAGTTTGGCATGAAGTCTCTTGACTTCGGCCTTGAGCTCGGCGAGTTCGCCCTCCATTTTCTTTTTCTTGTCGTCCTTTCTTTTCCTGGTTCAGGGCCTGTCGTAGTGTGACTCTGAGGAAACAGATACAATTCGCGAAAAATGGTAGATTAGATAACTTTGAAGCCTCCAACGGACTTACCACGCTCGCGCACAACACATGAACACGAGCACAATTCCTCGTCGCTGGATGCTTTGTAGTGCAAGAGACTCACCTCTAGGCTTTTTGTACGATTCGCTCTATACTGAGCAGCTGTAACAGGGTCTCCGCATCGTCCGTCCCCCAGACCATGCAATTGCAAAGGGGGCCGTTCTCCAAAAAGAGCGAATGCCCCATGTCGCTACCCCTCGGGGTCCCGCGGTGCTAGTGACAGTACCAGTGACGAAGCTTGGACGCGGAGATGGTGATGATGGTATGGAGCATGCAGGGACAGGGACTAGAGAGATGTGTGTGGGTCCATAACCCTGCTCTCGAGTTGACCGAAGTTGCAGAACCGCGTTTCGGGAAGGATGTCAACAACAATAAGGAAGGCCTAAGCTGCAGGTGGTGGTGGTGGAGCCGGAGCTGCTTGGGAGGCATGTCAACCATACTGTAACCGTATTCTGGTCTTTGGTCGCGCACAGCTTTTCGCTCGGCGCCATAAATATAACCCGCGATGCGGGGAGTCTATTGTCAACTGCCGAAGTGCCAGTGGTATCCAAGAATGCACAGGAACGCCCCCTCCTCTACTTGGTATTTTTCAAAGTACCAGGAGCCAAGGATTCCCAGGTCGTCCCCCCGCAACCCCGTGTGGGGTCTAGAGGTTCCCGAAACGGGGAGGAGACGAGGCTGGAGCAGCGAGGAGTTTGTGTAAGGCTGACACGATATCCAATCCGGGGTCGGTTGGGTTATCACTCTATTATCTGTCGAGGTTTCAAGCAGTCCTGGCGCTGCAGCCCATAAACTCGGGGAAGACAGCTCCCATGCTCAGAGGTTTGCCTTCGCAGCCTTACATCCCTCCGCATCTCTTTTCACCGATCCTAAAACATGTCTTTCTTGACTTTCCCACCAACCCAGACTTTCCTCAGGTTCCTGTCGTCCCCAGACATGACCCATTTCTCCCATACCCGCCTGATCCCCTCGGCGTTCCGGTCCTCGCCGTCCATCATGGTGTGCATGCCTTCGAAACCGCCAGAGCCCCTGTCGTAGGAAGGATCGCTCATGTCCACCAAAAGCGCATCGAACTGTTTCCCTACATCGAACGAGCCGACGCGGTCCTCCATACGCAGCACCTTGGCGCCGCCCAGCGTGGCCATGTAGAAGATCTCTTCCAGCTTCAGCCTCTCCTCCTTGCCGGCGGACAGCATCTCCCGTGCGTTGCCCACGATCAGTGCAAGCCGCATGGCGTCCATGATGCTGCACGAGAACCCACCTCCCGAATCGGTGCCCAGGCCGATCTTGGTGACCCCGTCTGACAGCAGTTTACGAATCGGGGCGGCCATGAATCCCCCGCCGACGGTCGTATTCGAGGCCGGACAGTGCGCTATCCCACAGTTCTGTTGCTTGATTCTGGATTGGTCCTCCTCGCTGAGCAGCGTACAGTGTGCGAGCACCGAGTTGTGGTCGAATAAGCCGAAGTGCGCGTACAGGTCGGCTTCGCAGCTGAAGTCGCGGTATTGGTTCAACGTGGCGTCGATTTCTTGCTGCGCTTCGCAGAAGTGCGTTTGGTTGGGGATCCCCTGGCCCTCGCCGTAGACGTGCTCGTGCTCCCTGGCCAGTTTGCCCAGCTCGGTCAGTGATTCTGGCGTGCAGCTTAATGCAAACCGCGGCGTTAGGATCGGTCGGACATTATCGCCTTGCGCGTCCACGGCTCGACAGTGCTGGATCACGTCTCTCGTTCCGGCCACCACGTCCGTGGTGTCTTCTCTGTAATACGCCGGGTTGGTCTGCGGGTTATCCATGCACGTCTTCCCCACGAACGCCCGCTGACCCTTTTCAAGACACACGTCGACGAGGATCTTGGTCGCGGGCGTGTGCAGACTGCCAAAGTAGCACGCGGTGGTCACGCCCTGGCGGAGGCCCATCTCGACACATCGTGAGTAGACGTGCCGCGCGTAGTCGATATCGCGGAATTTGGCCTCGTGCGGGAACGTGATCTGGTCCAGCCAGTCCAGGATATGGAGACCCTGGCCGAGGCCGCGCATGGAGAACTGCGGTGCGTGGACATGGGTGTCGATGAAGGACGGAACCAGGAATTGGCTGGGAGACTCCAAGCGAATGACAGGAATGCCAGCAACAGGTTGGCTGATTAACTGGCCAATGCTGTCCTCCAGGCTTTGGCCGTCTTTGGGCTGGAATTGTGGGTAGATGTGGCTTATCTTGCCCTTGTCATCGACTATGATGAGCGTATCGTCGAGGACTTCAACCTCGGATGGCGACCGAGAGTGTATCAGGGTGCCATGGCATGCAAAGGGGCCTTCCATGACCGTCAGAGCATCAGGGTATTAAAGAGATGTCAACTTATCAGACGAGTTACAACAGTAACTCGCAGATGGAAAACTCGGTTGACCTTCTAAGCCTTGCGGGTCCATAAGCTGCGCCACTTGGGCATCATCTGTATCTGCTTCTTTGCCCCAGTCCAAGCCTTGATTGGAAGCAGCTGAGATCGAATAGACCTACATACTCTTTGCCATGTGGTCCAAGGTAGGCAGCCACGCACCCAGCATAGCCCCCGGTTGCAACGGAAGCCAGCCTGTGGTTCTCTCTATCTCTACATATGTCCATATACCCCCAAAATGGAACGGGGACGTCTTTCCCAGAGACGCTGAGAGAGATATGAGAACAATCAAGATGCCCCTATTCAGAAGATGAGTACCATCAGCTACGCCAGCTACATTTCCCTTCCTGCCCTCCCCCACATCATCACCGAGTGGTGTGCCCTGGTGCCGCTGGTCGTGCACCTCTCCAGCCCGCATGATGAGTTCCAGGTGATTGGCAACGCGTGCCTCCGCGGCAAAATCTGCCTGGATCTCATGCCCAAGCTGGGCCAGCTAAAGGCCGTGGGGAAATTGCTCTCGCTGGGATCCGCCGTACTCGACCAGACAAGCAGCGCAGGCGTCGCCGGATCCATGACCGTATGGGATGTGTCCTGGGGCAGCGTGTTCCAGTGTGCCAACGGAGCCGCGAGAGAGCTGCTCACCGCGCACGCCTTCCGAGGGAAGACCGACGTCGTTGACGTCGAGACCACGCCACCGGAATCGGTCAACAACGCGAGACACTCACACACGAAAGTGGGCGGAGAGTCTTCGATCAAACCATCCATCCCTAAGAACGTCGCCTTCTGCCGTCCGCAGGTGCTGCACCTCGTCGAGTTGCGCTTCAGTAAGGCTTCACCTGGCAGCAAAGGCTCGGCGACCTCCAGCGCGCTAGAGCGACTGTACACCGCAACCGGCCATGTCGTCGTGACAGCACTGGGATTACCGCTGGCCCTGCGCGGCGCCTATGGGACGTGTGCTCTGCTCCTGTTGTCCCGTATCAACGCCCTGGTCAACCACCACCTCCCCGTCCACCGACCGGCGGGCTACCTCGGAAACAACGAGGCGTACACTTCCGCCTGTATGCTGGTTGCACCACATGACAATGCATCGACATGGCACCTCTACCGCGGCGACCGCGCCGTCATCGACTGGCTGCTAAACAAGCCCATGCTGGCCATCAGCACCCCGCGCAGATGCAAATGGGTCTTCTGGTACTTCCAGCTGACGCACTACCTCCAGCTGTTGGCCATGACCTACGTGGCCGCCCAGAAAGGCTGGGATGGCCTGTTCCTGCTCATATTGATGGTCATCTCACGCCTGGCTGGCTCTGAAGTGGCTGCTATGACACCCTGGGCTGCTCGATCCGGAGGCGCTGCTGCCATCTGGCTCCGACAGAACAACATCGATGTGCAAACGAGCACTTTCCGCATGACTGGTCGGATGCAGATGATTGGCGCGATCGACTTGATCAACAGCATGGACCAGGCTGAATGTTCATCTTCATCGCCGCCGTTGTCATCATCGTCCATTTCCTCCCCTTCCTCCACGGGACGGCATCACGATACTGGCATCAATGGGATCGACGTCTTGACCTCGACAAGCTCTCCTGCGTTGAAGTCCATGAGTCGAAGATTGAGTGCGAATTGGATGGATAGCATCGTCCCACAATGTCCACGCCGCGATGTCTGGCTGGAGCGCTTGAGTACGACCATGCTGGCCCAAATGAGGCAGCTGAGCCAGCCGATTAGGAAACCGGATAAGGATACAATTTCCAGCAATTTCAGGGAGATTCCCAAACCTGCGAATACATCGACACTCGCATCTTCTGTTGCTCTCAACTCGAACCATATGCACCAGCCTGGCAATCCGATCCCAGAAACAGGAAATGCACTCCCGCCAACCTCAGATGGCACCGAACGCTCTAGTGGTGGTCAACCTAGCATCGAGTCACCGGACACCTCTCTGAACTTAAGCCAGGAACAGGTGCCCCAGAGGAATTCAATCTCTCGGGCAGATACACCATCAAATGACGTCGACAAGTCGTCGGGTCTCGAGCCCGGAGGATCTACTGTCTCTATCGCTGTGGCTGTCCCTGATGCTCGAGTCTTCCCATATCTGGATTCGAGGGATATCAAATGGGTGGATCAAAACGCCCTGTGGGCATGGGAGACTGCACGTTGCATAATCCAATCTTGCGCTGCAGCGTCGTCTATCAAGGCAAATTCCTCGCTGAATCCGAGCACTGCACAGATAACGGCTGTTCAAACTTAGAGCCTCGAGGAAAACGACTTCTTCGGTCGTTGACTTCGCATATATTGATGTAGCTCGGGGAGACAGTGGCCAAAGATGGGATACGACAAACCCCCTCCAAACTGTCAAGGCCTGATTGCCATTCCCCGGCTTGCAGAGAAGAACGGCCGACAGTCATACCATGACATACCCATATGAGCCGAATGATGAGCGAGCAAGCAATCATTCTTTACGAGACTGGTGAGGTCCGTATTGTTTGGTCTATCCTGGTGGCGAATTCTGCAAAAATGGGACATAATCCGCATTTCTTGTACCTCTCGACCAATTCTGCGGACTCTCCGTAATCGTGACCGTTCGTTGTAGTGGCATCATTGGCAGCACTTGGCACGTCTTTCACGCCTTCGACCAAGGCCCCGAAACCAGTATCGATGGGAACCGACCCTAGAAAAGGGACATTGGCTTCGCTGGCCATGACCTGGCCTCCGCCCTTGCTAAAGACATTGCTGATTTCGCCACAGCAGGGGCACATATAGCCCGCCATGTTTTCGATGACTCCAAGCACGGGTACCTGAGTCTTTACGCAGAAATTGAGCTCTTTCCGCACATCGGCTGTCGCAATCGCCTGCGGAGTAGTGACCACCACAGCTCCGGAAAGTTTTGGTCTGGTGTCAATTTCAAGGGCGAGGCCATTGCCGTTGGAGGTTGTCACGGGCTGTACATCGGCAGCAAGTTTATGTAATTCCTCGACAATCGCGATATGCTCGTCGCTGGTGCCGGGTGGTGTATCAACGAGAAGGTAGTCTGTATTTGGCGGCCATAGAACATCTGAAACGAATTGCCTGATCATTGCCGTCTTCTTTGGTCCGCGCCAGATGACGGCCGAAGAGCGGGAAGGAAGGAGGAATGCTAAGGATAAAGCGTGGAGAGAGCCTCTATTGGGTTTGTCCTTGTCTGCTGCTTCTCTTGCATCGTGTACCCTAACCGGTAGCCAGCCACCAGGAGCTTGTGTCACTTTCTCGTCCTCCAGATTGAGAAGGCGAGGTATACTGGGCCCAGTAAGATCAATATCAAGGATTCCGACATTGTGACCTTGCTGTGTAAGGGACAGGGCGAGTTGCAGAGTGACACTTGATTTTCCGACGCCCCCTTTGCCAGAGAGGATGAGCACGACGTGCTTGATATTCTCGAGACCCATAGCTGACTGCGAAAAATGCTATCGTCCAAGACACATGTTAGAGGTTGCGGGCAGGGCGGTTCTGAAATAAATCGCAGTTGGCGCAGTTGGCGCAGTTGGTGATGCACGATCCGACAAAGGATTGTTAAGCAGGGGCGGAGATTGCCGGGTGGCGGCGTGGTTTGGCGGATAACAATTTTCAGTTCAGCCTTGGTAGGTGCGATTGGGCGGTCGATCCAGCCTGGTAGCTGACAAGCTGGTGGTTTTAAGAGCCTCGGGAGCCTAGCAGCCTTATCTGGGTAGGCCCTAGGGCTGCCGGGGAGCGAACATCGCGGGGGTGGCGCTAAGTGGTCCAGGCACCAGAAAATGGGCATTGGAGGGGCTGCAACGTTTTATTCTCCGTGACTTCTTGGGGCGAGACAAAGCATGCTTCGACTGAAGACGATCTCGATTGCAACGCCCTTAGGTGACTTAGTCGTACACCGTCTCTTCGCTCTCCAAGAAGGCTAGACGAGTCTCCCGGCTGCCTTTGGGGATGAGACTCCCGTAATAGTAGGCCAGAGGGCTTCGAAGCATGTGCAGTTGATGCTTGAGAGAGCACGTGCTTGCAGTTGCGGCGAAGTATTTGTATAGAGGTTAATGCAAGCTGCCTCAGTACATTTTGTTTCAGCAGGTGGTTGTGCATTCTCGGTAGCCAGTTCCTCTGCACCTCCTCCGTTCCCCATTTTGATCTTGTCCCAGTGACTCTTTCGGTTGTTCCGGAAGTCGCTGTGCTGCTACAGAGTAACGAACCCAAGCAGCCTTCAGTGGCCGCCCCCTGTCGACTAGCCCAGCGCTAATCAAGAATTTTCGCAGCGCAGTGCCTAGAGCCTTTCGTCATCGGTGCCGAGGCGGCGGGGTTCCCAGGCTTCTCACTGGCCGTTACTCGGTATTGGGCTCCGTCTCCGCGCCCGAAATTTCCAGCTGGCGGTGTCCACACACCATCGGGTGCCATCACCGCCTGTCACACACAAAGCTGCCACTTCTTTTTCTGGTGCGACATCAACATTCAACGCACAATTTTTGCCTCTTCTGAATCCTCTACCACATCCTCTACCATTGCAACTGCTGCGAAAGTCCCAATCCCCTCATATTGTTGGATACATCCTTCTCATCGGCTCGTCTACTTTGACGCAGTTTTCTCTATCGCAGAACCCCCCTCCATTGAGCGGTCAGGAAATTTTCGCTGAGGCATTTTTTGCACCGCCCACCATTGTTCACCACCACAACCGCAGCCCTGGCGACCTTCACCAGTTGAGTGATTCACTCGACGCTCAGGCTGTGAAAGCCGCCCTTCATCTCCAGCAAGTTTCAGTAACATCTCTATGAGCCGCAAGGATTTGCTTCGCTTCCTATCCAAGCCAGCAAAGTGCGTCCCTCCACTGTTCCCATTGACCGACACGGTGCTAACCCGCCAAATAGGCCCAGATAACACCAGCTACTTGCGGATCTATAACAAAAGTCTCACGGCGAGTTTCCATCAAGCAAAGCCTCTCGAGAGATAACAAACATCTCTCACACCACTTGGACGGCGATCGAAGTTTGATCAGAAAGAGTCCACAAACACTGCCCACAATTCCGTTCGTGCAGGAAATCTTCTTCCTCCTCTCCTCCACCAGGCCTCCATAACGACCCTTGAGAAGGGATATCAAGACACATCACACACTGCTGCTGGCAAAAGCCAGCCTCCAACTCTCCCACCGCATAGTGGGCCTTCTCTTCTCAGGCGGACACCGCATTGTTCGTCTGGGTGGCAGATAGTGCTTCACTGAATCGTCAGATCAGTGTTTCTTCACCTTCTTGCCCACAACACTCCAAGCAACGAGAGGACTCTGTCCGCGCCTTCGAAAGGATATGGTACACATTGCGATCCCCAAGCATTATACAATCTCGCCATCGAGCTTTAGTCACACCCCATCATTGACCATCAATCGTGAAGTGGCGCTAGACCTTGATTCTAGCAATGCATTCGAAGGTAAGTGTCTCGCGTCCGAGGGTCTTGCCTCGTATCTGACATCTTGGAAGGTCCCGAGAAACTCCTAGAAGTATGGTTCAGTCCATCAGCAGATGCCCTCCAGGGCTGTTCGGAGCCCACGGGACTCAAGGCCGTGCCATCGGACGTCTGGAAGACAATGCTTGACCTAGTCAATTGCAAAGTCTTGTCCATCATTGAGTCTGAAGATGTTGATGCTTATCTGCTTTCTGAGTCGAGCATGTTTGTCTTCCCTCACAAGCTTATTTTGAAGACTTGCGGGACAACTACCCTGCTTTGCGGGCTGCCACGGATCCTCGAAATCGCGGTCCTCTTTGGAGGTTTCCCACGTGCAACTGCTCCACCATCCAATGCTATTGCCGTCGCGGCCGCTCCATACCGTGTTTTCTACAGTCGCAAGAACTACTTGTTCCCGGACCGCCAACGTGGTCCACATCGCAGCTGGCGCGATGAGGTGTACACTCTTGACAAACTCTTTGTTGGGGGTTCTGCGTACATGATCGGCAAGATGAATGGCGAGCACTGGTACCTGTATCTCACTGAACCATACACCATGTTGACGCCACCAGCAAGCCCACAAAGCATGGGTAGTCCAGGCACTGAGACCAAAGTTCTGGATTTGCCGTCGTCGCTGGTGGTCGACCGTGGTTCCAAGGTGTGCGAAGGTGAAGACGAAACTCTCGAGATCCTCATGACTGATTTGGACGAGGAGAATGCCCGACAATTCTACCTCGACCATGCGAGTGCGGTCGCAGAAGATCAGTGGAGAGGATCTCAAGGAGGACGAGATGATCACGTCGATGTATTCAGCAATGCATCATCTGATGACAGCGACATTTCTCTCAAGGAAGAGGCCTTTCCTTCGGAACTCACCACTGAAGGGCATGCCCTTGGCACTGTGGTGTCCGAGTCGTGCGGTCTTTCCAATGTCTATCCGGTCGACAAGTATCCAGAAGCTCGAGTCGATGCATATCTCTTTACACCCTGCGGATTCTCGGCCAACGGAGTTATCCCAGCGCCTAACGGACAGAAAGGAACCCACTATTTCACTGTTCATGTGACTCCAGAGCCAATCTGCTCTTATGCATCTTTCGAGACCAACGTCCCTTGTGGCCAGAAGGGTCGTGAGACCGCTGACATTATCCAGCATGTCGTGGACATTTTCAAGCCTGGCCGGTTTACCGTTACTCTTTTCGAAGCTACCGCTACATACGAGGAAAAGGCCTATGCTGACCATGACGAGCTGGCTGAGCTCCGGATGCTGGAGCGACAGGCTGCTCGTCGTAATACCAAGATGGATGCTATCAAAGGGTATCGCCGCGTCGACCGTATCGTTCACGACCTCGACGGCTATGACTTGGTCTTCCGATACTATGAGCGCAACGACTGGAAAGGCGGAGCTCCACGGATTGGAGAGTGATGGTATTGTGCACGATGACCATCCAGGGGCACACAAGTTGATTGTTGTCAGAAGCGAGGAGCTGCTCAGGGGGAGGATGGTGATGGGCTTCAAAAGGTTTCTGAGCACGAACTTTGTCAGGGGCTATGATTGGTTTTTATGATTTTTCTTGCATTACTTCCACTCTTTTGAACACAGCTATAGGCTGACGATAAAGACCGTTGAATACCGGCACTTCACCCGAGTCCTCAGTCCTGAGTTGTTCGATGTGTTTGCACCCGCATTGTCCCCCGATTCACCCATCGCTCAGCGCGTCTCCTGGGTTCCAGTGATTCTTTATTACCTAGTGAGCAAACATCTCTTGTATATACAGCAAAGCCCCTCACCCAGTGCTCTTACCGAAGGGCCACAGCCAAATATTGTATCGAATCAAAGCCCTCACAATACGGTCTTCAATGAGGAGGAGTCCGAGGTATATTTCGTGAGCGGTTGAGCCCATCGTAGCGCGAAGCGAAGCGAAGCGACATTTGTAGGACCGCGAGGACGTATGGGATCATTTACGTAGGTCGGTCATAATATAATGATTGGTTTTGGATGTACGACGCAAGTCGGCTCATATACGAGTTTTGTGTTGTTTCCACATCTTAGGTGGGTGTACAGTATATCCACCGGATGCCGATCAGGGGAACGAACGGTATCCACGTACGAGGGTATAGTATCTTGAATACCTAGGTAGGTAGAGGGGCCACCGGGGGTTCCATACGCCACGCTAAAGGGGGCGGGGGGGAAGGCTGACATTCAAGTTCGGAGGGCAGGCTTGGCGGGTAAAAATAATATCGACGTGTCTCATTTTCCCTCTGCCCACCTAAGCCTTTGTCCACTGTAATTAACCCTTATGGGACATTTCCAAGGAGGCTATCTCGTAACCGGTACGCAGTAGCTGCGTAGCTATTGTTGGGAATCAAGCGTGAGTCAGGACGCAATAATCCATTGCCTTGAGTGTGCAGCCTCGGAGGAAGAGGAAGGGATTTACGGAGATTGGTGGTGTGGCCGTGGATCTGTTGTCGTTAAAATGAGAGACATTATTTATTGGATTCTTCTGTGGAAACGGAAAAATCATGTAGCAACGTACTCGGTATATGCACCAAAAGCAAGGACGCTGCAAATTTTTTCCTGTTGACAAAGCCAGGTCTTCACGCCACACTCACAGCAGAGGTTCGTGGATTGACAGGATCTATCGACACCAGCGGCAGCTGCGGATGATCGAGCTTCTCGACCACCTCGAATTTCACGGGCGCCTTTGAGCTCCGGACCTTCTCCACAGCGGGCACATCCATCACCTCGCAGTTAACGGTCACCGTTGTGGCTCTCCATGTGTGTTCCACAGCCACGTCGTGCGTCTCCAGCGATAGGATGTACTGCCTCCTCCGAGGGTTTCGATGATCCTCAATCGTGACCGAAGCCCTCTTGTCCAGCCCCCTCAGGACCCCGTAGGTGGCGGAGAAATTGGCGAAAAGCATGTCCTTGACGGCGTTCTGTCGGTGCTCTTCGAGAAGGCTGGCGTCGTCCCCGTGAGCCAATGCCACCAGGGCCGTCGAAAGCTCGTCGTTTGGACCCGACTCCTGGAATATGGCGGCCCACGAGTCGAGCCTCCAGCTTCGGATGAAGGATTTGTGGACACCACAGAGGAGCACGAGACGCCTTTGCAGTCGGGGAGCTGGAGGTGGAGTCTCGAACACAAAGGGCACGATGCCGACAAAGTGGGCGGACTCGACTCCAAATCTGGTGGTTTCCACCTCCCAATGTTGTCGGGGCAGCACGTCGCAGAGCCGCATTTGGCGCCGTAGGGACTCGGCGAACTGTATCGTGACGTTGGAGATGCGGCAGTTTGCCTCGGTCAATTGCTGCGGGCCCTGGACACTCTTGCGGACGTAGACGGTTCGCCTGGTGCCCTGCCACCAGAGCCGCCGCGATTTCTCGGCCGTGATGTGTTTTGGCAGGACCCGGACGAATGTCTCGCCTACCTTTAGTAGCTGAACAAACAGCCATTCAGGGTTTCGTGTAGCGCCCTTGCGACAGCATCCCAGATCCAGAATGCAACGGTCGACGCGTCCGGGAGGACCGGGTGGGAAGATACCCTCGGCGCGTAATCCGTTGCTGGTGACCGAGACCTCATTCCACAGGCTCTGCCTCTCGTGCGGCGCCTTGAGGTCGACGCAGTCTGAGAACTCGGACGGCGATTCCGCAAAGATGCCGCGATAAAGCGACTTCCCGGACGTGTTTTGCCACGCGAACAGACTCAAGTCGTTGTGCTCCTTGAGGATCTCTTCCTGCAAGCGGAGAAATGCCCTGTCCCCTTCCCCGTACAGCAGAGGCATGTTGACGTTGAAGATCCCCAAAAGGCAGTACGCGATATCCTCGACCCGGCTGGTTTCTCGGGCAGCCGCCCAAGACATTCTCCTGCCCACGGGCACAAAGTCCAGGTTTTGCCCGTTGACGAGCACGTCCGGGTCGATTTGCGTGATCTTCGCGAGCAGCTCTTGAAATTTGGCCTTGGTCCCGGCTTCCACCCACCACTTATCGTAGAAGCGGACCCTTTGGGGAGCAATAAGTTCCTGGAGCGTCCATCCTCGCGTGAACCAGCGGGATGCTTGAAGCTGGGTCAGGTCGGACGCGTTTTCCAGGTCGGACAGATACGCGTAGCAGATGTGCGAGTCTCGGTACCATTTGAACATGGAGTTTATGGCTTCAGAGAGCTCCGCGCTGCTGCTCTTGTCTATGCACACCGTGTCCACCCAGGCGTATTTCAATCCATCGGCCTTTGCCATGCGACAGGTCATTTCGATCTTTGCGTACCCGGACTTCTGTTTCAGCCTGTCAGCCTCATCCGCACCACCAGCCCCAGACTCAATGCATTTCCACTCTTGGAAATTGATCTCTTCTTTCCCCCAAGTATGTGAGAGGATGGCATAGGACCCTGGAGCAGGGTAGACAATAGATTCCAGTTTCAGGCTCTCCGTGTCGATCAATAACATCTCCGTCTCTTTATACAGAATATACTTGAGCAAAATGCAAAACAAACAAGTCAGGCGGTGGTGCAATGGCGACGAAAGGAACTCGCAAAGGTGTATTCTGTACTGTGAACCGGTGTCGTGACTTCCCTAGAAGTTGGCTATGGAAGGCGACTATGACCTGTACCTGATGCTTGTCCGAAGGGTGCAACGAAGCAACGAAGGCAAATTTGAGAAGAAGAAAAGAGAGTCCGTATATGAGAGAATGTGCCGGAGCAGCAACGCAAATGCCAACGAAAGAAAGATAAAGACCTGGTTAAAGGAAAAGAAGTACTTAATCCTAGGTAGTCACAGGTCAAGTTGACATGTGCGTTGGCGCTTCAGCCTCGCGAGGCTGAGTAAGAATCCATCACTCATATCGGACCAATCATGGAACATGTCAGTGTTGGCAAGACGTGGCGCAAAGTGAATCGTTCGCTTTTCCCAGAGGCGTCGAAAGATGATCACCGACCTTTGTCAACGTTCCCGACCTCTATTCGAATGAATTCCATGCGATAACGTGGAAATCTCTCGCCATCATGACAACGCAGCCGTTCCGTCCACTGGTACCGGCCCTTCTTGTGCGGATATCTTTACACGATTTTTGTGAAAGATCGCTCTTTGAAAAGGGCCTGGCCGACAGCCTCTTCCACAGGGATCCGTAGGGTGGGCCCGAGCTGAAGCATAAGATGAGTATGGAATGCGAAATCGTGGCAAGTCCAAATCCAGCCCCTGGCGGCATTGGATACAAGACTCACACCACAAATTCGTCTGGGAACTCAGACCCTCCCTCAAGGCTATTGAGCGAGGTTTCAGGGATGAGGATCTGCTGTATCCATGACGCGTTGGTGGCACTTTTGATATAGACCCGGCAAGGATAACGTTGGGCGACCTGTAGCTGAAAGAGGCTGTGCCGGTCTCTGCATACCTAGGGATCACAGAATCATAAGGAGAACGAAGGCGATAGTAATCTCAAAGGTCTGGAGCCATAACTTCAATTCACAAGGGTTATATATATCCAGCCCAAGATAACTGCCTGTCAGCATATTCAAAACCATCGACATCCACCAGTAATCGAAGTTAAGACCTCCTAGGGTTCCGTGACTCCCCTGAAAATCCCATTGGAATAGGGGAAATAGTAGCCAATCCGGACGCACAAATGGCAGGAAAGGACAGCAACACCAGTGTAAACACTTCGTATAGTGGGCAACCCTCTGCCAGAGGCATCAACATCCCAGGCGCACAGCAACAATCAATCATTCGCTTGCTGTTGCTTAAGGTGATTCGATATAAGCGGCGAGGCAGCGGTTGGTGGCAAGGCCGGCTGCTCAAAGCCTGGTTCGGGCAGCCGCACCTTGTTCCCCAAGTCTCCTCAGTGTTTCCATCGTGTTTCCGAAGCTCCGAGCATCGTCCATCAGCTCGCCCGGTCTGTGCCATTGATGGGAATGGCTTTGATCAACTCGGCCCTTGTGACCTATTGCCTTCGACTCCCTCACCTGACCTGTCCCGAGCACGCCTCTAAGGGCTTTGTTTCCCCAGATTTCGGGGAAAAGCAAGCCTCTTTGTGCTTTCCCCGCGTGGAGAGGTCACCAGGATCTGCATTCTTTCGTGCACATGCGGATCCGCATACCATCCCCGAGGAAGATGTGCGGATAACGAGTTGCGTAAGCCGGACCCTGTCCGCGCGGAGAACACGTCTCGTTTCAAGTCCCTGGGGCTAAAAGAAATGAGGCAGAGCTAATGCAGGGACCTTAAACCACGGTTTGTCCATCGTATCCATTGGGCCGAAGAATTCTGTCTCTGCCTTGCCTGGTTGTAATAAGGTTTGTCAGAGACCGTGCGGCTAAGGCTGCGCGGAGAAGGGGGTCTTCCTTAAGGTGTCCGCACGCCGGACGCTCCCGTGCGATCCATGTACCGACAAAATGCGGACTGACGGCTTGCCTTAGTTGCTCTAAGCCGTGCCATAGAAAAGGAAAGGGAAGAGGAGGAGGTAAGGGAGCTCACCAGAAGCGCTGACAGTTTGATCCGTCTACAGACTGGTCCTCGCTATTCGCTAGGCCCGGGGAACATGATCTTCCGACGGTATCCACGGCAAATGACGAACAATAGGGTAGTAGGCCAGGGTTAGACGAAGAGTCCAACCTGATAAGTCTGGCATCGATGCTTTTCTGCATTACTGTGTATTAATTTTATGCCATGCCTTGGTTCACGGCTTCTTGCAGTATTTTTGCTGCACTTAACGCCATGTCACTTTTTCGTCCTAGCAGCCACAACGCTTCGATACAATCATTCAGACGACTCCTTGCTTCTGAGAGGTGGTTGGTGTCCATGAAAAGTCCGGGCTCCCGCCGTGACAGAACGAGTTTGACGAGAACTTCACCGGCGTGTGCGAATGAGCGCACCAAAACTACCGTCCATGGTTCTGTGAGCAATGCTGCCTTGTTGACCGCATGGTGGAAATCTGGTGATTGCGAGAAGGATAGATCTTCGTTGCCGAAGCGCGAACATCGGCCGAGGTCCGACACGGCGTACACGGAGCGGAACCTTACGGCTGCAGAGAACTCTGTCGTCTGTCTCGCGGTCCGATTTGCCGGCAGGGTCATGTTCGAATCGTCCAGCTTCTCGATCAGATCCGACAGAATGAGGACGGCCAGGTGCCAGTGACTGGCCAAGAGGAGATACCATGATTGAATGCGAGCGGGCAGGCTCTCGTGGTTTGCCACACAGTCACTGATGAAGCGGCCGTAGGTATTATTCCAGTGATTATAGACCTCCAACGTGGAAGCAATGGCATTCTCGATCGCCTCGGCTGAGGCGCGCTGGTAGTAGAGATCTTGAAGATGTCCTACCCTGCGAAAAACAAGGACCTTGACGGGAGCAGCATCAGCGAGGCATGCGGCAGCATCGACATAGGAGCAAGGCCAACGGGTCGTCTGCTTGCGAACGTCTCCGACCCGGGACTGTTGACGAAGGAAATAGTTGCCCCATATGTGCGACTCTCGAGCCAACTGAGAACTGTTCATGTTGGAGAAACCAGAATATCCATCCAGATCACAAGCAAACCCGTTGACAGATGTTGCGAGCCTAGGTGCAGGTGGGTGAACGTCATCAACGATGCTGGTTTCGCCGTCACTGAGAGCGAAAGTCCGTCGATTCATGGCAGCGGAAATTGTGTCAAACATGATGGCGAGCCAAAACATCAGTCCAAACGTTTGTTTATCCTGCTCACCGAGAGTGAAGGACGTTTGTAACGCGAGGTGACCCCCATCCCGAGAGCGTTCAGCGTCCTTTAGTCTTCGTTGATGATCATGCAGTTTGCGGACTGCGACATCCAAAAAGATGGGGCCACCATCGTTATCGAGAATCTTGCGCAGCGATGCGAGGTCATTCTGTCGACGTGAATTTGGGCTGGGGAGGACTTCGGCCGACTCCATGGGACGTTGGGTCAAAGAAAATATGATTGCAGCAAATATGACCTTGAAAGACGGGTTTCCCGTCGCCTGACTCAGGGCGAGGTTGGCTTTGTGCCAGAGCGCTTTTTGCATATTGCGCCCAAAAATCCCATGTTCTGGTAGGTGCGTGCTTAGGTTGTCGTGCTTTCCGTAGGAGGATTGAGCCCACTGCACTGCGAAAGCCATAATCACGAGGCTAAGGACGTTTGAAGCCTGTTTCTGATCATTTTGAGACAAGACACCACTCCTCAAATAGGCGTCGTCTAATGCGCGGACTCGTGTCACAATTCTGTTGGACCATTTGGAGCTCCAAGCATCTCTTTCGTCCACAAACGGACTCGACGCATAGGGGCAGTTCCTCTCAATCAGCCAACAGCTCAAAGCACCTTCTAGAGAGTCGTGATAGATTTTAAGCAGGCCATTTTTGATATAGAGCCGGCTATGGTCTTCAGTAAGAAAATGCGAGGCGAAGGGTGAAGCGTTCTTGGTCATCAGGCCATTTCCATATAAGGGAGGAGAGAACCGGCGGTCCTGGCCTGTCGATTCCTGGTCCTGGCTGTCAACTACTGACTGAGGGTTCGACATGGGCTGCCCCCAAGAACTTGAACCGTCAGAGAGGTAACTCGAGGATTGGCCATCAATAGCGACATCCGGGTCGAGCATTGGCTGGGCCATGTAGTAGCTGGTCGAATACGGCTCGGGACCGTCGACAGGTGGGAAGTCATAGAAGGGCTGGTTGAGCTGTGAGTTCATGAGGGAGGCGCTCTCGTCGTGATGGGATCCGTTGAAGTTCTCGAAGACTGTACTCGTAGACAGACACGCTGTCGAACCGTCGGGAAACGTTTCTCTGGATATCGACCTGTTGAGAGAGTCGCTGAGTATGGGGTCGGGATCTTGAGGTGGAAGATTCGACACGCCATCCACCCATACGTCCTGCGTCGCTCCATCGTCTGCTATGTGCGATGTCTCCTTGGAACCCCGCCGGCGTTTCGAGGTGGTCGACTGGCGCCTTTGATGCGACTTGATCCACTCGATTGTACATGCCTTTTTCCACTTCTTACAATTCGTGCAGGGGGACGAGGCGAAAATATTGGTCTCGTCATGTTCGTCGTTCGAAGGGAAAGCGAGACCGCTGATTGCCGGAATCTCGTGGACAGCGACTTCGACATCGCATCGGCGTTTACCAGCCCGACACTGGTCGCAGCTCTTGTTCTGGCGACGGCGTAGAGCGATAGTCTGGGCCATGACTTGTGTGGGAGGAATTGTGTGAATCGGGCGGATTGGATTCAGGGTTTACTGCGGCATTGATCCCGGCGACGAGAGCATCTAACAAGGTTAATTAGAAGGCTTGAAGTTCTGTGATGTGCCAGTGCGCGCGAAAGAAGTGAAGGTGGAGTCTTGGTCAGTCCCAGTGCTGAGTCCCCGCGATTGTCCTTCTTCTGTGCTGCCCGGTGCCCAGTGTCCACCGCCCACCAACTGCCTCCAGCTCTTTTGCGGGCTAAGCAATTGTCACGGCCACCCACTGCAGTCTTCGCAGCCTTCGCCTGGCCTTCGCTTCGAACCGGCTCATCCAGGCTATTACCACTAGGTGCGAGGTAGGCTGTGTCACCGCCAATCCCCCAGTCCCCCAGTCCGACCTGACAGCGCCACGATGTGCCCTAAACACCAGAACATGCAGTCTTGTCGGTCTTGTGCCCGCTAATCCCAGCTTACGCAGCGGTCTAGGGCAAATGCTGGCTGCAGCACAGCACCACGGGTTACATCGTACAGACGCGAATCCACCTGCGCCCATTCATTCCATTCATTTCCTCGACTGCACCCTTTTCCCGTCCTCCCGTCCTCCTTTACTGTGCCTAGCTTACAAACCAATCCTGTCCGACGGATGCTATCGTCTCATGGATCAAAACGGCAAGATAGCATTGCGTAAACGGGACAACCTCATCCCCGAGTTACCTAACTGAGACCACTGTACACTCCTGATTCGAGAGCCACCCAGAGACCAAGCACTTGAGGGTCTGCAAAAGGAAGGATTTGAGAACATATCATGCCCGCTACTCCCTTGGCTCGATCGCACCACCAGTAGAGGTTGGGGAGGCCCGCCCAATGCCCTGTGCCCGTCGACCTGCCGGCTGGCCCATCACTCAACATAAAGGTCAACCCCCAGCCCTGCTGCGAGCCTGGATACAAATCTGGTATGGCATTGGTCAGGTCCGGCTTTGCTGGAGGGATCCCCTGCTTTGAAAAGTCCGGGAACTCGGAAATCTGGTTCTGGAACATCAAATCCACCGTCTCCTTTTTCAGAATTTGTGCACCCGTGATCGGCGATGTGCCGTCATTCAGCAAAGCGGCCAGGATTTCTGTTGTTCCAATCAGCTTTATCATCCACGGTTTGGGCTAAAGGGAGCTTACGGCAATATTCTCGTGGCCGCGCAAAGGCGCCAGCTCCTCCACTATTGACACAGCTCGCAATGTCTTGCTGACTCTCCACCACCAAGGGTCGGTGGAGGAGATGATCTCGTGGTTGAAGCTGACCATCTGGAGTCCGCGCATTCATGTATGCCAGTTTTGCCTTCATCTCAGCATTGGGAAACATGGAGATATTTTTAAGGCCCAAGGGTTGGAATATGTGGCGTTGAAAATAGTCATTCAATGACATATTGGTGGTACGCTCGACGCATATACCAGCCCAATCTATACCGACCTAATGCGAGGATTTAGCAACAATTCGGATTGAAATCAAGAGACAAAGCCCACGCCGTATTGCCATCCCTCACCAGGCTGATGGACCAGAGGCTGAATCAGATCTTTGATGTGCCCTGAAAATTCATCATACCCGATGGGTTTGCTGTAATCACGAAGACCTTCGTGAAAGAACGTATACCCAAAACCCGCTGGATTCACGTTAGCTTATTGCACATTTCAGGAAGGGATTATTTCTGACCTGTATGCGACAACAGCATCCTCAGAGTGATCCCTCTCTTCGCTGGGATGAGCTTGCCATCAGGCTGTAAGACGCTCAAGTTCTTGATCTCGGGACACAGCTGCGCGACTTGGTTCGCATCGTCCAGCGACAGCTTGCCTTGCTCCACTAACTGCATACATGCAACACCGGTGATCATCTTGGTGCAAGATGCTATCCAGAAAATGCTATCAAGGGTCATTGGCTCAGAGGAGCCGAAGCCTCTCTTGCCAGCAGCATGAGCGTAGAGCTCCTTACCATCCTTTCCAATGGCTATGCCGACCAACCCTGGAATGCCTTTCTCCGCATCACCGCAAGCAGCGTTGAGCTTGGACGTGATATTGTTGACAGCCTCAGTGGAAAGCCCCATTTTGACTGGTATTCAACAAAGGACGAAATGCTGTTCGATTCAGCCTTACCAATGCGCAAAGGGCCACGGCCAGGAGCAAGAGGATTTTGAGCAACTATGCACGATTTCCCTGGCTACCGGTCTAAATATCAAGTGAGTAATGTCTGTGCTTTCCCCTCTCTTCTCTTCCCTCTTGATCTTCTCACTCCACCCTCAGACGAGCTATTCTCCAATATTCTGCCAGCAAGGATGCGGGTCCGCGAGTCATTCTGAGGTGCCTCATCCTTTAACCCTGAAGCCCATCGCAGGAGGTCCGCGGTGGTGTGCGGAAACGCACTTTGGGAACTTGTCCTAACTCTGGACGATCTTCCCGGCAATCATCATTCCCTCTTCCAACCGTAGTTTTCCCGCATTCCTCAACGAGACACAGGATATGCATAACCGCTCGAAGGAACATATTATCCTTGCGGAAGGTATGTTAACCCCTCGCAAGGCCAATTTCCTGTACAGGGAGTAGGGGTCTGGGGTCTTACACCGTTTGCGGAGCCGCAGCGGAGGGCCTCGTCAGAGGCATACAGCAGATCTGTATGGGGTCTTTATGCGGGCACCAAACAGATCAAAGGATGATCATTCACTATATCCGGCGAGTCAAGATGGAAATGTTCTGTATATAAGAGACGAGAAGAAGGGAAGAGCTGAACCACAAGAAGTCGTCTCTTCAACAGCGGTCCCTTCTCTCCTTGCGTGGTCCAAACAATATTGCTGCCATCTGACATATACTCCTCACAACCATGGGCGACCCTGGAGGAATGACCAACCCCAAGCTGAAGACCCAGCTATGGGAGTACGGCCGTCGCAGGAGGACCGATGGTCCCTACGCCGATAACCTGGAGGTCGATGCCCTTGTCGTCGGTGGCGGCTTCGGCGGCGTGTTCTGCTTCTGGTCCCTTCGCAGACAGGGGCTGAAGACTGTCATCTACGAGGCTGGCACCGACCTCGGAGGCACTTGGCGATGGAACTGCTACCGTAAGACGATTTCGTTCCCCTGCTGTCGCCGATCGTTCTGACCTTTTCGACCAGCCGGGGCGATGGTCGACTCGGAAGTCCCGGAATATCAGTTGTCGATTCCAGAAACGTGGAAAACGTATGCCCGAAACTCCAATATCCTGATCCTCCTGTCAATTGGCTAATCATGTCCTGTGTAGGTACAACTGGCCCTCCAACTACCCTACCTACAGGGAACTTCGTGACTACTTTGACCACTGCGACAAGGTGCTGGACATCAAGAGTCAGACGGCGTTCGAGAGCGTCGTCGTCGAAGCCAAATTCAACACGGACGAAGGACGCTGGTACGTCAAGACGGCCGACGGCCGCACAGCCAAGGCCAAGTACCTCGTCGTCGCGGCGGGCTTTGCCGCCAAGCGCTACGTGCCCGACTGGCCGGGAATCGAGAAGTTCAAGGGCACCGTCCACCACTCATCCTTCTGGCCCGACGAGGAGATCCCGGTGCAGGGCAAGAAATGTGCTATCATCGGCACGGGCGCCTCTGGTGTCCAAATCACTCAGGCGTGGGGCCCTAAGGCAGGTGAGCTCAAGGTCTTTCAACGCACCCCAAACTTGACGGTGCCGATGCGCCTACGTGCCCTCACGGCCGAAGAGCAGTGGGCCGGCAAGAAGTGGTACCCGGAGCTCTTCGACCTTCGTGAACGCTGCTTTGGCGGGTTCCTGTACGACTTCTCCGAGAAGTCCCTATTCGAAGACACGCCCGAGGAGAGAGAACGGTTCTTCGAGAAGCTTTGGAGTGATGGCGGCTTCCGCTACTGGCTGGGCAACTACAAGGACTACCTGTTCGACCCGAAAGCCAACCGTGCCGTTTACGATTTCTGGGCCAAAAAGCAACGCGCTCGTGTCAATGACGCCAAGAAACGCGACATCCTAACACCCGTCGAGCCTCCGCACCCATGGGGCGTGAAGCGTCCATGTTTGGAATATGCGTATCTGGAGCAATTCAACCGACCAAATGTCGACGTGGTGAATATCAAGAACAACCCCATCGTCGCCTTTGACGAAAAGGGTATTGTGCTACAAGACGGCACGCACCACGAATTTGACATCATTTGCATTGCCACGGGGTTCGATATTACCACCGGAGGCATGACGGCCATGGGATTGCACAACATCAACGGCAACACCCTGGACAAGGAGTGGAAGAAGGCCGCGGTGACGTACCTGGGTACCACGGTCCCCGGGTATCCTAATATGTTCCATCTCTACGGTCCCCACGGCCCGACACTTTTGTCCAATGGACCGACTTCCGTGGAGATCCAGGGCAGGTGGATCACGGATACCATCATGGAGATGGAGCGCCAGGGAATCAAGTACATCAACCCGACCGACGTGGCAAGCATGCAGTGGAAGCAGAAGATCAATGAGTTGAGCGACAAGTCCCTCTTCCCGACGACCAAGAGCACGTAAGTCTCGCTCTCTCTCGCACCCTTTTCCATTTTTGCAGACAAGGATGCTAACACTTGTCGTCCTACAGCTACATGGGCGGCAGCATGCCCGGCAAGGCATTCGAGCAGGTCAACTATGCCGGTGGCATGTACAACTACCACCAGGACATCAGGAAGGTTCTGCCCAACTTTGAGGGATTCCATGTCGTCAAGACATGAATGAAATGACAACGGGCCGGGGCCTGCCTGGTGACTTGGAGGAATGGAACTCAGTGAACACGAATCGTAAATTAGGATACCGAGAGCCATAGGTACAAATTCGATAGCTCGTGATGTCTGATCTCTGATGCTCCTCTTCTATGAGGAAAGAAAATGAAATGAAATGAGCCAGACTCCTTGAGATGATATTGTTCTTCAGGTAAATACTGGAGGTATTTAATTTTCCCCCTTGAGGCGTCTTAGCGTCTGCTCATTGAATTCATGTCGTGGTCGCTGGACCGAGAACTCCACGGTTCCTGGAGAGAGTACATGATGCACTTACCAAAGGCATACATCCATCCTATCTTTCGTTTTCCCCCCTTCAGCAGAGAGATAGATGGGCTCAAGGCGTATGCGCGTGAGCAATCCTGCCCTCAGTGCCCTGCTTTGAATGTTATGTCGCTACTCGCAAAGGTTGGAAATGATCCAGTAGCTCTGCCCACTCAGGGTACCCATTCGCAGCGGACTTTGCAGCAGCTATTCCAGCGGCAGAGAACAACGGAGTTCCCTGGTTGAGTAGTTCTTTGAGCAGGCGCCTGAATCCTGTTTTAGCACATGCTAACAGTAACTTGTCTGCTTCGGCGGAGGGCAAGGTCGGGAGAGAACCAGCTTTAATAAACAACTTGATAATGTTGAAATCACGTTTCCTGACGGCAGAAAGAAGCGCGGTGAGCCTATCAATCTCGCTGAAGTGCGACGAGAAGTATTTGATAAGATCGGCGACTCCCTGTTCTTTATTTTCAACCAGGGTAGTTAGGGTTTTCGGATGGGGTGTCAGATTCTTTACCAGCAATGCAACCATAGCATACCAATCACCTTCTCTGGCAAGATCCAGGTATATCAACTGTATGAACTCGGGATGTTGTTTTAGAAGCGTCTGCAGGTGATCGACATCAGGGATGACCAGTTTCTTCCTATATCGGGACGGTAGTCCCGGCGGATCCTGTGCCGTGATGAGGAGGGTGTTGCTGATATCCCTGAAGGCTTCATCGGTTAGGCCGTCAGGAAATGAGGGATCTGTGGGAAGCCAGTCTCGCTCCAGCCAAGGGTTTGATAGAATGAAATGGCTTAGCGCGCTCTTTCCGAGCGACAACCAGACCCAACGAACTGTCCTTGAGGATGTCTCGGACCGTAAGTAATCAAGTAATCGTGGAGGGTTCCAGGCGTAACTAGTGATCTCTTCAATAGTGCTCTGCATGTTTTTCTCAAGAGCTGCCTCAACCCCGTCACAGATCCATTCTGGAAGAGAATAGCGCAGGTCCCATTTGCTAAGCAGATTTCTGGAGTAACATTCTTCAAAAATTGATTTCAATGCTCCCAGACATGCAGAATGGCCGTGTTCTGCTGCGAAGATCCAGGCCTGGTGCAAGTCATTCTTGATCCCATCTCGAAGACGTTCCTTCTGGTGCTCCCACAGAATCCGAATAGTTGAAATGTGGCCATACTGGGCTGCAAGGTACATCGCCATTGTGCCATCGTCAAGCTTTGCCACCGGATCAGATCCGGCGTTTAAAAGCAACTCGACAACTGACGTATGACCCGCTTCGGCAGCAAAATGGAGTGCAGTCTTCCCGTTGCTGAGTGGATCTTTTTCGTTCACATCGAACTCGTGCTGTATTAGCAGCCACACAATCACTTCTTTTCCATGCTGAGAAGCCAGCCACAAGGCGGTGTTTCCGCAGAGTGTCTTCGTGAGGATCCTATCCTTGAGTAGTTGCTTCACAGTGGTGACGGAGTCGTTGCAAATGAGATGAGCGATCTCTGCGCTCAGCTCCATGGGAGGTGCGGATGACCCTTCAGAGGCAAGATCGTCGTAAAAGTGCCATTTCTGATAAGGTTTGGCAAGGACGGTGAAAGCTATTCGTTCCAAATGTTGGCTTATATGCGTTTTGAGTTTGTCTTTCGTTGGTAGAGCTTGATCGCAGAAGTAACAATTCATCTCTGGGATTTCCTTTCTGAAATACTTCTTGATTCGCCCCAGAACACGTCGTCTGGAATTTGAGAGTAAAGATGGCTCCTCTGCTATGACACTTGGATGACATCGTATCAAATGGCCATTCAACCGGGATTCGCTCATTCTCTCATTAGACGGACACAGGCGGCAACGATATGAATCGGCTCTTAGGTGCTTTCCCAGGATATGGGCTAACATTCGTCCTCGAGAGACATATGTCTTCAAAGGTGTTGGGCAAACTTTGAAAATGCAAGAGTAAGGCTTGAGATCACGCAGTACATGGTTCCTGGGTATAATCAGGAATGATCTTCAACATCTGAAAAGTCAGAACTTACTGCCAATCACGCCTCCTCATGACGAAAACCTTCTTGTTGCAGATGTCGCATACAAAGATGTTTTCCTTTTCCAGATCAACTGGGGGAGGGGGGCATACGAATTGGGACATTGTTGAACTAATAGTTGAGTGAGAAGAATGTGTTTTGACGGATGAACTCTTTCGGCTTCTTTTCACTGGAGCATCGGGTAATTGCAGCGAGTTGTTTGAGTGAGACGAACGAGATAAGGTAGATGCTGGACGTTTCTGCCCCGCTTTACCTGTCCAGAAAGACGTCTCTTGAGGCAAGTCCCGAGCCTGGTGATCGACATGACCAAAAGTTTTGCGACGAAGTAGTCGTGCTTCATCCTGGAGGGAGCTAGCTATTCCTTCAAAAGCACGCTTTCCTTCATCGTCAAGTGACGATGACCGTTCCGGATCGGTGCAGGCATATTCACCCTTTCCATCACCATCTGGATATGGGCCTTCATCGCCACTAGCGCTGCTAGGCAGCGGGAGCTCGCTGTCTCCGTGAGATGAGGAAGTCCTTGCGTAGTAGGCGCGCGGGAGTCGTTTCGCTCTTTCGACATTAAGCTTCGCTAGGCGATGAGCCAGCCAGAACGGTAGCAAGGGAAACCTGTCGCAAATATTCCGCCGGTAGATTGCTTCGTCTGTCCATTTTGGGTCAATAACGCCCTTCATTGCGTCATTGTTGTCATCTGAGTTGTTGGCCCCTTCTTTGATATGGACGCGTTTGAAATGTTCCATTTCGGAGGCTTCTTCGTCTCGACGCGTCCTGTCTGAATACGGGATGTTTGAGGTCATGTTGGGGTCGAGGCCCACGGATTGGGTTTGTGCGAACCATATATCCAATGGCGTTTGGAATGCTGAGGATAAGCTATCTGAAGGCCTAGCCTTGTCTGTCACAGGCTTTTGAACATCAGGTACGACGGTGAGCTCGTGGGACTTTGGGGCTTTTTCTTTGTAAGGGCCCGTCTGTGTCATACTGCCTGTCAGCGTGACATTTTGATTAGCCGTTGTTGTATCTGCGCATCCCAACAGCTCTAGGATTGCGGCCTCTTCCTCAGGGTCCTTGGGTAGGGGCCTGGCGCCGAAGACCTCCAGATCTTGAGTACTCTGTGACCATCCCACTTCATCGTCTTCTGTCAGAACTGTGACACGCTTTGTTTGGCCTTCGAGCCTCTCTGCCGACGGATAATACTTCAAGCCACAGCTTTTACTTTTGGGAATAAGCGTTGGTCCGATAAGTAGAGAGTAAGCAACATACCATGTAACCAAAGCCCGTGGACGGTCCAATTCGATTCGTGTCTCTCCGCAGCTCGGGCGCGGACAAAGCCCTCCCTGCCAGCGTATCTGGGAGATTATCACCGACATGGTCACTGAAGAGCCCGGAAACACTGTTCTATGCCAGTCTTCTTTTCTTATGATCGCTCCAGCACCTTTGGTGTCGATCAAATGGTATTGTCCTTCCGACACTTTAGCCTCGCCGGGCACGCCTTTGAACTCGGCGCGGAGCATGCCCTCAAAGGTCTATCATCTTGTGAGCGATTTAGGTACGAGAGCAGTTACCTGGATCAAAGCTCACCTCCCAGTGACGGAACCATTGATAGGGAAGCGAAATGGTCCTGCCAAGTGCATCTTCAAACACGATGGAGTCGGAGGGCATGGGCAGACCGGTGCTCGAGCCACTTTGGCTCGTTAGAAGTAACGCGTATATCTGCATGTTGGTCTGAATGATCCTTTGAAGCGCAAGCTTTGTCTCTCGCTGGAAGGAGCCGAGGAAATCGAAAACCTGACCCAGAACGTTATTGAGACCGAATACTGCTCTTCCAACTGAAGCTAGCGCACTCGAGACAGGAGTAAGATTGCTTTCCAGTCTTTCTGCAATGTCTTCGACCTTGTCGTGTATTGGTCGTAGACTGGCCTCATACTCAAGCTGAGGACCACGTTGTTGGCTCGTAAGCTCGAGTCTTTCCATGGTTTTTCGGACTTTTGTGATCTCTTCAAGAAGGCTGAAGCGTGCTGCTTGTTCTTTTGAATCTCTGTTTGAAGTAGTTTCGCTTTCGGCGTGGTCAGCGAGGTATGTGGTTTGAGCAGGGTATTACGACCTACAAGATATGCATGGAAAGCAGTAGACTCAAGCAGAGCACCTTCATGGCAATGAATTTGCGGAATTGGCTGAACTCTTCAGAGCCCAAAAAAGCCCATTTGACCTTGTGGAAGGTTCCTTTGAGGGTGCGCCTCGGGGCGTAAGGACCAATCGAAGCCTCATAAGACTTGAGCTTTCCGTGGAACTCTTGGAGACATGGTTCGCAAGCCAACGCGAGGCCGCGAAGGGCATTGACCTGTACCGCATTGTCTTCTGTGATGGTAAGTTGGCTCACTTTCTCGAGCAGTCTCTTGAGGCTTTCGAGTTCGATAACAGAATGTTGGTACTCGGAAGAGGAGCCTCCGACATCCTTTAGTGAGGAGATGATTTTGCTTGTGAGCTCTAGGGGACTCGTCAGCCCGACCCAAGCTCTGGTTCCAACGATCGTGGCAAAGCCTTACGTATCACAGTCACAAAGTCTCCAACTGAAAAGCCGAACGGCACTGGCATATTCACCAAGAACTTTGAAAATTAAAGGACCTAAAACACCGTGAGGGTATTCCACGTTCATAGCCGAACATGATGTCTAGGTGGACGGAATAAGAGGATGGGAGGGAGAGTGCCTACCTAAGAACCTAGGTGGGGAGAAAGAGGAGGAACATGGGAGGGTCACCTGCACGGCCCGGCCACGAGGTTCTGCCTTGCCAAGATGCCAGCCAACAACGTCTTTCGTCGAGCTCAGCCACGTTCGTTCCTGCTATTGCCTGTGACTACGGCCTGAAGCTGCGCCGCCACCTGCCCCATGGCAACTCGGCACTTGATAAACCTGGATCGTAGGATAGCATACTGCGGTCGCCCAATACTTGGAACCAGAGTGAATGAGTGTGTGTCTGTACCAATCACTAGGATGGGTCCAGCGGAATAAGTCGTTGATAGGGATTACTGAGGAAGAGAACCCTTGACAGGCACACAAGTCTTTGGGAATACGGATGATATTGAGACAATATACCCTGTTTGTTCATGAGACCACCAGGGTCCACTGTTGGGCATCCTGAGTCTCTGGCCATGGACCAAGCATCTAAGAAAGAAGCTTGGGTATCATGCACATAGCATATCTTCAATCGCCCTACTCGACGCACTGGAAAGATTCCCAATCGTCTGGATCCTTCCCGACATACCTCGCAGTCAGGGGCCAAGCACACAGCTTTCTGGTCCGATTAGTCCCATCAGCGGGACCTGTGCTTTGAATTTCAACAGGTGCAATGCCTTTCTCGACCCAGGACACCAGCGCGGCCAAAGTGGCGACCGTACCAGGTACCTGCGGATAGGCAGCTGCTGGACCACAGTGGCCATACCCTGGAATCATGAACAATCGATAGAAATCTGAAGCATTGCCGGCTGCGATGCTATTCGATGAGAGAAACGCGTTTGTCTGCTCAAACTGCTGCATTGGCCATGTTGCTGCATTGGTTGCATCCGCCCAGCCTTGGGTGACGATCAGCTTGCCTCTGTTCTTGTACGCGCGAAGGTCGGGAGAAACAGAATCGATCAGGGGTGAAGCTTTGGAATCGATAGCCTTCAGCTCGGCAGAGGTAAAATTGAACGAGGTGTAGTCGTATGACAAATTCTTGAAAACCAAGTTTTGTAGTATGGGGACGGTGACATTGAGAGCCAGCTCCGCTTCTTGAGGAAGCCATGAGCTCTCAGACCCGAAGTCGAATCCTGGATACACCTCTCGGCCAGTGCCAGCCTCCCTCGGACCGGCCCGGATTGCTTGATAAGTGGCCACTTCTGCAGACGTGACACACTGGATCCCATGACTGTTGTTGCGTGCTTGTCCTGCCGTGCACTCAATTTCCGAGATATTGAAGTGGCAATTTAGCGGATCTCCAATAACGCCATCCATGAGACCGTCGAGGTCGTCGCATTTCTTTAAAGTCGCGTTTGTGATGAGATTGAGAGTGTCCTGGTCCAGAAAGGCTCTTTGCGCGTTGAGATAATTCCACAGAAAGCTAAGAATCAAATGGCTGTACCAGTTACCCGGAGACCCAGCAAATATCCCGTCAAAAAGCTCTGGATGATACTGGGCAAGGGCAAAGCCTTGTGCACCGCCGGTCGAGCAGCCCGAGTAATAGGAATAGGACGGACGCTTTCCGTAAAAGATTTCTGTTAGGGCCCTTGTCGGCGGCGTCATCGATGCCACGGAATTGTGAATCCACTCGGTCGTTTCGTCGGGGTCTTGCAAGAACGGGATACTTTGTCCAGGCATGCTGAGGCCGTTACCGTTAGTTGACAATAAATGTCCAGAGTCGCCGCCGGCCACTGCATAGCCGGCATTGACTTGCTGCAGCATAGTTCCATAGTCGATGATGCCTCCGAAAACCGCGGTTCCTTCGTCGATTAGCTTGTCGAGATCAGATTGTGTGTTGAAGGTAAGGCCATACCAACAACCAGATACCGCCCGTTCCACAGCGATGGAGGCGGCAACCAAAGTTCTATCCCTTCAGACTTGTTCAATGCATATCTCACAATGCCCTGAACGCGACATAGTGGGACTTCGTTGGTGGAAGGCCCGAGCAGTGCAAAGCTGAGCGTCTGCGGTCCTACCTGAGTCGCGTTGGTAATGGCCAAGCTCGAGGAGTCACCGGCTTGAGAGATCAAGTCAGTGCAGGAGACTTGCTGTGCCGCACAGTATTGGATGAGATGGATAGAAAGCAGGAACAAAGTCGTCGGGATCCGGAACATTGTGGAACGCATGCTCGGCTTTATTGTAATCAAACAACAGGTGCCTGCGAAAGTCCCGTGTATCTTCAGGTGCGGGTCTGCAAGATTTATAGCTAGAGGCAGCGTATTCTAACCACTGATTCCATGAGCAACAGTCCCAATAGCAACACTTGCTCTCTTCGCAGAGGTGGAAGGCTGTGCTCGAACCGGTGTGGACCGGCTTGTACCGGTTTGACCGGACCGTGGACAAAGTCGATCTGGCTTGCTGTACCTTCCAAGCTGCTTTGCCCGAGGTAATGGTCAAGTATCCTGTAGTATCCTGTAGTCCCCAAGCGTTGGGCAGGTACAGAGGTGGAGTAGCTGTACGGGAAAGGAGGGAAAAGGGGGAGAAGGTGGAAAAGGACATCTCAGCCTCGTGCTATTGTTTCCGTCCAGCAACGCGCAGTAAGTGGCAATAAAAATCAAAAATGGAGGAGCTATACTAATGGAGGAACGGGTTCCTTCTATACCTTGAGCGCTGTTTGACCATCTACGTGGATGGTTTGAGCTTGCTACTACTTGCACTCATGGTTGATGTGTCCATCTGCCAAGTTCGTGCAGGTTGCGGAGAGATGGCTCTTTCGAGAGCCTAATACTTGGAGTACTCCAAGTCGGAGGCCTTGGTAGCAACATCGACACAGATGTGCCAGCTCAAAGTGAAATACCTGGTACTTGAAATGAAGACATGCAGGAGATGGAACAGTGGCTGGCTCGACTTTCTCGATTCGAGGAGCGTCACGCAGTCCGCCAAGGGAAGGTTTGCCGATCTGCATTTCCCTGGTCGCTGCCCGCGCCTTCGTCCTCATTCTCAAGATCATGGTCAACGACGGAGTACAGTCTTTTAACAGTCATTAGGAGTGTTTTCGTGAAGTCTCTCTATCATCTCCTGCTCGACCGCTCTTGCCTCGCAGGACTATATCATCTCAAATGTCAACACTCTCTTAGCCTATCCTTCGTCCTCTGCCTTCCTCTCCTCATTCCTGCCTAGGTTGATACACCACAACTATGGCCAGCTCACCTCCCGCCCCATTTCCCGCAAGTCTCCCAAATCCCAAGAAGCGAACCTCCATGAGTTCACAGGCATCGGCTCCGGGAGCATCCAAACGACCCAAGCTACATCCGCTCAGACAAACCTCATTCCCTGCTCAAGATGCAAGTGGACGATATGGTTCTGCCGTCACGAGTGCACGCTCCGAAACCGGTAGTGTCGCAAACAGTCTCTTGTCAGGGGTGAGCGGTAAAGTCCCCGGCCGTGGAAGAGGAAGACCTCGGAAGTCACAACAACTCAACGACGAAGATACTCGCTCCGTCCGCCAGGCTCCTACAGACACGGCCAGCCAAGTCGAGAGTACCTCAAGAAATGCGGGCCGCGGAACAAAGTCGGTGGTCAGCGCTCGCTCAGGTGCAGCCGAGCAGGAAGATGATGACGAGGGCGACATTGACGGCATGTTTGAGACCATGGATGAGCAGGAGAGACGGCAAGCTGAAGAAGAGGAGACACGGCAGGAGCAGCGCCGTGAACGACTGGCCGATACGCTCGACCCGGACCAATACGCCCGATATAATCAGTGGCGGGCGCTTTCACTCAACGTCGCTACGGTGAGGCGGCTGGTCAATTCTGTTGTCTCGCAGTCGGTTACCTCTGCGCCTCTGCAAGCGGTCAGAATCTACGGCAAATGGTTTGTGGGCGAGATCGTGGAGAGAGCACGCGAGGTGCAAATCGAATGGGCCAAGGCATACGACGAGACGAGGAAGGAGGAGCAGGAACGGCGGCAACAGCAGCTGGAGGTCCTGGAGGAGAAGCAGAAACAAGGCAACCACACCGATCAACAGGGCCGCTTATTGACGAGAGAGATTGAAGGGCTGAGGAGAGAAGCCAAGGAGTACATCCCAAATCCGCACAAGGGAGGGCTCTTGCCGGATCACCTTCGAGAGGCTTTGCGGAGATACAAAGCCGACGGTGAAGGTGGAGGTGTCGGATTCGAAGGGACGAGCCACGGTCTACTGGGAGTGCAGGGGCCCATGGCCTGGAGAGTTGGTGATGGTGCTTCTGGAAGGCGACTCTTGAGATGAGGCGGAATTTCGCCCTCAATTCTGGATGTCTTGATTGAGGAATCGAAATTTCTCTGCGATCTGCTCCGACCGATGGATCGCTCTCTTCGTCATCCACACTACAGCTCAATCTATCTGAAAGCCGCAAACGGATGAGAACTTGGCCAGAGACGGTCTGAGAGCGAATTCGATGGATTCCTATACTCCGCGTCAACGCGCCGGCTGACCGACTCGGTCACTCAACGGTGAGGCTGGTGAGCCGCACCCGCAATAGGTAAATGACTTTGCGCAGAGTGGAGTTATTGCGCGGGCTAGTGCAGAAAGCCACTACCAGTACGACTACTATTTGCACTGGAGGAGCAGCTGAATCATAAGCGAACGAGCTAGCCTGCAGGCCCCTTGGCCAGTCAACCAATCACTTTTTTTTTATCAGCGGACTCAGAAGCTATACAGGAATACGATCCTCTTTCGTTGATGGGTCCGTCTGTTTCGTCCGACATAATTTCTGGCCCCAGCTCGTCCACGGGATATGCGTGCTTCGGTCCTGGACATTTGTCACTTGTGGATACCTAAAGAGGAAGATGCCACCCGGCATTTAATTGGACTTCCCTGGTCTTTAGGCTACTAACAAGCAACTGATTATTGCAGTACCAGCAGGACGCCTGATCAGCGAAGCCATGCGGCCTAATTTTTATACGCAGCTATGCAACGTGGGATCAAACTCCGTTAACGCCACGCGGACACTTGATCAGGATCATATTTTCAGACTCGCCGGGGTGCCCTTTTCCCTTCCTACTTCCGCCGGTCTCAGAGGACTGACTTCCAGCGGTGCAAAGTGCGGCGTCACTCTATCCATGGCAGATGTCTTCATTGCGCAAGCCTGCAGCGACACAACGAAGCAGCTACTACTCGCTGGAGGGCTCTGCCTTTTTAGAGGACTACACTCCAGAGATCGTCCGCACTGGTACCTTGAGTCAGAAGGTCGACGGCCTGTTCAAACGCAGAAAGACCAGCTGGCAGGACCTTGAAAGAAGATTCGAGCGGAAATCGAGGCCATGGAATCCTCTTGTCGCCTATCTTTGGAACCGCAGATATCCCCTTCGTGCGCTCTTGTCCATCACGGCAGCCTTCCTGGAGGTGTTCTTGCTTCTGTTCCTCTTCTGCACGTATTACACCCTACCTGCTGATCCCCACACCGGAGGAAAGCCACCTCGGATCGCTGATCTTTACTCTACATTTCCATTTATGAGCTGCGTTGGTTCGAAGAAATTATCGGTCTATCAAAGTGTGACCTTTTGCGTCGTACTTCTTGGTATTACGTCGAGCACGATCAGCTTCTATTTCACCCGGGACGACCAATTAGGCTGGCAAACACGGCGAGCAGGATGGCTCGCAAGCGTTGTAGGAGCCGGTCTCAGCATCTGGGTTGTCTTTGCCGCGGCGAACCCTGACAAGCATCTCCACCTCCTCGTTACCGCGGTCAAAGCGATCACCGTCTTCTGTATCAAATCTACCGGACTGCTAGTTGATCACTTGGAACGGCGAAAATATCCTGCGCTTCGCGAAGTTGGTGTGATCAGAGTCTTGCTGTGGTGGAGAGCTATAACGTTGGTGTTCGCCTTTCCTCTGGCCTTGATGACAAACGTAGCTATATTCGGTTGCAGCGGGTCAAAACCTGCAGATATTCAGACTCCAGGCACCAGATGCTACTGGATCATGGCACTAGGTGCTCCCGCAGAGTGGCTGTACGCACTCACCACGGTCTCCTGGAGCCTAGCAATCGCCTTCGACGTCTACTCCACGCTCATCATCACTAAGGTCAAATCTCAACAAGATCAGGCAAAGATAGGCCTGCTGACGTCGCCTTTGACGGGCCAATGGGGCATCCATCCACACAGTCCGCAAGGTCCAGCGATTCTCGTCTCACCGGAGGAGGACGAGAGCTTCCATCCAGCTCAATCGCCACTTCACGGGGTCGGCTGGAAGGAAAATCGCATCAGACACTACGAGGATCTTGACACAAAGGTTATGCATGTTCATGGTGAGCATGATGTCGCGGACGAGGACGAGCCTGAGGAAGATCTTGGGCTCGCCGTTCAGACGAGAAATTGGGCATGACACGTGGTGTGCTTCAACAAATCTCCTTTTGCACTTTTCCATGTCCTTGTCCAATCAGACCATGACTTGGTTGCAGACTGGCTCAATCTCACTGCTTGGTGCGACATGAGAGGGCCTCCAACAAGGCTAGATAAGGCTGAAAAGTGGGTGGTGAGATCCGTCCACAGACTTGGACTGTGGCAGGCATTTAGCTTGGCGATGACTGTCGCTGCCTAGTTGGGCAATATCCATCTTCTAATGAATATCCACATATATGACAATGATCGGCGCAGTGAAGCATTTCCGGCGTCGTTGGAGCATCATCTTTCGCTTATGACATATTGTGATATACAGAACTGACGAGATGTAAACACTGACGTCATCTTCAGTACTGGAATCCCTCATCCTTGTGCCCGAAGCGTGAGGAGGCATGTAAATGGGCCATTCTGCATTCATATTGCCCAAGGACGTTATCTACGGCGAAACTAGACGAATTGAAGGATCCTGAGGCGAGAGTCCCTTCACATGTGTATAGTACTTGTTACACCTCTTCTCAAAAAGGAGAACCCTTACGCCATTTACCCCAAAGCTTTTCCCTGCTCGGACTTTAATTCCGCTGGTCCTAAGCGAGAGTATAAAAGTTTAGTGGGCGTTGCGAAAGCCAAATACACCTCTTCAATCCTCTGCTATTAGATATTCTTCGACTACTAGTATCTTTCACACCAGGTTTCCATCCCTGACAATATGTCCGCCCACACCGAGAATTTACAATTTTCCCGGGAAGATGTCGAGTTCGGTGAGGCTTTCCCCACCCAGCACACCTGTTAGTTCGTCCAAGGTTAGCATTGAAGGAGGCTTGTATCATCCAGTCGGAGAAATGGACTACACCAGGCTGACGTTGCTTCTTGGGCCTACCTCACAGAAATTCCCCAGGATCTCCCAGAGAAGCTGGGAGAAGAACTCCGGAGACTCGAACAGTTGTTCACCGTCGATACGGCCATGCTGAAGAAGATCACGGAGAGGTTTGGTGAAGAGCTCGATGAAGGTGAGTCCGGCGTCTCATTTCCCGACCGTGGTTGAGAGCACGAAGCTACTGGCCGAGAAATGGATCTCGTCGGCAACCCCAAAAAATGATGGACGGGCTTGATTGAGCGACATGAGAGAATGCCTCTTTCAGCCCCAGTGGTCTCTCGAGCCTCAATTTCGGACATCCTGACAGGACTGCCGCTGACGGTACATAATACAGGACTTCGAAAAGACGGATCGAATGTAGTATGTCTCTCCTACATTGTCTCATCCATACTCTACAAAGAAAAAAACCGCATACTGACCTCTTTTAAGCCCATGAATATAACCTGGGTCACTTCCTTCCCGACAGGACGCGAAACAGGCACCTATCTCACGCTCGACCTCGGCGGAACCAATCTTCGTGTATGTCTCATCACGCTTACCGGCACACCGGGCGGCTCCGACATCACACAGGAGAAATACCAGCTACCCAAAGAGATCAAAACCGGAACAGCAGATGACCTGTTCGAACACATTGCCGATCGCCTCGGAGATTTCGTGGAAAAGCACGTCGAAACCGAAAAAGTTAATGGAGACGGTGGGAAAGTGCCGCTCGGGTTCACGTTTAGTTACCCTGCGACTCAGGACAGGATTGATCATGGGATCTTGCAGACATGGACGAAGGGGTGGGATGTGAAGGGAGTGGAAGGCAATGATGTCGCGGAGATGTTGAAGCGGGCTATCGAGAAAAGGGTATGTCTTGCCGCTTTTTTTTTTTGATGTCTGAGACTCGATATTCCTCGGAAGCTGATACGATTGTGTTTGCGCTATATAGGACCTCCCTGTAAATCTTGTCGCGCTGGTGAACGACACAACCGGCGCGCTCATCGCCTCCGCCTACAACGATCCCCAGACAATCATCGGCGCGATTTTCGGCACAGGCTGCAATGCGGCATACATGGAACGTGCGGCTCGTATTCCAAAACTGAGTCCAACCTCCAACGGCACCACAGGAGCTACGGAGACAGAAAAGCAAGGGGCAGATGACTCCCTCATGGCTATCAATTGCGAGTACGGCGCCTTCGACAACTCCCACTCCATCCTGCCAAGGACGCGGTACGACGAATTGATCGACGAACAGTCACCGAGACCCGGGGAGCAGACGTTCGAGAAGATGTCTGCGGGACTCTACCTGGGCGAGATCTTCCGCCAGATCCTCGTCGACCTGTACGAGAGGGGGCTGGTTCTGCAGGATCCGAAACTCGACGACAAACAGAAGGAACTCCTGCACACCGCCTATGCCATCGACACGGAATTCCTGTCCAACCTAGAGAACGACTCTTCGCCCTCTCTCTCCTCCTCGACCCGTGCCTTTGAGTCGACACTCTCGAACCTACATCCCTCCCCGCCCGAACTGGTCTTCTTCCAGTCCTTGGCAAAGCTCATCGCCATCCGCGGCGCGAGGCTCTGCGCGTGCGGCGTGTCCGCCATCTGTCGCAGGATCGGGACGCGCAAGGGCCACGTCGCTGCAGATGGGAGCGTGGCCATCAAGCACCCCCGGTTCAAGGAGCGGTGGGAAGTCGCCGTCAGGGAGATTCTGGATATGAAGATGGGCGCCAAGGCCGCTGGGGGAGGGGAGGGCGGACTGGAAGGCATCGAGCTGACGAGCGCAGAGGATGGGAGCGGTGTCGGCGCGGCTGTCATTACTGCGCTGACTTTGGGGAGGACAGGTGGAGGGTGAAAGTGGTAGTTGTGTCGGTAGCGCCCGGGCATAGAAGAAAAAGAATGTACTGCTGTTCTTAACCCACAAATCTTTCCCAGGGAGTTTGACGGGGAGCCTTGCTCCGCGAACAAAAGACGTTGGTAAAGACGTTCGTAAAGTGTGTAAACACCGGCCAGAACCAAATTAGACAAGCAGTTGCTCGTCGCAGCATCTCCTCCTTGCTCCACCGACAACGGCAGTATCTAGGTATAGTATATAAAGTCGATACTCTTGGGGTCGAAGACTCGGTCATAGGGCTTTTTCAATTTCTCGTTCTGTCGGCCAAGACACACTCCTCTTTGTGCGCGGAGACCAATATGGTGTGTGTCCGCCGCAAGATGTTGGGGCGCTTTTTGGCCCAGAGACCTGGCTGCTGTCTTGCAGAGGCCTTTCGGACCACACCACGTTCGCAACCTGGGGAACGCTTGAGAAATCGAGTCGCCGACGAGTTTGCCTTGTGACTGCCGATGCTGGGATAAAGACATCTTGAAAATCCGCATTGGTATTCTACAATCCACCCTTGCTTCGGTCTGTGTATTTCGCAGCCTTGGATGTCTCCAATCCAGGTGAACTCGAATGCTGGACGGCCACAGCGCAAGCCAAATGAAAGTTAGACATCTGGATCTTCCTGAAGATGATCCTTCCACAGAGACAGAGGGAGATTTAGATCTCGGAGATTCCATCTCTTACCAGACTCCATGATCCGCATTATCTCCATCAGTGCCGAACTATTGAGCTGTACATCCCATTTTGGCTTGAGCCAGGGAAGATCGGGCGCACCTCGATCTAGAGGTGAGCATTGTGCATCAGGAACTTTCCCCACGAGCCAGTCCGAGGGCCATATCCCAACAATGCCATCACTGTCTTTTTTATATTTGGCATGACCTCCGATTTCTATGATTTCGAGTGATCCTGCTTTCTTTCGGACTGGCAAAATCACCCTAGACTCCAGTGCAGTAAACTCGTGTGCAGTCAATTCGAGCACGTTGTTCCACTCTCGACAATGAGTAGTTGTACAGTAGACATGTGTCTGCTGGCGCAACTTCTCATGAAGAATCGTCAGATATAAGTCGTAGTATAACGCCTCATTCGCCGACGTCAGTTGTACGTACTCATTCTGCGCAAGGCTGAACCCAACAACAGTTTTCACATCCCTCTCCACCCAGGGTATTTGATACGCTGCGACCACAACAGGGTTTCCCACCCGAGAAAGTAGGGATCTATCTTTAAATGCTCGCAACATATTCTCTCTGTTGCCGCTGACAATAGAAAAGGCGCCATGTACATACCGAAGATTGTGCGTCGTTCCGTGTTCACTGAGCATAGTCTGCACGTTTGCTGCGCAGACTTCCATGAGAGTTAAAGAATAGTCGATCACCGCTTTTGAGCGGACAGACTCAGATGTGAGACCGAGCAGCCCATAGAGTCTGTCTCTCGGATCATGGCAATGAGCAAAGCGAAATCTGTCAAGCAGGCTATAAAGGTCCCAGACCTTGCGATGTATCTGTTTGAGCTCCCAGATATGACGAAAATTCCGTTGTGACGCACTGGTCTCCGTGCTTTTGCGCTGATGCGACAGATTTGGAGCCACCCCTGCAGTAAAGACGTTCTGAAGATGCTCCCAGTCGATGATTTTGTCTCCAATCATGAGGACAACTTTTCGTGCGAGAAGCACCTCCTGAATGATCCAAACGCGACTCCAGTACTTGGACTTGGTAAGCAATTTCATGGCTCTTAAACCTCGTCTCCGTACATCTGGAGGGATTTCCTTGGGACGGGAACGGCGTGGAATGCTCAATGCGATTTTGATGTAAGCTATGGCGTCGTCGGTCTCAGAATCAGCTTCTCCGAGCCAAGCATAAACGGTGTGTGCAGTGCTGAAGATTATTTCCATCAACCTTACTTGATGGTTGCGCTCCTGGACATTCGATTGGTCAATACACAGGTAGTCAATCCAAAGCCTGCTCGAACCTCTGACAGATCGAAAATTTCGTAAAAAAAGCCAGAGATTCCGCCGAATGCCAACTGCGTGGCCATCAAGAATGACCTCTTCTAACCCGTCATCAGGAGAGCCCCAGCAGTATGAAAAAGCGATGAACGAGCCGGCATTCGAGAAGCACGTAGATTCTAGCGTCGCTTCGATTGGCGTGTCATTACCGCCGGCGTGCAATGTAAGTATGCGGATTTCCTGCTGTTCTTGATCAAGCGGTAGGTATAGGGAGTGTCTCAGAGCCAAAGTGGTATTGTCGCCAGCGTGATCTGTGTCCCCGATCATGGCTGAGGATGAAGAAGCGTTGGAGTGGACTGCGGCAGCGGAGGTGACCATGTTCCTCGTAAATAGCGCTGTGATAGATCATTGACTTGTGAGCTTAACAGCAACCAACTGGACTCTCCCTGCAAGGAAATTGGAAGAGAAAGTAGTTCAAGGAACAGGGTCATTGTGAGCGAGATGGATGTAGAGTGGAAGCCCGCGATTGCGAGGTGCCCGAGGAAGGCGGTGGGGAGCACTGCCTCATTGATTGTCTTCTCCGGCGCCCCACCAAAGTACCTGCATAATAGAAGTTGGTACTTTCGTCAAGCACTTTGTTTCACGCCGGAAACCGGTCAGATATTGACCTTTGTATAGCGCCTTCAGCCTTCCAAGTTTCAACCTCTCAGATTGCGGATTAACGAGAACGGTGTTGCGCCTTTGTCGAGATGTCTTACTATGGTGCCAGGCATAGATAGATACTGAGTCTTCGCTCAGAGTGGTACGCCGATAAAGTCGTCTCTGCCAAACTTGTTCTCAATTTTCCACCTCCACCCACTTCCCATTCTCGTACTTCACTTGCTTGCACTGGTAGAGGTCTATGTACGACACGATTGGGGGCAAGAGATTGACAATTTTCCCGTCGTCATCGCAGCTCCTGCAGCTGTCCAAAAAGCCTTTCGGAAGCCGGATATTCTCGGACGTGGAGTTGGAGGCATTCAGGCCCATTGCAGAGCAATAACCCTTATTGTAGAACTGGTCACATATTGTCCTTTCGATGGTGCACTTGACTTTTCCGTCGCATTGTGCGCAGAAGAAATCGGCATCCCTGTGGAGACACATGTTTTGGTGAGCGCGTTGGAAGTGAAGAAAGTCAGCATTGGCGCGGTGGAGCGAGAGTTTATAGGGAACGATGCTTTCGTAGTCCTACCCTCGATGGTATTCGCAGTGGCTGACCCAAATACTATGCATCGATTTTTTTTGCGTATCGTGACAGCGTGGTTGGTGGTGGAACCTGAGCCCAAGATTTGAATGGGCGCCTCATTCTCCGCGACGATATCTGCCAGGAACTTCAGCCCATCACGCGATGAAACCATCGCCAACCAGCTTGCCCGAGTCTTTTGCTCACCGAGCATTCTACCTCTCTCTTGTGGCCATGATGGGACCTACCAATTGACATTGGCTACCCAGGCAGCAATTTCCGTGTTTGGACCATTGCTACTTCTCATCATCGATCGACTCGTTTCCCGCTTGACTACACAGCCTGCAAGTTGGTTGAATATCGGCTTCGAGATCACCTCGGAGACTACGGAGCATAAGGGGCATTGGATGTTGCTATCATGTATGGAAAAAACCCTTTGTGGATGAGCGGTACCTCGTCCTCCTAATGGGGCAACGAGGCTGAGAATTAGAAACTGACAGAGGCTACGACCTACCTGGTGATTGATGAGGCTGAGGGGCGAGCGGAGGCTTTCAAACCAGTCCCCGCCCAACGCTACCGCTTTCCGAGATCTAATCAACCCCGCCTTTTGAACCCCGAACTATTTGTGGGGACGTTCTCGCTCTCACCTACTCGGTACAGGCCCTGCGATGGGACTTTTGACTTCGAGGGACAACCGAACAGCTTTTTTGCTCCTTCCCTACAAAGCCTGGCGGAGGCGGACGGCCAGTCCAGGCAATCAGACAGAGTTCGCGCCAATTGAACTTCCTAGGTAGCTTCTCCCCTGCGCCGTCTACAGGTCTTGGAATCACATGGACAGCTTTTCAAAAAGGGGTTTAGGAACTGTTCGTGTTGGGCTGAAGCTTGCCTCGCAAGCTACGAACAGTAACAACGAGATGGAACACGATGTGACAATGAATTGTCTGGGTCACCACGGATTACGAGGGCTCTGTCCAAGCAGATCTCGTCCTCAACTTTCTCAGGCCGCGCTTTACGAGCGTCTAGGTTTGGGCATTGCCTTGCTGGCGAACGAGAACACTGTTTGCTTGAGTCACAACCTTGAGGTAACCGATGAAATACGAACCAACCCGTACTCTTACGAGCAAGGTATCGACCTCTGCGGCTGAGATGGGGACTGCCAGCTCCAGGAAGTTCTGAAGTATATTACCTCCGTGTTGTCTCTTTTCTCTTAAGCCTGCCTTTTTTTCATGTCTCTCTATTGCCATCTGGAAAGGTTTACATAGTTTCTTCCATAGCAGCAATTCCTGTTCAAGACACAAAAGTCCCAAGACATCGACTGCACTATTCTTTTCCGATGGCAGCAGCACTTGTTTCGCATTGGAGTGACAAGACCGTACTCGTGTTTGTTTGGTTGTGCGTTTGGCTTGCGAGCTCAGTGACCGCAGGCGTTGATTGGTATGGCGGTGCCATTCACGTCAATGCTGGGGAGTCTATCCAAGCCGCGATCAGCGCCGCTCACCCTGGACAAATGATTTTGGTCGCGGCGGGCACGTACGCTGAACAGTTGACGATCACCACCGATGGCCTCCAGCTGGTGGGCCAGGGGGCTATCCTTGTGCCTCCCACTTCTTATGACCAAAACACCTGCTCAGGCCTGGCTGGGCCCAACACAGAGGCCGGCATCTGCATCACGGGGCAGGACATTGAGCTCGCGGACTTTGTGGTGGAGCATAGGAAGGTCCTCTCTGTGGGCCGTCCAGTGCAGGGCGTCGTGGTGACCGGATTCGAAGTCCAGGGATTCTCTGGGCTCGACATCGCCGTGGTGGGCGGTCAGGACGTCCAGGTGAAAGGTAACACGCTCTATGACGGCGCACGCTATGGGTGCTTGACCGTGGGCTCCAAGAACAGCCTCATCGACGCCAACACCGTCGCCTCCACTACTCCGGGCGAAGATCAACTCCTCTTCATCGCCATCTGCATGGACGACGTGTCCGACGTTCACGTCACGAAGAACACTATCTCCGGCTACTCAGTTGGGCTCTGCATCCAGACCGAAGGCGCCTACGTGTCCGGCAACGACGTGACGAATGCCTGCTACAGCGCCTTTGTGGACCCAGGCACCACCGGCGCACAGGTCATCAGCAACCACATCAGCGACGGCGATCCGCTCTGCGCGACCGTGCCCAACGCCGCGCTGATTGGAATCGCCGTGCTCGGTGGCTTCGGCACACAGATCCAGGCGAATCTCGTGGAGGGCATGACGGCTGCCGGCACTAATGGCAGCGCGGTGGGCATCGCGCTCCTGAATGACCCCACGACGGGACTTGACGCGGCAAACAACGTCGTGACCGGCAATGTCCTGCGTGGCAACGATGTTGATATCTTCGTGGAGACTCCGGGCCAGGGGAATGTCGTGGAGGGGAACCAGTGCTCGACTCCGGCCGAGCTGTGCGGCTAGAGTGGATGAGAGGAGAGAGACGAGGTCAAAAATTGGAAGAAGCAAGTTTGAATCACTCTAAGTAGGGTTATCCAGAATTGCACGATGTATCTCAACAAGATATAGTAAAGGAGGCAGAACATCTCCTTACTCCGATCCCCTGCTCTAAGACACACTCGAATCATGCTCAAAGTTCTGATTTTCTTCATTGCGTTGCAGTTCCAGCTGATGATGAAGCCTCAATGAAATCAAAATGCCCCAGTTCTGCTCTGCACGAGGCACGTCATTTCGACTGCGGTTTGATCCCAAGTCTCATGACGGGGCTGTTGTGGAAGTTGGCGTGGTCGTGGAAATAGTCCGTCTGCACTTTCGACACCTCCACCTCTGCTCTGCCCCGGCTGATGACGTCTGCGTCGTACTCGTCCACGGCCTCGGCGAGAGTGTTGCCGCCGTTCTTCACCTTGACCATGGCTGAGACGAACTTTTGGCTGTCGCAGAGGGCGTTGTTGGCGCCTTGGCCGCGGTCTGTCTTCGTTAGCATAGGATGCTTGAGCTTTTATTTCATGAACACGGAATATGGAAGATAGGATGAGTAGGAAGGGGTTAGGCTCTCTTACGAAAGGTCATGCTATGAGCAGCGTCGCCCGCAAGGGTGACTCTGCCTCGGCGATTATCCCAGCCCGAGTCGGGGGGTCCCCAGATCCTCAAGGGGACGGCTTTGGCCTGGACATGGTCGGGAATCCATTCCACGGCGGACTTGAAGGGATCGGCCCAGTCGTCCATTCTTTGCTTGAGCTCCGCCACCATGTTTATGTCGGCCGATGATGCATCCGGGGCGCTCTTGTTGTCCTGGGCCCACGTCGCAAGAATGTAGAAGACCCAGGTCTCGGGCCTGTCCAGGTCAGGCTTGTCGAGCAGAAAGATGCCGATGTACATGGACTTTGGATGCACGGCGACATCCACGATGGGGTGCATCATTTTGTCCATCTTGATGGCCCGTTCTGCAGGGTAGCGGAAGGGGAAGTTGAGGAACGTGTACGGCAAGACCACTGAAGTCCCTTTGTCATTGCCCAGCATCCAGCGGCGGACCCATGAGCCACCGCCATCACAGCCCACCAAGACAGAGCCTGATTCTGAGGTTCCGTCGTGGAAGTGAGCAGTGACTCCGTCGTCGGTCAGCTCGATGTCTGTGAGTGTCTTGCCGAACTATGGCGGGTTAGTTTTCGGGTGTGGGAGCCCCCAGCAAAAGAAAATCAACGATTTACCTTGACATTTACCCCTGTTGACCAAATAGTCCTCGTCTTCTGGATGTTCAACCTTCTCACCCCAGGGAAAGGCGGCTGCACGATAGTTGCGCCTGTCTGTCCATCTCGAATGATGACGCTCTCAAACCCGGCAGCTTTGGTGTCGAGACCTGGATCCGGCTGACATTCCGGTAATCGGTCATAGAGTGCCTCTGGGAGAAGCTGGGCCAGCAATGGAAGGCTCCACGCGATTGTCACGCCCCAGTTTCGATCGCGTGGTTCGCTCTCCTTGTCGACGACGACGTAGTCGATCCCGTTCTGTGCGTGCACATTCAGTCTCGCCCCGAGGAAGACAACCCGTTGAGGTCGTATGTTGCACGCACCTTTTCAAGGCCCTGTGCAATGGCCAAACCCGACAGACCTGTGGTTCTCGATTCGTGAGAGGCTCCTCGACCGACAGTCAAGGGTTTCGGTCTCGAAGACTCTGATTGAACGTACCTGCACCGACTACGATGACTCTCAAGGGTTGGCTCATTCTCGCAGGGTTGGAGAAGAAATGGCGGCCTGGTATTCAATGGGGTGAGTATGCGGTGAGAGAAGGAGATTAACGACTGGCGGTCAGCTGAAAATGCCGCAGCTTGCTTGTCGCTGAATCGACGCTTCTTCTTGTCACCGACGACACTGGGCTGTCAATATTGTCTCAAACGTCAGTCATCTGTGCAGTCTCATGATCGACCATGAAATTCATGCCAAAGAGCAGTCTCGGCAGACCATGTCATCCGGGGCCAGCTGAAAAAGTAACCTTTACCAGAACTGTGACACCATACCAGGTCGGGTACAAATCCAAAGTTTGAACTCGGGGCCCAAACTACCGCAAAGAGACAAGCGTGAGGCTGGAGCGACTCTCAATCCCAGCCTCACTAGAAGAGTCGCTAGCCCACACAAGGGACAGTGTGGCGGATCTACTGTACGACCCGTCGCTAACCATTATCTCCATCCCTAGGTGGACATAGATAGACCTGCTACTTCTCGACCTGTCCTCAGATACTATCTAACACCCTTCCCTTGGACTAGGTCGCGACTTTGAAGATGGCGATAATCGAGTTGGCGCACATCAGTCTGAAGAACGGCGTCCAAGCGACTGACCCGGAACTCAAGAAAAACCTGAAGGAAGTCAAACGAGTGATTGAAGATTACAGCAAACTGCAAACGCTGTTCTACACGCAAATCGACGACCCCTCGGTGCTGTTTGTGATTGGAGCTTGGGAGACCAAAGACCACCATCAGCACGGCTTCCACGGATCTCCTCAGCAGGCAGAAATCCTCGAACTCATCAAGGACCAGATGGGTATTGACTGGATGCACTACATCGACGTTGAGCAGTCAAAAATCCCGCTCGACGCCCCCGTGCTGGCAATCATCCGAGAAACCTTCGCCAAACACGGGGTGGTCCGAACGCAGTTTGACCAGGAATTCGCAAAGCAGACCTCGAGTTTGGGCGGCGCACGGTACGGAGCCGTCTCGGGCTGGAATATCCCCAAGGACCACAAGGAGAGAGATGTCCGGGTGAACTTCTCCGGATGGGAGAGTGTAGAGGAAGGCACGGAGGGGTTGGTCAACACGATTGAGAATGTAAAGGGATTCCGCGCCAGACCGACGGATCTGAATTTCTTCTTCGTCACACGGACGGAGCTGGATTGAACTGAATTGCCAGTGCGTGTAGAGACACAGGGAGCAGGCTTGGAATAAGGCTTCGGGTGGACAGGATACATTTGGGATATGTCGGGAGGATCTCCCAGCTCTCAGCGGCGGTAACATATGTTGTTGTTGCTAGCATATCTACTTAGGTATCGACAGGCTGAAGATCTGAATATTATTGCTTTTTCTCCTTTGTCACTGTGGACATTTCCCGACTTCTAACCTGACCCCCTTGCGCACCTGCAGTTTGAGCCCCTCCACTAGTTGCATGTTCCCCGCCTCCCCCACCTTTTGTTATTTTTGAACGCGATCCCCAAAGGTGACAAGTATCATTGTCACCCTGGTCGCCTTTACCCCGCCACCAATATCATTCAGGCACTGGTGATACTCGCCTAGCCCTTGCCGGTTCATCGATAGTGCAACTCTCCTCAAGTTTCCCCGTCAGCGTTAGGCAAAGTAACGACCGAACAAAAAAGCCTCTGGTAAAGCAAACCGTTCTAAACCCCATAACCCAAGAACATTCAGTACGACGGGAGGTACCCATAAGCCCACCCCAAAGCCATGGCCTCCTCAACCATTACCGTCAACAACCCTCTGACCGATGCCCTCCGCGATCTGATCTCAGCAAACCACATCCTGGACCATCATGGCGTGGTGGACGCGTACGGGCACATCTCGATCCGCCACCCGCTCGAACCCTCGCAGTACATCATGTGCGGCTACATGGCGCCAGCCCTAGTAGCCTCGCCGACGGACTTGATCTACTACCACGTGGCCGACTCCAGCACGGTCGATCCAAACGCGAAGAAGGGATACTCGGAGCGCTTCATCCACGGCGAGATCTACAAGCGATACGCGGGGGTGAATTGCGTGATCCACTCGCACGCCGAGGAAGTCCTGCCCTATGTCGTGAGCATGGGCGTCCCGCTCAAGGCCGTCTACCACATGTCCGGGTTTTTGGGTTGCAAGGGCGTCAAGGTATTTGATATTGACCCGCTGTACAAGCCGGGGGAGCAGCGGGACATGCTGGTCAACAACTCGCGTTTCGGCGCCGCATTGGCCGAAAGGTTCGTCTCCGATTCCGCCACGCAGAGCCCCGAGGAGACGGTGGTCCTGATGCGCCGCCACGGCTTCACCTGCGTGGGTCGCGACATCGTCACCGCCGTTTACAGGGCTATCTACACGCGCATCAACGCCGAGGCCCAGACAAAATCCATGGCCATTGCCAACAACAATAATGTCCCGATGCACGACCAAGGCATGGCGGGCGTCGGCTTCCAGGCGCTGACGGACGACCAGAGCGATGGCTGCGCGAAAATGAACGAGGCCTTTCAGGATAAACCCTGGAGACTGTGGGTTCGGGAGGTCGAGAGCCAGCCCCTGTATCGCAACGAGTTGAGCCCCAAGCAGACCATCATAAGGCTGGCTTAGGGGAAACGGGGAAGACCATTCGGATGAAAAGTGCTCTTTGGGGACAATCCTTTGTGCAACGGGTTTCTGTGTCTCCAGCCATACATCCACGTGCTGGACAGGAGCGGGCAAGCTGATATGACCATGATGAGAAACGTTGCGTTCCATTTTCCACATGCGTTCGTGGCTGGGTGGAAAATCGAGAATGCAGCGTTGCTAGGCTAACGACTGGAACGAGGACGAATTAATACATTTGAATAAGAAGAAACTAGGCGTGCTTGATTCATCCAACGTACTTTACTGAGCCAGACACTCTTGCTCGGCCAGCAAAGCCCGAACCCCTTGATTAATTCCCACATGACGTAAAGAAGAGAAGGAAAACGCTATAGATGACTCTGTACGAGTCACTCGCTCAAACCTCGACGCCAGAAATCCACGCAATACCCGCTCGCACAATGCGCTCCACAACGTCCACCTCGGCCATGGTGCGCGGGGCATAGACCATGGCCCACCCTTTATCGACAAACTTGAGCGGGAACCTCAGACCCCATCCCTTCTCGACCACGGTCTTGGCATCCGCCTCGGACAGCCAGACGTGCAAGCTCCCGTCAGAAGGGTGCGCGTGGGCGATCTCGGTGCCGAGGATCTTGTTGTCCTTGGCCTTGACGTTGAGGGTGTCGAGGGTCGGCTTGGCGTAGATGGCGTCGGTGCTTCCGCCTTCGGTCTTGCTGGGGCGCAGATCCAAAATCGACGGGTGTTGGGCGGCGAAGGCGGCCATCATGGATTTCACACGCTCTTCGACTCCCGGGTCTGCCGTGCCGGCCTTGTAGGGAACTTGGCGCTGCGGCATGGTGCGGGCCATGGTCGGTGGTCGGGCGCCCTCTCGTGCTGGCAGGGCGGCTGGGTCGAGATACTTGGGCCCCGAGGACGAGAGCGGCGACGGGTCGGCGAGGTCGTCCTTGCCGAACAGCAGCATGCGGTTCAGTCGCAGCTTGGTCATGCGCCAGTACCCGGCCCAGGTGGGCGGAGTGCCTCCTGTGCCAAAGGACTTCCACGCGTGAAAGTCACTGACCACCCATGCGAGGGATAGTGTTAGTGCGACCGCCGTCGTTGTCGCAGCTGTCTGGCGTGGCCGGGCGCTGACCGCGTCGATGAGCTTGTGGTACTGTGTGACAAGGGTCGAGGTGAGTGAGTCCATCTTGTTCTACAGGCGGAGTTTCGTGCGGTTGTTCGTCTCAGGGTATGTGTCTGTAAGTGTGTCCAGATGTGCGACTCTCATGTACTGGTCAGATTGTGGTCAAGTCTGTCAGGCCTCCTGCCACGCCTCGGAGCTGACGCTCAGGATTGTCGTGCACTGGCTCCTGCGGAGATGGGAGGTGTTAAGCTTGCCCTAGGTCAGTGTGAAGCTGTCCCGGATAGTAAAGCGGTCAGAAGAGCTGAAGACGATGATGATGGTGAGGTTGAGGATATGTGAAGGCGATGAGTCTCGCGGAATGCCCCCTGAATGAACTATTGACAAGGTGGATTCCTTCCCCGCAGATTTCAGCTCCATGCCTTTCCTAATTGAGGATGGTGCCCCCCGCTGCTTTATTTAGTACCTAGGTACCTATTCCCGCACTCGACCTCGTACTCTTCACCTTCTGCTCACAGCTTCTAGAGATGAACACTGAGAGACGATAGCACAGTAAAAGAACTACCATTAATCACGGGGATATTGGGTTAGCATCATCGGTCTCCCTTTGCTGCTTCTCGTGGAGCAGGAAAAGAAATTAAAAACACCATTGTATTTATCCCCCCAGATATGTCAACGTTCTGGCAAGGTTATCAATATCTCGTCACTTGACGGCGAATCTTGACCTCTGCAAAGTCCAACTCTGTTTGCGATCGTGAGCAGCCTGCTGTTGAACCAAACCCATGATTAAACCTTCTGTACTGGTTGTTATCGACAAGAGTCTCACAGCTGGACGTCGAAGAATCAACACGGGGGACCAAATGCCATGTACTCTGCTGCATTCCCATCAGTCACTCGGTCTAATCCGAAACCGAATCACCGGCCCCTCCCTCGCCGCAGCTAGATGATCGAGCATCTTGTATTCCGCAACATTGGAACTCGCCGGTCTATCTTCGATCCCTCCTCCCACGTACTCCATGTCGAAGAGGTAAACGGCCCTCGCAATTGTGATCCACAGTTCGATATACGCCAATCGCTTTCCAATGCACTGTCTCGACCCATACGAGAAAGGCGTGAATGCCGCGTAACTCTTCTTCACTGCGTCCTCGCCCACCTCTTCGGGTATCCAGCGCTCCGGCTTCCACACATCCGGGTCGGGGAAGTATTCGGCATTATGATGGAGAGCGTACACGGGCACCGAAACCTCGACGCCCGGTGGAAAGAAGAAGCGATCATCGACCGTGAGACCTCCCGGGAGGACTTCGCGTGGCAAGACGCCAGGGAGGCTGGGGCTGAAACGGAGAGTCTCTTCAACTGTGGCTTTCAAGTAACGGCAGCTGTCCAATTGACGTCCGAGCTTGATTTCGTCCACGGAGGGGAAAGTGGAGCGAATCTCCGCGCAGAGTTTGACCAGTTTGTCCTTGTTGTGTGTGAGGTAGAAGAAGTTGGCCGCTAACTGTGTCGCGGTGGTGTCAGACCCTACAAAATGGGCATTGCTCATCTGTCAGATACTGCACGAGAATGTCGACCAGACACAGGATACCCTGCCAACCACCACTTTTCAGGGGAAAGCTTACCGCCAATGATCAATGCCACCGCCTCCGATCCGAGATCTGTTGGAGACAATTTTGCTGGGGTCCCATCTGGATTCTTGGCTCGCAGAATATAATGCAAGAAATCCTTCTTTGGCGTCTCGCGTGTCAGGCGATCCGAAATCTGGTCTCCGGCAAACCGCTTGAGGTATTTGCTCATGGCATATATCTTAGGGAACAGGAAAGGAAGCAGATTCCAGTTGAGAACGGTCGGACTCGAGCCAGCCTGGTATAAAAGCGGTTGTCAACAGTCAAGTCCGGAGAACAGTTTCGTGTGACATAGAATAAGGGTCAAAGAGAAGGCGCGAGGGCCCGATGAGGGGAAAGAATAGTCACATCCAAAACGGAAAGAACGAGAACGGAGAAGAGACCGACAATCAACTGGCCGTGCAGAGCCGAATCAATCAAATCCGGCAGTGCTCGACTCTCCTTGCCGCCGAGCATATCGAAATCCTTTGCAAAGGCCAAATCGCCCATGACGTCGAAGGTCAGGTAATTCCCCCAGTGACTCATGTCCACCTCGACCGACCAGCTAGGATCTAGTCGTGGTTTCTCGGCGGCCGGGGTCGGCGACGTTGTCGTTGACGGTTCCGCGTTGCCACCACCGAGGATCCCCACGTCGAAAAACCGCCGGATGTGATGCAGGATGTGAGGCTCCATGGACAGCAACGCAGCGTCGGTAAAGGCAGGGGCCAGAACACGCCTCCTGTGGGCATGCAGCTGTCGATCGACGGCGCTGAAGCTGTTGGGGAATCCCGTGAGCTTCGCTGATGCCTGATACAAGAGGCCCTTTTGCACGTTTCTGTTGACCCCGTAGATGTCTAAAATGCCGTGGCTCAGACTTAGTATGCGTTACCATTCGGAGAGCCTTGGACAAGAAGAGATGGACAGGGGTTGGAGGTGATTTGGCCCGCCCTTCTTACCTTTGATTGCTTGTGCATTGTTGATAGTCACCAGATTCGGTGCTATGCGTACAATTTCTCCTGGATGAATGGGTCAGCAAGAACGTGAGTCGTTTGAAGAAGAGACCACTCGGGCTGCGGGAGATTAGATCCTCGGTACCATATTTCTTATGAAGATTGTACACATTCAAATGGTTATCACCCCTCGATGCATGATACACGCCGTACCAGTGTGTCACCCTCCCAAGCAATGGCCCAGGGTAAGCTGCAAGAGGGTGGAAGTAGAGACGATAGACAATGACACCGAATAGCTGCAATTGTTTTCAAATCAGCCAAAAACACATTGGAAAAGCTTCACACCTGTTTCTGAAAATGACATTCACGGTTCGCCCTAAAATGGAAGTCCAAAGCTCGGAGTAAAGGTAGAGCAGAGCATAACATACATAGATGAAGAGGGCTACTACAGCCCCAACAAGCAAGGCTTGAAGAGTCATCCTGTCCGCGATCTCGTCAGCCAACATCGTCGATGTCTAGTCTCAATATTCTTCTATGTAGGAGGTATACGAACCACCTCTACCGCGGACAGAAGTCCCAAGGGGGTAGTCTGCTTTATAAGGTGTTCGGAACCCCAGAAAATCCCCAGACGGAGCAGCTTCCTCGACTCCAGCTACGTGAACTCCCCCACGGTGTACCAATCTACCCCGTGGGTTGGCCCTCAGACGAACCTCCTCGCTGCGGCCAAGGAAAGAAGGACAAGAGCACGCTACGGAAATCTGGCACTGCAAGTTGATACTACACACCATGGTCGCCCATTCCGAGTTGCGTTTCCCAACCCCCGTAGTCTCGACCGGTTTGGATTCCGCAGTCCACCAGATCAAACGGCCATGCTTCAAACCCTCTTGGAAGGACTCCCTTTTGTTACAATCATTTGTCAGCTCGACTGATCCCCCCGACTACAGTTCCAATGAGAACCGTATCAAATCCGATGAAGCTCGGAACCTCAGCTGAGGTGGAAACGAGGGTGGGATGTGTTGAGGATCAGGACTGAAAGACCATATCGGATTAGAAGTATCGGCTTTGCACCGATTGGATGTAACAACGCCGGTTCCCTGAAACGTTCCCCGCCCCCGTCTCCAGCCTGGGGTCTCTTCCTGCAAAGCTATGTGCTTGGATAACAAAGGAAGTCACCTTCTTTGTGGAGCATGTGTCTATCGGGGTGGGGACCCCGTAGGGCATTGTACACACAGTATACACGCGGATGAGTGCGGGTGAGACTGGGACTGAGAGTGTGAGAGTGCGGGTGAGTGTGAGAGTGCCGGTGAGAGTGAGAGTGAGAGTCAGAGTGTGCGAGTGCATCGGAAAGTAATCTGAGACTACGGAAGCATAGAAGTTGGAACCGAGCGTGGCCATCGGTAGGGAGGATGAGTGGCCTATATATGTGAGCGCTAGGTAGTCGAGGAACAGGTCGTTCTAGTGTCTTTCTGGGAAAGGAACGAGGTAAATCTATCTGTCTCCCTTCTCTCTCTTTAGGTCAATAAATTGAGCCGAATACAGTGAGGCTTGTGTATTACCGGATTCCGCAATCAGATTCACAATCGCAATCACCATCACCACCACGCTTTGCAAACCAAAACAAAATGGCTTCCCAAAATGCTACTCCGGATGAAAAGAAAATGCATGTCATCATCATTGGGTCAGGATGTACAGGCTTGTTCATTGCTCAAGGGCTGAAAAAGGTACTTACTTCTCTCCCTTCTCCTCTTCCTTCCCTTTTGAAAGAAGTCTTTTCCAAAAAAAAAGGGAAAAGAAAGCTCACTTCTTTTTCCTTTTCCGTTTTCCAGAGAGGCATCTCCTTCACCATCCATGACAAGATCAATCCTGCCTTCCGTCATCGCGACTGGAGCATGACCATGTTCTGGGCCTTCAAATACTACCCGCACCTCCTGTCTGAAGAGATGCAGGCTCGCGTGCACGAAGCCCAGGTCAGGTCCTTCTACAAGTCGACCGACACCGAAGAGCTGGTGCTGAGGAACGCGGCCACCGGAGAGGTTCTAAAGAAGGTCAACTCTCCGTATGCAATTCGTGTCAGCAGGGCGAGGCTGAGGAAGTTTTTGCTTGCCGGGCTTGATGTTAAGGTCTGGCCCCGCTGCCTCCAAGGCTCCCCAATGCCGTTATGTTCATGGAAGGGAAGAACGGGAACGACTAACATGGTCGATAGTACAACCATGAACTTGTGAACATCGAGTATACCCCGACTGGTGCCATTGCTTACTTCAGTGACGGGACGACCGAGACTGGTTCCATCGTCGTCGGTGCAGACGGGGGGCAATCGCTGGTGAGACGCCTGTTGCTGAAAGAGCTGGCCGTGCCCGAGTCATATCCAGAATACGATATGGCCAACCTGAGTGTGACATACACGCACGAACAGGGCAAGTACATTGCCAACTCGATGGCGCCGCACGTGGATTATGGAGTTCACCCGAAGGGAATCTTCTTCATCATGCTCTGTAAGCACGAAACCCACACCAGACGCAAGCCGAGTCCTAAAGGTCTGCTCACGTCACTGACTTGGTTCAGATCGCACCGCCGTTGACAAGGACGATTACTCAACCTGGACATTTCACTATGTCATCACATGGCCGAAAGATCTTCCGGGCATGCCGTACAAGGGCCAGAGCAACGCGGACCGTCTTCGAGTTCTCAAGTCATTTGCTGATGACTTTGCCGAGCCCAGACGATCAGCTCTGGCCTGGATGCCGGAAGACCAGGACGTCCCCAATGACATGATCAAGATCTGGGTGCCCATTCCATGGGATAACCACGCCGGCCAAGTGACGTTAGCTGGGGATGCAGCCCACGCCATCTCTTTCCGTATGTCCCCTCTTGTCTTCAATGTCCCTTGCCGAGTGGTTAAGTCAAAAGTTGCGACTGACGTATCTCTCTCCTTTGCCCCCAGATCGTGGACAAGGGATGAACAATGCGACGGTGGATTGTGCCAATTTCGTTACCGCGGTGGATAAAATCGTCTCGGGCGAGGAGACAAAGGAGGCTGCAATCGCTGAGTACGAGAAGGAAGTCATCGACCGAGGAACATACGAGGCCACCCTGTCACGTCAGCTCACTCTCAACATCCACCACTGGGATCGATTCCTTGAAAGTCCGATCATGAAGTACGGCGGTAATCTCGCCCGTGAGGTTGCACCGGTGGCGAGATCTCAGCTAAGTACAGCAGCAGCTGTGGCACAAGAGGCCGCTGCGTGATAGCAGACGACCTGCCATTGGCGAGTAGCGCAAGTATGCATGTAATTCTGCGAGCAGAAGATAATAGATCTCTGAGCTGAACACCCGCGGAGGGTTTTTGTTTCAAGGCAAATGTTGAAGAGGAACAAGAGGGAGACACACATACATAAAAAAAGGAGCATTTGAAAGTCATTCATCTCTTCCCATTTCTTAGCAGTACAAACTTCCAGGGCCTTTTCAAATGCCTTCGAACTCAGGGAGCAGCCACCCAAAATCAGGGGTCATTCCACTTCCCAGCTCCGAAAAGGAGGTGTTGAAGTCGGCTATGCCATTGGCAGCAACATTTGGCATCTCAAAATCCGAAACAAAGCTAGCAGAAAGACCGTTGTGATCGTCAGGAATGACCCCAAGGCGAAGGCACATTGAATAAGCTCGGAGCCACAGGCGCTTCGATGCGGCAGAATGATTCATGGTAGATTTGAGAAGGCCAAGTGCTGTTATGGCGGCTTGACACGCCTTCTCGTGTGTGGCCGGTCCTACCGGTGCATTATTGTTCGACATGTTGGAAGGAGAACTTGGATCCTGAGCCAGTCCTAGAAGAAGGAGCATACCCAGTGCCGTCACAAGAAAGTAGTTGTACTGTGTCTGGTGGGGCTGATAGAGATGACTCGTGCTTTCTAGATTCGCCACGACTTGCACCGTGTCGCATGCAATGCCCACAGCGGTGTTCCAGTGCTGGCCATCCGCGCTGAGATTGATGTTGGAACCACAAAGCACCGGACGCAGCATCAAGAGACGCAATTGGTTTGCTCGGAGATAGAGCACTGTACGTGGATGGCGAATCCTCCTGGCACTGGATACGTCCTCGTCGGCGGCGTGAATGTCTCCATCAATATGCATCCTCTGCCACTGGTCGAGACGGTAGCGGAAGTACTCAAACGACTCCTGCCACTCGGCGGTTCCGCGTGGCTGGCCGCTCAGGGCTTCTGAAAGCGAGTCGCAGGCGTTGGAGCCCAGGTGGCAATACTCTACCATGGCGTTCAGGTAAGGCTCACTATACTGGGAAAAGTGTGTCAATGTGGGATTCTTTTGAGTAGGCTCCATTCACAACACTCACAGGTAGTGGAAGACCATTGTCGACATCTGCGTCTTCGAGACTCTTTGGTAGCCCCAACGCGTAGCTCATCTGTCGATCGAGCACAAAAATCGTCCAGAACGTATTGACCACGTTGATGCGTGTTGTGGGATCCTGGAATGTGCGGACAACCACCTTTTTCAGGTTCAGTCCAAGTTCCAGTGCCATGCGGGTTAGGTTATTCGTGACTCTCCAAGCGAGTCGCCAATTTCCTCTGACGAAATGATAGACGGCCTACATATTAGTTAGACTCTCTTCGACTGAAGGGAGTAAGGAAGAACATACAACTAGGATGAGGAGATGCAGGTCCTTGACTTCTGTCGCCGTGGTCCAGATCTTCGCTTCCACATCCCGCTGTATGCTCTTGAATAGTTTGGAAGCCATCTCATGGTTGTCCGACCCCTCCATGACCAGCACAATTGCAAGCACCATCTTGACGATGCTCACATCAGTCCGGTCTAATTGGATATTGGAAGCCTTGGGAGTGGGTGGGACCGCTATGATCCCGAACAGTTCGGTGGTCTTCCGCAACAAGTCATCTTTACTCACAACCGGGTGCATTACACCCACTAGGTCATCGTAGGCGAGTACCAGGCGGAGAGCTTGGGCCAGAGTCAGCTCTCGAACGAGATGGAGAGACTCGTCATGTCGGTCCATTGGAGCGGAGATCAATGGAGGCTGTAAGCTCGGCGCTGGGGGATCCTCCTCAGGACGCTCATCGTGGTCAATGACAATATCACCATTCAATATGGAGACAGTTGCAGGCTCTAAGATTACCTGCTCGCGGGTCGGTGTGCCGTATGTTTTGTTTAGAGTTACACCCACGATGTTGATGCAGAAAGAACAGCTAGATGGGCCGCTGTACAAAGGTAGAGGTGCCTTTGGCGATCGGAGTACAGCATCCGCGTTCTCATCCGAATCAATAGCGCCCACATTGCCGCGACTTTCGTCATCTTGGGCCAGCCCTGTGGGATTGAAGGTTGGTTTTGCTTGCTCGATTTGGCTCTGGCCTGTTTTGTGCGTAGGTAATCCATCACCGTCCTGTGACCTCTCCGATCTCTGCAGGAGCAGATCTAGTTTTGCCGACTGTGACTGCAGCAAGTTTTCTAGACGTGTGAATGACTCGGGATTCCTACAAAGTTTCAGACGGTTGAAGTCGGCAACAAGACGCAGTGGTGACAGCGAGGGAGCCGACAACAGGAGAAGCTGATGGGGCTTCCATAGACTAACTCACCATGTAGCTAGAGATCCATCACTCTTGGTCGTATTCTCATTTTCATCCTCTCGGGGACCATTTCCGCTGGCAGAGTCGAAGTGCTGCTGCAGCTGATCCCAGTTGATATGCCGCCACTGTCCGTAGGAACATTCCTGGGGCCGCTTCACTCTGCACTTGTCACATGGCTGTTCGCCGTTGCACCGAATCTTCTGCCTCTTGCATCTCTCGCATGCGTGTGATATATAGCGAGCCCGCTTTCGAGACGACGGTTGACTCCGTGACAGATTCCCAGCTGACCCAACGGGGGATTTCCTGTAGGTATTTGTCTGGGATGATGTATAGGATTCCATTCGTATTCTACTGGTTCGCCTAGACGAGGACCTCGATCGATCAGACTCACACAGAAGGCGTTTGTATTGTACACCGTGTCAAGCAAAGGACACAAGTAACAATCCCAAGTGCGGATAGAGAGCCCCTGGTCGGCTGCACGGCTTCTCTGGACCCCGCAGAATTTGGCTTGATACCCCGGAGCGAACGGGGAATGTAGATCACAGCTGACAAATGCTTCACTGGATGTCGACTGAATGGAGAGAGCGCCCTCGTGGAGTCGGAGATTTACCGGAGAGACCGGAATTGTCTTGGCAGATTCTTCTCGGGTTGCTGCAGTGCCTCAGTCTGTGTTCCTGGCAGAGAGTGTTATTATGGAAAGCCCGGGGAAAAGCGTCTCCCAGAAACGAAGAAGAGGACGACTCAATCATATGGAGCCTAATCCTCTCTGCTGGGACGGAACAGGAACAGACTTGGTGAAGCCTGGTAGTTTCGAAGTTGTGGAGGCGAATCCGAATATCTATTGTGCTACTTTCTTATTCGCGAATCTCCCTCGGTAGGTTTTGCCATTCCCTTGTGAAATCCCTAGACATTCCTGGCAGTACGGTTGCAGCATGAGGGCGCGCAGGAACTCTGGAGAAGAGTATCTGTAACGAACCTCCTCGCCAAGCTCTCCGCAAAAAGCCTCGGAGCGGAGGTCGCACCGGTGGATGGTTGTTGCTGCTTTAAAGGGACAAGATTCGGGGAAATATCCGCCGATGATCGGAAGTGACATCCTGATTGATGGCAAGATGCAGCTTCTCGTCATTGTTCCAACAATCTATGAATTTCCCTGGTAGCATACCCTAATTCCTTCTTCCCCTGCTCCAGACACCTCACTTTGTCTACAGACGTCCCCGGAGGCGGCAACTATGTCTGGGTCGGCATCAAGAGGCCTGGTGCGCGTCTTGCGCCAGACCAAAAGACCTTCAATACCTCGGTCTCAAGCCAGACAGTGCCAGCCTCTACGGCCCTTGTTTGAACCTGTACGAAATTTTTCTGCAACTATTCGAAGACGAGAAGACCTCAGCGAACCGCATCACAATGTCAAGTACACGACTGACATGTATCCCTCCCTCAAGCGAGACCCAAGGTTCTCCGAGATCACGCCAGAGCACATCCAATTCTTTAAATCTGCTCTAGGCGATGAAGCTGCGGTCGTGGATGGAGTGACCAGCGATGCTTCAGATGACCTTGAAGCTTTCAACACGGACTGGATGAGGAAATACAGAGGTCATACCAAGCTGGTCTTGAGACCTAAGAGCACGGAAGAAGTGAGCAAAGTACTCAAATACTGCAACGACAACAAGCTGGCTGTGGTACCGCAAGGTGGAAATTCAGGCCTGGTTGGAGGCAGTGTGCCAGTCTTTGACGAGATTGTCATCTCACTTTCCCGGATGAACAAGATCCGCAGTTTTGACGACATCAGTGGCATCCTGGTGGTCGACGGAGGTGTTATACTGGAAGTGGCCGACAATTACCTTGCCGAGCATAACCACCTCTTTCCCCTTGACCTTGGTGCCAAAGGTTCAGCTCAGATCGGTGGTAATGTGGCAACTAACGCCGGAGGCTTGAGACTATTGCGCTACGGCTCGTTACATGGCAATGTCCTTGGAATTGAGGCAGTATTACCAGACGGCACTATTGTTGACGATCTTGGTACGTTACGGAAGAACAACACAGGCTATGACATAAAGCAACTCTTCATAGGAGGAGAAGGGACGATCGGGATCATTACGGGTGTCTCGGTCCACTGTCCACAGAGATCCAAAGCGGTCAATGTTGCATATTTTGGGCTTCCTTCATTCGAGAATGTCCAAAAAGCTTACAAAGAAGCGAAAGTCCAGCTCGGAGAGATCCTGTCTGCTTTTGAACTCATGGATGCGCGGAGTCAGGGCTTCGTCCACCAAGTTACCGGAAATAAACGACCACTAGAAGGTGACCATCCCTTCTATTGCTTGATTGAAACAAGTGGTTCCAATACGGAACACGACAGTGAAAAGCTCGAAAAGTTCTTGGAATATGTCATGAGTGAAGAGATCGTGTCCGACGGCGTTCTCGCCCAGGACGAGACTCAAGCCAAATCTCTATGGGCATGGCGAGAGGGCATCACCGAGGCCATCGGCCACTTTGGCGGAACTTACAAATACGACCTTTCGATCCCCATTCAAGAACTCTACCAACTCGTGGAGGACACAAGAGATAGACTCAACTCGAAAGGCTTGGTAGGTGATGACGACTCCTTCCCAGCAATTGCTGTGGTCGGCTATGGACATATGGGCGACTCGAATCTGCATTTGAACGTCCCCGTGCGGAAATACACTAAAGAAGTTGAAGAAGCAATAGAACCGTGGGTATATGAGTGGATTCAAAAGCGAAGGGGAAGCATCAGCGCGGAGCATGGTCTCGGTATTGCCAAAAAGAAATACATCGGATACAGTCGGAGTGAGACCATGATCAAGCTGATGAAGCAGATAAAGGACCTCTATGATCCCAACGGGATTATGAATCCGTACAAGTATATCTAGAATGAAAAGGCGCCTGACGGGTGAGAAGCCGCGTCATACTGAGGGCCCTGTGTCCAGCTCTGGGTTTCCCTCCGAGAGTCTGTCTCATGTCATCTTGTACACTATTTGTGCCTTTCGACTTACTGTCTGACCACTGTAACAGTTACCATAACCACTAAACGGCTCTCAACTGGTTCGATAGAGGAATCAATGCGGGGAAACCACTGGCTTGCCAGTATGATGATTTCACCGAGGCAAGGTACAGTTCTCCAATCCACACAGCTGAGGAGAAGAGACACATAGCCACGGATATCGACATCGCAAGGTCGCTCAAGTAGTAACTTTGTGTCTGGTCGGGATATCACCTTGGGTCGTCCTCGTTCACTGCCAGAGCGTTCAAAGACTTGCGCCCCTTTCGCTTGTGGTGTGTTCAATATCTTGTTTCGAATATGGTCTCCCCTGAACGACTGAAGGAGATACGGGTCCCCCTATCGGACCAATACGCCTACAAGAAGCGCAGACTACGCGTTGCCACGATCGGAGCTGGCTTCTCGGGCTTGATATTCGCCCACAAGATTCAGCATGAAGAGCCGGAGTTACAGGAGTTCGTCGATCATGTCATCTTTGAAGCCAACGATGATGTCGGTGGAACGTGGAAGGTCAACACGTACCCGGGCGTGCAGTGCGACGTGCCAGCGCATATCTACGTCAGTCTCTGCCTTTCTTTGTCCGAGTGTCTGGAGGGGACTCCGACGTATTGATTTTCTGGCTTGCTCTAGGCATTTCCTTTCGATCCGAATCCCGACTGGTCCAAATTCTATGCCGATGGCCCGGAGATTCTGGAGTACGTGCAGAGGACGGTCGATAAGTGGAATCTAAGGCGGGACATTCAATTCAACACTCGAGTGATTGCCCTCAATTGGCTGGAGAAGGAAGGAAAATGGAAGATCCGTGTCCGGAAGGATGGGCAGGAAGAAAGGGACGAGTTTGCTGATGTCCTCGTTTCAGCGCAGGGGTTCCTCAGGTGAGTTGTTTGTTTGCATCTCAAAGATTGGGATTTAGAGACCGGCAGATGTCAAGCTGTGCCTGTCTAGCTACATACATTCCAAGATGCTGATCCAAGTCTCTACATTGTCCCAACAGCCAATGGAAATGGCCAGATATACCTGGTCTCCAGACCTTCAAGGGCCACAAGGTGCATTCGGCCGCATGGGACCATTCCTATGACTACTCCCACAAAAAGATTGGAATCATTGGCAACGGATCATCTGCCATCCAAATCCTGCCTCAAATGGCCAAATTGCCCGGCACGCAGGTGGTGAGCTTCCAGAGGGGGGCCACTTGGATCACGCAGAGTCTGGGCGAAGCGCTCGGTGTCGGCGGTGATAAGCAGCCCGATGCTGAAGAGAGCGAGGATCGGGAAATGGCAAATGGCGATGAAGGCGTCGATATGACCGAGGTGGACCAGCCTTCGGATGAAGAGGTGGGAAGCAGGTTCAACCCCAGATACACGAGGAGCGACAAGAGGAGGTTTCGGAATCCGGAGAAGCACAAGGCCTATCGCAAGATGTTGCAGCATGGGATGAACAAAGGATTCAGGCTGGTATGTATGGGTCGATCCCAATGATCCTTTCATTTTTCCTTCAGAGGGCGTTGGTACTGATTCTTCCTCACCACCACGGTGAAAAAAAGTTCCGCAAAGGCTCCGTCCAAAACGCCAAAGCCTCCGAGGCCACCATCGAACGGATGCGCGTCGCGTTAAACAACAACCCGGACCTCTGCGAGAAACTCATCCCGAACTGGACGCTCGGCTGTCGACGCCTGACCCCCGGCGAAGGCTACCTCGAGTCCTTTTTACTGCCCACGGTGTCGCTGGAGAAATCGCCCATCGCACGAATCACCGAGACAGGCATCGAGACAGAGTCCGGCGCGCACTACGACGACCTGGACGTGATCGTGTGCGCCACGGGCTTCGACGTCTCCCACATCCCGCACTACCCAGTAACAGGACGCAACGGCGTGACGCTCGCACAGAAATGGGCAGACGAGCCCGAGAGCTACCTAAGCGTAGCGTGCCCGGATTTCCCCAACTATTTCCTCTTCACCGGCCCCAACGCGACCGTCGGCCACGGAACGCTAGTCACATCCCTGACCTGGACGACCGCGTACATCACCAAGTGGCTACACAAGATTGCGGGCGAGGACATCCACTCGGCCGCGCCGCGCCAGGACGCCGTCGACGAATTCGTCACCTACGGCGACGAGATCCAAAACACTCTCACCTGGACGAGCGGCTGCAAGAGCTGGTACAAGAAGCACCGCGTCGACGGCCGCGTCACCGCCACATGGCCGGGGAGCGCCCTGCTCTACCGCGAGGTCATCCTGCGCGAGATCCGCGGCGAGGATTGGGATATACGCTACCGCGGAAGGAATCGATGGCGTGCGATCCTGGGGAATGGATTTACCAGGCTCGAAACTGAGGCGGAGGAGAAGGAGAAGCAGGGCGAGGTGGTGGATTTGGCGTTCTATATTAATTCCTGATTAACCCTGTGGGACTACTACTAGTTGTGGTAGTAGCAGTAGTAGCATCATCTTATGTTCTGATACCTGTTGTATTATTGTATGTACGTAGTCATGGCTGTGCAAGACGCGAGGCGAGCAGCACAGCACTCGTGCCCGTCCAGCCTGCCTTTGAGACGTTCGAGTTCGTAAATGTCTGTGGAAGAGGAAGTTTCATTGTTGGGACCTGGAAGGCTTGAACTCCTTTTTTTCACCCATTGGTATTTATTGGACGACTACCAGCGCCTCTCCTTGCCCTTCCCTTTCCCCTTGTCTCTATCCCTGTCCTTGTCTCTCTCCCGCCTCCTCTCTAACTTCAACTCCTTCTCCTTCTCCCGCGGATCAATCACCACCAGTTCCTCTTCGTTCTTCTTCCTCCAATTCAGGTCCTTCCCAAGGCGGTCCTTGGCGAACGACAGCGAGTGACTCATCCACTGCGAATCGTCCTCGGACTCTTCGGCCTCGGCGTTGGTCGGGTCGTCCCATTTGGAGCACGACTGACAGTTTGCTATGAAATGCAGGTCGCACAGAGTCGCCTCTTCTTGGTCATCGTCGTCGGTTTTGGGAAGAGGAGGCGGCGCGGCGACGAGCTCTGAAGGAGTCGATGAGGAGTTGTGATCTTTGTGTCCGTTGGCCGTTTTCGAAGACTGAGCTCTGCCCTGCGCATCTGCCGAGTCGAGCCGTGCTTTGAAGGCGTTCAGCATCTTCAGCGCCTGGGCCTCGTCCCGCGCATTGGATTCGCCTGGCCGAGGCCGTTTGCGACCTCTCGTACTTGTTGCTGGGATGAGAGATTCTAGTGCCGACTTCTTCGCGATGGAGCCGTTGGCATTGTTGTCGATGTTCCGGCGCATGGATGCTTTCAGGGCAGCTATCTCCGCTTCTAGTGCAGAAGTTTTGGATCCTGACGGTTGCTCTTCCGGGGTGGGTGAGCGGGACGGTGATTCTGGGTCGCGGAGAGGAAGTTGGGCCAATGGGTCATGGAATGATGGCTTCCGGCGGTGAACCGGTGATGGAGATTTCGTCGACACTGAGACACTCGCCTTGCGCTTTTGAGGAACCGTGGGTGATGGTGGTCTCTGTTGCGATTTCTCGATCGACGAAGGTTTAGGCGCAGTGCCGTTTGTCCTGGGCTTCGATTCAGGGGCGTCTTCGCTATCGATCAAGGCGGGATTAAATTTGGCCTTCTTTGGTCGTACGGCGACTGCGCCTGCATCGTCCTCACCTTCATCTCCGGCGAAGCTCAGCAGCGTCTTCCCACCCTTCTTTTTGGGAGCCTTTTTCTTTGTGGGTGCTTCCACGGTGCGTTCGGCAACTTTAATCCTTTTCCGCATTTTCTGCCATGCGTCACCCTTGGGCATCTCGATGATTTCGACCCGGAGAATCTTCTCCGGGTACATTGGTCTCTCGCTTCCCTCCAACAGTTCGCCTTCGGCGATTTTGACCACATTGTAGATGCCATCGCCCTCGACTCGGCCGAACATGGTGCACTTGCCGTCTAGTTCTGCTCTGCAGTCCCCGAGCGTGATGAAGAATTGACTGCCATATCCCGCACCGTCGCCGGTGCCTTTGGCCATACCAACCAGCCCTCTCCTGTTGAACCTGAGCCGGCTGTGGATTTCATCTCCAAAAGCAACCTTCTCTCCCTCTTCTCGTCCCATCACCCGCGCCCAGTCTTCGTCATATCGCTCAAATTCCCTGTCCTCATATATATTCTGTCCTCCTTCACCGGTTCCAGTGGGATCGCCTGTCTGAATGACAAAGCCCGGGGAGACACGGTGGAAGATGTTGTTGTTGTAGTCCTCGTCGAGGACATGTTGCAGGAAGTTTCTGCACGTTAAAGGTGTCTGATTCGCGAACAGAGATATGGTGAGAGGGCCAGCCGTGGTATGGAGTAGGACTGACGCAGTTGGAGGAGGTTCGGTCGTATAATGCGAAGACATGGCGGCTTGTTACGCAGCAAAGGTCGTCTCATCTGGATCGTTGCATCTTTTGGCCGTCACAGAGGCCTTTTTCAAGGTAAAATTACCCCAATGATTCTCCAGCCTTCGAGGTCGAGGGTTGTACTCGCACATCTAATGGATCTAGGAAAATACGTAAAGGTCGCAAACATGTATGTTGTGTTTGTTGTGTTTGCTGTCTTTGCTTTGCGGGTTCTTATGCTTGGCAGGTTTGTCACTCTCAACCTTTCCAGTTCAAGTTGGAATGGTCGTTTTGGTTTCCTTAGAGCGCCCATATTATTATTGTTGTGTCGATTTTACTTTCGTCAGCTACTTGAAATCCAACAGGCCGTCGCTATGCTTTGAAATGAGTTGAAGTCTTTTAGATCATCGTCGAGCGAGAACGGACCGCAAACGCTCAACTGAGAATGGCGCCTGATTCACAGCACTCATAGAAAATGTTTAACGCGTTGTAAAAAAAAAAAAGGAAAGAAAAAGGGGCAGAATCTTGTGCCTGGAAGTGTTGAAAGAGGTCTCACGCTGAATAGCCTGAATGTTATGTCACGGTCACCAGGTCACCGACAGCGTCAACGAAAATGTGTAGAGCGGCACGGATACTATCGCCAGCAAAAGTATGCCCTTCACAAGCTTATAAGTCCAAATGTCTCGCTAATTGCACTCTGATTCTTTCATTTCATGCTATAACAGATACTTGAAGGAGCCCCAGGGTCAACTAGTCGTCAGCAATCGTACTTGACCCTCCGCCTTCGATTTCACTCAACACCCTCGTCCCCAGGACGTTGCCTTCGGTATCCTGATATATAGCAGCAATCGAGCTGAAGCCGTTGAATGGCGTGTATGAATACTCCGACTCCTTTGCACTTTGGCCGTTGAACAAGACTGCCCGCTCATGCCCTGTAAACGTCATGTCGTGCCAGTACGATCCGACGACCTGGGACGAGTAGACGGATCCATCGTTGTGCAGCTTCTGGTCCACGATGTTGCCCGCCTGGTCGAGGATTCGATTTGTGTGCGTATTGCCGGTGTAGTCGTTGACCGAATAGAGGATACCTTCGTCAAGAAGCACCGAGCGGGCGGACAGACCGCTCGTTGAGGAAGAGGGGCTGCTGCTGCTCGTGCTGCTACCGCCGAGAGCAGTGTCGACCAGGGAGCCAACGTCGGACCCCAGCGTGGCAATCACAGGGTTCAGGTCGATTGAGTTGAGCGTGTCGTTGATCATAAGCACCAGATTCTCCAGCCGTGCCTCGAGCTCGACCTTGGCTGTTACGTTCTGGATGTTCAACTGCACAGCATTGATGCTTAGATCGACACCGGCGTTGAATTGAAGGAGGGACAGCACTTGGGCATCGATGTTGATCTTCGCCGACAGATTCTTCACCGTGATGTCGATCTCGCCGACCGAGACGCTTGCATTGAGGTAGACGTCAGGCGGAGTGCTGGCGTTAGTCACAGTGCCATTCGACGTGTCGGTCTCCTCGGTCTCATAGACTGCCGAATCAGTGTCGTTGCCGGTTACGCTGAGCGAGTAGCCGGTATAGCCATCGCTGGAAGAGACCGTCTGAGAAGATCCAAATTGAGCGAGTGCGACAAGTAACGAGCACCAAAATATGGGAATCATGACAAACTGGGTGATGCAGGTGTCGAGAGGAGCGTCATCAAGGGAGTAGAGAAGATGCTCTGAAAGTTGTTGAGTTCACTGGACGCTCTCGTTCAAAGACTCGCAGAGATGGTAAGAACTCTCCTGTATACGAACACGGCAGAACTGCGCGAGCGACAACCCCTCCTTTTCTTTCCAATTTTCAGACTCACCAGTTTCGAGTAATTGTCGAGGGTCACTCCCGGCATCTCATTTGGTATTTTGAGCATTCGGTTCGCGCGACAAGGGGAGAGACCTGTTTTCGCACAGCCCAGTCCCAGGGGCAACCATGGGGTCCCACACCTGCAATCTCGGCAGATCAGCCCTATACCGCAATGGACCGTTGAAACATGGGGAGCCATGCAGAAACCTGGTTGGGGAAGGAACCATCTGCAGGGATCTGCGCAGATCATCCTCACGCGTGTGGTCCAAACGTGAAACCCATCGCGTCCCACCAGGGAGCGAATAATTTTCCTGCACATGGGAAATTTCGATGGTTAGCGATGCTTGGTCGAGAAATTGGCCATGGGCAAAATGTGGGATTCTCCAGGAGAGGGAAGTGTTTGGGGTCGATGATATAGAGCGCCGGATGTGCGTCGATTCCTGCCTCTTTCTCCTCCGCAGTCAGCTGAGAACAAGATGGCGCACTTGATATTCCGGCTGCTCACGCTCTTGCTGTCCTTTTTCCTTCACCAGCAGGTTCTGGCGCAAACGACCACCTCATCGACGCCAGGTGGAAGCGTCAGCTCAACATCATTGTCGAATTCAGCGACGCTGACGCCGAGTCCAGCGTCATCTTCATCTACTCCTCCGGATGTCTACCTGAACGTTCCGACCCTCTCTGTTGGCCGCATTGAGCTTGACGTCGACGATCTGCGGGCAGATATCAACTTGAATGCGCAGGTGGCGTCCCTGGTCACCCTGAATGCTGGCGTGGCCCTTTCCATTCAAGAAGTCAACCTCACTATTTCGGATGTCGACGCGGAGCTTGAACTGATTGTCCGTCTGGGACACCTGGTCGACATCGTCAACCGAGTCTTCGAGTCCTTGGACCTCAACCCTCTCTTGATCTCCGCCATCAACAATGTCACCTCGTTGCTCGAGCCAATTGTGGGGGCAGTCGATGGCCTCCTCGGTTCCATCACTCAAGGAGGAACGACACTATCATTCTTGATCGACAACCTGGGGAATATCGTCCAGGAGGTCGGCGGGGTGAGCACCATCGTCGGAAATTATCTGACAAACATGACCGACACGGGGGTCAGTCAGACACTGTCTGGTGGTCTGATTGAGAAGACATACTCATATGCTCCGCTCAATGCGTTGGTGGACATTGTCTTCAACACAGCTGGGCAAGTTGTTCAGGCAACCGTACAGAAGCAGAGCGGGAGCGGCGGAAGCACTACGACAAGTTCTACATCGGCGTCAAGTACCACACCGGCTCCATCGTCATCTACCAGCAGCTAGCAATCACAGAGCGCCGGTCAGCAGGCAGCGACAACCAAGGCGACAACAACTGGAAAGCCGCAAGTCCCGACGCCGATAAAACAGCCAGGCCGTGGTGGACACTAGTTTGATAATACATGCGGGTCGCAATGTCGTGACTCCTGACCAGGCCATGATCAGGCGGAAGTACTTTTCAAGCTTCTTGACGACGGAAGCACTGTGATGGAGTGCATTCTGGGACGAATTTGACGATCAAGGGCAAGATATTCAGTGTCTGCTGAACCTCCGCATATGTAGACCAACTTTGGTTCCTGCACGCTCTCTGGGCCTTTGGAATTTTTGCTCTGGGGGATAAATTGTTGCCCGGATCAGTAGAGCCGGGCAAGCAGCATTCGCCAAGATAACGAGAATGCGGTCCATAGTACGAAGTATTCAGACTGCAAACTCTGCTCCTTGGCACCGAACCAATACGACAGTAGTCATGCGATGGAATTGAATCCTCACTGATCCAGTTAAACTCTAAAGTGATTCGAACAGGTTGACCACTTCCGGACAAAGTCCAGCGAGCGCTCAGTCGACTTCCTTCTCTTATAGCGAAATTGCCGTTCGCGTCTGGGGTCATTTCAGCGGCATTTCCGGTTTCCATTTTCACTTACCGCAATAACAGGGCGTTCTCCCTCCACCTCAAGGAGAAAGGTGTGACTTGTGAGCGCTACTGTGTTCGCACGTAGTGTTGGGTGCCGGTTGTGATACCTTGTCGAGTGTCACGAAAAAGGAGTGACAAGGCTGAATGGCCCAAGGCGCCATAAAGGGGTTTTTTTGGTACTTGGACGCCAGACCTCTCAACCCTCCTGGCCCACTTTCTGCTCTCCTGGAAGATCCATCCGGCCCCTGTTCAATACAGGCATTGGCAGAGTTTATCAGTCTTGATAGAACTCTTAGCACCGAGGTTACATCAATTTGCGGAAGTACTCGGTACAGTTCTCTGAGATTAGTCCCAGCTCAATGAATTATCGTCATTAGCGATGGATGGCTGCTATTATGCACATCCATCTTCCCTACTTAGACATCTAAACATGAATGATTCATCTATCAAGCCCGTGTCCCTTCCGTCCCAGGAAGGATTAAGGAACTGAAGATCTCTATCTATCTCCAGCGCCACTGATTGCGACGTCGACCGTAATCTCCGTGTGCCCATCGGCCCGCGTCGACTCGGTCCAGATAATCATTGTAACGGCGATATACAACTGGGAGTTGCAATACCTGGTCGTCCCTCTCGTCCATGTACGCGCCCATGGACCTCGAGACGTTCCGATTTGGCGTTCCCATGAAGCGAGCTCTGTCCCATTCGTAGTAAGGGTCTCTGCGTCGTCGATCCCAGGTTCCGTAGGTGCTGTTGAGCCAGTAGTCCCGGTCGGAATAGGATGGCATATCGCAGAAGTCCTTACACAGGCGGTAGAGATGTGTGGTGGGTGGGATATGATATAGAATTAGAAAAGTCTGGCCGAATCTCGAAATGCGGGTATCCGGTTCTGGATGTCCTTTTCGCTGGGCAGTTCTATTTGTTCGATAGGATATGGATCTCTCGATGTGGTCAAGATGAAAGAATTCCATCCAAGTTCCCAAGTTGAGAGATATTTATACCTCCCTGATTCCATCGTGTTCGTTTGTACTCACCTATATCAAACAGTCTGGCGGCACCGCCATCACGGACTGGTGACTACTGTTTGCACCATAGTCCTCAGTGTGTTGACAATAGCAGTGAGCTTGCATGAGTATTCTGTCAGAAACGCCCCGAAGGGGCCTGCAACGCGTGAACCATGAGGTTCGTTTGAAAGTCGTTGTGACATTTTGACAATTTCATTGTCAGTGATGTTGGCCTGGTGAGTTCAACGAACCTATCTCCAAGGATATCCAAAGGGAACTGCAAGCGGACTGCAGGTGATGAATGCGTCCATGCGGGTCAACACGCTCATCTTCGACCATGTACGGAAGCACAAAATCTGGGAGCACGTTTACTGACTGACAGTAACCACGTCGCTCGCCCATACCCGCGAGGAGTGGCTCTGGGGAAACTGTCCGTGTCACGACATTCATGAACCATTTATTCGATGAACGAGGACAACGTGATGAAGTAACCGCGACTCGGAGGTCGGCAAATAAAACAGTCCCGACAGCCATGGCCTGGTGGCCTTTGGAAGTTCAAAAGTACGGTTGGGGGTGTCCTGAGCCCTCCTCACATTCGGCAGCTGCAACGAGAAGAAGTCTGACGGGAAAGAGGGATTTGTACTGCTCTTCTCCACAATCCGCCCCGGTTTCGAACCCAAAAGCGATGACATTTCCCCGCATTTTGATTCTGACGTGTAATACTAAACGACGAATCACACTGCGATAGCTACATCCGAACTTAAGTGCCGATATATAGGTAAGTTGGTCTATATCGTCAATTGTGTTTGTTCCGGTTACTTATTTAATTTGTGGTTGGTACTCCCTCACAAAGAAGAAATAGAAATCGAGTATAAGCAAGACCTCCCTTCAGGAGCCATTATCCAATAAGGTTCAGTGTTTTGACTTCACTTCACCCATATGGCACCAAGTTATGACCTAGACAGGCTCCCAGGCGGTCTCCCTTCCCAACTACTCCCAGAGCACGTCGATGTCGGAACAATCCAAAAGGCGGCTCAACAAATCCTAGAGAATCTGGACGCAAAAGACCTGCACAGCACAGCATTATGGAGAGACTGGCTCGCGCTTACGGGTCAGATTCGAACATTCTCCAGCTCTGAAAAAATCGCGCAGGTGTGGAACGCTCAAGTTCAGTCTCAACAAGTCACCGACGTCAAGACAAAGGCTGGACGCATCACTAAACCGGTTCCAACGAGCTCGTGGGTCGACGTCTCGTTCACTTTCACGACGAAACGAGAAAGCGGCCTTGTCGGTAACTGTAAAGGCACCGCTTCGCTGATCCAGGACGGCGACGGGAAGTGGAAAATCTGGATGCTTGTCACTGTTCTGGACAGCTTTGCTGGCTACGGGCACCCTGATGTTCCTCGGGTAGCGGGCGACTCGCTTGCGAATGGTACCGTCGACGGCTTTGATGACCAAGCGAGCACAACGAATGGCGAAGATCATTTTGACGTTGTGGTTCTTGGGGCAGGCCAATGTGGTTTGGCGGTTGCCGGCAGGCTGGGTGCTCTTGGGATAAGCTATGTGCTTCTAGAGAAGCGACCCGCCGTGGGAAGGAACTGGACCGAACGATACGAGTCAGTGAGACAACATACCATCCGAGAGTATAACAATCTTCCCTTTGAACGCACATGGAAGCCCGACGACCCGTTATTACTCCCTGGCAAGATCGTGGCAGAAGGTTTCGAGAACTACGTCAGAAAGTACAACATCCGTCTGTGGACAAGTGCGGACACCACTGGAGCATCTTGGGCTCCGGAGAGTCGGACTTGGAAGCTAGACATCACGCTCAACGGGGACGAAAAGCGAAAGCTGGTCTGCCGACACCTTATTGTTGCCACCGGTGCTGGTGTGAGCGTGGATAACGACCCAAAGTATCCTGGAGTTGACCAGTACGAGGGCATACTCCTGCATTCGGGGGCGTACAAGCATAGCCGTGACTGGGCAACCAAGGACGCTATTGTGATTGGGTCAGGCACAACAGCGCATGACATTGCTGAAGACATGTATCGGGCAGGTCTGCGTTCTGTCACCATGATTCAGCGTAATAGAACCGCCATCTACCCAATCGAGTGGATCGTAAAAGGACAACAGGGTAAGGCCGCGTCCCAAACGGCGCTATCGTTGAAGATCTGCTGGCTAACGAGTCTGCAGTTCTGTACAACAACAACATCCCGACCGCCGATGCCGATGCCATGGTCGCCTCCCGGCCCAACAAGATTCTGCGTGATATTTTGAAGGCCGTCCACGAGGCTGCCGCAAGCCAGGAACAGGGGCGCTTCAACGACCTAGAGCGGGCTGGATTCCGGGTTGATCGCAAGACTCCCCTCATGGACAACATCTTGTCGCGCTATGGAGGTTACTATATTGACATTGGCGCTTCTTCCCACGTTGTCAGAGGAGAGATCAAGGTCAAGTCCGGTGTGCCAATCACAACTTTCACTCGACAGGGCCTGAAATTCGAAGACGGGAGCGAACTCCGGGCAGACGTAGTGGTGGTTGCCACAGGACAGGACCATGACTACCGAAATCAGGTGGCCGAGATTGTCGGGAAGGACTTTGCGTCGAAACTCGACCAGTTTTGGGGACTTGACGAAGAAGGTGAAGTTCGGAACGTCATGAAGCCAGCAGGTAAGTCGGGCCTCACAAAGAGTCTTTAGCACCCCGTACTGACTACACCTAGCTCCTGGGTTGTGGATGTTTGGAGGCACAGCGGCTCAAGCGCGGTGGTGGTCTCGGTTTGTAGCTCTCTCCATCCAATCCGACGTGATAGGGAAGCCACTTGAGGGTGTAAGGATGGTTGGGTAGCTCTGAAGTAATGAAAGCCTAGCAATCATGCAGCGTATTCGAGGTCCACCAAAAGGTCCAAGTCATGGTAATTCGACTTTTACGGATCTTGAAGTCAACAAACCTTGCGGTCGAATTCTCCTCAAAATTTTGGCTGATGGAAGTGGGCAATTGACAAAAGGGTTCGATGGATACGAGCCCCATTTGGGTGACCCAAGTAGAGCTCAGGGAGACCCGAGTGCGAGCCTGAAGGGGTAGCCGGCGAGCCGGCTTGGTGGGCAGGGGTATTTGAAGCAGGATTTCTGATCAAGGGACTAGTGGATTCAGAGGCGCCCTTCGCACCATGATTTCTCGCGTATCTGCATTGACTTAGCATCATGCAGCCCTTTCTGGAAAGGGTGTCAATCTCCAGCAGGTCGGAGCACCTCCCACACCTGGCGCTCATGCCGTTGGTGGTCCCTCCACGGGGGCAACAGGGACGGTAGACCCAGGCTTCCCCAACGCTCTGTGAGCCTCCATCCAACACCAGAATAGTCCTCCTTCTTTCATAGCTGGAACAGTACGACGCATTCGAGCTGTCGACGTCTCATTCAAGCTCAAGCTGGACCTTCTCGACTCCCTCAAAGAAGTGCTTTCGCACATTTCGACAGATGCCCACCCTTCGAAAGACGCCTACCCCGGTACCACTAGCAGAGCCGCTGGCTGTTTTGCCTTTACCTTTCTCTGCTTCTCGTGGGTCCTCGGCCCTCGGCCGCCACTGTAGCAAGAGCATTGTCTGGAGGCCTATTTCCAAGCCAAACAGATCACTCTCCAAGCCGGGCGCCACGTATCTCTCTTCGCTGTAGGGCGTGTCAATGCCGTCGTCGTCCGGGGGAAGAGAATAATCCAGTTGGCCTTCGATGTGTTGTTTGGTGGGCTCGAATATGACCATCTGACCACTTGTAGGGTTCCGTGCGTGGACGTGGCGAGCAAGGTATCTTGAGAGATTGTACTTGTTCTTACCACCACGGCCGGAGTTCGTCATCTCGACCCAGTCAATCCTTTCCGAGTCTGGGGATATGATTCGTCGTAGGCGACCTCTCACAGAAACACGTTTCTTCTTTGCTCCCTCCTGGCACGCATGAAGAATATTGGCCCTGGGGTCTTGCTTCCTCTCCGCGGGTCCATTGGGACCCATACTCAAGTTAGGACCTCCAAGTAGCTGAAAGTCGTTTTGTTCGCATCGGCTGAAGCTCTGCTTTGTGCTAACGTAGGCCCCGACCGGAAGAGACGCCCAAGACCAGCTCGGTGCGATGTCAAGCAGTGCTTTCCGTGGATCTGCGGCCGTCTTGGCCGACCAAGCCAGGTCCTCGGGGAAAGTCTCGCGCCAAAGACCAGCGAGATATTCCTGGCGGGGGATCCTGTTGTCTTGGGTGACATACGTCGAAAGATATTGGGCCGCCAGGCCAGAGATGGCTGGAAATCTGTCGGTTGCTTTTGTGATCTCTCGTGGACAGTAAGCCTCCACAACATCATTCCATTCTTGGTGCAAGCGGACTCTTTCTCCTGTAAAGCGAGACTTGATGAAGACCTGCGCCGCGCTCATTTGCTGGAATTCATCCTCGCGTTCAAAACGCAAGTCACCGCTACCGGCATCGGGTTTCCCTGCACTGCGAGCGGCGACTTCTGTGTCCTGCTTCTCAACGCAGGACCAGTAGACTCTCTGGCCACAGTAGTATAAGAGTCTCGGAGAAAGTCGTTCTTCTTGTAGAGTCCACGCACGCTTGGAAAGCGGTGCAGTCGCCCTCACTTCGTTGAGGCTCATGTTGTGGCTCACCAGCCATTGGCCTTCGAAATAGAAAGGCACAACGCTGTAAGTCCACGCCTTCCGCGGCCATATGAGTCCATCTACTGAACTTGTGCTTGAACAGGCGCAGAGCGTGAAGACAGCATTACCATAGATGACATGCATCCTCGAAGCCTCTGCATTCCAATCCTCGCCAGCATCGCTGCTGCAGGCTTCGCAGTCAACGCCCCGACAGTCATCGTAGCCATCACCTCCACCTCCATTGCGTTGATCATCATGCTCTTGAGGAATCGGTTTTTGGTCCCATTGGATCTTTTGGGTAATGCAGATTTGATCAACCCACAAGTATTTTAGTCCAAGCGCTCGAACCAATTTCAAAGCATCTCGTATAGTTTTTGGGAGCGCCCACGTCTCGAAAGACACCAGTCGCTTGTCCCGGTTACATGGCGTGGTCCTGCCTTTGGAACGTCCCTTGCCCCAGCAGTAGCTCAAGGCAACGTACTTGAGCTTGACGTTGTTTGGCAACTCCGAGGTATCGAGCAACCTCACTTTCGTCGCTGACACGATCTCGATCAGCCGCCTAGGGTGCTCGCCGGATTGAGTCAGGCTGGTGCACTCGTGTTCTTCGCGACAGACTCGCAACCAAGAGTCGATCTGGGGAACAGCCGAGACAAAAGGGTCTTTTTCAGGCGACGACTGTTTGATATTGGTGGTAAGTGCAATCTCAACCAGCACGCTGCTCTCTGGCAACACCCCCAGACGGACTTGCAGCGTCGACTGGCTACGAGGTCTCGTTTCCCCTGATGAGTCTCCTCCTGATAATCTGAGGTAGACAGGGGCATCTCTTCTTTCCATCTTCTTGACGTCCTCGCCGGTGATTCGGGACAGGAGCAGAGCCTGCCGGACGACTGTGCAGGCCCTGCACTTGTCGCGTGCGCATTGCTCAAGCTCTTCGTAGCTTGAATGGAGTTTCATGAATTCGGTGTCCTTTTCGCCCCTGCTCCGTGCTCTGCGAACTGCTCGCTCGATTTCGATAAAACGGGAGCATCGAAGTTGGCTCCGGCCATTTGGCTTCAAGCCTTGGGAGCTATTCTTATTCCACAACCAGCCCGACATCTCTTTGATGGAGTTGGACGGAATCTGCGGTTGTGGGTGCTTGGGACGTAGGACATAGAATCGAGCGTAATTAGGGCAAAGCCCTTAGCCGTCTTTGATTTGCCTACTCGATTGCAGGAGTGCCAGCCATTGTGCCCAAAACGAATGGTTATCATGCGAGGAAGATGTCGCCACCGAGACAACTTCCATTCCTTGAGACAGGCGCCGGTGGTTTTAGGTGACGTGGTGAGGCTGCGAGTAGCAGGCGGTTAATTGGGCCGCAGCTTCCAAGCTGTGGCTTCTGGCCCTAAAGGCGAGGTTAGTGTGCTCGAATAATAGGCAAATACGAGGTTCTCGGTATACAGTCTGGGATCTGCAAGCGGCGCAGCCCGTCTACGTGTATTTTCTGGCCCCAAGAGTCTCCGACAGAATATCGAGGCGGCGGCACATGGCAAAAAATGCGACGAACAATGGCCCAAAACTCCGGCTAGTGAGGATGCAGAGTAACTCCTATTGATATAGTCCAGCCATCCCGGCAAGGCAAACATGGTTGGTATTCTATTACACGGAACTCCTTCTTTCCAGAAGCCCACCTGCTGAATCAGTCACTCCAATTCTATTGCCCTGGTTTCCTCCCTGAATCGCTTGAGGTTTCCGAAAATTACGGCCACGTCGAGGAGCCTACAGCAAAGATCATTTCGTTAGTTCCTTCCCAAGCAGAGCATTGAGGAGGAGGGACCAGTGGGAGAACCGACACGGCAAGGCCGCCGAAGGCACAAGGCACCAGAAAAGGAGGGTTCTCAGCCGCTAGTCGCGACCATACAATGGCCAGGAAGGCTGTAGCAGCAGCGAAGACTCCGCCAATGGTTGTACCCAGGTAAAATGCAGTTTTCAGGTCGAGCATTCGCTTGTCTTCGTAGCCCGGCTCAGGCACGCTGTCTGCAACGCTTCGAAAGCGTGACCAGCTAGTCCCGGTGAAGACAATGTTGAAGGCAGCCTGCGTGATGAGAGTCAGAATCCTAGAATCCACCTCATCGCCCAAGGTCATGAATGGCGTCGACGGCCGGATTTTTGGGGGCAGAATCACTCACTACTCCAAAGGAACAAAAGCCCGTAAACATCCAAGACGGCACTGAATTGAAGTGGGCAAACGGGTCTCCTCCTATGTTGGACGTGAAGGTAGTGACGATTGCACTGGCCAGAAACAGGACGTTTGCACCGATACACGCATATTGTGTCACCGACAAGCCGCCCAGCCCCTGGCCGGCATTGAAGCTTACTGAAAAGGTATTCATGATGTTGGTTTGTGCAAAGAGCTCAGAAAAAGAGATGAAAAGACTGGAAGCAAGGCAATAGGCACGACGTTGAACCAAGGCTGTCGATGGCATTAAAAGGCTCTTGCCAGTCTGGGACTGCGCCTCAATCATGTCGTTTGAGGTTTCAGGGGGCGATGTCCAGGATTGGCACAGGCACGCAGTCCAGGGGTCCCACGAAGCAATAAGGCGCCCTAAGTCCCTGACGAACAAGAATGATGGGGGCTAGTGGGCTACCAGGCTGAATCGTGGGCAAGCGGCACAGTGGCCAGTCGATCGTGATGTTGACCTTGATCCTAGAGGTTGAATTGATGTGTGTACCCAGTATAGGTCGTACCAAATACACACAAACAGAAGCACACTGGTCTAATGCTGTCGTGCACGCGAAATAGGAGGTGAAGTTGTGGACAGCTTCGCAGGCCGTCTTCAGGAAAGAGCGAACTCACCAGCTTAAGAGTCACATCAACATCATCTCTGCGAGGATGGATACAGATGCGGACGTATTTGTGTCGGAATGATCGAACGTATGCCAGAGTCCTCGAAAAAGGTCTCGTCGGTGCGGATACGAACTGACTTCGAGAGACCCAAACAGGCTAAATAAAGGCAGCTTGACTACGCCCAAGAAACACCTCTTCGGCAACGATGGCCGTGCTTTTCCGCACTGGATCTGCACACTGGCGATGATGAAATTCGGACTTCGGCGAGCCTCCGCCGTTTCTCGAAATGCGAACTATTGTACCTGCCAGGTACCTACACATTTCCATACTTCGTCCTTTTACTGCAATTTAGTCTCCACTAGAGCTGGGACAGGCGGTCAGGGCCATAACGCTCGCTATTCTTATGCTGGATCCTCCGGCTTGGTTTATGTATTCGGAGAGGGCAATGATAACCTGGAGATGGATGTGACCACGCTACGCTTGGATTTCAAAAAGGACATTTGATATCACTCCATCACCGCGCTGCCTTTTCCCTTACTTGTTGTCTGTCTGTGGACCTTTAGAGACCTGCCCTTCCCCGGCCGCGACAATGTCCAGGTCACAGACAATGACGATACCGCCTCCCGCGCGGGAACCTCATCGCCAGGATGGTTCATCAGCTCCAGGGGAGACGTTCGAACTGAGCCTGAAAACACCGACAAAGTCGCTTCGAGAACTCACCCGACGGGTTGTCCAGGGCGGCAAAGCCGCCCAAGCTTCCTCAGACGAGGAAGAAGAAGAAGGAGACAGTGTCCGCAACGGAGTCCCTCCCCCACCGGTAACGGCCCAGCCTGTCATCCAGCGCTGGAATATGCCTCGGGGAAATATTGGCCGGCTGGGATTTGCCTTCTTCTCGTTTATAGTGACGGGTCTCAACGATGGGGCTGTGGGAGTATGGAGTCTCTCTGAACCTCCCTCTCTCTACTTTGATTTGGATATGCTAATGCTAATTCCGTTACGGTACTCTTGCATAGGCACTTATACCATACGTGCGTCTTATTATACCTTTTTTCCTATCCTTGACAAAGTAATCTCACAAATCCAATACAGCTCGAGACGTACTACAACCTGAACTACACGACTGTTTCCCTGATCTTCCTCACCCCTTTCGCAGGCTACTCCCTCGCCGCGGTTACCAATGCCACCATCCACACGAAACTCGGCCAGAGGGGGATTGCCGTGCTCGCCCCGTTGTGCCACATCGTCACCTATGCAGTACTATCCGCTCATCCTCCTTTCCCCGTATTGGTCGTCATCAACACCGTTTCGGGCTTCGGCAATGGCCTCACGGACGCTTGTTTCTGCGCGTGGATCGGAGCCATGGACAAAGCCAATGCCGTGCAGGGTGTGTTGCATAGCTGCTACAGCCTCGGGGCCTTGTTTGCCCCGCTGATTGCCACGTCCATGATTGTCCATGCGAAGCTGCCCTGGTATACCTTCTACTACTTCATGGTGAGTTCAATACCCTGGCGCGAGGAGAGACGGTGGGTAAGAGTTCCCAAAAGCTAACACCCCTGATATTGAATCGGCAGACTGGCGCTTCAGCCCTGGAATTTGTCGGGCTCAGCATGATGTTCTGGCACAAGACGGGTCGAGTGTATCGGATCGAGCACCTACGGGACGACACCGGGGCCCAAGGCGGCCGCATGAAAGAAGCACTCAAATCAAAAATCACCTGGATCTGCTCTGCATTCTTCTTCACGTACATGGGCATTGAAGGTAACGTAAACCGTCCAGTTTCCCTTTACCATCCGTCTGTGGCAGGGTCCAATTCCTTTCTGCGATACGCCCTGTAAAGGTGTTTGTCCGAGTCAACTGACACATCCCATTCTTACGACGTAGTCGGTCTCGGAGGCTGGATCGTGACATTCATGCTGCGCGTCCGCTCCGCCTCGCCCTCCGCCTCGGGCTACTCCGGCACGGGGTTCTGGGCCGGCCAGGCGCTCGGCCGCGCGGCGCTCGGTTTCGTGACGGAGCGCTTCGGCGAACGGCTCTGCATCACCATCTACCTCGTGCTGTGTCTCGCACTGCAACTGATCTTCTGGCTGGTCCCCAAATTCCTCGTCTCCGCCATCTCCGTCGCGTTCCTGGGCGTCTTTCTGGGCCCCTTGTTCCCCGGCTGCGTCATGATGGCCGCGAAGCTGCTGCCAAAACATATCCACGTCAGCAGCATTGGGTTTGCCATGGCGTTGGGGGGAACCGGTGGGACGGTTTTCCCCTTTGCCATCGGCGCCATTGCGGCGAGGAGAGGCGTCACCGTGCTGCAGCCCATTATTCTGGCCTTGATTGTCGTGCTTTTGGGTCTGTGGTTGAGCTTTCCGAGGGTGAAGAAAAGGGAGTAAAAAGGGACGAGTCACGAGAGTCGTAGAGGCTTTGTGCACTCGATCGGCATGAGGGCTTCCGGTTGTTGGTATATCAAAACCGGACGATCCCAGAAAGAGGATGCAAGTTGCAGCTTCGCCTGTGGCAGCATACAACGAATTTTGCACATTTACCAGGCCTATTGATTCTTGATCATTTTTCTTTTGGTGGTGGTGGAATCATCTTTAGACTGGGCTTGACAATTATTTAGAGCTGGACACCAGTACATACGATGCACAGCACACAGCCCCGCAACCCACGATCCTGACGAAATACACAGTCTCTCTGTCCCTCCGTGTCCCTGTTGGAGGCCAGGGATATCTTGGGTATCTACATGCAATGCCATGTTCTCTCATATCCCTTTTTTTGGTTCACAATTCTCCCCGAAGCACACAAGAAAAAGAGCCACACTTGAGCCCACTAGCCACTACCGGGTTTCTGTCCGTTTCATTCATCTCGGCACACAGGACCGTTCACTATTCCTGCTGGCGCTGATGCCGTTGTTGTTGTTCCCCTTGTGTCATGATGATCGATAACCTTTTTCCTTTTTGGGATGCAAAACATAAATAGAAGAAGAAAAAGCTCTTTAGCTCTGTTGGGTCGTTGAATTTCCTGATCGAGAACTCGGACACAATCCAATACTTCAGCCCAAGGCGAGAGCGGGGGTAGAGGCTGTCCTTTTCGTAAAGAATCCCTCAACCAAACGCTGTGGTGATCTGATCTGTTTCACTTTCCTGTGTGGTTCCTCCTGCTTTCGTTCTTTCACCCCGTGATTCTCATTTTGTGAATTATTGCTCCCTGGCGCAACCCCGTCGCTGCTTTTGGAGGTGCATCGGTTGACCATAAGGGCGCTCAGGCTCTGACTCTCTTCCTTCCGGCGCTCTCCTCTTCAGCCTCGCTCAGTTTTCTCCCCTTGGCCGCTGTTCGACTGGCACCAGACTTGTCCGATTTGGGAGTCGTAACTTCGCTGCTCGGCACACTCTCGACCCGTCCGCCACCATCATGCTCCGTGTACTGGGTCGCATGGTCGTGCTTGACATTTCCCGCATATCCACCATATTGATCTGTCCCCATACCCACACCTGCAGCCGCACCCATAGCCGCACCGGTGGCATTGCCATCGAAGCCACCACCATACCCGGCTGCGGTATCGTTGTTCAGATTTCCAAACAGCTCGTCGTCATCCTTGTAGGCAAAATTCATATTATCGGTCGTCCCTAGTTGATCCCCACCTAGTCCGGTGTTGCCGAAATCGTAGTTGCCGTTCCCGTCACTTGGAAAATCGCCAAAGTACTCGTTGTGGTTCAGAAAATCGTCGATGTCCAACGGCGGAGGTGGAAAGGCTTGGCCATCACCAATTCCAGGGATCGAGCCTGTGGGAGAGAGCGGTTGCAGCAAGTTCGTGAGGTTTTGGACGGATTTATCTTGCTCCGCTTGTAGCTTGGCGAGTTGTTCCAGATCGGCTTGAGTGCTGGCGAGGCGGCGATGGAAGTTCGGAGGTCCGGGCGGCGGAGTGGCGTTGATGAGCGCATTGTCGTTGCCCGCGGGCTGGTTTGTGGAGTTGTTGATCATGCGGAGGACGTCGGCGCGCTGGGCTGTGGACAGTGGCCCGGTGCCAGAGGATGCTTCCAGGTTGCTGAGGACATTGGAGAAGTCTTGGGCGGGGGTGGTGGGAGAGGTTGCGGCGTGGTTGTTTCTCGCATTGGCGTTTTGAATCACCGTCATCATGTCCCGGGAAGGCATATCGGTACGGGTTTGGTTCGCAGAGGGAACATTGGCACTGTTGGGGCTATGAACGCCCGGGTCGAAGACCTCTTCAAGTTTCGGCGAGAGCAGGGATTGAGGTTGGCCGTTGCGGTGAACTGCTGCCTTAGGCGTAGGATAGGGACTGTTGCCAGAGCGCGGGGACAAGGTGCTCGCTCGACCCTGCTGTTGTGGTTGCCCGCTTCCGTTGGTCAATAGCAAAGGCTGTTTCTTAAACGGCTTCGCAGGAGTACCATCGAGATTGATATCGTTGAAGCTGTAGTCCCCGACGTCAACGACATTGCCCTGAGTCGAAGTATCGACAGGCATGGCGTTGGCAAAAAGATTTGCAATGCCTTGCACATTTTCGTGGCTTTGAAGGCTGCGGTTGTAGACAGTGGCGAGGAAGGTCAGGATGGCATTGATCGAGTTCTCGTGTCGATTGTGCTGGTCTTGGAAGGTCGCCGCTTGCCCATACAGCTGTTCATGCTCACGCTTGAGTTGCTGCATCATGCGAGAGATTTGCGTCTGCTGGTGTCGGATGGCTGCCAATTCACGCTGGACGCTCTTAAACTGATCCTGCGTGAGAGCCATATTATCACCACTTCCCAGCGTGAGCTGGCCGGGTCGGGCTCGTACTCGGTTATCGACCGGAATGGAGTCATCGACATATTCGTCCGCCTCTTCCTCGTTCTGCTCGTTATCGGTTTTGCCTTTGCGTTTCGAGGCAGGTCCTCCGACGTTCTTGGGCTTTTGGATCAACCAAAGCAAGTCTGGGTGACCGCGGCGGAAGTAGGGGTTTGAATATTCACTTGGACTCTTGTTTTTCCGTTCACTTGCCCTCATAGAGTTGTCGGAAAGGCCGACTTTCTTGTGGAATCCGTACATGTTGAGTTGCCGCACGAAAGACGCGTAGTTGTTGTGTTTGAACAATTCTGGGATAAGAGTCTTTGCAAACTCATCCTCATCCAGGACAATGAATGAGTTGCCGTCGTCTGACCAGCGGATAAGGTCGGTGTTTCTGCCGTCCTCCAGGAAGCTATTCAATCGTTAGCGCCAAGTTCTTCACTTTTTCTGACGTTCTGCTCTCTTACCTGTTCAGCTTCTGAACAAAGGGAGGTATCTGTTTTCTCTTCGCTTGTGCCTCTCTCTTTGCGACTTGTGCTCTTGCCTCCAACTCTGCTATGTCGTCCTCCCACTCCGGATTTGGAGGATGCGCACCTCCATTCGGATGCTCCATCCAACTATTCCCGTCTTCGTTCGGTCGGGGGACACGCGAGGCGAGTTGAGCGATGGGCCTCCGTGTCAGTTGATTCGAAGGCTGAGGGACGGGTTGAGGATTGCTCGCGGGATAGGTGTTTGCGTTCATACCAAAGCTGGCATCGTTGTATGAGGGACCAGCAGCAGGCTGACCGGTCTGACCCCACTGGAGGAACTGGTCATTGGACAGTTGCTGCCCAAGGCCGTCGTTGAATGCGGGCGCGGGATTCTGCATTTGAGCAGGGTACGAAACCGGGTCGGCGCCTGGTGCCGGGCGTTTTCTGGAGAAACCCTGCGAGGCCATCGTGATGGAGAAGACGAGGAGAGGTGAACCGAGGCACGGGGGAAATTGAAGGAGAAGTATGAACACGGTTGGAAGTGGAATGGAACGAGTCGAAGGTCTGAAGGTCTGAAGGTGTGAAATTTATTGCCGGCGTGGGCTCGACGTCGCCGAGAAGTCAGCCAAGAGGATATCGTCCCAACGCAGTAAAGGTCACGGAAGTTGTCGCGCCCCAGATAGCTAACAGACGCCGCAGGATGGATGATATATGTCGCGCGCAGGCACAGAGTCCAGTGGACAAGCGGGCTGAGGCGCTGAACTGCGATATTGGTCAAGATCGCGATGAGGATTCTGGGACAGCCGACCAGATGACAAGCGACAAGCAGAAAGCAACGTCAATTGTGTCGAATAGAATGTCCTCCAAGAGCATCCAATATGTCTTTATACCATTAACAATGGACAAGTGGTGTGATTGAGACCGAGCATTTTCGACGGCATGACATTTGACATTGGGAAAGGCCCGGATCGCTGGTCCTGATGGAGTTTCTTTTCAGTCCGCAGTTTACTAAGTCTGGGATGCGAGGTCCATGGACTATGCGCAGCGGGTGGGAGCCTATGACATACTACTGACCACGGAACTGACCACGGAACTGTGGCCCTGTGGGTGCTAAAAGACCTGACAGCGCTATCTCATGGCCACCCATGGCCAACCAACCAGGCGGCTGACTCACTCTGCTCCACCACCCAGTTCCCATCCATTCAGTCCAGCCTTACGGAGAAGGGAGAAAACTCTCCTCCATGCTAACCAAGCTGAGTACTGTCGCTATTGGGGCCATCAGTGATCACGATCCGCTGTCATCTCTACCTAAGTACCTAGGTATGAGGTATCCTCAAGCCTACGGCTTCGGTTGTCCGATCAGTTTTCGGAAGCCCGTCATTGTCTGGTTCCATGCTTCAGGGTGCGCTTGTGCAAAATCCTTCACCACCTTCACTGCTCTCCAGTCCTCCTGCATATGCTGAGCACTCTTGGTGCCATTGAGCACCGTTACATTCCCCAACCCCAGCACCAAACAGTACAGGGCCGACTGGGGGCTGATACCAAGCTGGTTTGCCAAAGAACCTGCTTCATTCGACCAGACGAGGTTTGGGTTGGCCGACAGTGTCCAGAAGCTCTGATAAACAATATTCTGCTCCCGACAGAATTGGCGCATTCCAATGTCAAACTTGGTGCTTGGATAAAAACGATTCTGAACCACACTCGGCTTGATGCGAGCGCGCTCGTAGATGTCCATCAAGGTGAACAGGTTGCAGTTGGAAATGCCCAGGTTCCGGATCTCGTTGGGCACATACTGCTCCAAGGTCTGCCAGACTTCCAAGGTCTCGGTGATGGTCGGCATAGGTGAATGAAGAACGAGTGTATCAATGTAGGGCTCTGCCGTGTCGTCTCCTTTCACCACATCTGTAAAGTTGAAGTTCTTGAGGGACGACATGACGGATGCATTCACTTGCTCACGGAGCGGACTCTTTGGATCATAGGGTATGTTCTCTGGATCCTGACCTCCCACGCTGGTGAATTTCGTTTGGATGTAGACTTCGGATCGCCTGATCTTGCCATCTTTGATAGCCCTTGAGATCCCAGCAGCGACCAGGTCCTCTCGGTAATGCTTAGGTTGAGCGGCAGTATCAATGGCTGTGAAATCGTTGCATAGGGCCTGGTAGACGAGGTCAGCCGTTGCCTCTTTTTTCCACGCCGTTCCGTATACGAAGGCGGGCAAAGCAGGGATCACATGTCTGCCTGACAGATGAGGCGCATGCAATGCGAGCTTCTCGAAAATTGCGGAGGTCGTCATATTGCCCCGTCTAGTATCTGACTAGACGTCAAGCTGGGCCAGGGAATCAACTGCGAGCGACTTGATGGTCAATATTTCTGGGTCACATGCGCGCATTGGACGTCAAATGGCCCATCAGGATCTGTCAGATCCCGAGATCATTCAGCAGTCTCCTGATTCAAGCAGGATGAATTCACTGTTAGGCCCAGGGTTGGGTTGATCGAGCGTGAATCATTTGTTGAGGTTGGTCGAATGAAGCACTTTACATCACGCTGCAGCAAATCATTGGCAGGATTGTTCCTTCCCCCCTGGGCCACTTGGGCTCCGAAGCCCCAGACTTTGACAAGCCGAACCGTAAATGCCTGCATGCACCCTCACAGTTACCTCGTACCTACTACTCGCAGGAGATCCAGCTCGACCGCAGGATGTCTTTTCCCGGGTTCTGATGCCCTTCCAAAGACGATCTACGAGTACGGATGTCTGGTCCACAAATGAGACACCTCTTGACGGGCAACAGGCGGACGGCCTTAGGGACCTTGTAAATCTTGCGATGTCGGAGGTTTTATGCCCTCATTGAATAATAATGGTAACACAATCTAGAGTTCTGTGTTAGCAGGGCCCCGGGAATCAAGCGTTATTGCAGATCTCTTCCGGTTGGCCAAGTGGATTACCTGTCGGCGGTCGCAGGTCACCAGGTCACTTCGAGAAGAATTGTAGTGTATCTGCAAATGTGCGGCATCCATCAAGCCATGAACTTCTCCTTCACCAGTCGCATTGCCCCTGGCCGCTCCTGGCAGTCCACGCGTATTTTGGGGCTGCCTTTCACCCTTGTACGAGGGACTCGTACTGCGTGTTGGAACGGATACTGTCGCTCCTGCTGGCGCGTGCCTATATCCACCCGAACGCCCACGCCTACACACCTCCAGAAACCTTACGACTCGTCATGGACAGAATGATGGTTCGTGGCCAGCAATCCGCTACTGACTACAACGGGGGGCCGGACTTCCGCCCACACTCGGTAGAGATGGTGGCTCACAAAGTGAAGCAAAAGATTGGGTCGCGCAACAATGAAAGGCTTTGCTCACCAGACCTGCTGCCTAGTCCCATTGCTCACAAGGATGGGAGCCCCATAATTACAATCCAGGTTCATTGCGAAGCCAAATGGAGAAGTAAAAGGGGCACGCGGCCGAATGCCAATGAGCGCATGGGTCTCAGGGGTGCCTGCTCGACGCAAGGCTCCGACGGCTTGACTAGGGAGTTCGGGACCAGGCAAGTGGATGGAGGGATATGAAACCGAGATTTCATAGTGGCGAAGCAGTGTGGAAAGGAGGGCAACAACGGCCTGCCTAGATTCATTTATGGGAAGATGTCAGGATAAGGATGAGCAGGGGTGGGAGGAGGTCTTGGTCAGATGGTGGAGGAGTTTGATTGCTGTCGGTCGGCAGTGAGGGAGGGTCGAGGAGTCGAGGACACACTCCATTGCCCATGGGCCTCCAATGGTTTGCTTTGGTCTAGGCCTGCGAGCGTTCTTGTCCCAAAGTCAATGAGCAGCCCGTTATGGTGATCTTCCTGACCCGGATACTGCAAACAATAAACAGTGACTGAAGCATGGAAGGCTTTGTGGGAAGAGGGAATGACTGGTGGACGGGGAGATCGTTGGCAATGCATGATTTCTACTAGCTCACCCTTTTGGCTGGACGACCGCTAATCAGGCCTAGTGGGCAGCTTAAAGTGCCACCGACCCCCCCAAGCTTGAACTGACTTCTGGGGCTGTTGACGCAGTTTAATCACCGCGAAATCTGAGGATTTAGTGGTGGGCAATTCTCTGGTTGGCCACTCTCAGGTAGCAGCCATCCCCAGGGCCCAGGGGGGAAGGGGAGGAGGGACCACCCATCGACTTTGGGCGCTGGGCGCCAGTAGTGGGCGCTGGTCTGCTGGCATTCACCTTGCTCTCCGTGCTAACTCTCTAACTTTAGTGAGTCGGCCTCTTCGCAGCCAAAAAACTTCTCCTAATTTCTTTGTCTCAAAACAACATCTTGGACAAAATCTTTCCCCGTCTCTTTTTCTTAATTTGACACTCTCCCTTTCATCTGAGCAATAACCTGCTGTTTGCTGCGTGGTCACTGGCTCCTTGTCCCTCCGGCGCTCTCGTACACGCTGGTTCAATACTCGTCCATACCTATCATGTCTCGCTGTTCGAGTTAGACGCCCCTGTCCACGTCCACGTCCTTGTACCCGTTCGAACGGTTTGCGGAACTTGACTCGACTCGTTTCCCAGCCAGGCTCGAGTTCTGCTGCGACCTACATATCCCAATCGCAGTGCTTCGCGCTGCTTCGGCCTTTGCGCATATTACGCTCTCACGACATCTGCTATTCCCTCCCTCTAATTCTGCGACTCGTCTCTCCTTTAATCGCCATACAATCTCCACCCTTCTCGTTCGCCAGTTGCTCGTCCCGCAGCCTCGAAGATCCATCCTTTTCTCCATCGCGCATTTCTCATCGTCTCCGATCACTGATTGAGAACATTTTCATCTCCTCAATTACCCAGGGGTACACTTTCAGACGTGAAGAAAGAGGTGGATTCTGGATCGAGGCAGACCAAGTGACATTGGGAGACCTTATTGAACTCCAGGGAATTTTACAACGATGGCCACCTTCTCCAATACCTCTGACGCGTTCTATGACGACGTCTCAGGCACTTCCCCAAGAGCATATCGAAGTGCACAGTTGAATCGCCAGGGCAGCAGGGCTGACCCTTATGGAAGCATGGGTGGTCCCATGTTTGGGGCCGACAGCGCTTTACCCAACATGCGCTTCGACGGCATGCGGGATAGCTTTGGTGCACCCATGCAGAATCCTGGAGTTGGAAACATCAATTTTCCCTATGATGCGAGCGCTGCTCAAACGTGGAGTTCTGGGGGTGCATCTTTGCAGTCCTTTGGGAACGGCATGGGCAACATTCCTCAAAATGCCAACTATGGGCCATCACGGAGTGTCAAGCCCAGCAGAGGTCGTGTGGGCATTTCGAACGTGAGTCTCCCGAAACAAAACAGCGGCATATCTCGACTGACTGACCAGACTCAGATTTGGTATGATCAACCAGGACAGTTGCAACAACAACACCCTGCGATTGTGGGACACCGACCAGGCCCTCAAGGCCGCGGTGACCAGCAGGAAGACGACGATGAGCTGATCCCCACCGCAATTGTGATAAAGAATATCCCCTTCGCCGTGAAGAAGGAGCAACTTGTCCAACTGATGGTCGACATGAACCTACCTCTGCCATATGCATTTAACTATCATTTTGATAATGGCGTTTTCCGGGGATTGGCCTTTGCCAACTTCACTTCTCCCCAAGAGACCGAACAAGTCATTCAAGCTCTCAATCACATGGATTTGAGCGGTCGCAAGTTGCGAGTCGAATACAAGAAAATGCTACCTCTCGCTGAACGAGAGCGTATTGAAAGAGAGAAGCGCGAAAGGCGTGGTCAGTTAGAGGAACAACACCGCCCAATGGCACAATCACAGCTTCATAACCAGGTTTCGTTGTCCTCCATCTCGCGGAATACCCCTTCACCCCTGTCACACCGCAGCACAATGCCTGGTAAGTGGGCCCTTATCCCGTCGCCGTGAGTAAACTGCTAAGAAGGATTTTTAGATGTCGACATGAATGACCCCAAGACTCTCGAGTTCTATACCGAGATGACTCTGTTCAGACGAGACCCTACTCGCGAAGTCCTGATATTCCCGCCATCGCTGGAGCCTCACCATCGTCGCGTTGTCCACACGCTGGCACACCACATGGGTTTGATGCACACATCGCGCGGTACTGGAGACCAGCGGCAGGTTCATATCCACCGACCAGCTCCCGGCACAAATGTGAGCCCACCAACTCTCGCAGGGGGATTTGGGTCCAATGACGGAATGCGCCAGCCTCTCGCCAGGTCTTCTACAGCGGACTTCAACGACGGCAGACAATATGAAGGTCCTGCTTTTAACACTCTGCGCGGCCAATCCTCGGTTGGGTTGCTCGACGTGATGGATTCCAGCGCCTATGGCAGAAATGCCGATAGCAACCTCCGCAATGCCAAGTCCTTTGCCGACCTCCGATCATGGAGCCCTTCGCCTGTGCCTTCGTCTGCGAGCTTCCCAGTAGCCTTACAGACCAATGGAGCACGTTTGCAAGCGTTGAATGACACAGCTGGCTCCAACACACCAACATTGACTCCGACAGCCTCTAACGCAGGTGCCAACCGAGAAGAACCACCATTCCTCATCTCTAGCTTTTCCAATCTTTCCATGACGAACAACAGCGGCAGCCAGACCAGCCCCCGCCGGCAACGCAGCTTCTTTGGGAACGGATCTGAATGGAGTGACGGCCAAAACTACCAGCCCACTGCCCCGATTGGCAGCAAGCGAACCGTCAGCATCGGGCCGGAGACCACCTCCCAGAACACCAATCCCCTGCGTCAGTCGCGAGGGCCAAGTTCCACCAGCGCCATCGGATTCCGCCGACAGAACGGACGTGGCAGCGACGAATTGCGTACGGCCGCATCAGCAATTGCCGAATGAAGAAGAGACTTAGCATATACCCCCCTACTTTGATGACGCTCTCTGCTGAGCAATGACGAGTCAATGATCCACGAACGACATGACCACCTCCTATCAGGAAACAACAAAAAGTTAGACGCATAGGGCAGCCTACACGACTGCATGATTGGACTACAGAAAAAGATTGTTGTAACGAAATGACACAGGACTCCACAGGTGCGGCATACAGCATTTTGTTACGAGATCCCCAAGAAAGAATGATTGACCCTGGGTTGTACACTTTGTTTCTTGACTTGAATTTCCGAGAGAGTAGTGCATTCCGGGCGTTGAGCGCCAGAGCGGTTGACAAGGAGCTCATACCGAGACTGTCGACTATGGTGCAGTCGGCTTGGGTGTGGGACGAAGCGGAGCGAGCCTCCTGGTCATGATTTGCGGTTTTCGATTGTGCGGGAGATGGTTTACTGTATGGGATACACTCGTTTTATCGGTCGGCAGGCCACCTCGAAGGAGTGGTCGTAATACCAGATTGTTTGTGTTTGATTAGAATGGATTTTGATCTCGACAATCTGCCTCAGCCTTGCGGTGGTGCCTCTCCATAATCGCTCAACGAGGGGGACGTATTAATACCGAGTACTAGTAGGAGAACCCAATCACAATCATGGTGACGATGGAGGGAATGATTATATAAGACATGCCAAGCCGAAGTTACCCCCTCAACGACCTCACCACATCTTCAACCTCCATTCACCTCACAACAGGTCTAGTGATTCTCTGCTATCAAGGGCTCTTTCAGAAGTTTGATGTTGCAGCTGGCAGCTACAGAGAATGATCCCAGCGCCGTCTTCTGTCCCCCAAAATTGCCCTAGAAGCATGGAGCCAGCAGAGGGGGAATATTCACCCACCGCAGCAGTTCTCGAAAGCTGCCCGCTTGGCTCCTTTCTTTTGCGAAGGCTTCATGCTCGTTCCCTTGACTGATAGGGCGCTTGATGATCGTCCGGTATGTAAGCCACCGATTGAACTTGTTCTGCAGGATCTTTCTTGAGCACCAACCTGGCCATTGCTCTCCTTATGGACCTATCCCGAGCAGGCTACCATCTACCCTCTGGACCCAGAGCTTGCGACAAGGTGGCGGGATTCTCCCAAATATGCCAAGCCCCGCCAGCTCCACCCAAAGCGGCTTAGGGCCAATCATGTTTTGCCTCTTGCATCTTCGACCTATTTTCCTCGCTGTGCCTGCCACCCACTTATCCTCGTCCTCCACCACCTGAACCCTCTTCCATATCCCCATCTTCGATATCAACAACCCGACGCGTCTACGACGACTTCCATCGATCGCCGTCCTCGATTTATTTGTCGCATCATCTCACACTACTGACACGTATCCTCATTCCCACCGCTTACAATGGCAGGAGGCAAGGGCAAGAGCATTGGCGGCAAGGCCACAGGCGCGAAGGATTCCACAACAAAGACTCAGAAGTCGCACAGCGCAAAGGCCGGACTTCAGGTGAGCTCCCACTCATTGCGACAAGCTGCCCAGAAGATGGGAAGTGGCGCAAGTTTACACACCATTCCCACGCGAGACTGAGATTGATGATTATGGTGATGATAATACGCAAAACTGTCCATCTTGTCCGGCAGCGGTCGGAACCTGCCCTCTACCTTTGTCCCAGGCTTGAGCGCATTCCCCATGCGCCTCATATTTGTCGATTAGACTGAAGCTGACGCGTCTTTTCCTAGTTCCCTTGTGGTCGCGTCAAGCGTTTCCTCAAGAACAACACTCAGAACAAGATGAGAGTGGGTGCCAAAGGTATGCCTTGGATAGATCTTCACTCCAAACGATTGATTCCAGACGCTAATCATCTTCCCTCGTCCAGCCGCCGTCTATGTCACCGCCGTCCTAGAGTACTTGACTGCCGAAGTCCTGGAACTCGCAGGCAACGCAGCCAAGGATCTCAAAGTCAAGCGCATTACCCCCCGCCATCTGCAGCTCGCCATCCGAGGTGACGAAGAGCTAGACACCTTGATCAGAGCCACCATCGCGTTCGGTGGCGTTCTCCCTCACATCAACCGAGCACTGCTCTTGAAGGTGGAGCAGAAGAAGAAGAGCAAGGCAGACGCATAGACGGCTGGATTACGGACATCAACAGACCAATTACCTCTCCGCAATCCTGTTGCCGGCGTCTATGGGCATCTTGTGACGGGCTGAACTGTGGCGGTGTCATGCGAAGTGCGATCAGAATGAGTGAATGAGAGAAACAACAAAGGACAGTACGGTTGACAGGAGGTTGTTATTGAATCATTCCGCACGTGTTTGTTTACAATCCTGGTTTCTTGGGCTTACGCGGTGTCGAGCTTCTTTGTGGCTTTGGCCTTCGGTTGGATGAACTACTCTAAACAAGAAAACCCTCTCTTTTTCTAACTTGTTGTTCCCTGATTGCCTGTCAAACTTTCTGATTTATCATAGGCGACCTTGTTTTTCTGTTTGCCACTGCTGGCTTACTTTTCCACGCAGGCAGCAGCGTCTGCCTCCAGCGCATCAGTCTCGCTAGGGACCAATCCCTTGGTGGAGGCGCGCGTAGGTTTGTATCACACACTGTACCACCTCTATGATTCCCCAAACGACTTTCTAGTTACCGTCGTGCGGTAGACGTCCGCGTGTGTCGACTAGTCTTGACTCCCCTGATGCCGTTGATCGCCTTTGATCGCTGGCTTTCGTTCTCTGGGCTCTATACGTTTGTGGGACCACTTGCACCTTATCCTGAAAAAGGCAGCTGGCGTTCCCAGCACGTGTATGTCCTTCATGAGCTCATTAGGGATGCACACTCTGTTCAACTTGGATGCAAATGGTTCTAGGCTCTGCTACCGGTGACACGACCGTTTGTTTGCTTCGCGATTGATCCGACTCGCTGTCTCATTTGCCAACGCGTCCCAGAGCGAATGTCCTTGCAGCATGAGCGATGCGCCTCGCCCTCGGGGATTCATTGTGTTCCCCCATAGACGGATGGTGGTGTGTGCGCCTCGCTCATCTCCCAAGGCCAATGACCTGAAGTACACCAATGGTTTTGCAACTCTCTCGTGCCACATTGTGTTTCACAGGTAAGCAGCAAAGCAGCAAAGCAGCAAAGCAATTGGCTTGCTCAGGCTTGAAAGCGCCCTGGCACGCAGGTGCTTGTGGGAGAGACGAGGGAGAGGCGAGAGCTGGAGCCGTTATCAGAGAGCGCAGAAACTGGTGACTACCCTACCTCCCCTCAGACCTCTTATCACGCGGTGCACCGACTCGACTTCATACAGAGATGGAAATGGCCACTTGTGTCTTTGTCCGGAGCACTTTACCATTTACTGTCGTCTATGGCCCATGCTGCCAGAATGTGACTCGGAAAAATGGTGGCAATTCGTTCGCCGCGCACAACGGATCGAGGCATGGAACCAGATTCGTGTAACACTGCTTCTGCAGACTGACAATTACAGCATGGCCCCCAACCTTGTCAGTGATGCTTCGAAACAAAGAGTCTGAAGGTGGAAGATCATCTGTAGGTAGGCTCGAGCTGCCCGCCCCGAGTCTGTTTCTCTTAGGAGCCCCAGAGATAAACCCTTTGTTCAAGGATCTGGCTGCGTCTCTTCAAATGGACGTCTACAAGGCGGTATATCAGGTCCAGATCACTGTCACATCGGTGCGCATGTGGAACATTGCAAGCTACACAAGGCGGCATACGCTAGGACTCAAGGATCTATCTCTTAAGCCTTTCACGGTCAGGCTGATCAGCACTATGATACGCCTGTCATATCCTGGCAAAGCAGGACACGAAGCGCCAATAAGACTGATCCTGTCTGCAGGGGATAGCATATCCGATGCCCCTCGCACGCTGGAACGTGTGTTCCCGTGGTCCCGTTGAGAAGACGATGTGATAACGATCATCGGGGCGCGAAAAGCACATATGAGCCCTTCCATTCCCCGGTCATGCTAAACGGAGGCGTCGGTGTTGCTGCACTGCAAATGCCTAATTTGCACTTCACCTTCGAAGATCTGTCATGGGAAAGGTCGACGACTACACAAGATCAGACCATCCATAAGAACATTCTGCCATCAGGCCTCGCAACACCAAGCTCACCGACTCAGAAACCTCACTCGGCCCCTCCGGAGCAGCCAACGAGTACGGGCACTATCTTCTCAAGGGAGAGCCCTGTCGGCCGCGAGGATGCCAAGGAGATCCCCCATTCCGTGGATCGACCGGGACAGCAATCTGAACTGGTATGATCCAGATGGCGGCTACAGAAGGGGCTACGATGATGATCAAGGTGAATAGCTACAAGAACACCCCCAACTCCAAAGGACACTCGGTAAGATTCTCAGGCTCGACCAGGGGAGGAGGTTCCAGCGTCACCAGCGATCGTGGCCGGAGTCGGCGTCGATGGAGAGGAGAGTATGTCACTACATGCACCAGTCTATGTCTACATCTACCATCCCCAATACCCTGCCATCGAGAAGCACCGTGGTGGAAATGCGCAGGCTCCTTTTGATTTTTCTGATTCTTGCCTTTACTGACATAGCATTCCTTCCCAAAATGGATGAATAGTGATCCCGAACGGCGCGCCCTCTCAGCCGTCTTCTCCGGCGTCCGACACCCTCGATCCGGCGACCGACCGTACCGTACCTCGGGGGGCCGCTCGTGCATCAACATCGAAGGCCCCTTTTACGACGAAGACTACGACCGGTGGGATTACTACGACACCAGCAGGCCCAGCGGGCCCAGGAGGCTGGACTACTGTCGGCACGGCGAAGTGGAAGTCGTGTGTTTACACTGCAACGGCAGCTATGGACATGGAGGGGACGGACGAGCTCGAAGCCGGGATCGCGATCGCGATCGCCGCCGACGTCGCCGCGGCGGCGTATACCGGACCCGCGATGGCGCTGAAATCATAGCATGCTACACCGGCGACTTTGAGTTCCCCTACGACGGCGGCGCACGTGGCGTCGATGGATACCCAGGAGAACGAGGACGTCGACCTCGACGACGACGGCGACGATCAGGTCATGGCTGGAGTCCAGATCGGCAATACGGCTTCGAGCCCATGTACGACTTTGGGCCGAGCGCCTCGGATTTTGATTTCGATTTCGAGCACGAGTCCGGCCTCGTCTATGACTACGACTTCGACCGTGACTTTGATGCTGGTTATGATTTCAGCTTCGATTGTGATTATGGAGACGGGACAGGGCGCAGGGAACGGAGGAGACGGGGGTCACGAAGGGATAGAGCGGCAGCAGACGACCTCTGGCGGGAAATGGACAGGATGGAGCGAAGAGCCGATGAGGCGGAGCGCTGGTTGTGGAGAGAGTACGGGGGCTGAATTTGGATTACATACCTATTCGTAGGAAAACAGAGGGTGCTATGTTCGTGTGCTTTTTGGTCTAGGATCAGGGAGGAGCAAAGAGCTAAGGCGAGAAGAGGCGAGAGCGGAAAGGGACCCAAAGAGATCCAGCGGCACGAACCATTGACCAATGGGGCATTATGAGCTCTCAATTCTCTTGTCTTCAAAGCCAAAAGGGCTTCCGTTTCAATCTCTCATGTTGCGGGACCCCAAGAAACGAGACATCGGACTCGATTTGATACCAGGCTGGGAAATATCCAGCTCGAGTTCAAGTCCGTAGCCAGCACCCAAATCCCGGCTCATATCCAAGGCTGGGAGGAGTCGCTCGCTCGCGCTCATGCCGGTCGATGCCATGCAATACACATCTGTAGAATAGCTCATAGTTCTGATGCTGATGCTGATGGCGGCGCTCATGCTCGTCTTTCGTTAACCGTCTGTTTTCGTGCTGGGAAAAAACACCAAACCCCCATCACATGGTCTTCCTCGCCTTCTTGTTCTTGTTCTTGTTCTTCTTCCCATTCCCTTCCCTCTTCCGTTTATTCCCTGCCTTAGGGGTCCCGAGTGTATTCCTCGCCCCGTGGCCCCCACTACCCATCATACTGCGATGTTTCTGCTCGATTGCCATTCGGACCCGGTCCATTTCCTCGTCCGAGTCGATTTCTGCCGTCGCGGTCGTGGGTTTTGCGGGGGTGCCTCTGTTAGTTTGGCGCGGTGTGGATCTGTTGGATGAATTGGGGATGTTGTCACGCTCTAAGTCTGAGTCTGAATCTGAATCCGAATCTGGGGCCGAGTCTGAGTCTGAAGCCGAGCTCAGGTCTGGGTCGTTTTCGTCATGGTCTTGACCCTGACCTTGTCGGGTGCTGGACCTTGATTTGCGCCTCTTGCCGTCAAACGAGCCAAATGTCTGCCGGCCGCTGGGTTGGTTGTTGTTCCAGATGTCTTCCTCTTCCTCTTCCTCTTCATCTTCATTCCGGCTACTTAACAGACCAAAGCGCGATCTTGCCGGATCGACTCTTTCATCATTGCCATTCGCGTCCGTATAGGACGGTTGTTTGTCTCCAGAAAATCTCATTTTCAGGTCCAGCACCCACTCGGTATCTGCGCCTTCGAAGCGGGTGAATGTGCTTGTTCCCCCTCTTGGAGCAATGCCCAACCCTGAATTTTGCGATGCATTTGTTGGCGTTGACGATCCGGCATAAGCAAGACCATTTGACGGTGTTCCAGGAGTAGAGGTGGCCGACGGGGAGGAAGTTGTACTATCTATCCTGCGTCGTTTTGCAAGTGGTTCGGTCGCTGGCGTCTGATGGGTTGTCGACGACGTTGGAGTGGATGTTGCGCTCCTCGGCGTCGTGGCAGCAGCAGCTCTTTGCATGAACTACATAGAGGGGATCAGGCAAGTCACAGACTTTGAATGTATGGTCCGCGACGGCGGCCCAGATGCAGAGTTCTATCTGCTCAAATAGGGTTTCAGACTCGAGACTCACCTTCATGTTCAGCAGTCGTGAAGACATTTGCTTCGGCTGCTGGTGCGAGGGCGTTCGCGCATTATGAGGTGTGCTGAAGTCTGCCATTTTGCTGTTTGTCACTGCGCCAGGAAGTATTCTTCAGCATGTGTATAAAGCGGGAACATGTACGATCCAATTCTTGACAGAGGTCAAGATGGCCACTCTTAATACCCGATGCAGCGGATGCGACAAGCTCAGGCGGGCACTGTCGTGAGACTGACGTGTGCTGCAATGTCGACTGTCTCAGTCGCGCGCAGTAACATCCATAGAGCTGTGCGTGGGTTTGGGGCAGAGACTGGATGTAAATTATTCAATGTCGCAAACAAAAGTTCAAAAGCCGGGGAGACGCTTCTTGCATCCCGCGAATTGCATCGGACCGGGGAAATATGTCGCCGATAGCCTTGCGTATGTGTGCAAGGCTGCACTCGCAGTGCCGCTACAGTGGCCCTCGATATTTGTACTGCATCTAAGATATACTCGTCGTGGAGACGCTGACAGTGGACTGGCTCACAACAGAGAGTCAGGAATTGAAGAAGTATTGCACGAACTCATCCATCATTCATTAGTCTACCTGTTTAGAGACGTTGTGGTTCAACCTGCGCACCGATGATGCTACGAACTGTCCGGTCTGATACTTTGAGTGAGGTTGTTTACCCAAGTATACCCCATTCTTTCCTTCATCTGTGATAGTGTTGAGTAACTCATGATGGTCTGGACTGTCAAGTGGGAGCTGTAATGCTGCGGACGCTCTTGAGATAGACATCGGCAGTACCTGCTGAGGCACCAAGCTGCGCTGTTTTCGGGCAACCTCGAATGCATCGTTGTGCCCATCATGGCGTTGGGAAAACACAACGGGGTTTAGGGTACCGCCCACTACGGCCTTCTCGCAGGTAAATGATGATGGTTTGTACTCTGTAGTCAGACACAGGCCAATTATTGTTTCTGCCCTTGAATGGTCGCTACCACTTTTCTCGAATGCTTCGACGCCCGGAATTCCAAATACCAGATACCTTGCCACGTACCAGTGTTCAAGGCACCGTCCGTGATAGGTATTGTTACACTTGCGCCAATGAGCGCCGATTTGATATGTGCCTAATCGACTTATGAGTGTGACCCATGACCCTCGGGGATTTCGATATACACTTACAGGCATGTCATCCAACCCTTCCGCCGAGTGTCTGTATAGGTTACCCTTCCTATCTTCGGGGGCAATCCTATCGAGCGCATCGCTCATATCCTCTCTTACATCACTGTCCCAATTTTCATTCAAAGAGAGCGCACACGAAGTGTGTTGTATAAAGAGGTGCAGAAGTCCGACTTTGTATTCCTTGATCTCCGGTAACGACGACACAACCTGGTCTGTGACGAGATAGGAGCCACGAGACTTGGCAGGAAGCGTAAACGTTTTCTGAAACCAGGCTGTAGACATGTTGGAACGAGTGTTTTGCGGGATGCAGCCTGGAGGACACTCAAAAGTAACGGAGATGGGGGCTGTCGTTTCGAAGGGATATAAGAGCAGACGAAAGGGGAGACCGAGAATGTACTGTGGAAATCCTGGGAATAAAGCAAGCACCAAGATCAGCACCGAAACAAACGTGAAGTATTTGGAATGAGTAATGTCCAAAGCCGGCATATCATATTAAGAGAACGATGGTGATGGTGAATGTCGAACTGCGGCATCGACAAGATGTTCACCAATACGTCATACGCTCTCGGCCAACCTTCCTGGGGGCAAGACACTTTCCTTTCTTCCTCTCAGGGGCTGTACTCGATACTCCAATCGATACATCAGCCCCATGGCACTCCTTGAAATTGCCTGCTTCAATCCGGACTCTGCCGTGGCAGCAAGTGAGGCCGGGGCAGATCGCATCGAACTCTGTGATAATGCAGATGTTGGAGGGACCACGCCACCCTTGAGTTGGCTTACCACTTTGCGCGACAAGATCAAGATACCTATTAATGTCATGGTTCGTCCCCGAGGCGGTGACTTTGTCTATTCGGTCGAAGAATTTCAGGAGATGAAAGACGTCATATTGAGGTTTAAACCAATTGCAGATGGCTTTGTCTTTGGCATCCTCAAGCATGACCGGAGTGTCGATGCTGTAAGCACCTCAGAATTGGTCAAGCTGGCTGCTCCTTTGCCGTGCACGTTCCATCGCGCATTTGACGAAACCACAGACTTGTTCCAGGCACTCGAGGACATCGATGGTTGTGGGATTCGTACCATTCTGACCTCTGGTGGAGCTTCCAGTGCCGTTCAAAACTGTGATGTTTTGGCCCAGCTTGTGAAGCAAGCAGGTGGTCGAGTTGTGGTCATGCCAGGTGGAGGCGTCAGGTCAACAAACATTGCGGAATTGAAAGCGAGGACGAATGCCCTTGTGTATCATTCTTCGGCCCTGATTGCGGGACAAAATATTGCTGATATAGCTGAGATCGGGCAGATGAAGGCGATACTGCACCCAAAGCCATGAACTGACGCTGTCGAGTTCCTGAAACGGTATATATATTGGCGGATGACATCTATTGAAAGCATTCGAAGTCTGGTGCTTCGAACATTCCCGCAGTCTACGATGTATCTGAGCCGAGTGCAGGACTGACTGCGGGTTTGTTGCTGGTTTGCCTCCTGGGCGAAGCAAAGCATCCAAGCTTCAATTCGAGCTGAGGCCTTGCGAGCCTCGCTTGACAGCTTGTCGGCCCACGTGTTGCTTGTATCTCCTCTGAGCGAATGACTGACCTGCTGTTTGGAATTGGTCAAGCGCATCTGCAAGCGGCTTCTGTAATTCTTGAACCGAGAAAAGGGTTGGGGGCCAAGAACTGATCATCAACGTCGAGATGTACGTCGGACCTTTTGACTTCATCACCTTTACAGCAAGTCCCAGATATCAAATTAGCACCGAATTGACTGTGAAGCCACATTGCACTGCTCACTATGGCCAACTCACCTGAGTCTAACCCCCAGGCAGGTCTCCCACGACTCGAATACCCCGTTTCAATCGGCCGGAAGTTTGACGCTGATGGAAAAGTACTGCCTTTTCCCGGAAACACAATCATCTGCCATCTCTCTCCAGACCATGCTTTGTACCGCGCGACGCTAGGTCTGCACGACGCACTTGAAAGCCACAAGCTTGCGTCACTATACACCTTATTGCCGCCCGAAAGCTGGCACATGACTGTCTTCGAAGGCGTTACCGATCAGACTCGGAAGCCCCATGCCTGGCCGGCAGATTTGCCTCTCGACGCCCCTCTGGATAGGTGCACAGATCTCTTCAAGGAGAAGCTCAAAGGCTTTGATTTCGACAGCGAGCCGCCATTTCAACTGACCGTCGTTGGCTACGATCCATTGATAGACGGTATTGCTTTGACAGTCGTCCCGGCGAGCGCCGCCGACGAAGCCAGGCTTCGCGGTCTTCGCGATCGCCTCTCCGAGCTCCTGCAGTTGCGCCATCCTACCCACGACTGGTATTCCTTCCACATCAGTCTCGCGTACATACTACGCCGTCTGGATAATCAGCAGCATCAGGAGCTTCGGGATTTTCTGGAGGAATATCGTCCCAAATTGCCCCTTCATTTCGAACTGGGGGCCCCGGAATTCTGCACCTTTGAGGACATGTTTGCTTTCAGTCGGCGTTTCTACTTGGGGAAAAGGTCCTGACTTGACATGGTCTAGAATATTGCAGGCTATACAGACGAGATCAAGCACGATGTCACATGTTGCTCGTTGGGAACACATGTAGACTCGGGGATAAATCATGTCTTTTGGTCAAATCATTCATTCTTTTGAGATTGTTCCGTCATCTAATACGAGAAACGTTTGTTGGAGCATGTCCTTGTTTGAGACCCGCCTCTTGAAGTCTTTCTTGGGGTCATTGCCACCCCTTTGCGCCCTATTGCATCAGGGGGCTGGTGACAGGATCAGGGTCACCCCACTGGAACCCATCGCCGCCACCCCACAAATCGAGATAGAAGTCCGGCCCGTTGAGGTCGGTCAGGCTGTGCGGGAAAAAGTCGTACGACACGCCACTGGATGTTGTCAGCGGGCTGGTAAACGCGTCGAAATGGCTCGGCGTTGTTGTGTCCGCTGGAGTCATGCCCGTACCAGCCGCACCTGCTGCCGCCGCAGCCACTGATGCCGATGCCGTTGCTGACGATGGTGTGAATGATGCTCTGGCGCCGGCTTCGGTTGCCTTGGTCAGGCTCTTGGCCATGTCGTTGAGGGCCATGGCGGCGAATTTGGCGGGCCAGAAGCTGACCCCGTGGGCAGCGAGAAGCGTCCGGTAGTACTTCAGGCGGCTGGCCCAGTATGTGGCGCGGTCCGGGTTGGGCGATAGCCGCTTGAGACTGGCCATGAAGGTGCCTGCAAGAGCCAGATTGAAGCCCGAGCCTGGGAGCACTGTGAATCAGCCCATTCTTTTCTCCCTTCCCTTCCCAAGGCTTGCAATCAATAGAAGGGGTATGGGGCAATGCGGCTTACATGACCACCAAAAAGCGCTCAACCTGTGGATCTGGAGAGTTTCGACCAGCGTGATGGCCTGCGTGGTGGACTCGATCGCCCGCTCCACAAAGCGGTCCAAAGGGAAGTTCCTCCGGTAGAGCTTTGGGAAGATGCCGCGGAGAAGCATTATTCTGGCCGTGATGTACGCGAGCTCCAGACTTCCTGAAGTCGTCAGTAACCAAAACTCAACGAGGAAGTCTTTCCAGCGCAGCCACGATGGCATCTCACCAGTCACATCGGGAAAGAAGCGCTGTATCAGGATCTGATCGAGGTGTTTGGAGCGCCAGACGTCCAACCCGGACTCAATCCTTTCCGCGATATCGACGATATGTTCGCCGCTGACTTCTCGAAGGCTAACGACGGAGCTGATGGTGAAAAAAATGGAGAGGATTTCGTCGAGAATGACGGTCAATGCGGCCATTGCCACGAAACAATGTATTCCTGTCACCAACTCTGGCCTCTTTGCGCCCGCTTCCGAGGAAGACGAGGAAGCCTCCTCAAAGTCAGACTCTGTCAGATTGAGTGTGGTGGTGTTGGAGGCGTTGATGAACGAAGGCCTCCCCAGAGCCATGGCAAACCTGGACCGCAGGGAGTCAGTCAATGGCCTCAGCGTGAGCAGGATGCCTGACTTACCATTTGTCTTGCATGTAAGCCGCCCACCATAGACGTTTCCTCCGTCGCTTTGTCGACTCTGGTATATTCCAGGTAGAGCAGTCAATGTTTAACCCCAGGTCGTGGCACATAGCCACGAGACATCCGATCGCCGCATACATTCCAGGAGCACTCGTACTCCTGCTGTAATCAGCCAAAGATGGTGGTACACACGGATATTGGCACTCACATTTTCCCTCGCAACGCTCTCTGAGTGAAAAGGATGGCGGCCTCGATCGTCTCCAGCGTCGGGGTTCGTGCTTCCAGGAGCAAAGACGCCGTCATATCTTCAATCAGGACATTATTGTGGAGCCCTTCCAGCTCTGGCGATGTGTATTTTGAGATGATGGCGATTGCATTCGTGAGCAGTCTGGACTGCTTCTGGCTTTTGATGAGACTTTCGTCCAGTAGTGGAATTGCAGGGTGGGACCTCTCGAGAAAGATCGCCTGCACCACCGAAGCACTCGGCTCTATCGAACGAGCACGATGGGTCGAGGAGGCGGACGCCACCGACGTGGATGAACCTGCACGTTCCTTCCCACTTTGATCAGATTAACCACCGCTAATGGGGTGTGAACCGCTTGGATCATACTCGAAAGTAAGCCTCGTGGGCAGGATCATTGCCAACGGGTTGATTCCGCTCGGCCACAAAGTAGACATCGTCAGTGCCACTCAACCCGACGTATTTCCCGTCGACTCCATTCCTTCGTGCTCCCGTCACATTGGCAGTGGGAACTACCAAGTGAGGGCCAGCATCACCAGAGTTGGCTGAAGTCCCGAGCGGTTCCTCCGAAGCATCGTCTTGAGCAGCCGGCCCCCGCGGCTTCACAGCAGGAGGCGATCCCGCTCGACGCTTCCGAGGAGACGGCTCCGAGCTGAACGTACACGGGATTGAGCGTCTGCTGCACAGCGCACAAGCGCCTTCTGCATCTCGAACACAGCAGATGCGCCGACGGCGACAATTGTCACAAGGCTTCTGCTTCCGCGACCGATACTTCCTCGCGGCGGGAAATTCGGCGGGAGACATTGCAGGAATTGGGATGCTACATGCCTGCTCGCGGAAGCCCTTTCAGCCTTTCTTTTTTGGTCAGATTCTAGGGCATTTGTCAATATAATCTATGGTATGCAACCGTGAATGATTGAAAGCGATGGGGCAAACACACCCTGGACCATCATGAGAAGTAGATGTGGGTAGATTTGATTGGAGTTTGTACATGGGGCTTGCGATAAGGCGAAGGCGCCCAATTGGTAGTAGGGTATTAATATCAGACAAGCCCATAAGACTTTTTGCAGCCTCTGGATGATAGGGCTGCATACTTGAAATCGCCTTTTCACCATTGAGATGATCTGCTGTGTCACCTGTGGCTTGACCGCTTGGCCTTATGGAGGGTAAGAAAATATGCTGAAAATGGGTGCCTGTGTGCCAAAAGGCTCAGACCTTGAGCAATGTCTATAGAATGGCGCACAAAGAAAATACATTGATTTCGTCTTGGACTAATCTGAACTCTCCCAAATCTCGTCATTCGAAACCCTCAGATTCCGCGCGCAACCACTCTTGCCAGATCAACTCCCGCGGCAGGCCAGCCCCTCCTTTTTTTTCCTTCGATGTTTGTGCGTATTGTGTCCGGGTTCACAAAAACCACCGGTATTCGGGAGTCGCGGGACCAGCGGCGAGGAGCTCGGACGGGATATCCTTTGCCTTGACGGTGCGTCCATCGCAGCGGTCTCTCCTCTTGTTGTCGAGGACCATCCAGGCGCCCAGCAGCAGGGTGAGAAGACAGCCACAGGCGCCAAAGATGGCCGTGGTCAGCAGGGCAGGCATGTACTTTGGGGCATCCTTGTTCTGGAAGATGTTGCTCGAAACGACGCCCATCATGTTGGCACAGGGCACGGCAATGGCCGTCAGCATGATGCGCTTGTTCTCGTCGGCGATGTTGTTGTTGTACCACACGTCGAGAATGACGCTGGGCGCGCTGGTTCCCCATGTCATCATAAAGCAGGCAAAGTACGCCACGTGTAGCTGCGTGTGCACGTCGACCGCCGCGTAAATGATGAAGCCGATGCACGTGAAAGCGAAGCCCAGCGCGACAAAGGGGAAACGTAGGCGCGTATAGTCGGACGCAAACGCCAGGAGGATCAGCATCACCGCGCCGGAGATGTTGGGCGCCACGGTATATAGGTTCGTCTTGACGGTGGAATAGCCCAGTCGGGAGACGATAACCGGTAGAAATAGGGACACGGACTGGAGAGGCACGCCTAGACAGATCTCGATGCCCAGTATGATCCAACTGGTGGGGTGCTTGAAGATGGCGAGGGCCGATCGGAGATTGAATTTCTCGCCCACAACCGCCGACGAGTCGACCTGGATTCGGTAGAAGGCGAGCTGCTTCTCCTCCGCCGTGAGGAACTTTGCGCTCTGCGCGTCGTAGGGTAGGTACCAGAACGCGAAGATGGCGAAGAGCATCGTGCAGCCGCCCTCGATGATGAAGAGGTATCTCCACCGCGCCAGACTCCCGGATCGGATCTGGAAGACTCCAAATGAGAGGAGTCCGCCGAACGCGGAAGCAATGGAAGATGCGGCGTAGAAGATGGCTAGACGGCGGGCGAGTTCGCCCCGGCGGTAGAAGGTTGTTTGGTAGTAGATGACTGTCCCCAGGGATTTGGATCAGCATTGGCTATCCATGTAGCTGTTACGAAATGTTTGCGCGCAAATAGGGCCAGAGAGAGGTAGGTAGACTGGAAACTTACCGAGTGGGAAAAAGGCACTTTCGGCCATACCCAAGAACCATCGTAGAGCCAGGAGGCCGCCGAAGTTGTAGACTGCAACAACCATCTAATGAATTCAGTTAATCATCCTGCCGCCGCTTGAAACAGAAAACGGGGTGGCAGTGCAGACGTGTACCAAAGCAGAGCAGGATACGACTGTAGGGGCACTGCTTGCAAGAACTTACCAAGCTGAAGAAGCCAAAGCTCATCATCATGATGGGCAAGACCCTGCTGGGGCCAAACTTCTTGCCGGCAACGCCGAGGAACGGAGCGGTGAGGACGTAGGGCACAAAAAACACCGACAGGATGATGTTGTAGTCGTCGCCCGTGAGATGCAGCGTCTGTTCCAGATGGGCCGTCTTGGCGTTGCCCAGGTTGGACTTGTCCAGCGAGTTGAAAAGGTACATGACGGCCAGGGTGGGCAGGATGCGTAGGTCAAACTTGCGCACCAAGCGCCGCTCGGCGGCGGGGTCGATGGCAATGCTGGCGGACACGCGGCGCGTCTCGCCCAGCGATGTCGTGGTCACGATCCCGTCCTCGACGACCTTGAGGTCTTCCTTGGTGTAATCCGTCAAGCTAGGAGTGGCCGCCACTGCCTTCATCTCGTCGGACGACATTTTGATAGTGCTGTAGCTAGTCGCTGCTGTTCCAGACGTGCTGTGTGTGGTGAGGTGGTTTTTGGCGGCGGTGAAGGAGTCGTGGGACTCGAATGCTCAAGGCAGACTGGATCTCGCGAGACTTGGTGCTGGATGACTGATGCCATGTTGACTTGGGCTCAGGGAGAGTCTTGACTTTATATTGCGTTGATGCGCGGAAACGTTGGTGAAGGAGGCAGAAACCGATTTTGCATTTTTGCACGGAGATGTGACGCAGCCTCGTTGGCCGTTGGGCTCCGGACGAGGCTGAGCCACGGTGAGCGGAATAAAGTGAACCAGCAGCCCAAGTTGCCCGCGGGCCAACGTCGAGCTCCATGCTGGCCGCCCTCTTTCTTTCTCCGTCTCGCCCAATGACTGTTTTCACCTACTCGCTTCGTTTCGCCGACGTCGGCAATTGAAGAGAGTTTTTCCGCCCGACCCTGGTAGACTGACTGGAGATGCCCGTCGCCGTCTATCATCCGCTCTTTCGCCTTACAAAGCTGTTCCCCTGCCGTTGCCCAACGCGCAACTCGCTGGCCGCCGCGTCCAGCAATTCCTGGGTCTGGTGATATTATGGACAGACATCGTTGGGCGGTGCATACGCCGAATATGCTGCTTCAGTGCAAAGAAAATTTCATGTCACAGCTGTTTTCATACCTAAATCGCGGCGTGATGGTCTTTGTCTGCGCTGATAGATATAACTGCTAGAATCTGCCGCCATGGAGCATGTGTTGCAGCCAAAGCGTTCAGAGGCTTCAGGAGCAAGGCCTTGTCGGTGATCCTATTCCCGCGAGGCTATTCAAACTGCATTCTGCCAATTCATTGGAGGCTTTGAGCGACGATGATGGCTAAAGAACTCGCACCTATGTCCCTAAAAGAGGAACATGTTGATAAAGATCGATTTTGCTTTGCGCCTTCGCGAAGTATTGCAGTGAAAGACGATGGATTCGTCGATACAGCCTTGTTTGGATTAGCCAATTCACATCCTTTCCCGGCATCTCGGCGTCGCCTCTCATCATCAAGTTTCGAATCAGACGATGTCGATATCGACGACTTTCAGACAGCGTTGCACAGTTTGGGTCTCTGCCAACTGGCACGTTGGTCGAAGCGAGCAGTTGGTATCACGAACCTTTGAACCGGCGGCCGACCAACATCCAGAAACAGTCTTTGCTATCCGCACACTACCCACCGACGTACGGAACCCTCGTCGATGAGGAAGTTGAGTGCCTCCAACTGAGTGCCAAAGTGGAAGCAGAAGACTCAAGATTCATATCGATAAGCCCCCAGCGCTTCTGGCTGGTATTTACCGTCATCTTGCTGGGATACTTCATCGCCTGTTTTGACTCCACTTTGATGGCATCGAGCCACCCTGTCATTACCTCTTACTTTGGCGCGTCACAGCTGGCATCGTGGTTGAGCACTGTATTTCTCATCACGAGTACAGCCTTTCAACCTCTGTTTGGACGCCTGTCAGACTCGATCGGAAGAAGACCGGTCTTCTTACTCGTCTTGGCAACTTTCGCAGTGACCACACTGTGGTGCGCCCTAGCAGGAAGTATTGAGAGTTTTATTGCAGCTCGAGCAGCGTGTGGATTAGGTGCCGGTGGTGCCATGTCGATGGGTCTGATCATCGTCAGTGACCTCGTCCGCATTGAACACCGAGGGGTGTTCCAATCACATATCAATCTCGTCTTTGGTTTGGGCTCGGCATGTGGTGCTGCCCTTGGCGGATGGCTTTGTGACAGCCTCGGGTGGAGGTGGGCATTTGGCGTACAGGTACCCGTCGTATGCTTATGCTTCCTCTTAGGTGTCTGCTTTATGCCGTCGATTGATGGTCCACGGTTACGCTGCGCTGAGAACCGCGGCAAGTGGCTCGCGCTCAAGACGTTCGACTGGTCGGGATCCGCCTCACTCATCACGGCGATCACTTCTCTCATCCTGGCACTGAACTTGGGAGGCAACATATTCCCGTGGACCTCGCCATTGGTGCTGGCATGTTTCACTATTGCTGCCATTGCAACATGTGTCTTCGTCCGGGTCGAGTTGAGGGCGAACCAGCCGCTGATGCCCCTCCACCTTCTTTGCCGGGCGCCCGTGGCGAATATGGTGTTTGCCAATCTGCTGGGGGGTATTGCTTCCAGCACAGTCCTATTCAACGCGCCTCTATTCTTCCGGGCTGTCCTGCTTACATCTGCTTCCAGTGCTGGCTTTCGACTTGGGGTACCAAGCCTGGTTGGGTCTTTAGCAGGCGTCTCCACAGGCTATATCATCACTTACACCAGACGGCTCAAGCCAACATTGGTATTCGGGGGGATTATGTATCTTGTCGGGTCGGTGGCTATTCTCTTCATGACCAAAAACACGTCCGCTACGGTGAGCATGATCCTCATCGCCGGTGTACCGTTGGGACAGGGATTCGTCTTTCCCAACACCATGATGAGCGCCCTGGCGGTGTCTGAGCAGGCCGAACAAGCAGTAGTGACGACAACTATTGGACTATGGCGGAATCTGGGAGTGGTCCTGGGTGTTGCTGTTTCCAGTCTGGTCTTCCAGGCCAGCCTGCTGCCGAATTTGGAGAGGTATATGGTGGACGAGGACGTTATTCGAAAAGTAAGATCGTCTGTGCAGACTATTGTGTTGCTGGAACCACAGATACAGGGACAAGGTTGGTCATTCCCGACTTCTCGTCGTCGACCCAGCAGAGAAGTGCTAACTCTTCATACAGTTATTGACGCATATGCTGCGTCTCTGCGGACCAGTTTTGTCTGCGCGCTGGTTGCTTCGATTCTGATTGTGAATCTTATTGTGCCTATTCACCTACCACGGCTGCGTAAGGGAAGCCAGGTACTAGTGAATGGCGGAGAGTGATTGGTGGCCCTTACATCTCGAAGTAGCCAGACCCCTGATGAGGCCCAGGGGGCTGCAGGAGGTCGACCACGACCATGTACATCTTCTTCTCAGCTTTCGCAGATATCTCAAAGCCAGCGGTCGAACCAGTCCAGTACTTGCTTCTCCGAGTCCTCCAGACACGCCCGCTCCTCTGGATCATCCGGATTACCTCTCACAGCAAACCCATGCCGTCCCGGCTTATAGACCTTGTGCACTACCTCTGGCATCTTCCTCCCGGCTGCCTTTGCCCGCGCGTGGATGTCTTCCACCTTGGCCTTCGTCTCAAAGCTCACGCCCTGATCCTCCACTCCCCATCCGATGGTGACAGGTACGACCAACGCCTCGACGTCATGTGGAAGGGTCAGATGGCTTGGATGCAAGGCGGCAACTGCGTCCACGAGCGGCACTTTTTTGCCGTCCACTTCAATCATATTGCTCTCCAGCCCGGCTCGAATGGCATATTTTCCTCCCCAGCAGAAACCAACCATGCCGATCTTCTGGCTTGCGGAAGTCGAGCGTCGCAAGGCCTGCAGGAAATCCATGCAGACCTTGTTGGAAGGCCCTTCCTTGTGCCTCTGCATCCACATGACCAGATTAGGCGCCCTCGCAAGGAGGCCCGTGTATTTTGCCAATGTCGACTGCTTCTTTGCGTCCACCGGGAGCAGAACATCGGCTGTCTTGAGCGGCACTGGATCCCCCTTGAAGAAGTCTGGGAGATAGACAAGATATTGGCCACTCGTGGCGTAGGCATCAGCAATCAGTTTGTTGTTGGGCAAGAGGAGGCCGAAGATGTCTGAGTAGACTACTAGGATCGCTCGCGGATTGTTACGGTTGCCGACCACGTAGGTATTCAACCCATGAATCTCCTCTTCAGTACCCTGAGGTTGGCCTTCGTGAATGGTGCCCTGGCAAATGTGAGTGAGTGGAATGTTTTCATCAAGTTTGGATCCAGGAGGTCGGTTCTACCTTGATGCACTCTTCGTGCAAGGGATTGCCTGAGGAGCTCATGTCACCGACTGCTTATGAACAAGGCTTCGTCTCTATACTGAGTTGCTCGCTCGAAACACTTGTAATTTGGTCACTGACGGGAATCCTTCTGCTCAACATAAAATGTATGGGTAGCGCAAGATTCGAAAGGCACGACATGGCTGATATACCAGCCCTTGTACAGGTACAAGCACGGTTCGATGATCCGGCGATATCATGATGGTAAGTCGGCGAGCTGGTTCATCCGTCGCCTGTGCCGGTGAGTTCTCGCGCACTTCTCGGAGTGCATTTCTATTGGTCGAGAGTGTGGGATACGAAGCGACTAACCTCATGAGGTTAGTTCAGGCTCTAAGCAGTCATGAGGACTGCGAAGTCTCTCCGTCTTTCTCTCTACACGACGTGACCAGCCACTCGGTCAGAATCATATCAGCGCCCGTTCCCGTTGATTATAAAGAGCAGCCATGTCGCAGGCGTCATCAGTGGCAATACCAGGGTCTGACTCGGCGTCGATCGCCGAAAGGATAGCGACTGTGACTGAGACTGCGACTGCTCCTCCTTCCATCAGCACAGCGCCTGCAACGGGGCCTACTCCAGCACCCAAGTTGCGCAGTTGTCTCGTATGCCGCAATCGCAAGGTCCGCTGTGATAAGCAGCGTCCCTGCTCCAATTGCCGCCGCGCAAATATTGCATGTGTGATGCCTTCAGCTGACCGCCCGCCAAGGTGGGCACGCCGCCTCCATCATCTCAATAATAATGCTCGAGCGTCAAGCACGCCAGCACCGCAGGATGCCGATGCGGACCTTGATAAGGTCGTGGAGAGGCTGCACAATCTCGAGCACCTGGTCAAGGAGCTGAGCGGCCAACTAGAACAGGCTCGTACAGCAGCGACAAGCTCGGCTGGAGGGAATTCATCTGGAGTCAACTCTCCTGAGAGCTCGACCCAGAATCGTGACGCAGAGAACGAGAGGGATCGATCACCCGCCACCGATACCAGCAATATTCATAAACAGTTTGGGCGCTTGGTGCTCCAAGATGCTAGTCGCAGCCACTATGTGAGCAGCGGCTTCTGGTCCCGCGTCGACGACGAGGTAAGCCTCGCGATTGTGTTCACTTCCTCGTTTCCCTTGGAAGGCTCGCTGACTGACTGTCGTGGCAGCTCGATGGCTTGAAGAGAGATGCCAGGGTCCCAGTGACAGACGACTCGGACAGCCCAGTGGACGAGGCAGCTCCTGAAGAGACGGAAAGCAGGCGGACACCTTGGGAACGCCATGCATTCTTGTTTCGACATAATCTGGCCCCTTCAGCTCCTAATCTCGACGAGCTGCGCCCATTGCCTTCGCAGGTACCGTATCTCTTGGACATTTTCTCGAGAAATGTGAATGTTTTCATGCAGATCGTCCATCTCCCGACCCTCTCTAAGATGCTCTATGGTCCTGAGAGTGTTCGCCTCACCCACCTCACACCGTCCAATGAAGCCTTGATGTTCTCAATCTATTACGCCGCTGCGATCTCCATGGAGGAAGATGATGTGAGCTTTCCCTTCACCGTAATGTTGGAAGTTTGGCCAGATGTGAATTAGTCGTATTGACCATGTGTGCTGGGCAGGCGACGAGCGACCTTGGCTCTTCAATATCCGAGCTGAGACTCAAATATCGCCTCGGGCTGGAGCATTGCCTCGCTAAGGCTGATTTCCTGACCGTACCCAACATGGCTCTAATTCAGGCATTTGTCCTCTTTATATGTGTCGCTCGACGACATGACAGTCCAAGGTTTTTGTGGATGATGACTGGGCTGGCCATCAGAATGGCCCAGTATCTCGGCCTCCAGCGAGACGGAAGCCATTTCAAGCACCAGACTCCCTTTGAGACTGAGATGCGGCGTCGCGTCTGGTGGACTCTGTGCAGAATGGATTTGAGGGCATCGGAGGACCAAGGGACGGATCTGTCTATCACACACGGCAGCTTCGACACAAGGATCCCACTGAACATCAACGATGGAGATATCGATCCCGAGTCCACACAGACGCCCACAGAAAGGTATGGCATCACTGATATGACCTTTGCACGCATCTCGGCTGGAGTTGTCGATGTCATGAGGCAGATAGTCATTTCTAGTGCCGGTGAGGGCGGGGCTAGTTTTGAGCACCAGAGCCATCTTTTGAACGAGATCTACCAAAGGTGCGAAAGGGAATATCTTCAGCACACGACTGAATCCGGAAGCGTTGCCTACTGGGTTGCCGTCACCGTCGCGCGCATGGTCATGGCCAAGATGACGCTCATCGTCTGCCTCCCTGCTCTCTTCTCCACCACGAGCGAACCCATCTCGCACGAGATGAGAACCAAGTTACTGGTCGCGGCAATCGAGGTCGCAGAGTACAATCACTCGCTCAACGCCGAACAAGCCTGTAGGCACTGGCGATGGCATTACCAAAGCCACACCCATTGGCCTGCCATTGTATATCTCCTGATCGAGGTTGCACGACGGCCCTGGTCGTCTACCGTTGAGAGGGCCTGGGTCGCTTTGCACAGCAAATGGCTAATTCCAGCGCCGGCCCTAACAGACAAGAACCTGCGCATCTGGGTCCCGCTGCGAAGGCTGATGAGTAAAGCTCAGAAGCATCGCGACGCCGAGATCCAGAGGCTACGTGCGGATCCCCATGCGGCTGCACTGCTGGAAATGGAAGACTACGAGACTCCGGTGCCTGCAAGCTTTGGCACGTTCCCAGCCCAATCCGGTGTCGATGTCTTCCGTGAGCGATGGCGCCAGCTTGTAGCCACCCCGCCGGAGCCTCCTGACCAGCAACACGTACCTCGCTCTTCTGACGCAAGGCTCGCTGATCCGACAGTGCAAGCAATCTACAACTACCCCTTGTCTGGTGGGACAATTCCGCTAGGTCACTCGAGGGATCCGGCGTCTGATATCCCCTTTGCTGCAACGCCCTTTCGCACGAATCGACAGCAGGTCAATGAAATCCCGAGAAGTATCAATAGCAGCGACCCTGAACCGGCAATTCGCACGAACCCTCTTCAGAGGCTGGCCTCCGAACAGGCCGTCGAGCAACCGTACAATTCCTTCACCACAGGCGCGAATGACTTTGCAGATGGCCGGACCATGGGGCTTGGATTTGACCCCTGGCTCTGGGCGGATGCCGATCCATCAGTTGATGTCTTCTCCAACTGGGAGCTTGACTCGGTCGATACTAATACGGACCCCGGTGGTGAGATGAACTGGTATGCCTGGCTCGAATCTGCCAAAGGGATGGAGAGGGACGCAAGGCCTACGTTTTGATGGCCACTAGATGGACAAAGCTCATCCGAAATCCCTGGCGCGGATTCGAGCTGGAAGGCGATCATGTTTCCTAAGTCTACGAAAGCTGTGATCTAGACCCCGTGGTGGAGAAGAAGACCGCGACGATGAGACTCATCAGCCTCATCGGGTTGATCAGAGGCTTCTTACGCCGGCTACCTGCACTTGCAAATACCTCGTACATAATATTCGCGTCCTCTTCGCAACATCCGACCCCCGAGTCAAACGGAACCCACCCCCAAAACCCCTTTAAGCTAAGCTTTCCACAAGCTTTGGGCGCCGCTCGTCCCGTGTTTAAAGTATGCTAGGAGCGTTTGGAGAGCGCCTCTCATTTCTCCGGTGGCACCAAAAGACGGGAATTTCGATAAGTCAGAAACAAATAGTTCGAGAACGTACGCGCGGGCCACGATCATCTGCATATCTCTATGGGACTTGGTGGGGTGTAGGGCGAAATAACTAGCTGACTTCTGCAACGAAGGATACGCGTACGCACGAGAGAGATGCCGGCCAACTCAACCTCAACATATTGGATTTCCCCTCCCATCCGTGCCGGGAGAGATTGATCTACACCGATCATTTTGACGCGTGTTGGTTTCCTTGGTCTCTCGGTTTAGGCGGAGCGAACGAGCTGCACTGTGGAAATGACCATGGATGAAGGCGGCCGGACCTTACGTGGTACAGGTTTTCCTGCAATATGTATGTGTGTACTTGTGGCCAGTGGGAGAGGAGTAGCCAGAAAGATGCTGTCGGGCGTGTGAAAGGAGGTTTTGACTCAATCCCCGGGGGTTTTTGAGCAGAGAGTAGATTATTCCCCTTTTCTTCGAGGAATGTCTAAGGCTCTATCTAGACAGAGTGGAGAGTGAGGGCCCCCAAGGAATCCCGACCAACATAGATCATTCTCTGAAAACTCCCTCTCACAAAACCATGTGATATGTGTGTATACACAGCCCATGCTTCCCAGATGACAAAAGAGGCATGCCCTTTTTCCGAGCAGCCAATGCCTAAAAGCTAATACATAGCTACTAGGCAAGATGGTCCGCAAACCCACTCAACAACCCCCCAATAACCACACCTATCGGCACGAACCCCCAATGCGCCCACTCCCCGCCGCCGATCTGCCTACGACTGATGAACCCATCCGCGACGGCGACGAGCGTGCTGGTCCACACCATGACGGCCAAGGCCTTGTGACTTCCAAAGTACGCGGTCGAGATCAGCGCCGTGCCCAGCGCGACGGTGCGCGCTCCTTCGAGCATCATGACGCTCTCGACCAGGTGGCCCTCGGGCGTTTCTTCGATCGCGTTGGTGGAGGCCCGCGCGCCAGGGTGTGGGAATTGAAACAGTGCGATGGCAGAGCGGGGGTTGAAGAGCGCGTTGACACCGAGCCCGACGGCCATGAGGCCGAAGCCGCCGATTGCGCGCGGCAGGTAGGGGGATTGGGAGATGGGCATGTTTTGTGGTTGATGATGGTGATGTTGTCTGCTGTATTGGGGACTTGGATGTATGCGTTGTACCGAGGACCCTGATGTCTGTGGAGGAGGTGGAGGTCTTATCAATGCGGTTTGAAGATGGGGGCGTGTTGAGAACCTAGGTAGGTAGGTAGGCGGATGGATAGAAATTGTGGACGTTGAATAGAAGACTGATAGGAACAAATCCTTTCTTGTACCGAGTGATGTGTGGTTGTTGATTTAGTGTCACAGCTCAATGTTGCCAGGCTGCAGGGAAAAGCTTCAAACTTCCCGCCCGGATTCTGGGCGTAAGCTGCCTCGGTGTTGGCATGCACCCGGCTAGCGATACTGGGGATAGTGAACGATGGCGTACGAACATGATTGATAATAGTGAAGAGCATTCTCCGCATTGGAACTAGCTCTGGATAGTACTAATATTGTTGGGCCAGTTGTGCAATTCAGTCACTTGCGGTGCTGGGATAGGAGGGTCTTGGTGTTTCTTACACAGATAGCTGGCAGACTCTCGTCCCGAGATGCCTGAATACCAGACCACCCTGCCGCACACATACACGCTGCATGGTACACAACGGGCTACAGTATCAAGAGCTTGGCATCGATTGTACTCAGTACAGCCACATCAATGGCTCGATCAGCGGCAACTGCCGCTACTTGCGAACCGTATGCGAGTGCCTTGGCCTACAGCAGCTTGAAGATGAACAAGCAGCCCAGTGCATGGGTTGGATCGAACTGCGAAATGGATTGGTCCCCCATAGGAAAATACCAGATATTCTTCTGCTGGCCCGCTGCCACCTTGTCGTCATCGACATAACATGAAGTATGCGGGCGACGACCACTTGTACATGCCGAAACTGCAGCCTTCTCCTGGCTACAGTCCTGTTCTGTACTATGGAGTGCTTACCAGTCCTCAGAGCTGCCTAATAATCGTCCTTGGAAGAGCAGTGTACTCCTGTCACTTGGATCTTCGCAGCAACATTGATACTTGTGGTCGATGATATAAAGAAAAAGGATTGCCTCGATGTGGAAATGCTTTGTCAAACCGGGTTCTCCGGAATAGGAAGTTGTTACTGGCCAAAGACGAAGAGGGCTACTTCGTCAGCGGTACTGGATAATATATTAGGACGTCCCAAATCCCAGATCTCCAGACATGTCCTCCACGCGCCCGAGCAGCTTTTCATCCGGGGAAGGAATGCGCTAGCGTAAGCTGCTTGAGGGACTGTGCCCTCCATTCTTCTCACGACAACGAATACCTTGGACGATGACGGAATCTGGCCTAGCAACCCGATCGTTCTTGCATGCTAAGATCTTGGTGCTGGGCTAGATCGCTCTCGCGTGGTACGGTCTAGACCATACGGACAATCAATCATATCGTCTCTGGCGTTGACTCGAAAATTGTTATATCGACTTGTCCGGGTATCGTGGGGATCCTCTTTGAACAGTACTCAAAACTCGACCTCCCAACTGAGATACAGGATTCTCAAGCGCGATACTGGCATTGGCAGCTACGAGCCTTTTGGATGTTGGCGTTCCTCCTGCGCTCGCCATGACAGCATCGGCTCCCACCGGACTTCACAGGAATTCGAACGTAGCTCCTTTGAAGCAGTCCGGTACACCGGTGAGACTGCTCTGGACTGCACAGGTGAAGAACGGGATCCAACAAGGTCGGGGAATCCTCTTTGCTGACGGGGTCCATGAGCGATTGGCAGGCTCAGGCTGCTTCTTCGACCATACCGTGAGAGGGAAAGACGCTGTCGAATCAGGCTGATCAAGTCCCCTGAAATGGGGCAGCAGGAGTGTCTAACGCATAGAGCTAATCGTGCAACCTGCCTTGAGCTTCCGACTCTCGTTACTTGGGATTTTTGGGGCAATCCTGCAAAGTCATGCACGCGTGAGAATGGCACACATACTCGTGTCGTCTAAGGCACCTACCAGCAAAGACACTGTCCACCGTCACTCCTTTTTCTGCGAAGAGAACGACAGAATGCGAATCGAAGATCTGGATTTTTCGATGTTTCGGCCTGCTTCTGGCCTTGCTGACTTGATGCGGCCCCATTGCCCAATGACCCGCCGACACCCGGCCCTCCCCCATATCGGCCGCAAAAGCGGGTTCGCTTCGCCAGTATATCGACCAAGGCTTACTGCCAAAACGAACATCAGCTTATCGTTGAAGAGAAAGCCGCTGTAGAGGCTATCTTTTTTTTTCAGGCACTGTATATCGAATTTCTTGAGCGACTGCCACTTCAGATGCTCCTTCAGAGAATCGCGTATCCAAGCCATGAGCACCGACTTCGTGTTTTTGCCAGGGCAGGGTTCCCATTATTCAGCAAAAGTCCGCTCGTTTGTTCTGCGCAATCGAAAATCAGGCCAACAGCGTCCAAAGCGCGCAAAGAATGTCAAGATTGAAGAAACTGCAGAAACCGCCATTGTGACGTCGACCAAGCAGCAAATGGTTCCGCTGGCAGATGCACAGAACCTTCTGCAGGGTCATTTTGATCCCTTCAGAACATTGGCTGCCGACCTGGACCGAACCGAAGGCATCATGATTTCGCACTGTACGATGAGGCTATCCGGTTCTCCTCTTGGAGAAAGCTAACTCGAGTTACAGTCGTGGGAGACTGCATACCTAACCTCGGAAAGCGGCGTCAGACGGCATTTTTTCCGCCCCGCGATATGCATTGGCCAGTGATGCAAGGAAACCCCCTGATGCTGGCCGTCGCCGTCCACTTTGCAGCAATGAGCCGAGCTCTGATCGAGACACGAACACAAGAAGAAAGGATCTTTGCGGAAAAATGCTATCTGAAAACTTTACGACATTTCCGCACGAGGCTGGAAGCCGAAGCGGCAGCTCCGAGTGATGGGCTCCTCCAGGCCATGTCCTGCATCTGCGCGACCGAATCGGTCATCAGGGAATGCTCCGAAACGACGAAAGAGCAAGCGCGAAGCTCTTTCTATCTGCACTGTCGTGGTCTGCGAGCTGCGCTGGAACGCCGACATGGGTGGGACCTTGTGCATTACTCCCCTGCTTTGGCGTTTGAGATGATATGGTGAGTTGAAGTGTGCACTGATCGACACATTATTCCAAGCCGACTTTGGACAGCAGCTTTCAGAGACACAGTCCGTCATCAACACGCTGACTGTTGACAGGCAAGATATGTTGTCGAATGGACAGATCTCTGCCATGAAGACTCGGTTTTCCATCCACTTGAAATCTTCCCGGTTGGGCGAACAGGAACGACAGATGAGACCAATTGCAGAGGCAGCACTAACTCAAGCTCAATGGGATCGCTTTTGCACGCTCGAATTTATCGGCGCCTATAAAAACTTCTATACCATGGCCATCTATAGACGACGACACCCACCGAGCGATCTTCATCCCCTGAGCCTGTTCCTGCCCGACACCCAGGCCTACCGAACCCTGTCGGCCAATGTGCCAAGCGTCGTCCGTCCCATCATGCCAATCCTGCTCCTGCATCTTGTGCTCTTCGACCTCCAGGGCACTTCCACAGAAGAATTGGCCTACCAGTACCGGGCGATACGACGCAAATTTGACCGGTGCGATGTCGAGCTCGATAGTGGGCAGACGTACCTGCTGTACGCGATTGGCATGTCACCGGATATGAAGGGGTGGTCTGATTTCGACCAAATGGCTCTCCTGTCGCGCTTGTTGAGCGTTGAAGCGCGCCTGTCGGATGCCTCGAGACAAATGCTGAGAGAGAGCCTCCTTGCGTTCATCGAGTCGGCTGTAACGGTGGACAGCGACTGGTGGACTCCTGATGACATGGAAACAGTCATCACCAAAGAGCTGCTACAGCAATGACCTCGATTTGCGATACCCGTTCTCTTTCTCTCCCTGGGTTAAAAGCACATTTTATAATCAGCGGCCTGGTGGAAAGGATGGGCGATGCCGAGAGTCGGGGCTCCAGAGTTTGGAAGCCAATTATGCACCGTCAAGGAGTCCATACTTGGCGCGCATACAGCTCGGGTCTGGGTGACTGACCTCACTATTTCCCTCTCGCCCTCTTTTCCAGACACCGCTGTCCATTCTCCAAAATCCCCGTTACTGCTCGCACCGCTTTTGCGCGAGAGGCACCCTCAAGAGTCCTTTCTATCCATGGACTTTGAATGAGTAACTTAATATTTTGCGCTCTCTCCCACCCTGCAAGTGGTTTTGCCTGAAGATTGGGCGTGTGCCCGGGGAACGCCGTCAGGTACCTACGAGGTACTCGGTACGCCGTAATCTTATGTGGTTCTAATTCGACCCCCTTAACCATTTCCAGCGTCGAGGAACGAATAGAGTTTCGGACAGCGGAAGGTATGACATGGATGTTAGCGATGATCATTTCCCCCTCCCGTCTCACGGTATTACCTGGCGAGATACCTAGTCCTCCTTCTCTGTCTGCTTGCTCTATCCTCACCATTCACGAGCTGCTAATAATTGCTTCCCTTGCGTTCGCGCGTACGGAAGTCCCCCAGGTCTTTGATTCGTGCACCAGGCTCTGGAAAGCAGTGTGCTTGTACGAGGACCCAACCTCTGCGAAAGGAGCCTGTTCTCCACTGAATTGATGGTGTCATGGGCGCTAGGTATGTGGGACCGAGAGACGGAGACTCGCTTCCCTGAGCTCCGTGATCCTCCTGCCCGCAGTGCCCGGTCTCCAACCTCGACACCTCAGGCTGGCAAGCCGACCTCAGAAATCAGTGGACACCATCACACAATGATTATTAGCCGCGACTTCCAGAGTAGCCTAACTCTACGAGGTGGGAGTACTCCAGAATGATGGGGAGGCCATCACGTCAAACATAGGTGACTCTATGGAGAGGGAGAAGAGCTAACGTGTTAGAATGCAACCGAAGCACTCGTTTATGAATAACTGTCGCCTTCGAAGCCAATGGTGGTTTGATTTGGTTTTCCTCCTTCCTTTTTCGTCATTAGGCACTGGTGCTTGCTTGTGAATCTACAAAGCTCGCTGGAACATGGCTGCAGCGAGACGGCAAAGTGAAGATGGAGTTTGAGTTGATGTGAAAAAATCATCGACGAGAGAAGACGACTCCCAATTCTCCACTGGCGATCTCAGAAGCAGCAGAGGTGCCGCTTCCTTGCTTACGACTGACGCGTGTTCTATCGATATGGCGACACTGGAGCATGCTGATCAGTGCAGACCGGCGATCCTGGTAATTGGCGTTATCAGGCCTTCATTCGAAGAGATTTTCGAGAAGACTGCCAGTTACTTCGGTCAGAGCTCGAGAGAGTTCACGAGCACGACCAGTCAGCAGGCTCGAGTTCCCCTTCAAGTGCTAATCAGACTGCACAACACCCACCTCGACGCCACGTCCATTCAAGGACTGCAACCACTCTCGCTGGGATAGCTGGATCGTCTTGTGGAAACCCTCAAATATCGTGATCATCAAACGGTTGCTTCGTTCCAAAGGAGACGCGTCTGATCGCCCGCGAGTGTCCAGTGAGCTGCATCAGGTCGCAGCGAAAAGCCCCATAGCACAAGCCGCGCGAGACGTTGATCCAACGTGCGCTCCGTGCATGCATTGGGTGTCTCGAATCTGGAGGCGTCCGCGTGCCAGACTTTTCACGCCCAGATCCCAGATCTTGGCTTTGTTGATATCAACCACTTTTCTCACTCGTAATCTGCCCCGTGCAACCTCTTGTTATCGCGCCATAGAGGGCACCACGAAAGAGGCTGCTGCAAAAGGCGGTTCTGTCGGAAGCACGGAGTACACGGCACAGAGAGGCTGGACAGAGGCTCGTTTCCACATGATGAAGTTTGTATCCTTTAATTAGACATTCGGCTAGCCGGAGCAAACATTTGAAGTTGCGAGGCTGAAATAGTGACAGGGATCTTTGTAGGAGAAGGGAGAAAACGTGGCGAGGTGGCTAACCCCTTAACCCCACTAGCCCCTTGGTGGTGTCCGGAAAGGGCACTAGCTTTGTCCTACCTGGGACTAGCACGGCTCTAATACGCGACGCGATAGGCAATATCGACTCAGGGGGGAGAAGTGTGGAAAGAGGTTCGCGCCCGTACTAGCCTCCCTCTCGTTTGCTCTCCCAGTCTCCCAGAGCAGTGCGAGACTTGATGGGGGAGTCCGCCACCAAAGCCACTCGGTCATCATGGAGATCACACCTTGACTGGAGCAGGTGAAGTGGTACAGATGGAGGAGGGCAATGGCGCACAGAAGGCAAAGGGTATCTCATTCTATTCTTCTGTGCCACAACAGAATGTGTATATACTGAATGAGTGACAGGTTCGAGGCATCTCAACCATCTGGAACGTCTGAGTTAGGCACATACGAGCAGGGTCTCGCCCGTCTTTGCCAAGAGGGAGAAAGGGCCTTGGTTCTGCATTATCGGTTTCCGAAGTCCCGTACCTATGCGACAAGACCCCTCCCACCCCGGCCACTGATGTGTCTCAGTCCATTCATGGCTTTGGCCTTTTCTGGGTTTGCAAGATCTAATCTCCCCTCTTCGTAAGTTTGTCTTGCCTTATCCCACGACTCAACCTTTCCACCACAAGAACGTGGGCGCCTCTCGTCATGCAAGGGATCTCGACGCCTTGGCCTTCTCCTTTTCCCTGCGCTGTCCCCAATCTCCTGAGCCGCGGCGCGACCTGCATGACTCCCCAGGTGACGAGACTCTTTGCCCCCACAAGTCAAACCGTGCTCGTCAGCCATGGCTTGAATGATATCAGCCGCGAAGCCCCTGGTTTGTGCTGGCACCATTCCAGCCAGAGTGGGGACGATCTTTCTTTCTTGCCCGCAATGGTGGCTCTCGAGACTTGAGAGTGGTGAGGCGGGCCTGGGAAGTCATGCAATACTTTGTACCTGGTCTTTTGGTGGCTTGGATTGCAAGCGAGACTCCGGCGCCATGGCTGATCCGACGTTGAACCGGCATATCCTGCTACAAGTTGAAGAGGCTTCCGCCTTCTCCCTGGTCTTGATTTTTTTCTCTGTTTGCTCAAACCTTTTGTTTTTCCATACCGTGACTTTTCTCTTTTGAAAGCTTTTGCTTTCGTCCTCTCGTTTTCCATTTTGTCACTCCTTTTTTTTTGGTGTTGACCCTGTTATGCGGTCGCTTCTCTACGCGGCGGCATTTTTGCCGCTGCAGACGCTCGCTTGGTTTGGCAAAGCCTCAGACATCGACGTAATCGTGGTGGTGACCACGACAAGAACCATCACTGTGTGCCCTATTACAGAAGCATGGACCTGCGGACCCGACTACCCAACAGCTCCGTGGCAGGACTGGACTGGCACGTTAACAAGCACGGCGTCAGTGGTGTCACCAACAAGCAAGGGCGATGGGCACCCCGGCGGACATGATCATTCTGGAAGTCCCAGCGCATCTTCATCCTCATCTTCTCCCTCTGGCCATCATGGCTCTGGGCCACACGGTTCCGGCCACGCAACTTGGTCTTCTTCATCCTCTAGCTCCAGCGCCGGTCCTTCTGGAACCCCAAGCTCCTCAAGGACACACAGACACCCGAGCTCGTCCAGCTCTTCCGGAAGCCCAACTTCATCTAGCCCTGCTGGCAGCTCGAGCCCATCCGGCCCGTACGTAGGCCCCAGCACATCGAGCTCGTCCAGTAGCCCAAGCTCGCCTGGTCCGTATGGAAGCTCGAGCACGACGACCACCGATCCTGTCAATAGCACGACTACCGCCGATCCCCCGGCCGACCCTCCGACAACATCGAGCTCGGTAACCTCAACCACGAGCGGCCTCCCGGTTGACGCTGCTACAACATCCAGCTCTGCACCGTCCAACCCCAATGATCCAGCTGCCACAACCTCAAGCTCGACTACGACCTCT